TAACCATAACCTCCGTCCGCTTGCGAAGGAATCAGATCTCATCCGTTGAAATAATCAACGGCTCGTGATCTCTTCATCTCTCTCTCCTCTCTCCTTCTTCCCCACCAAAATCTCCCCTGATTTATTAAGAAGCGAAACCAGAATAGAAAGAAGCAGAGAGCAACAGAACAAAAAGCAGGAGAGAGAAAATAGAGAAGATGAGCGAGAGAAATTCCGATTTGAAGAAGCGAGATGCTGAAGAGACTGAAGCTTCGAGCACAACCGTCTCACCTCCGGAGAAGAAGAAGAAGCTCGATGATTCATCAGCGGAATCTCATGCCGTCGTCGTCGTCGTCCCCGTGATTCCACCTTCTCCCGTAGCTTCATCGGCGGATTCAGCTCAAGGTGGACGCTCTGTTACCTCCGCCGGAGAAGACGATGGCCAGAGCTCGAGCATCTGCTCCGACTCTGTTAGCAGCAAATCGAACGAAATCGCGGCGACGAAAAGTCCGACGTCTGTTGTAGATCTGGAGGTAAAATACCTAAAATCCGAAGCTCGTTTGCACTTGAAATTCCTTTTCTCGATTCTCTGTTTTATTTTCGAGGAAAAAAAATCATCCGATAACTCGAATTTTCTCGGTTTTTCTTTCGTTCTCCCCTGTTTCTCTTAACTAATGATTCAGTCTGTAACAATAACAACGAAAATCTCCATTGATTTTTTTTTTCCGTTTTGTTGTTCAGGCTCATCAAATCTCCGAAACCGAAAGTTCAACAGTCACCGCCAGAAAATTCAGGTTCGTAGTCTCTCTTAATTTTTTGTTTTTCCCCAAAATAGACAGTTTAATCGTCTTCTCGCATTCTGATCTCTGCGTTTTTTAATTTATTTTCTGGGCGCAGTAAAGAGGGAAATCCAGAGAGCGAGGCTTTGGGAGAAATAACCGACATGGAACCATCGCCAGTGACAAAGAAGGATGGAGGACAGGAAGTGAGAAAGAAACCAACGGCGGAGGAGATCGAGGAGTTTTTCTCAGAGCTAGGGGATGACGACGAGAAGCAGAAGCGATTCACAGAGAAGTGAGTGTCATCGTCATCTCTTCATCTTCAATTTCTGGTTACTTTCTCAAAGTCCGTACATGGGGGAAGAATGTCAGCGCAGGATAAGAGAGATTATCAGACGCGTAGTTTAGCAAATATCATGAGAGAATCCGAATCCTAACGTACATTTTGGCATTGGCAATGGCACAGGTACAACTTCGATATCGTCAATGACAAACCGCTCGAAGGTCGGTACAAGTGGGATCGAGTTGAGCCGTAAAAGGAAATCAAATAGCAAAAAAGACGGAGAAGAAGACGAAAAAGGAAGAAGAATAGGTCTTTTTTTTTTCTTTGACATTCCACTTGTACAGCTCTCTCTTTTTTTTTTTGGTTAGTCTTAACTCCAAACCTATGTTAGTTCGTGCCGTACAAACGAGAAAAATACAACTTTTATATCGGAATCTGGAAAAATCTTGATTAGTAATCACGATTTGTTTCGGATGTTTTTCCTTTAAAACAAAAAAAAAATCAACCTTATGAATAGTTTTCTCTTTTCTGGGTTTTGAATTCGAATTCGTGTTCTCATTTTGAGTATACAAAAATGAATTTAGCCGTTTATGGCAGAATCAAGGTTTATGTGCATGAATATAGAAAGGCAACTCTTGTTTGGATATTAAACATTGGATGCTTATTACAATTACCTATCTCCTAATTTTTATATTTTTCTTTTTTGGTCTCGTGTCCTTCTTATTCTTACATCTGCAATTCTTTTTTTTTTTTTTTTTTTTAAATGTTTCATAGTTTCAGGTCTTATAGTAGTACCCAAATTACACAAAAAGTACGAAAAATAATGTTTTTGTTTTTTATGAAAAAGAAAACGGGGAAAAAAAGGAAAGAGGCACCACCACCATTACATGACGGTACAGTACACTTTAGTCTGTACTTCTCTAAAAACTTCGATCCTACTACACATTAACACATACATATAAAGTTTGATATTTTTCTCGTTAATTATTCTTTTTATAAATTTGGAATATTCGTCTGTTTTTGTTTTTTATTGGATCGGTTCCTCGCTCTTTAACAGTGGGTCCGCCGCTAAGACACAAAAACGGCCACAGTGGAGTGTATACTGTAGCAAAATTATAATAAATGAACGATATACAATTATTATGATTACGTGGAATTTTCTTGTTGGTTGTAAATAAGAATACAAAAGAAAAGGGGAGCAAATCTGGAGGGAGTAGGAAAGGGTAAATCTCATCATTGCATGATTCAGTTGGGATTATATTCCTCTCTCCTCTCCTTTCAGCCTTTTTTTTACCAACTTCTTCTTACTTACAGAGCCGACACAAGCGCGTGGCTGCACGTGTCTTTGTTCCTCCATTTACATTTCACATTTATCAATTTAATTATGATTTAAAAGCTCGAGTTCCAAGTTCCAAATTCAAAGAGAACAACTCAATGCTAGTAAAGGTGTATCAAAGAAAAACATCAAAAAATTAACAAAAATATCTTCTTTAAGAGAAACAAATCAGATAATAATAATTAATATATCCTCGTTCCCGGAATGAGTCCAGATGGATGCATCACAAAATGTGATCATGCAAATGGCAACTGCCCTTTTCTACGTCCACATCTCTCCTTTGTGACGTACCCAAATCATCCTCGCATACTCCCATTTTTCTGTTTTTTTTTTAAATAAATAAATAGCTGAAAGAAACCACACGTGTATCTTCTTAACTATATAAACATGTGAATTAAATTTAACTAATTACGTACGTGTGTCTATTTGCTTAACATTAAGTGTGTGTGGGTGGGTGCGTAAAAACAAAAAGGTGTAGTCTTGTATACGTGTGCAGTGAAGAGGAGGAATAGGTACAAGAGAAATGAGTCTTGGGATTGTGAAAGTTCATGTCGTGTGTATGCTCAACATTGTTTCTTCATCTGATTTATTACCTCATAAAAAAAGGTAGTAGTAAAAAACTAAAAAGTAATAACTCTTACCATTTGCTAATTACTCTATCACTAATCAGTAATCACTTTAGTCACTTACGTACACTGAATTTTTATCGTACTCCTTTTTAATCAACGGCGGGCAATGGTTTGGTGACATCGTACAGAAAAACAAAGATAAAAGTCGCACAAATATTAGCAGCATTGATACACTGCAACTGTATGATGTGATTAGCAAATGCCTACGAAAAAGTTAGAAATCACACATAGTTTATTCTTTTGTTTTTTTTGCTGTAATCACACAAGTCTCTCTTAGTTTATACAAAATCTATGAAATCAGAAAAGGACATTAAACAAAAGAAAAAACAAAATCAGAAAAGTAACATAGAACCTATACTTTCTAATTAATTAATTGGTTTTGACAGTACAGGAATTGAAGTGCCATTGCAAATAATGACAGATGAAAAAGAAAGAAAAAAAGAACACTTGAGAATGTCATCGTGGTAATTGTTACTCAATGATTGCAATAATACAATTATCCTTGAGCTCAAGCTCAATACAAGACAACTAGAGTGCAGCTGGGTCACTTTGTTTGGGTTTTGACATTTATTTTGTTTCTTCTTTCAGGCCCAAATATACTATGATTTCTTTTTTCAGGCCCAAACATATTTTGATTTCTTCTTAGAGGCGAAAAAGTTAGGAATCGCACAAATAATATCATCTGGTCATAGTCATTAAAACAGAAAGTGACGCTTGTATATGTATAAGTATAACCATATCCATATGTATGCGACTTTGAATATCACCAAGAATATGAAAACATAAAGAACAGTACAGTATACATAATAATGAGTATCAATAAACCTAGAGAACAAAAGACACACACCACCGATCAAGATTTTTATTGCTTTGAAATAAGGAACAATAGTGCGACTACGACTTCTCGTAGCTATCTTCATTTTCTAAGATTGTTAACATGTTAGAATTACATAACTAGTCTTTGATATTTTCATCTATTAATTTGATCAGCTAATTCGAATGGCAGCTGTTTTTTTTGCCTCCACAATGCTGAATTAGTTGTTTATGTCAATAATCAGTTAATCATTATCCGGGAACATTGTTGTCTTTGGAGCTGCTTCAGAAAAAGTTCATGTCACACATGACACAACAACATGTACTATTATTTGTCAAGTATAATTTTTGTTTTCTTGTGTTTAGAACTTAGAAGTTTTTTTTTTTTTTTTTTTGGTTAACTGGTTTATAAACGTAAGTCTTTTATTATCTTTTCATCAACATATAATATTAATATACCAAAAATAAAATATAAAATATATTTAAAATTAAACACTAAGAAAATAATAATATCTGCGTGTTTCATTTCATCTAGTGCGTGTAAAACAAAAGAATTTTAATTTTATGACATAAAAACATAGTTGCTGTTTCACTATCAAATCATGTTCCTAAACATTCCAATGAATATAATACTTATTTTATACTGAAAAAACTCGGCTGACTCTTTCTTTTTCTCTGGACACAGCTGACTCTTTCTACACAGTAAAAACGGTTAATACGTAAAAACACGGGATTTACCCAATCCTCGTAAGTATGATTTAAACCAGTTTATTTATAAACCCTAGGAGAATTAAAATACATGTAAGTGGCCAAGTGCGGTGGAATCAGAGCCGTTGGATCTCAAAACACACGGCTTTGGCCCCGTAACTGGGCCCCACGTTTCGGCCACTTCCCAAAGGACCCATAGATTCAGCCTTAAACCCCCAAAAAATCCACAACTATCTCTCTCCGCCTCCCTTTTAAGACCAAATCTCTTTCTCTCTCTCACTCTCTCTCTCTCCTCTTCCTCTTTCCGCCATTACCAGAGCTCAACGAGCTCTGTCTCCATACGCTCTTCTTCGTAGGGAGATAGTCTTGAGAGAAGATTATTCAATTTTTTTTCTCGGAGGTTCCATTTCCCGGAGATATCTATCAGATCGGATCGGACTTTTTTTTTTTGAATTTAAAAAACAATTGTTAAGATGCAGACGACCAACGGCTCAGATTCGGCGTTGGCAACTTCCGGAGCCACTCCGCCGATTCAGCAAACGACTCCTCCGCCTCAGCAGTGGCAGCAACAACAACAACAACCCCAACAGCAGTGGATGGCGGCGGCGGCCATGCAGTATCCGGCGGCGGCGATGATGATGATGCAGCAGCAACAGATGATGATGTATCCTCACCAATACGCTCCTTACAATCAAGGTCCTTATCAGCACCATCCTCAGTTCCAATACGGGTCTTATCAGCACCAGCACAACCAGCACAAGCCACACGACCGTGGATCTGGAGAAGACGTCAAGACTCTTTGGGTCGGCGATCTTCTTCATTGGATGGACGAGACTTATCTCCACACCTGCTTTTCTCACGCCGGCGAGGTATTTATTACATCTGAATCTTTTTTTTCATTTCGTTAGTCCTCTGTTTCGGATTTGTATTCAAATTGATGTAAATGAATGATTTTTACGTTGAAATATTGGTGAAAAGTGATTGTTTTTCAGATCTTGTGTTTTAATCGATTGTCTCTCAAGCCAATGACTTTTTTTTCTTTCTTGAAAAAACTGCTTAATTGGGTTAGATCCAATGATTATTGAATTTGCGTAAAGAGAGATAGAAATGTTTGACATTTTAGGGTAATGGAGAACAGCTTTAGCTTTGACCTGAAAAGGACAAGTTCGTATTTCGTTACGCAAAAAGTGTACTACTTTGCCACGTTTAGATGAACTTACAAAAAGAAAAAACATAAAGCATGTAAAGAGATTATACTTCAATTAGCTGTCTTTTGTTGTTCTTTTCTCTGAATTTTCTTTGTGGATTATTTGTTTTTGTGATGCGCAGGTTGCTTCAGTGAAAGTGATTCGGAACAAGCTAACATGTCAATCAGAAGGGTATGGTTTTGTCGAGTTTCGGTCACGTGCTGCAGCTGAAGAAGTTCTTCAGAACTACAGTGGTTCGGTGATGCCGAACTCGGAGCAGCCCTTCCGTATAAACTGGGCATCTTTCAGCACCGGTGAGAAGAGAGCTGTGGAGAATGGTCCAGAGCTATCGATATTTGTTGGAGATTTGTCTCCGGATGTGACCGACACTGTGTTGCAAGAGCTGTTCCTTGAAAGATATCCATCTGTGAAAAGCGCCAAAGTCGTGATCGATTCCAACACGGGCCGGTCCAAAGGCTACGGTTTCGTGAGGTTTGGTGATGAGAGTGAGAGGTCAAGTGCTTTGACAGAAATGAATGGAGCTTTCTGTTCCAACAGGCAGATGCGTGTAGGTATTGCAACCCCTAAAAGAGCGGTTGCTAATCAGTTACAACATTCTTCACAAGGTGACATATATCTTCTTGACTTATATTATAATGCTTCTTGCAATTAAGTTTACTAGTTTTGAGATATAAAGTTTTATGTTTTTATGGGAATAGCTGTGATATTAGCTGGTGGACATGGAGGTAATGGTTACATGGGTCATGGCTCGCAGTTTGATGGCGATTCGAATAACGCAACAGTGAGTTTGTCATATCTGTTCATCTTCTATAGTATTATTCAAAAGCTCTGCTTTGCCTCGCTGCTCATTTGAGTTTATTCTGCTGCAGATATTTGTAGGCGGGCTTGACCCTGACGTTACTGATGAAGACCTCAGAGAACCTTTTACCCAGTTTGGAGAGGTTGTTTCAGTGAAGATCCCAGTAGGCAAAGGATGTGGGTTTGTCCAACTTGCTAACAGGTGCGGTCTTTAGTCTTTTACCTAGAAATGTGGGCTTGCATTTGAGCCAAATGAGTAAATCTTTAAGCGGCTTGGCATTTCGGTTTTGACAGGAAGGGTGCTGAAGATGCCATCCACAGTTTGAACGGGACAGTCATTGGCAAGAACACTGTCAGGCTCTCATGGGGACGAAGCCCCAACAAGCAGGTAAATTTTTTTACTCTGGAGTAGGTAAATTCTGTTATTTATTTTGATAGGGTCAAACAGGGGTTGTGTTTATAAGCCTTTGTTGTTATTAGAAAGTATAGTAACAAGTACATATATAAAATTAGAAACTATACTTAGTGGTTGACAATAGGCAACAGCTGGTGGAATCTAGCACCTTCCCTTGTTGTCTCTTTTGACTATACAAGTGGAGAATAAGCTAATACATGAAACTCCCTGCCCAACTTGTCACACATCCATGAACTTGGTCGACATGATTTTTGTTAGTATTTAAAAATCAGTTTGTTCTGCTTACAGCTTTGTCCCAGTCAAATTGACACCATGAGATTCTTGTTTCTCAAGTTGTCTTAAACTAGAATCTAACAATGTTGTTAATGTGGTGTTCTACTTTGTGGCAGTGGAGAGGAGACTCAGGGCAGCAGCAGTGGAATGGAGGATACTCAAGAGGACAAGGTTACAACAATGGAGGATATGCTAACCACCACGACTCCAACTCCTATCATGCGGAGGCTTGAAGAGACTCTCAAGTGATGATCATAAATGATCATGATGGTTTTTAAGCCTCTGATTCACACATCAATCAAATGCTAAAAACTTGTAGTCCAAAAGGAGATTTTTTGTTAGATGGATTTTATTTTCATAGACTACTTGTTTGTTTGGGAGATTCAAAAATTTTGGTTACTTGGTTTGTCTCAGACTAATATAATAATGCTTGTGCTTGTTTGGATCATTTCAGCATTACATCATTAATACAGTACCTCTCTCCATAAATAAAGCCCACAAAAATTTATCATTTTTAGATCCCAAATTTGACTAAAAAGCCCCTCTCGCTCTCTCTTTCCACTGTACTTTCAAGTTTCTTCTTCTCTGCAGAGTCAGAGAAAGAACGAAAGCAAAGAGAGTGAAGATGGAAGAAGCTTTCATGGCGATGCTCTCGCACCTGCTCCATCTCCAAAACTCATTGGACCCAACAAGCACCGTCTTCTCCTCCGCCTCCACATCTTCGCCGTCGTCCACCACACCTTCCTCCCTCCTCTCCTCTTCCTCCGCCGCGCCTTTACTCTTCTTCACTCTCGCATCCCTCCTCTCCTTCCTCGCCGTCACCAGATCTTCCTCCTCGACCAATTCCGGCGACTCCTCCTCCTCCAACTCTCCTTCCCCTCCGCCGCCTCTCCCCGACGGCGATTACTCCGTCGCCGCATTCCGCGCCCTAGCCTCCGACCACATCTGGGCTCTCGATGCGCCTCTCCGCGACGCTCGCTGGCGCTCCCTGTACGGACTCTCGTACCCAGTCTTCACCACCGTCGTCGACAAGCTCAAACCTTTCATCACCGCCTCCAATCTCTCCCTCCCCGCCGATTACGCCGTCGCAATGGTTCTCTCCCGCCTCGCACACGGCTGCTCGGCCAAAACCCTAGCCACTCGCTACTCCCTCGATCCTTACCTCATCTCCAAGATCACAAACATGGTCACTCGGCTCCTAGCCACCAAGCTCTACCCGGAATTCATCAAGATCCCCGTCGGAAAACGCCGATTGATCGAAACCACTCAGGGATTCGAAGAGCTCACCTCTCTCCCCAACATCTGCGGCGCAATCGACAGCACCCCCGTGAAGCTCAGACGCCGGACGAAACTAAACCCTAGAAACATTTACAGCTGCAAGTACGGATACGACGCCGTTCTGCTCCAGGTCGTCGCCGATCACAAGAAGATCTTCTGGGACGTCTGCGTGAAAGCTCCCGGCGGAGAAGACGACGCTTCCCACTTCAGAGACACCCTTCTCTACAAGCGGCTAACTTCAGGGGACATTGTGTGGGAGAAAGTGATCAATGTGAGAGGTCACCATGTGAGGCCATACATTGTAGGAGACTGGTGCTACCCTCTTCTCTCTTTCCTCATGTCACCGTTTTCCCCAAACGGCTCTGGCTCGCCGCCGGAGAATCTATTCGACGGGATGCTGATGAAAGGGAGGTCAGTGGTTGTGGAAGCTATTGGACTGCTCAAGGCTCGATGGAAGATTCTGCAGAGCTTGAATGTTGGAGTGAACCACGCTCCTCAGACTATTGTGGCTTGCTGTGTGTTGCATAATCTGTGTCAGATTGCTAGAGAACCGGAGCCGGAGATTTGGAAAGATCCGGATGAAGCTGGAACGCCTGCGAGAGTCTTGGAGAGTGAGAGGCAGTTCTACTATTACGGAGAGAGCTTGAGGCAAGCATTGGCTGAAGATCTGCACCAGAGACTCTCCTCGAGGTGATGATATGAAGAGAAGACACTTAAGAAGCAGGCTTTTTTCTAGTGTTTAGATTGCATTTATAGATTCTATCCTCTAGAGAAAGTTTCCACTTTTAAGCTTGAGGATTCAGAAATGTTTTAAAAAGCTGACTCTGTTGTGCTAGTTTTGTGACTTATGGTTTGTTTCTGTGACATATTGAGAACTGAATGTAACGAGTTTTACTGAAATTGTGAAACTTTTTCATGGAAAGGTCAAATGAAAAAGAGAAAGGGATGTTGTTTATAATCTGTCTTTCATTATCAGGAACAAAACATCATCACTATGGATTATTGTGGAATTTTACAGTACTCTTCTTTGAAGAAACTTTGCATTCCTTTTTAACACTATGAACATAGGAATGGGTCTTAAACTCTTTAATACAGTTCTCCAGATTCCAGTTTCCAAATTCCATAACAAGATCATATAAGTTCTTAACATGCATTCCTCCGTGTATGTCTTTTTTTTTCCCTCTTTTGAAATTGTCATGACGACACCGAGTTATCTTCTTCACCGTGTTTTGGCTAAAGGCTGTCGAGTAGAGACACCGTGCAACAATTTGACAAAACCCAAGAAGCTCAGCTTCCCATCAGTGTGTCTGATCCAGTCATGTAGAATGGTATGGACCGGGATTGATGATCCAACACCGAGTTCCTAAGAAACAACATTTGTAAAGAAATGTTAAAGAATTGGCAAAAGCAAGTGAAAAAAGAAGCTAAGTCGAGATGGAGAAGACAAAAACTTACGGAGGCGAGTTCTTCGATGACGATAACTCTGTTTCCATTCATCTCGAAGAGCTCATAAGCATGGCGAACGCTCTGCTCCCAACAATCGAGAGACTCATGCTGATGAACGCTAATGGAAGCTGCACAAAACTCTTCAAAGTCCATCCCTTTGTATTGAAGTCCATTTAACTGTCATTTTCCCAAACTTTTGTTAAACCCAACCTTGTCTAAATTGTATCTAAAACAGATTAAGAAAAAGGCTGAGGACATGAATGGGACAGTACCAAGGCAAGAAAGTCCGGGATACGTGATTCCTTCATTGCTTCTGTTGCATTTGCAGCCAGTGCCTGTCCAACAGAAATTGAGAATTTAGCTTTGAGCTGTTTGTTCTCAACCAGAGAGAGAGAGAGGAGAGAGACGACAGAGAAGAGGTACAACATACCAGTCTGATGTTATCCAAAGTGATGAGGCCATTTTTGTTGGGTGCTAAGATTGCAAACTGTGCTTTCAGATAAAGAAGTTCTTCTGTAACTAATGTCTTAGACAGAGCCTGGAGAGAGTATAAAGAGTTAGGATCAACAAATCCTTTACGTTCTCTGAACATACAGTAAAAGAGGTTACAAGATAAATGTTACCATCAAAGCAGCTTTGCGCAAAGACGAAGATTTCAAGTATGCTTTGATCTGCCTGAAGATGAGAATATCAAATGGGATACTCATGTTCTTATGACCCGCAATCCAAGGATGCACTGGAAAAAGACAAAAAATAGAGTAATTTCAGTTGATGATTCATGAGAGTTAAAAAGCGAAGTCGGTCAAAGAAGGATAAGGAGAGGGTTTAGAGATTTCTGACTCAAAGCTTGAGAGGCTGTCATTCTTTTACGAGGGTCCTTGTACAACAATCTCTTAACAAAATCTTTTGCCTCAAAGGACAGTGAAGGCCAAGGAGGTTCATCGAAACTCGGATCAGCTTTTAGAACAGCCCTGAAGATTCCTGATTCGGTTCTTGCCCAAAAAGGACGGCTTCCACATAGGAGAATGTACGCTATTACTCCTATGCTCCACACATCCGCTTCCGTGGTATAAGATCTGTGTAGGACTTCAGGGGCTACATAATACGCACTTCCTACTATATCGTTTAGCCTTTCGTCTGGTCTGACAAAGTCTGATAAGCCAAAATCTATCACTTTCAACTGAGAATTCTCCTCCTTGGAAGTGTACAAGAAGTTCTGATACATGACAAAAGTGTTTCAGAATTTGAGATTGGCATTCAACTAAGAGAAGATCTTTCAGAAGCGAAAAACAAAGACGAGAATGTGGTTCACCTCTGGTTTTAGATCTCTGTGAACAACTCCTTGGAGATGACAGAAAGCTACAACGTTCAGGATTTGTCTAAGCACTGTTTTAGCATCATCTTCAGAATATTTCCCTCCCCTAAATGAGAAGATTATGAAATAGTTAGACAGGCAAAAGAACATCTCTAAGAAGAATCTATGACCATATGTTAACAAGTATTTAACACAATGTGATACTATTTCTTAGTAGCTGACCTTGCTAGTATCCTGTCAAGGAGTTCACCACCTCCACATAACCTGAAAGTTTGAAGTAAGTAGATGTTAGCAGATATATGTAGATGTTAGTAAGTAGATGTTGACAGTTACAATATAGTTGATTCAACATCACACAGGGATATATATTAGCACATAAAAGGTGGTGTGGTGACAGTTTTCTTACTCCATGACGATGTAGACGTTGGCATTGTCCTCAAAGGCATCATAGAATTGCACAAGATTGCTATGTCCAGATAACGCCCGCAGGATTTTTACTTCTCTTCTCACATCTTCTATAGATATCGCAGTTGTCATCTGCAAAAATCATAACCGATGAGCAACAGTCTATCTTGGACTAAGCTATGCCTATGTTCATATGCGAATCCCGAATCCAAAATAACTCGATTGCATGGTACAAAGTCGTATGTCATTGCTAAATGACATAAGCACAGATGTCTATGCTTCCAGTTTATTCAACAATTAAAACGTGTACAACTTTTCACAGAAAAAGTCGGCCAAAATTTACATCCGTTACCATTGAAAGTCTAGGCCTTTGACAAAGATGGATGAAATACTAATCTTATCATAAACTTAAATCTCATCAGAGTTCATACATACATACATACATGTTTTTAATATTAACTTCTAAGCATAAAAGTCCACACGGCATTTATTTTCCAACACGATGGCTCAAACTAGAGCACAGAAACATCACGAGAGCCTATAGATGGATTCTTCTTCTAAGTCTCTTCTACTTGCAGCCGTAAGAGCTATTCAAGCTATTACCCTTGATACAGTGTAAAATTCTAATAATTAAAGTCAGACAACAAACAAGAGACCCACAAATCTGTAATTTCTAGAATTTAGCTATCACTACAATACAATGAATCATTTGTCTCACCATTCACCAATCATCAAGATCATGAAAACTTAAACCCAATTGAAGCATAATAAACTTAAGATTGAAACTTGAGAATAATTCAAAATTGACCTTAGATTTTGGGATGACTTTAACAGCAACTTCGTGATCCTTGCGCTCTCCTTTCTTGAACTTAGCAGAGCAAGTGTACCCAAAATGCCCTCTCCCAATCTCTTCCCCTAATTCCATCCTACTCTGAAACTCCTTGGAGAAGCCAAATCTCTTGTCCAGCCCCACCTCCTCTCTCTCCTCCTCCTCCGTCTGCTGTCTCGCCGCCGGCTGAGAAGCCTCCTTCCTCTCCTTCCTCCGCCGCAGAACATCCCGTATGTGTTTCGCCGGCGACGGAGGATGGAAAGCACGCGCCAGCTGACGGAGGGGAGTGCTGGTGACGCTCCCTCCTCTCTCACTGCCTCCGGCGTCGCGGCTCTTGTTACGGCGGTGCCTGGCGGGGCTGGGAGTGTAGAAGGGGAAGAAAGGTGAAGCCTTTACGGCGGCCGAGGCGCGGACCGGCGATTTCCCGGGATGGGCAGGGGTAGAATCGTCATTTTGGGGAATCGTGTCTTTGGGTGCGTAGGGATTAGGTTTCACAGAGGAGGGTTTGGAGGTGCAGCCTCCCATAGTCTTCTCCGGTTACAAGAAATCCAGAATTTTTTATAAGTGAAAAAAAAAAAGACAGAAGAAGAAGAAGAAGAAGATTTGGGAGTCTGGGACTTAAAGGGAATCACAGCAATGGCATTGAAGCTCTCTCTCTGGTTTTAATTGAGAGAGAGAGAGAGAGAGAGAGGAGAAGTGAGCTGTAGAGAAGAGAGAGGCCACATGGCAGAATCTGCGGGTGTTAAATTGGTTTGATCTGATGAAGTTAGATGTGGATTGGTGGATATTAGTTGCTTTTTGCCACGTCTTTCTATTTCTCGCCCTTTTACACTTATGTTTTTGTTCATTTCTCTAAGCTATTGTATACGTTTTTCTTGTTTTACTTTGTGTTTATTTATCATTGTTTTTTTGTCTTTTTTCTTGTCTTATTTCTTTTTTGGGGCCAAGAGTTCTTTTTTTTTGTCTGTTGTATTAGAAGAATTTTCAAACCAATCAAACGTTAAGATTGTAATTGGTGAAAATGGTGAAGATCTCACTCAGCTTAGGAAAGTCTTACATAAATGATAATAAATAATACGGTTTTAAAATGTATTGAAAGATTTTACATTTTAGTAAGATAGTTAGAACAAAAACAAAATATAATTCACTAATCCAATATAAATTTATGTTTAAAACTTGACAAAAACAAATATTTATTTCAAGTACAAAGAATACAATTTCGTAAGAATTACATTATAGAGCATATGTTTCTATTTTGCAAATCGTGTCATTTGAGAATTGTAAAATTTTCTAAGAATCAAATCCAAAAATGGAATTCGAATCTCATGACTGACCAACAATATCCCAAGCAAAATTACCATAATTGCATGTGTTTGTTCATGTGTAACTCACAAAAGTATTTTTTATAGTCTGCTTCTTTAGCATTGAAACAAAAAGTGGTCCACTGAAACAATTTTACACTTGGAACAACAGCATGTGGTTGGTGTTAATAATTTTTTTGTAATTCTGCATAGATTAGTCATCAAACATGCATAATAATCTCATAGATCCATGGATTTGAACTGTGCATATGTGATATATGTTACAATGTTTAATATATTTTCTCTAGTAGAAATTAAACAAACTGCTCAGCGAGGAAGCTAAGTTGAAATCTATATTACAAATTAACTACAGTCAAACAACTTCGCTCTCAAAATCAGGGCAACGTTATAAATATATAACAAATGATATTGTATGCTTGTTCTTGAAACATGTTGATATCTGTAACCCAACGACTTCATTGTATCTGGACAGGTCACAGAATGCATCTCATTTTTCAATATGTTTAATAGATTTCAGCATATTCAAGAAATTCTTGGTCCACATCTCTAGTTTCTTTTCACTAACTCTTGATTTGATAACTGCTCTCGAATATTTTACAAGATCGTACCAGAAATTACGTATTTTCATTTACATCCTCCAATCAGTACGTTATCTATTCAAGATAATGTTTATAAGTTAGTTAGTGGTGTTTCATGGAAACGTTTATATTTGTATTTCCTCATATATCAAATTTGAAATCTTTAACTACCTTTATTTATTGTACATCACCTGAAAATATATATATAATTTTTTTTCCTTGTGTTTATATTAATGACGTGATTCTTTTTCATTATTTATTTGAAACTAAAAATTTAACTATAGCTGATATGAGCCATATGACCATGATATGACAGCTTATATTAGTTTGTTTGTCAAGTACTATAGTTTATGAGATTACTAAACCACTTTCGAATAAAAATCCCTAAGCTCTGTGTCACAACCCGGATTTAAGTTAATAATAATGTCCGGTGTAACTTGAAGTACCAAAATTAATGTTATCACTTATCACCAATACTCGTTCGTATTTTCAAAAAGGTTGGTATGATCACTTCTTCAATCATTTAAGTAGTCAACTAAAGCAAAATAAATAGTTGAGAATGATATACACCAGGGTTGCAATCCTTGTGCTATAACCCCTTTCATTATTCAATTAATCTCACAAAACAAATATACCAAAACGTACAAAAAGAAATGACCCAAATTAGAGAATAACAAAAAAAGTGAAAGAAAATTAGATAAACCCTCAAAAAAACATCATCATGCCCTCGTAGTTCATACAGTACTATCACATCTTCCCCATAAGGTTGTGTTCTTGCTTCTGTGAACCCATCTTTAATTAAAAAACCAACCCACATGTATTATTTGGTTAACTCTATAGCTTTTTGACCTACTATAATAATAAATGAATAATAAATAATAATAAATAGTATGTCTTCATTCTTCAATTGGTAGGGAAATTATTTAGAGATTTGTTAGTTAGTTGGGTGAGAGTGAGATGGAAGGCTTGCCACGTCCCATGGTGAAGCCTCTGGTTCCATCTGGCATTCTTGGTCCCTTTGTTGCTGTCTTTGGAGACGGTGATTCGTGTGGGCCCAGGCTCGGTGACATGGAACCGAGGCTGAGTCCGAGCCCAATCCCGAAGCTACGTCCTCCTCCTCCTACTGCATAGCTTCTTGGAGATCGTCCTCGTCCTTTTCCTCTCCCTTTTCCCCACAGTCCACCAATATTGTTGTCATCACCCTAACGTGCATAGCAAGTAAGACATGTTTTTTTTTTATTATTATTATTATTATAAATGGTAAGGAAAGATTGAATTTGAAGGAAATTAGGCATAGTCTAACGTCGTTATCAAGCTGTTGATCGGTTAAATGGAGACGTGGAGAGTCTTCTCCTGATTCATAAGGGGTTTCATCATCGATTAGAATGCCATCGAAGTTTCTTCTGTTCTTGAGAACTGATTTGGGCTGTTAAAACAAACAATTTAACCTAATTAAGAGGGTTTTTAGGTTGTGAGAAATGTGCGTTGATGAACATAAAGTGTGTGATTAAGTTACCGAGCATCTAAGAAGCAGCCTCACACGAAGTCCTTTCCTCCAGTTTCTTTCATCGTTCAGCTTCTCCACCTGGTAAATAAAGACCACATTTGCGATATCTTAGAAACTAATATATACATATCTTTGGATCAAAGGTCAATGTCTTAAGGAAAGATTAACTTACAGCTTTATCCGCGATAACAGTATTGTCATACTCGATAAGGGCGTGAATCTTTTGATCAAAACAAGAAGAATGTTAAGCTCTTTTTTAAGGAAAAACTCAAGAACAAGAGGAAATGATTAGAAACATGAGATCATGGTAAGTAATTACTTTGTTGCTCATCAAGAAATCGCCTTTTGGTCGCGAGGAGTTGGATTCTGGAGGATGACAGATACGAATCGCTTTGACGCTGAAACAAATCCATACTTAGTTGTTTCTTAACTAATAACCGAGAAACAATGTTTTAAAAGTGAAAGTTTTAAAGCCTTGTCTTACTTTCCAACAACTCCAAAGATCTTCTCAAGGTTCTGGTAAGAATGATCATCAGGCAAATTCTCTGCAACAACAGTCCGGCCCTAAAGAAACAAGAAACGAAATTGATATACAGTTGATTATGATATATAGTGAAGGCTTTCAAGATATTTAAATTACCTGCAATTCCTCTCTGTCTCTATCAGTAAATGGACTCTTACGCTTAACTTTCTTGCTGTCTTCACTCACAACCTTAATTTGTTCACAAATCAGTCTACTTGGATCTTATAATAACTTATAGAGAAGAAAGAAACAAGCTTACGAGCTTTGAGGAGGAGCGTAGAGCCAATGCAACTAAGTGATGGTTACTTGTCAAAGCCTTGATCTTCTTGGTCGAAGCGATATATGATATGGGCACTACATTTATAAAAAAAAAGACAGACATATAAATGCAAAACAGAACTTCAAAATCTTGAACATGTTCACAAGATTTGCAGAAAACTCAAGGACAATTTGGGCTTACCATAACCTTCAGGATCTTTGTTTATGTGCTTTGAAATGGACTCGTTGGCTAGCAGACTCATGTCCGTGAACTGATACTCAACCTATTATTTGAAAAACAATAATCGGTTTCTTGTGACTCAAGAAATGATGGATCTCAATGCTAAAATTGAAATTGAAAGACTAAACCGGAGTCGGTTTGATTCATCGTTATGTGCATGCAATCACGTTAACCGGATAATAATTGTTTATTTTGTTGCAATGAAAACTTAAAAATCATATGATAATCAAAAGTAAAAACCTGTTTGACGATCTTAAGGCGGAGATCTTCGGAGAGCAAATTCTTCGACGAAGAAGACGAGTTCTGATTAGCCGGAAACTGAACCGCCGGATTAGAAATATAAAACGCAGCGGCCGGATCGTGAAGGTGTTGATGTTGAGAAGGATCTCCTCCTCCGACGTAGATCCAATCCGACGACTGAGAACCGACGCCGGTCCCTCCCCCGCCGCATACTCCGCCGCTGCATCCTCCTATGCAACCTCCGTTGTAGTGAAAGCATGGATAGAAGTAACCGGAGATCGGAGAAACCTGCGATGTTGTTGGTGCGGTTGTATGCGATCGCGGTACGAATTCTGGCGCCTGAGCGTTGAACTTGAACGACGACGCCTGAGTGCCGGAAGATCCGCCTCCTCCTCCGTCTAATTCTTTCTTCTCCGTTGTCTCCTTCATGACGGTTTCTACATCTTCTCGCTGCATCTGCGCCATTTCCCTCTCACTCTGCAAAAATCTCTTAACAAAAATATATTTTTTTGTATTTATATTTTAAATTATAAATTCAATCTAAACAATATTAATACTGAGTAGTTTGATCTTGTTTCTGTTTTTTTTTTCTTTTGATTTGATCTCTTCTTCTCTAGTTTTTTTTGTTTTCTCTCACTCTCCCAATAATTCTCAAAACATGGAGAAACTTTTGAAGCCTTGTATTTTCGCGCAAAATATGGATTTTTAACGAGAAAAATAAGCTCCCAGGTTTGACTATGTATTTAACTAAATAATGAAAGATAAACTTAGGCCAATCAAAAATTGATAAATAATATATATATCTGTCGAAAGTCTAAACTACATCATGTTTGCAAACCTCTTTACTTCAACTAATTCCTTTAATGACTTAAAATGATGAGCTTCAAATCACAAACAAGATGTAAACCAAAAGCTTTATTTTTCTTGGAATGAAAATGAATCAATATAACATATCAAAACATAGAAAACATGCATGTTAACCGGTAGAAGTCAATAAAGAACGCAAAAAGCTTTTCCACCATCACCAAAACCGATTATCTTTCACTATACTTTATTTCCGGAATCTTATAAACGAGTATGATCATCCCATGAATATTCATAAAGAAATCTCCAGAAAGCATTTTATAAAATAAAAAATAAATTCAAACTAGAACGGACGTTGTCCTAAACCTTGTTGCCCTAATCCTTGTTGCATTTGCATTGGCAGTGATCCATGTTTCCCTAGTCCTTGTTCCGTTTGCATCTGTGGTTCTTGTAGCACATTGTTAGTTGGGGCAAGACTTAGATTCTGAAAGACTCTTATCATCTCTTCCGGCAATACGCTTACATCAGTAATTCCTAATTGATTCAGTGCATCCTTTATCATCCCGAAGATTTTATCATGTTCCACTTGAATAGTCTTGATAGCTATATTTCAACAAACAAAGGAAAAAAACGGATCCATTTCAAATCTTTCAAGTTTGTTTGCTTCTCACGTCATTAGATTGAAAAAAAATGAAAACTTATAAATGTAATGTTCGATAAGTAGTATTAGTTAGAGGGAAGGTGATTAAACTGATTACCTTGTTCTTGTTTGTAGATAGGAACGCCGAGATCCTTGAGCTTACTAATATCCACCTCGAGAGAGTGGATATCATCTTGTAATTTAAGACATTTAACCGAAAGTGTCTGGGCTTTCTCAATGTATTCACTCATCGGTCGCATGGGAGGAGAACTAATAGAATGGGGAAATTTATCGGAATTTAGTTGAATGACTTTGTTCTAGTTATAGAAAATAATATAAACGTATGCCCAATTAACCAAATTAATCGGAAATTTATCTTTGGAATAACTGTTTTTATTTTTCTTGAATCGTTGTCTTTTCTGAAACTGTTAATCTAACGCATAAACCGATCAATCAAACGCCTAGATACAATAGAGGTATCTCCCAAAAGAATGAAAAATCATAACAAATCGTTAAAAAACAAGGGAAGGAAGAGAGAGTACCTGGTTGATGTTGTTGTGGAAGTGTTCATTGTTGAACAAACTCTCCCAATCTACGATCAATACTATTACCCCTTTGAGTAAATACTTTTATGCAGACTTCTTCCGCCCAAACCCTAGGTCCCGTCCCGTCTTGACTCTTGCGTTTTTTTTTTTCTTTGCCCGTACTTGTATATATGTTAGGGATGGATTGTATATATATGTTATGGATGGAATGAGCACATTCCTATTTTGACACTTCCCCATTGAAGATTGGCCCGTTAAGAGAGAGTCCACCTCGTCACCGACTCAAGAAAAAAGGAAAGATCAAACACTAATATATGTTTTGTTATTTTTTTTTGTTTTTTTCTACCTAATCAATCTCTTTCTCTCTCTCAACTCTTGGGTGGTTACTAAAAGTGAACCACTGTCATTTACTGATTTCACTACAGAACAGTTATAGATCAAGAGTCATGCTTATATAGGGTTTTTTAATCTTGCTGCCTTTTCTTTATTTACATCATTCTCTTACCTTTTTTTTTAACAAAAATCTATGACTAGATTTGACCTGTAACTGTTTTAGCGAATTCAAAATTGCACATGAAAACGATTTAAATTAGCAATCATAATTTCTCTGAACATGTCGACCTTTTCAAAACATTTTGTGACAAAATTGAGTTTATTTGAAGTGATTTTTGCAAGTGACAAAATTATGAGAACCAAAATGAAAATTCAGCATAGCGTTTAAGAAAGATTTTTGTGTCAACCTCCATGGGGAGAGAGAATAAGAGAAGCTTCACTCAATACATGACAGACAAGCAAATGTTCTTTCTGATATTCTCTGACAATGACAGGAGCACTTGTGGGAGGTACCTGAAAAAAGAAAAAGAAATCTTCGATGTTTGAGGACTCAAATGTGATGATCTTGTGGACTTGCAAAGTAGTGAAGTTAAGAATCACTAAGATGATTCATCTTACCATGCCATAGTATGTGATTATCATGGAAATTTAATCTGAAGGAGTAGCATCATACCTGTCATTAGAAAAATCACAAACCGGTTTAGCGGCAGAGAAGGAAAAAGTTCCATTTTTTAAGGATAAACCAGCTTACATGCATGAAGTTAAGAAACTTCAGGTTTGCGTTGTTGGTCAAACTATCTAAGTAGTTTATTATGTCTGTCTCTTCCATGAACTTGAGAAATAGCATTTGGATCACCTAAAGGCAAAAACACGAGAATCCAATTCCAATGTGAGGTAAAGCAAATCAGAGACTGTTAAAGATATGATACTGAAAGAGATAATGCATACCGAGCTCATTGGAGCATATGGAATCCAATTGCACCCTCTCATGAAACTTGTAAGCTTCGAAACATACAAGCACAGGTACACGGAAGGCATTTGCAACCATTGCAACACAAGCAGTCCCAACTCCTGAGTAAACTGTTCCGTTAGACAAAACCAACGAGGCGCCCAAAAACACTTTGGTGACTTCGTGCATGATATACGAAATGGCGTTTATGTCAGTGTATGTACAGTTATTAAGTGTTCAAAGCAAAAACAACACCACTAATGCATATTAGAGTGTGATCTGTAACGTACATGAATTAAGAAAAAGTTATTATAATAGTATAGACCTAACACTTGATAAATTTTAGACATTATCAAAACATCCGTTTGTATATTATTAAATTAGTTTGGTCTCAAGACATAACCATTCTAGTTTTGCCACCATGTACCAAAAAGATATCATTTGAAAGAACATGAGAAGAGTGCACTTGCAAACAAATTCAGAAAAACACAATATGCATGCTTACAAGTCTCAAAATCGATACCTTTTTAGTCTTTAGCTTACCACTGAAGGAGACTAAATCAAGGCCATGGCTTTGCCTATGTCAAACAAAACTTTTCCCAAAATTGGCCGCTTTCCGAAAGAGGCTTTTTTAAAGTCATTGTTCGGTCTTGATGTAGTGGCTGGTCAGAAGTTTTGAGACTGATATGTCTTCGAATGAATCAACTTCAAAGAGTTCGTTCAGCTTCTCATCGCATATAACCCTCCTCTTGTCAGAAGGATCCTAAGTTGCGAAAAAAACTCACAACATTGAAAACTCTCATTAACATTTTCTTTATTTTTCTTGGAATGAAAATGAATCAATATAAAAGATCAAAACATAGAAAACATATTAATCGGTATAAGTCAATAAAGAAAGCAAAATGTTTTTCCACCATCACCAAAACCGATTATCTCTCTCTAAACTTTATTTCCGGAATGAATCTCACAAACGAGCGAGTTTGATCATCCCATGAATATCCATTAAGAAGTCTCCAGAAAGCATTTTATAAAATAAAAAATAAATTCAAACTAGAACGGACGTTGTCCTAAACCTTGTTGCCCTAATCCTTGTTGCGCCTGTCTTGCAGCATTCTTTGTTGCCAATTGACTTTGTATTTGCATACGCCTTTGCAATGCATTTTGTTGCTGTATCAATTGACTTTGGAATTGCCATTGCATTTGCATTTGCAATGAACTTTGTTGCCCTAATCCTTGTTGCGTTTGCGTTGGCACTGATCCATGTAGCCCTAATCCTTGTTGCATTTGTGTTGACAGTGATCCATGTTGCATTTGCGTTGGCAGTGATCCTTGTTGCACTTGCATTGGCGGTGACAATTGTTGCCATCCTGGATGCATTTGCGTTGGCAGTGATCCTGGTTGCATTTGCATTGGCAGTGATACATGTTGCCCTAGTCCTTGTTCCGTTTGCATATGTGGTTCTTGTAGCACATTGTTAGTTGGGGCGAGACTCAGATCCTGAAAAACTCTTATCATCTCTTCCGGCAAAACCCTTACATCGGTAATTCCTGTTTGATTCAGTATATCCTTTATCATCCCTAAGACTTTATCATATTCCACTTCAAGAGTCTTGATAACTACATTTCAACAAACAAAGAAAAAAAGGATCCATTTAAAATCTTTCAGCTAGTTAGTTTGCTTCTCTCAAGTCATTAGGTTTTAAAAAATATATCATATATATATATATATATATTTATGTAGTTAGACGGAAGCTGATTAAATTGATTACCATGTTCCAAGATTTGTTTGGAAATTGGAACGTCGAGATCCTTCATCTTACTCATATCCACCTTGAGAGAGTGAAGATATGCTTGTAGTTTAACACATTTACCAGAAAGTGTCTCGGTTTTCTCAATGTCTTCCATGAAGACCTTCAATGGATCACTCGTCGGTCGCATGGGAGAACTGATATAATGGGGAGAAAAGGTTAGTTTAGTTGAATGATTTTGTTCAGTAAACGCTATTGCCTAACCAATTAATCGGAAATTTATCTTTGTAATCATATATTTTGAATCGTTAATCCAACGCATAAAACCGATTAATCAAACGCCTAGATATATATATATATATATATATATATATATCTCCTAAAAGATTGAAAAATAATAACAAATCGTTAAAAACAAGGGAAGGAAGAGAGAGTACGTGATTGATGTTGTTGTGGTTGTGGAAGTGTTCATCGTTGAACAAAATCTCCAATCTACGATCAATTCTAAACAAACCCTAGTTTTGGTCCTTGTCTTGTTTTTTTGTTCTTTCCCTGGTACTGTACTTATATATATAGTTGTAATTAATATTCACTCTAAGAAAAATAATAGAGATTTTAATGATAAAAAATCCGCAAGTATCCTTTTTTAGCTAAAACAATCCAGTATCTCAGTAACTTGTACCTTTTTTTTTTGGTTAAGGATAATTCTCAAAGATTAGTACTGTACATCGGTTTTGAAAGTACTTCAATCAATTTTTTTAACGAAAATATCGTTCTGTTGCCCATACAGAAAATCTAGATCATTTTAATTTCTTGACATTGAATCATATTTTGAAAGGCTGATGCGAGTTTGGTTCACCGGCCGCTAAGCATTTTCTATCAAAGCTTCAATGAACAAACCCTCGTACATCAATTTTTTAACGAGGACAAATCCAAACAAGTGATATTTTGTTTTTTTGGGTACTATTGTCTTGTCTATATCTAATAATTAAAAAGGTAAAGGATTTAAATAACTAGTTTGGTGACTTTGGTCTCAAAACATATATATCCATTCTAGCTTTGCCACTATATATACCAAAGAGACATCATTTGAAAGAAGATGAGAAGAGTGCACTTGCAAACAAATTCTGAAAAATACAATATGCTTACAAGTCTCAAAATCGATACCTTTTCAGTCTTTAGCTGACCACTGAAGGAGACTAAATCAAGGCTATGGCTTTGCCTATGTCAAACAAAACTTTTGGTTTTTTTTTAAAGTCAATATTCGGTCTTTGATGTAGTGGTTGGTCTCAGAAGTTTCGAGACATATATGTCTTCGAATGAACCAATGAATCAACAACTTCAAAGAGTTCTTTCAGCTTCTCATCGCATATGACTCTCCTCTTATCAGAAGGATCTTAAGTTGTGAAAAATACTCACAACATAGAAAACTCTCACTAACATTTATTTATTTTACTTGGAATGAAAATTTAACCAATATAAAAGATCAAAACGAAGAAAACATATTAATCGGTATAAGTCAATAAAGAAAGCAAAATGTTTTTCCACCATCACCAAAACCGATTATCTCTCTCTCTAAACTTTATTTCCCGGATGAATCTCACAAACGAGTATGATCATCCCATGACTATCCATAAAGAAGTCTTCAGAAAGTATTTTATAAAATAAAAATACTATAACGGACGTTGTCCTAAACCTTGTTGCGCCTGTCTTGCAGCATTCTTGTGTTGCTGTATCAATGGACTTCGCATTTGCAGCCTTTGCAATGCATTTTGTTGCTGTATCAATTGACTTTGGAGTTCCCTTTGCCTTTGCAATAAACTTTGTTGCCATAATCATTGTTGCGTTTGAGTTGGCACTGATCCATGTAGCTCTAACCCTTGTTGCATTTGCATTGGCAGTGATCCTGGTTGCCCTAATCCTTGTTGCATTTGCATTGGGAGTGATCCTGGTTGCCCGAATCCTGGTTGCATTTGCTGTGGCATTGATCCATGTTGCCCTAGTCCTTGTTCCGTTTGCATCTGTGGCTCTTGTAGCACATTGTTAGTTGGGGCGAGACTCAGATTCTGAAAGACTCTTATCATCTCTTCCGGCAAAACCGTTACATCAGCAATTCTTGTTTGATTCAGTAAATCCTTTATCATCCCTAAGACTTTATCATATTCCACTTCAAGAGTCTTGATAACTACATTTCAACAAACAAAGAAAAAAAGGATCCATTAATTTAAGATCTTTCAGTTAGTTAGTTTGCTTCAATCAAGTCATTAGGTTTAAAAAAAAATATATATCATAGATATAATGATGGATCGATGATTAAATTGATTACCGTGTTCCAAGATTTGTTTGGAGATTGTAACGTCGAGATCCTTCATCTTACTCATATCCGCCTTGAGAGAGTGAAGATATGCTTGTAGTTTAACACATTTACCAGAAAGTGTCTGTGTTTTTTCAATGTCTTCCATGAACAACTTCAATGGATCACTCGTCGGTCGCATTGGAGAACTGCTAGAATGGGGAAAAAGGTTAGTTCAGTAAACGCTAAGGCCTAACCATTAATCGTTAATCCAAGGATTGTGCAAGTAGAGTATATGGAATCAACTTGATTGATTTTAGCTTTTACATTTTCCGATTATCAACCTAATCGGAAATTTATCATTGGAATAACTGTTTCATTTTTCTGAATCGTTAATCCAATCCATAAAACCGATTAATCAAACGCCTAGACATAGATATCTCCCAAAAGGTTGAAAAATCATAACAAATCGTTAAAAACAAGGGAAAGAAGAGAGAGAGTACGTGGTTGATGCTGCTGTGGTTGTGAAAGAGTTCATCGCTGAGCAATACTAAGCAAACCCTAGTTTTGGTCCCCGTCTTGTTTGTTGTTCTTCCCCTGGTACTTATATTTATATATGTAGTTGTATTCAATATACCTCTGAGAAATATAAAAGAGATTTTAATGGTAAAAAATCCGCAAGTATCCTTTTCTGGCTAAAAAAATCCCGTTTTGAAAGTACTTCAACTAAATTTTTAAAGAAAAAAATCGTTCTGTCGACAGATTTGCCCATACAGAAAAACTTAGTACTGTAGAGAGATTGAATCATAAATTTCTGATGTGCGTTTGGTTAACCGGCGGCTAAGCATTTTCTATCAAAGCTCCTCAATGGACAAATCCTCGTAAACCAATTTTTCAATGAGCACAAATCCAAACAAGTGATATTTTTGTTTTTTTTATAACTTTTACTGTCTTTTTTTTTTTTTTTTTTTGAACATTATAACTTTTACTGTCTACATCTAATAATTAAAAAGGGAAATGATTTAAATAATTAGTTTGGTGACTTTGATCTCACAACATATCCATTCTAGCTTTTTGCCACTATATACCAAAGAGATATCATTTGAAAGAAGATGAGAAGAGTGCACTTGCAAACAAATTCAGAAAAAACGCCATGCTTACAAGTCTCAAAATCGATACCTTTCTAGTCTTTAACTTACCATGAAAGAGACTAAATCAAGGCCATGGCTTTGCCTATGTCAAACAAAACTTTTACCAAAACTGGCCGCTTTCTCGAAATTATAAAGTTATTGTTCGGTCTTGATGTAGTGGTTGGTCAGAAGTTTTGAGACTGATATGTCTTCGAATGAATCAACTTCAAAGAGCTCTTTCAGCTTCTCATCGCATATGACTCTCCTCTTATCAGAAGGATCCTAAGTTATGAAACAAGTTGTCAAAAAATAGGCAAGAAGGGTTTTATCAAAAAGGAAGAAGTAAGCAGTAAGTGGCACACCTGAAGATCATTCTGTTTTATGTAGTCCCACAATCTCTTAACCACATCTGCCCTTGACAACGAGCTTTCTCCATTATCCAAGAACTTGACGAGAGCGTCTGAAAGTGGAAGGGGAGCAAGAAGAACACAAACTTCTTTCTTCTGCTTTTTATCTTTCCCGTTTACTTCCTCACTCTCTGTTTTTAACAGAATGCACATGCTTTGTTTATACCTTGATTAAGAAAAAAAGGGACAAACTGAAATTGAAATTCATCGAGCCTTCTTACCTCCGTCTGTGTCCATTTTCTGCTTCCCATTTTTTGGAGAGCTAGAGCCAACTGATTCTCCTAGACAAGAGACAAAGAGCAATACGGTTAAAATGCCTAAACCGGGAAAAGATGGTTCCCAGAGAATGTAAGAAGTTTTCAGTCATCAAATACCTGTATTATTATCCTCTAAAGGCCATATGTGCTTGCTCAGATGTTTACTCATTTGGAACATATTGATGGACTCGACCTGGAACAGAGATCGCAATGATTCGTCGCATAGTATTGTGCGTTTATCATTCGGATCTTGCAAATTGTTCTCCTTTATATACCTCCAAAGCATTTTCACAACCTGAAACCATTCACCAAACAACATGTCAAGAAAAAGACAAGGAATTTGGTTATGAAACTTGGATGAAATTTAGGCTCAGGGCTTGAGTTACAGAACAAAGAGAAGCTAATTCACTCCACGTACCTCTGTCCTGGCAAATTCTGTAACACCAGTAAAAGCCTGAAGCTCTGGCGAGAGGCTGCAAACTTTGGTAAAGCCACCTCCTCCTTTTCTCTTGGGCTTCTCCCCTGACTTGGCTGGCCTATTTGGTAGAGGAAACTTTAGTTTATTGTGCAACGATAACTAGTTGGACAAGGAAACAACTGAGAGAGAAAGAGAAAACTAACCTTTTCCTCTTGCGCTTCCGCAGATTCCTAGCTTCCTCTTCACTACCTTCTTCATTATTCTCGTCCACTTCTTCGCTTTTCTCCCTCTTCTCGTCTCTTTCCTCTGATGCATCACCTTCTTCTTCATCTTCGTCTTCTTCTTTCACACTGTTTACACACCCTGAAAAATAAATAACCATTTCATTGTGCTTGGTCTCCTGGTGGTTAACACAAATCCAGGAATTGATGTCCCCAACCCAAAATAATCAAGAAATATTGATGTTCATTGAAGATAAGAATATGTAAGCACCAATGAGGAAAACCGAACAGTTTATTAATAGATTTCCCCACAATTATACATGATTAATCTCTTCAGACACATGAAGCTATCTAACTATTTACGATCAATGGCTGACTGAAGAAGAAGACTATGGATATATAGACATCATATACTCTTAATATGACTGTACCAGAAGCATGAAGTCCATTAAGAATTCAGGAAGACGGAGAAGACAGAGCTCTATGACTAGCATAAACACACAATGAATGTAGAGTATCATGACAAGGAAAATACCATTTGGATCACCTAAGGGCCAAATATGCTTGGACAATGCCTTGTTCATTTGAAACATATTAATGCTCTTCACACGGAACAACGAATGCAGCGGCTCGTCACATAATATCTTCCTCCCATCTTTTGGGTCTTGCAAATTCTTCTCCTTTATGTACTTCCACATCATTTTCACAACCTGAAACCACTCACCATACAAAATGTCAATAAAAGAAAAAAACAAGTTCAGAACCATCCTAGAAAGAAGATGACAGTAATTACCTCGGTTCGAGCTAACTGAGACGTTCCAAGAAACTTGTCAAGCTGTGGAGAAAGCTGACATATTTTGGTAAATCCACCACCTCGTTTCTTGGCCTCCTTCTCTGGCCTAACACATTAATTAAACACAAAACATCAACAAAGTTAATCTCTTTTCAATTGAAAACTAACTCCACACTAATCCAATAATCAATTAACCTATGTTTATTCACCAAGTGGTCACTAATTAGGAATTTTTCGGAAACATTTGTGACTGATTGTATAGGAAATGTTTTGTTTATGATAATTACGAGAAGAGAGAATCCAATTTAACATAAACCACGATGAGTAACCAAGAGAGAGATTACCGTTCTTCCTTCTCTTCATCACTTTCACTTCCATCTCCGTCGTCGTCGTCTTCTTCGACTTCCGCCTCTGGTTGGGTCATTTCATCGGCATTAACGTCTTCTTCTGCCTTAGGGATCTCTGGTTTGTCTTCTACTCCGGTATTGCTCTCGAGAAAAACATCGATTTGATCCCTGATGAATCCCTTCCTATCTGTCAAGTCGAAACCGAAATCCGCCTCTAACTGGCGGCGGACGCTCGCCGGAGTCGCCGTGTCAAGGTCGGAGCTACGGAGGATTTCTCGGAGTCGGGTCACGAGGTCCGTGTCGGAAACCATTTTTCCGTTACCCAAAAATAAAGATTTGCTTTAGAAAATGTACAAAGCGGCTGTGAATGTGATGAAAGGAAAAAACGATGCTTGAGGTGGAATTTGGAAACTAGAGAAAGGGCATTTATGTCATTCCAGTAATGCTCTTTCGGGAATTGTAACGTCGTCGTTTGATCCTTCACTTTTGTTTTCTATTTTCGATAGGGAATTACAGTAAAATGTTTGATATGTAATCTTCACGTACAATGTTCACATGATTTTCAGGAAAATGTTTGATATATAATCTTCTAGTGTTTTTGACGAGCTTCCTATTCCTTGCCTCACAACCGTAAGTAATGAGATACAATTTTTTTTTTGTAAGTCAATTTTTGTATGTTATTTTGATATGTAAGTTGTAAATTACCATTTACTTGGGTTAAACAAAGGAAGATGCGATGCATTTGTTTAAGGTGATGATTGGTTCTCCCGCTACCACCCGCAAACGCAGCGTTTGCGGTTCGTAGCGGTTCTTAGCGTTTTATAACAATCACGACAACCGCTTTCAACCGCTCTATACCACTCTGTACCGCTCTATATCGCTGAAAATCAAAAGCTCCTTTCCGCAAGCGTTTGCGGTTGCGGGCGGTTGCGGTTTGAAAAAAAAAAAAAAAAAACATAATATCTCCAAATTTGGAATAAGGGTATATTTTTTTGAAAAATACCATAATTATGTTTAAAAATTTCGAAAATACCCTAAATTTTTTCTGTTTTGAAAAATACACTTTTAAAATGTAAAAAGTATGTTTTGACGTGATTTAAACAAAAAAATAATAAATAATTACAAATTATAAACGAAAATTTAAAAAAATAATAAACTAATAAGTTTTTTTTCAAATAAATATAGTATATGTTAAACTGAAACAAATTTTAATATTTTGGATCTTTATATAAACAACTTAACCTCATACACATTCAAACCAAATGAAACTTTAAATAAATTAAAACTTTACATATATTTAAAGTTTATAAATTATTAAAAATTTAAAAGTGGAGAAATATATCTTTCATTTTTAATGTTTATCTTTTGAAAAATTTAAATATTTTTGAAACTTTGCATAAACAACTTTAATCTCACCCCATTTAAACTTTATATAAACAATCTTATATTTTTATTAAATTGTTTAAAAAAAACTAAACAGGTAATTAGGATGTTAAAATGATACAAAATTATTATCAAATATTAATATTTTATATTTCTTATTTGAATTTCGTTTTTATTAAATTAGGAATAATCATTTTACATATAAAAAGTGTATTTTTCAAAACCAAAAAAAAAGGGTAGTTTTCAAATTAAAAATTCATCAAAAAATATATTTCAAAAAAAAAATTATTAATATGGTTATAAATGTTTTGAATAATTATATATTATTTTTATTTTAGTAACTTTTGGTTAAACCGCTCTTGCACCCGCTGGCTAACCAGTCAAAAATATCCCGCAAACGCAACCGCTATGAATTGCTATACCAGTCGTACAAACAGCTTTTAATCGCAAACTCCCGCTTCCGCAAACTCCCGCAACCGCAAACTCCCGCAAACCAGTCAGACCCTAAGTGTTTTTTAAAGTGCATTTGTAAGTGCTCTATTGAACTACGAGATTAAGAAAATGAAGAAATCAAGATCTGATAGTAGCCAACGTAATAATAGTGTCATCAACATGAAAAATAAACTTGCGAATACATTTTCTTTAACAAAAAACAAAAAAAAAAACATTTTCTACGGATGAAATGGACAGAGTTTCACCACTGACAAACAAAAAAGAAATGAAGAAACTCATCTCGAACGAAGTAAAAACATAAAGGCTGCTGCGCTTTGACAATTAATAAAACCTAATCATCTTTTTTTGCATGAAGATGATTCCCCTTGGTCGTCGTCTTCTCTGCGTCGTCTGCGTCGTCTCCGGCCTCTTCTTGACGGGCGTTTGCTTGACGGACACGTTGCACTCGGCTGGCAACTTGATCTACCCTTAATCCCTCCACGTCCATGACATCGCGAATATCTGAGGCACTTGCTCCTGCAATAAAGAATGAATGAATCATCAATGCCAGTACAGAAATTCTGTAAATTCATACTTTGAGCTGAGTTAGAGATAGAGAAAAACATACGTTCTAAGCCTCCGAGAAAATTTACGGCCACATCGAATGTTTTTTTCAGCTCGTCAGTCCAAACAATTCTTCTTGGCACTTGCGGTTCTTGTGAAGGAGGAAGAGTCGGAGTGGTCGAGAGCGATTGTGACTTGGAACCTGGTGGTGGCGTGAAGCACACCGGCGGTAGCGAGTAGAGGTCCGTCGAGGGAATAGTGGTTAGTTGATGTGGAAATGACGGTGGTGGAACGGAGGACGATGAAATTGACCGATACAAGTCCCAAATGGGTGTAGAAAAATTGAATGTTGGTGGGAGAGAAGACGATGATGGCGGTGGTGGGAGAGAAGACGATGATGAGGACGGAGGTTGAAGAAGGTTTTGACGGTAGGTACGATAGAGAGCGGTTACTGTTGATCAAGAAGAAGAAAGATTTGAGAAAGAGTCGTAAGAAAATCGAAAAGGTGAAAGTAGAAAACGATACATACCTCTTTCTCTCTCGGAACGCCGAGCTTCGGTGTCATCGTCTTCTTTGTTCTCTTCTTCAAGTTTCTCCAGGAGCTCGTCCAGCTTCGCGATTTTCTCGGAAACTGATGGAATTTTCTCGACTTCATCCAGAAAGTCACCGGGACTCAAATTGACATTAGCCATCGTTTGTTTGCAACGCAAGAAAGAAAGTGATCGATCGCTGTTTTTATAGGGGAATATTCAATCTCGAAAATTACCTCAATAATTACCCCCAAAAAACAAAAAAACACACACGTTACGCAGATGTCATTCAGTTATTTTCCCGATTTCCGTGAATCAAAGTTAGTTAGGGTTTAACGTTGCTGTTTTGGTCGGTGGAATTTCTAGAATCATATGTAAAAGTAATTCTGCATTAACTGTTTGAGTAACTTGCTTCCCTGACGAGTATGTAAAATTTTGTTAATTAATTATATAATGCTCTTTTCTTTCTTTCGTTTGCAAGGATTTTTTGTTACACAAAATTTCGTAGCATTGTTTGCTATATTCTTTAACAACAGCAACAAAAAGAAGAATTTTCTTGTTAGGTTGATTTCTCTAATACGTTTGATTAGTTGATTTATAGGTTACGTATTCATAGTCTTGAAATTTTATCCCAAAAAAAGAAACAAAAAATGTACAAGTGGGAGTGTCTGCATTAACAGAGTCTGGAGTCAATCTATCATGCTGCTGGTGATTTTTCTAACTCTTAACATGGTTTCGAATTACTTTGCTCTTGTTTATACGTTGCATCCTCTCAAATTTCTAGACTAGCAAAAATATATTAACTCCATTGTCAAACTAGTTGCTAAACTAAATTATGCAACTTTCACCATATATATTTGTAGATTGTATTTACAAACTTCACTAATTTATAGAAAAAAAAAAGAAAAAATACTTCCGTTGGAGAGTAAGAGATAATACTAACAAAATTCGAAGAATCAGAAATCTCCAAGGACTAAATTCGATATAAAACAAATCTGCAACCAGCAGACTCTAACGTGAACGTCATTACACGAACTTGATTTCACCAACACGGTTTAATCAGATCCAGAATCCGAACGGAAAACAAAATAAAAAAAACCCTATATAATTCAAAATGAATCTTTAACTTATTTCATCAAATATTTGACACCCTCTTGATCCTTATTTCTTCTTCCGGAGTAGAGTCTGCTTTAACCTACTGTAGCAAAAGTAATACTGAACATATGTCGATGTATTTAGAAACAGTGACCATAGTAAAGTAAACTCACTTTTGTATCGCTTCGATTTTCCTACTCCTCTCGGCGATTTTCTCCATGAGATTTGCTTGGACTGCAAGAATACGGAACACACCAAGATAAATAAGAAGATAATCAAATAGAGAGAGTTTATAACTAAATTGAGATTGATCACAATACCTATATCTAAAACCATAGTCTCCTCTTCAAGATCCTTAATATGGTCGTCAATTATGGATATTATTTCCGAAACTGATTCGAGTTTCGAGATTTCTTTCAGGACCTCAATAGAATCCTTCCTGTGGATTCAATACAAAGGAAATCTTTAGAGAGAAGAAAGGTTTTTTTTTTTAAATCAAAATGGAAACCGAATAAAAATTAAAAACCCTAGATATTAATATACCTCGTCTTCAAGTATCGCGTGTTTCTTGGACGAGGATGACGAATTAGGACTAAACGTGAACGGACTTGTTGGATTTCAAATGAAAAATGCGAATGCACCATCTTGCATATCGATCTATGCCTTCGACTATCTATTGCCTTCAACTCTTTTCTTTGTTGTCTTTGAAATTTTATAGGGTTAAGTTTAATAATATAGATTTTATTTCTCTGCTAATAAGATTATCCTATAGATTTTTTGTAGGATAATCTTGAACAACCAACTAATCGGATCTTCAGTTGTTTAAAATGAGTTTCATTTAATTGCTTTGTTTTCTCTTCTGCGAACATATTCATACTTTATGTTTCGGTATATTGTTTTAAAAAAATTATTTACCAATCAATTCTATTAGAGTTACATGAAAACATTTAAGAATTTACACTGATTGATTTTTCTCGTTAAAATAAATACAGTACATGGTTTTTTCACCTGTCTAAAGAAGAGAAAAAAGGAACATTAGACATCCTTCTTGGACTCTGACTCCATGATCTCCGAGGCGAAGGCACTGAAGGCATACTCCTCTCAGGATTTCTACTTCTTCTGCTCTTTGCTTTTCCCTGCATCAAGAATTTTCACAAACCTCTCTTCTGAATTTATCTGCGAAAAGGCTACGTGATTGATGCTTCAAAATGGAACTATATCTTTACCTTTAATCTAAAATGGTGTAATTCACTTTCAAGTGAACCAAGTTTTGTCTTAAGCTGTTCAAGTGCCTCTTCAGCAATTTCAGGGTTTATGTCTGTAATATCTTCTCCTGTTACACCGGCTGCCTGTGGGAAATTTTGAATCCATACAAAAAATTGTTTAGAATGTAATGTGTTAACATCCTGTTTTGGAGCTTATTATAGTGAAATAAGTATGATGTTCTCTTTACCTTTAGGATACTGGTGGAGAGACATAATAGCTTCTTACCGAGCTGCATTCTATCCTCTTCGGTTTCTTTCAGTTTGGTGTGCATCTTTTGAAAGTTTGAATGTTGGTTCTTCCCGGAAGATGCTCGGTACCAAGCAAGCTCTTCTTTAGCACGAGATATGTTCACGTCTGCTCGTCTTAACTTCAGATTGAGCTCATCAAGCTGAAGTTTTAACACATTGTTTTCTTCCTGTTGCAGATAGATGATAAGAGCCAAAAAGGGTAATCAGTACTAGAATAAAGAAGAGTGATGAAAGAAACACACAGAGAAGTATTGAAAGTTAGAGATGTCTTCTTGCCTTGATTCTACTGTGATCACGAGTTCTCCACTCTGGGTTTTGCTGGGAAGATAGCTTCTTTACTTCTCCTTCAAGTTCCATTACTTTCCTTTTATGACTAACATTCTCCTTCTGTTGAAGGTCAGAAGATTTAACATAATTTCTTTGAAGACTAGTTTACTATAATGCGTAATACTAAAAATCGAAAATTGAAGAGCTAATGTTCCTAATATTACAAACCTTCAGGAATTCGTTTTCTTTCTTGAGCAGTTGTTCATGCTGCCTATGTTCCTCGAGTTCTATCTGCGCAATAACTAAATCAGTCTTCTTTCCTTCGATCTCCTCTATCCATCTGCATCAAGATATCGTAAAGGAAACTATGTTAAAACGTCTGGAAGTAGGCAAAACCCATCTTTCTCTACTGAAAACTTGAAAGAGGGCATCACTTGCTTACCCTTGTCTTTCCTCATTATATTCATTGAGTTGCTGCTTCAGATGAGAAACTTCAAAATCCTATATACAGAAAATTTCATTCAAGAGACATTAGATTATATATATAGTAATGTCTCACTTATTAATTCATTCTCCCTGGAGTTTCAGTTCATAGAAAACATACCATTTCTCTATCTGAATTATTAAGCTGAAGCATCTCTGCTATCTTCACTACTTGCTGACTATCCAATATTGACTGTGTGGAAAGAAAAGAAAAAAAAGAGGTCACTGACTGTACAGTGATAGAAGAGGATTGCCTTATTTTTCTTACAGAAGCTGAGAAGAAAACATGGGCACTAAAAAAAGACTTACAGCACAATTCTGTTTGAGTCCCAGCATAACTCGATTAACATCATGGGTCATGCTATCCACCTTGGCGAGTTTTGAATTCAATAAAAATATCTGGGAGCAGAAAATTCGAGATTACAAGTCAATAAGATTACGGATGCCAAAACGTTATAGGACAAAGTATTGATGACGTTTTCAACTAGTTACCTCTTTCTGCCGGGTTGCAACTACATTTTCAAGCTCCTCAATTCGTAGCCTTGCAGCTGCAAGCTCCTCATCCTTCTCAGATCTCACTTGTTGTGCAATTCCCAACCCTATGCACCTGAAAGGAGAGCCAGAACCCCGAGGCTTTCCTGAACCTTTACTCAGTGAAGAATCAACAGCTTGAGAGACATGGACTTCTGGCTTTACTTGCTCAGCCATTGCCTCCAATTCCTTGAACTGTTTGAAAATGGATCAGTGTAAGTCATGCCAGTCTTTTGGGAAATTTAATAAAGCTAGTCAATCAGTTCGGAACCATTTTTACCTTATGCATGTATTCTCTAGCCTGAGCCTCTGCATGTAAATTTAACTCCGAGATATGTGCACTGAGTTGAGAAATCTGTTGCAGAGTTAATTTATATTTACCATCAGAAATTTTGAGAAGGTCTTAAGAAGTGTGATCACGGTTCAAATGACATGCATTATTACCTCGGTCTTTTGATCAGCCATATTTCTCTTTAGCGCTTCTATATGCTTCTGAGCTTCCTCAAGATCCATATTCTTTTCATCTAATAACCTTTTCATTTCCCCATCAGCATTTATAGTATTTTCCATCTGCTGGCGTATGGTATGAAGCTCCATCTCCAGCTCCTCCCTTTGCATACGCTGTCTTTCAGCTTCGTCTTTGATAACGTTAACCTATTGAAATACGCCTCCATCAGAAAAGTAAACACAACGATTGATTTAAGCTGTTACATAGTAAAGAATGATTAGTTCTAACCTTATTTTCAAGTATATCGATAGTATACTCAAGCTTCTCAACTGATCCCTCTAATAGCTTCACCTCTTCTTCTCTCTGGTCGGCATATATCTTTCTTGATTCAGCAATCTGTGAGAAGAGGAGAAACGAATTTTAGTAAGCATTGAAAAATAAATATGAGAAATTGACATGTTTTCTCAAGTCTAACTGTGTTGTTGTCTACCTCTTGAGCTTCTGTGTATCGAGATTCTATTTCTCTAGCCTCAGCTTCCATCTTCCCGAGTTCTTCTTTCAGATACAAAACCTCATCTTGGAGATTATCCCTGTCATCGATGGACTCATTCAATTTGCTCTGGGTAAACTCAACTGTATCATTCAATTGTCCCAGAGCATTTCTTAGATTAAGGAGCTCCATCTCCATGCTCTCTGATACCTTCTTTGTCTGGATCAGCTCCTCCTCTAGAGAGCTTTTTTCTGCCAAGAGATCTTCAGCTTCTGCTCTTCTTTCTTTATTTTCCGCTGATAGCTTGTTTTGGCACTGCCTTGCCTTTTCAAAATCCGCTTCAAGGTTGCAGATAATTTCTTTGCTATCTTGCAACTGAACTTCAAGCGTTTGAGCGTGAGAAACAGCATCTTCTAGTTCAAAGGTTTTCAAAGCTAGTGTCTTTTCTAAAGCTTCAACACGAACCATGATTTCCTTTGTTTCATCTTTCTTGTCCCTAGAAATGGAAGCAGATTCTTGCAGTAGGCTGAGGTCAAAAGACAACCCCTTTAGAACATCATCCTTTCTTAAAAGCTCATCCTGGAGATTCAGATTCTCAGACAACAAGTCTTGTACATCGATCTGCAAACAATGAACAGTATCTACGAATTCTGAAGCTTTACTGGCATTTTCACATATCAGTTGGAACATTTGGTCAGATATAACCAGAGCATCCCTGGTTAGTTTCTCCAGTATCCTGCTATCTTCATCTAGATGTATGCATTTGGAAATGCTTAACCTCGTGATATCTAGTACTTTAGACTGATCTTCACCAAAATGTTTGAACTTGTGCTTAAGGGAGCTGTTTTCAGTCGTCAACGCAGTGACAGCGTCAGCATAAACTTGTACATCCCTTTCTTTGATCTCCAATTCTTCTGCAAGGACTGACTGGGATTGTTTGAGACTGTAAAGTTCAGAAGCTTTCATCGTCAAATCTTGCTGTAGGCCAGCAACGCGAGACTCCAAGAAGAAGACTCTTTCTCCAAAAACCTTGTTCACTTCGTCAATTTCGGCGATTTTTCTTTGTGCTTCAGTCAGTTTTTGTTTCATTGAATCGGTCTCCAATTTGTTGCTATCAACCAGACAGAGGTCTTTGAGCTCGCTCTCCACCTTGGAAACAAACAATTTCTCTTTAAGATCCTCAACGATGGCATGATGATCAAGAAGCTCTCTGTCCGCAACAGTGAGACAAGAAGTATATTCCTTTACCTTTAGCGCCAGAACAAGTGACTCAACATCCTTTGAGCAGAGATCCATTAAATAAAGCTCAACTTCATTGTCAAAGAAATCCTCTTTCTGCTTCAGCTGCAGCTCTTGCTCCAACAAAGTTTCTGCAAGGTTCCCATTGCTCAGATCTATTTCTTTCATCAAAATATCAAGCCGACACCCCATGCTGTCAGATCTTTGCAACATCAGCTCCTCCTGGTACTGTAAACCTGAAATTTTCTGCTCAAAATTGCTTAAGTTTGTAGTAAGCAGGTTGGTTGCTTCTTCATTTCTTGAAATCCTCTCAAAACCAGTCTTTATATCAGCTAATAGTTTACCCTTAAGAGTTGTAAACATTTCAAGCTCCCCTCTCAACCGTAGATTGTTATCTCTTAATCCGGCAATGGAAGAGTTTGATTCACACAGACCACGCTGAAGCAGACCATTTTCAGTATTGATCCCTGTCACTGTTTCTAACAAAACCCCCATATGGCATAGGTGTAGAACTGAGAGAGCACAATCCTTCATGATGATTTCTGACCAGATATCCTCAAGGAACAATCTAGCTGACTTTGTTTCTGAAACCCAAGACTTTAAGTCAGATAAATCATTGGCCATCCCAGTCAAGGCCTCAGATGATTCATCTTGTACTTGTCTGACAACAGTTTCCAGCTCTTCAACAAGATTTCCTACTCCCATCAAACTCGACTCGAATAGCTTCTCAAGGTACTCAAACTTCTCATTTTCTTTGACATTGATGGATTCCAGCTCCTGCACCTTGTCAACTAAGGCGTTTCTCTCTCCAACCAAGCTGGTTTCCCTTTTCTTCTGTTTTTCCAGGTCAAATTTCATCCTTTCATTCGCTATTATGAGCTCATTGATAGTGATATCTGCTTCTTTAATAATCCCTTGAGCCTCCTCAAATTTCTTCAGAACACACAAGGTTTCTATGTATTCCTGGTCAGCCTTTATCTTCATCTTAGCTAATTCATCCTCCAAAGTCTGTAAAATAGCATAAGAACTTCAGGCAAAAAAAAAGAAAGAAAATTCATAGAACCGGAGGGAGAATGCACAATCGCATGTCTCAGAATGAGGGGAAATTTTTTTGAAATCATGCAAGGGTACACAATTACTTGCCTTAAGTTTATGATCTGTGATTTCCGTCTTGTGATGATATTGTTCTTCCATGTTATTCATCACAGTTTCAAGGTTGCAAAACTGTGCAGCAAGATCGTTCAAGTTGCTTAAGCTTCTTTTCTCAGACGCCTTTAGCTCTTCCTTCTCATCCTGGACTCTGGCCATCTCAAATTGAACTTCCTTTAAGCTTACAAGAGCAGATTCCATTTCTTGCTTTAGCAGTATAATCACTTTACCTCTCTCACTAGACAACTCGCTGCTAACTCTCATGGACTCCGTATGATTTTTGTTTGGAGTCTTCTCTATGCAAGAGGAGACAACTACATTCCTTCCAAATTCCTGTATGAAAAAAGTTTCCAGTAAGGGACTAAGAACATTACAATACATAATAAGGCCTGATTGTTAAAAATAAGAAAAGTTGCAGCTCACCTGTCCTTCACTACAGTGGGCTGGAGAACGTAGTGAATTCTCTGCCTCGGTGTATTTGTCATGTTCTTGACACATGTTTATGCATGATCTCAATCCAGATACGCCACCCTTAAGCTCAGAAAGCTTCTCTTTCATGGCTGAAATGCTAATTTCCTCAATTTCTTCAAGTTTTTGTTCCATAGCAGAAGCATTCTTTTGCTCCTCTAGAAGTTTGCTTCTAAATTCGTCACAGGTTGCTTCCAAATCTTTTACTTGTTCCTTCAGAGAAAGTATTGTTCCAGCAGATTCCTCAAGCTGGAAATCCTTTTGCTTCAACTCAAAAGTATGTTTTTTGGCTACCTCAGAATAACGATTGACAATTACTAGAGAAGCTGTTGCGCATAGTGATGCGTCATAATACCAACTTTCAGCCATCTTCACCTTCTCTTGAAGCCTTGATATGGCCTCTGTTGTTGTGGACAACTGCGATGTCAACAGGAGAACTTGTGTCTCCTTTTCCTCGTACTCTCTCTGGTGCGCTTCATTCATTACTAATGTTGCCCCTCTAAGAGACTTCAACATGGATTCTATATCACATCGCTTTTTATTTGCATCCTCTAAACAGCTTTCAAGATCTTCAATCATTAATTCCCTCTCCGAAATTGTTCTTATCAACCCTCCGACCTGTTCAGATATCCATATCCTTTTATCTGGAAAGGAACCCGAAATTTGGTCAGCCTGGTAACAAGCATCTGCAAGGCCTTCGTTCCCATTCAACAGAATTTCTTCAAGCTCAGATGTGAGAAGTTCCATTTCATTTGATATGAGCTGTAGTTCCATTTCTTTGCTTCTAAGATTTTCTTGCAACTGCTCATTATCCATGGTCATATCTCGCAAGTTATCCTGCAGCTCCTCCATACGAGATTCCAAAAGCTTTACCTGCTTTTCTGTCACGTTTTCTTTTGATTGGAAATTATCGACCTCCTTCTGAAGAACTTCGAGCTCATTCTGCAAACAGACAATCACCTCGGCAGTTGCGGCTTCGGCTTGCCTGTGAATTTCGTCCGCTTCTTCATCTCCACATGCCTTAGAAGCAATATCACTCTTGAACAACATGTTCAACCTCTTCGCTTTCTCAAGAGATGCTTGCATCTTCTTGAGCTTCGTGTTAATTGCATTGTCCTCTACAGGATTATCTTTGAACTCATTGCACTGTTTGGACTTCTTTGCTGGGATGTCAAGCTCTTGCTTTTGTAGAAGCTCAAGATACTTCTCCTTTATTCTCATCAGCTCTACTGCTTCTTCGATTACTATAACATTTTGCGATTCGAGAGCTTCAACTATAGACTTTGTCTCCCCCAGCTCACTGTTTACAGTTTCCTTCTCCTTGCTCATCATAAGTAGCTGATCCTTCAACTCTCCAATATCAAGTTTCAAGCGAACTGCATGTGCCTCCGTATCACCACGTAGTGTTCTTTCCTCATCGAGTATAATTTTTAGTACATCCAAATCAAGCTGTAGTTTGATGATTTCTTCTACATGGTTGACCTGGTGACCATCAAGTGTTTCGTGCTGCTCAACATTTTGAGTTCCCAACAGGGCCTGCAATTGTTTTTGGCAATATTCAACTGTTCAGTGAAAACGCTCAAGGGTAACCTACAGAAACACTATCACAGACGGTTGTGCGGATTAGTAAACCACAATCTTCTTATTGTGCATACCTTTTTTTGGTTCGAAATGCTATGTTCATCAGGTGTGGTAGCTCTGATATCGCTGACCATAGCCTGTAGATCATGGATTTCTCTGCAGAAGATGGGGGAGAAGACTTATCATCACGGCTATAAAGAAAAATAGAACTCCTTTGGGCATGTACAAGGAAAACAAGAATCATCGATCAGATTTGCTAACCTACTAAGCTTTGCATTCTCTTCCAGGCAAGAACCAAGGTTACTTCTGCATTTCTCAAGCTCGTTACAGGTAATTTTTAACTGCGGTGAAAAAGACATCAAGAAACTGAGATTAAAAAGATTGCGAGAAAACAGGAGAAATAACTTCTGAGTAAGATAGTGGATCAACCTCCTCCTGTAGGGAATAATTTTCTTTGCTAATGCGTAATGCATCCTGCGCCAAGGAAAATCCAAAATCCTTTTAGAACAAAATAGAAAATACAACAAGACCAATAACACTCAATATTTAAACACATGGAAAGGGGAAAAAGATGTTACCTCTGGCCCTACTCCATCAGGATGTTTTTGCCAATCAGAGTTTTCATCAAGAAACTGGAAGATCTGCAAAATCAATAGCTAGTGCTAAGTATGGCATTGCAAATGACAAGAAGAGTGAACCATTACCAGGATATTGTGCTAACTAGAGGCACCTGATTTCGAAGATTCGAGACTTCACCCAGTAGAATTTCTCTCTCACCTTCCTCGTAGAACTCTTGAAATCTGCAAATACCATAATACCAGAACTTAAACAAAAAGCACGCACACACATTTTCTCTTATTTCAGCGACGTTTCCAGACAATTTATCACCTTCTTAGTTGATCCAGAAGCCTAATGTTTTCCAGGGCAAAGCGAGTCAATTCAGGATTTTTGTCAATTTTAGCTTGAAGCAACTGAATCTCCTCTGATAACACGTTATTTTCTTCCAGCAAAAACGAATCTGCAGATATCTGGTTGCCAAGAAGTGATTCCAGCCTCTGTATCTTGTCTTCTCGAAACCTGAGCATCATTTTTGTGCTCCTAGTATCTTCCTCTCTTTGTCGAACCTAAAGATAAATTGACATAAATTGATTAAAGCTCTAAAACATAAGTGGGAATAGGAGCAATGTAGGTGAAAAAATTACCAAACGGTTTAGATGCTCAATCTCAGCTTCAAGCTTCTTTATCGAAGCATCAGCCACATGTTCTCTTCTCAATGAGCCAGCGAGTGTTGACTCTAAAGATTTCAACTGAGACATATATAGTTTCAGCGGAATCACAAGTCAGATGCATATGAATCCTCAGTAAAGCCTAATAATCATTATAAAAAAAAATCAAATTTAGTGTACCTGCTTTCTAGACATCCTTACACAGCCTCCAGATTCATACACCAGCGAGTTACCAGTCTGCTGATGTCCTGTCTCGTGCATTTCACTTGATGGAGAATCCACTTGGAATTCTGAAAAGTTGGCTGTTGCTGATCCAAATGACAATGCCCTGTAGATGTTCTGCCGCTTGAGGAGGGAAAGCTCTTCCTGTTCCAGACACAAACACACAACAAATTGTCTTAGCTTATTTAGAGCTTCACAAAAAGAGCACCTCGTTGTAGTTCAAAATGTTAAACCTTTAAAAGTCGGATTTGACGGCGTAATTCCAGGACATCCCCGTTGAAATCTTCGTTTACCACAGCCTAAAGAATTTGAAACATAATGTTTATCCAAAGGCTATTCGTGATATATCTCCCTCAAATCTTACATTATAGATAACAGAGCACTGCAAACTTACATTGTTCTGGATTAGCTTTGCTCGCTGAGCAAATTTAAGAGTGTTTAGAGTCTCTGCTGCACAACTGCCAGTGATAATCGATAGAAGCGATAAGTTGAAGTTCTTTACTGACTGTACGAGTTAATGTAACAACACTAGATCAAATTAGCATTGAAAAGATACCTAACAGAAGGACTGGCATTAGCAATGATCATTGTTTTAGAATTGCCACCCAATGAGTCCTGTAGATAAAATAATTACCGTTATAATGCCATGAAAGGATATATTGCAACTTAAGGGAACAAAGGAAATGAATCAAGTTGTAACCTGAAGAAGAAATGTTAGCCTGGAATCACGATATGGAATATGCCTTGGTTTACCATTTGCAACATCCACAAGAACCATAATTACATGTCTGCAATCAATAATAACAAATTTAACATAATAAGTAATTATGAAAACGATTAATGCAAGTATTTATCTATTCCTTAGTTACCCTAGTGTGGACAATGATTTGTTGATATTAGCAGCTTCTTTTAGGCGGTCACCCTCAGCGCCAGAAGTTTTCTGCCTGTTACAGAATGTAGAATGTAAGGCAAGGTTTCGAAGGAAACACCAAGCAAAAGCACCCAAGGTTTCTAAGGAAATTACCTCTCTGATCCGGCAAGATCAACCAGGTTCAGTCTTGCAAAACGCATATTAGTTGTTGAGTCTTTTTCCCATCTGCTCTCGATCACGCATGTAAATACACTATGTGATCGGCTACTCTCTCTGTTCATATTTGTGGCTCCAACTTTTCGATTCAAAGAACCCTATTGTATACCACAGATAAGATTTCAGGAACAATAAACATAGAACAAAAATGTTTAGAAGACAACAGTACTAACCTGTGTGATAAGTCCTAAGATGTCTTGAACACTCTCTACTTCACACTCAGTGAGATTTTCCACATAGACACCGCTCTTAATGTCCTCTCGAAGCTACAAAATGTGAGAACACATTAGGAAAATAACCCTTGCACATATATGAACTTTCACCAGCAAAAGAATTCAAAATATAAAATCACCTGCAAATTTGTTGAAGACGGTTCAAGAAGGTCAGTGATCTGTTCATTGTAAATCTCAAGGAAAGAGCATTTGCAATTGTATTTAAGTCTCTCGTCTCTTCTGCTCTCTTCCTCCTGCAACAAGAACAATGAGAAAAATATGCGATTAGCAAAGTTAAAAAAAAAACATTGTCTGTAACAGAAATAGAAAAAACAACATCATAAGAGATTTACAGCTTGTATTCTTGCAAACAAAAACTCAAATATCCGTGGCATCATTCCTCTGTTAGGACTTGGTTTAACTTGTAAATTACCGACTTCCCCAAGCATTGTATACGTTTTTCCACTTCCTGTCTGCACAATCCAAACAATTCATCACAAGTTAGTAAATGAAGGCAAATTAATCCAAAGAAGGAAACTGTCTCCACTAGGTACTACTTGGGATTCAAATGATACCTGGCCATATGCAAATATACAACTGTTGTAGCCAGACAAGCAATTCTCCACCATAGGGAGACCAGCAACCCGGAAAAGGGTTTCCTACAAAATTCCAAAAGATTAAAACTTGATTTCTTCTACAAAGAAGAGAAAACCAAATTTTCTGCTTTGGATCTGAGTCTTACCTGGTCAATAGTCTCACAAGCCACATGATCGAACAGAAACCGTGTTTCTGGTGGTCCAGTCCATGCTACACACTGAGAGCTTTCCTGCTTTAAGCACCTAATGTACCCATTTGTACTCTTCTCCATACTATTAAGCGGTCGTACTCGTATAAGAATCTGCAAAACACATTCAATGAGACAAATTCAATAAACAGTCTAGACATTCTTGTGCCTGGAAAGTGAACATAGGGACACAAAATTGGTACCTGTACGTTGTGATCCATCCAGAAAGATGGATCCTCCTTAAGGTCAAAGTGAGGGACTTCAACGGTATTGACGATAGCTGAAACTTGCCCAGAAGAGCCTTTGTACAAGGAGGCATAGCCACCACCAGCTCTAGCACCATCGAGCTTCCCTCTGTAGCAAGATCCCGGAGGCTTAGTTACGCTCTTAGTCGGCGTGTTCTGCGTCGAATTGGACTCCGAGTAGCACGAATTAGCTCTCCCGGCGACTCTGCCGGCTTTAGGAGTCGTGTTCAACGAAGCGTTTGCGACGGAATCGCACTTCTCGCCCCACCCAAACCTGTTTTTGGAGAATGCAGCTGATCGGTGATGCTTGTTGTTATCGGGCGTGCGTAAAGGCAATGGCGGATCTGGGTTGTTGTTCTTAGCTCTGGGCTTAGACGGAGTTCCTTCGATTTTGTTCCGGGTTTCCTTCGGGTTGTTCAGTGGATCCTGGATCGTGTTAAGCGGAGCTCGTGGTAGAGAAGAGGAAGAAGATGAATCGTCGTTGTTGCTGGTTTGGGACAAAAACGAAGATTGGAGATTTTCAGGGATATTCTCGATTTCCTCATCGAGCTTGGTGGAATCTCTACGGGAAAGCTTCACATCCCTCGACATTATAAATACCTGATTTGACACAAATGTGGACAAAAACCAATCAGGATTCACGAAAATGACAAATTTAGAAACTTGGAATCATCACAGCTAAAGCTTAAAAAGGGGGGAAATTTCTCGCCTGTGTAATAAAATTGAGCAACAAAATCCAAAATTTCTCGAGCTACTGAAGTGTTCTGTGTAATCTCACTCACTTACACTCTTTTTTCTCTCTCTCTAGATTCGCATGATTTCAGCAGTAAAGCAGGATGGAGAAAGGGATGTTAACGAAGATGATGGAACGGACGGCTGAGATTGCATCCTATGTTTTGCGTTATGAAGCGGTATTTGAATTTGAATTTTGGAAAGGGGCTTTCTCAAAGAGGCCAGAGGTAGTTTCGTAAATAAGCAACGAGTTTGCTTTTTCAAAAAATAATTCAACGACTAAAAAGATACTGAAAATGGCCCATTCAATTCAAATATTTCGTTGTTAATAGTAAAGTATACATTTGGCTAACGGCTTGCTAAATTGGTTTTTGGAAGACCGAATTATATTATAGCTATTTATATATTTTTTACATTATTTAAGTTTGTGGAATTTTGGTTAAAAAGAAAGAGTAATAAGAGCACTAAAAAGACAAATTGGAAGTCTGGAACTCACATTTTTATTCATCCCATATCACATATAGGTTTTTATTGTCTTGAAATGAGACCTTCAAATCAAAATCTGAAAAACGGATGAGAATCAACTGATACTTAGTCCTTTACATTAGCTTCGTGAAACTTATCTTCTCTATTCAACATTTATCAACAGATTGGCCTAGCTAGAAAACATCTTGGAAAGCATAGTAGACACACACTAAGAGCCAAAGATGCAAATGTGTCGTATCTCTTCTTGAAACCGGTTTCGAAGAAGGAGACTCCAGACAATCTTGACGTTATATTTGGGATCTCCATCAAGAAGAACATTTACAAATTGTACTTTCTTTGACGTTTCTTAAACTTGAAAGTCTTGTGCAAAAGTTTCAAGACTTACATGGCTCCTACATCGTCAATCCAATGTTTTGTCTACAATGGGGTTTGCACACAAAAAGAATAAAGAATTCTAGTTCCAACAATTGTGTATACGACTATATCTCAAAGGAAAAAAAAGTCTTTGGTGGTCTTGAATTTTTATCACTACCTATTTCTTTTAAATTGCAAGTTTCATTTTAAATTTAATTTCTTGTATATTCACACTTGTAAACCTACAAATATATAGATATTTGTCAAATTGGTTTGAATTAGAAAGTGGAAGCAGAACAAAAGCTAAAACATACGTATATTCGTCATCAGTTTTTATTTTATATTTAGAGAATTTTGAATATACTAGGGGAAATAAGTGGATAAGATTGAGAAATCAAAAAAGAAGATGTGGTCGTTAAAGGTCGTCAAGCATCACAAGATTTTCTTACGTTTTCGTAATCCATTTTATGTATTGTATATAGTAGACTTTAGAGTCATTGGACTATGAAAAAAAAAATTTCATGTTGCATGCAATACAAACACGCATTCAACATAATCTCGTCCACGTTGTTAAACAAACATTTTCTTTGCAACTTGGCACCGTTAGGTTTATTATTCAAATATAGAAGTAATTTTTTTTTAATTAAGTGTGCAATATAGATTAAATTTGATTTAGTTAAACATACACCGAATTTCTATTAATATGTCTTAATGGTAAACAAAGTGACTACGTTTTTACACAAATAATTCGATGATCAGTGATCTATTACCCCCCAAAAAAACGGATTTTCAACATATCTTGACGTAGTCATGTTTTAGATATAGAATCTTGAAATGAGATTCTCTTTAATGTCTACTGGTTACTTTTTACATGTTTTCGTAGGTACTAAAATTTAAAAAAATCACCACTAGTTAGAGGGTTAGACATAAAGTTTGATCTTGAAAGATAAAGTTGGAGGGACTTCAACAACTACGACGAAGACACGTGGCGTATGTCTCATGGACTCGTAAACATATGGTTAGCTAATTTTGGTGCTTTGTTTAAGGCTTGAAGCTTAAAGTTTAAGAAAGAATAGTTTAGATGATCCTTGGCTCCTTTCAAGTCGCAACAATCTTCTCTAATCAACTTCTCACTTATGCATTTTTGGGGTTTGGTGCTACGTCCCATCGACGACTATATTGATTTCCATTTCAATCCCACGAGTTAAGTTGAATTACATAATCACCTCAATCTTTGATTTGTAATTCAAAACCCGTAATTATCTTACTTCGGACCACTTTGCTCCTTTTTCCCTAAATAAAGCTAGGGATTGTCCGAGCTAGATTTATGAATATTCGAATAACAGAGTAAGTAATTTGGATTTCATGGTATATATAGCTTTCTTCGATTTGGGTATACTTGATTTGGTTTATTTTGGATTAGTTTTGAATATGAATTAGGAAGATGAAGATCATATGATACTGATAGCAACAAGCCATGTTGTATTTGCAAATATCGCAAATTTAATGACAAATGGATTGAGCTTTATGTAATAAACAACTACCAATCATTCGAGAATAAAGAAATAGTTAATAATCAATTATTTCATGCACTTTATGATCAACGCTTTTTGATTTTTTTTATATTGAGAAACACTTGATTCATCATAATAAACTAATAAAGTGACAACTTACATCACGAGATGTATATGTATGTATACATTAATCACGATCATAGTCAGCCTTACACTCCAAGGGAACATATGAAACTGAAAAGTATTATCTATCCACGCAAGTGAATCCAAATATCTATTAATTATTCAGTCAAAACAACATCAAATTCTCTTGATGTCCTCGTGTCCTTATTGGTGCATAATTTTCGTTCTGATCCATATTCAATGAAACCCGTACATTTTTGACAGTTTGTCTCTTAATCTGAAGAAAATATTATAACGAAAATAATTACTCTTTAGAGAAAACTTTCAAAACTATCAAAATTACATATAGAAAAAGCTCTTTAGTTTTAGATTTAGTGGATTAATTTAGCTAATAATCTTTGTCTCTGTAATAGATATTCTGGTTTACTTTTACAGTTTTACCTATAGGGCTTCAAAATTTGTGGTTGAAATTCTCTTTTCGTACGTACAGTCAACCTTTTCTTTGCATGTTCGTATCTACGATAAATATACTTATATACACAAACATATATACATACGTAACATATATAAATATATACTGACATGCATATACGTACACCTCTATATTTACTCACATGTAAGTAAGGAAATGCCCCCAAAAAATATTGGCTCTTCAGATAAACCAAAGTACAACGAAGCATCTTCCGAGAAAAAATTGCTAGAGAATCAAACGCCACGTGTCATATCAGTCGACCAGTTATTAATTTATCATAATCCATACGAATAATTGTAGGGGCTTGACAAGAGTGTGTATAAATACAACTTGGCTTTTGCAAGCGAAGACTTCACAAAGACAAGAGATCTCAAGACGCGGAGAACATAGAGAGAAGAACCAAAAAACCTCAAAAAGCGCAAAACACAAACCAAAGGAGCAACAAAAAACATTTTTCTTTATCTCCTACAAATTAAACCACAATATGGTATCTCAAAAGCTGGAGATTTGCATCGAATTGGTGAAGATTACCATCCTTTTCGTCACCACCGTGGCTGAATCAGTAGAAGAAGTTGTCCGTAAGTCTCCACCGGCGCTTCCAGCAGTCCACGGTGGTCGCCGGAATAGTTACGCCGACGTTTCCATTCCTCTTGTTGGATTCATGTGATGAGCTTTTTTTTGTTTGGTACAACTTTTTTTATTTTTGACCTCGTTAAATTTAGTAGCTCTCGTGCCATGTGGCGTTTTGAATATTGATTTGTGTATAAGTATAACCAAAAGAATTAATCATGAAGAGTTTACAGATAAATTAAAATCGTCGACGTTTATAATTTTGTGTGTGTTTTAACCGCTTTAACTTTCTTTAAGCTCCTTTGAAGATAATAATCACAAGTTTCATAGTTTTGCAATTACAAAACTCTAGGTATAGTCGTTAATTACCACAAACTCTATACAAGCTTTCCAGAATTATTAATTAATCTATTATTGGCTATTAAACAAAATTTCTCTCTCTCTATATATATATATATATCCATCTATTAGTATTGTATTCAAAGAGAGATTGAGAAAATTAATTAAAGTTTCACACAGAAAAGAAACATCAATTTATATGATGAATGATTTAAGTTAATTGGCTTCTAAAAAAGTAGCATGTGTCGAACTCTTCAAATTGGATTTGGTGTTCTTAACACGAATTCAGGTCGCAGATGAAATATGTAAATATTCTCATCAAATCTAGGTTGGTAAAGTAAGTTTGCTTTCAATTTATTACTTTTAGAAAAACTTTGATTTCACTAAGTTTTTTTTTCCTATATGAAGCGAGTATCTTTCAATAGATGTTAATCTTCTCATGAGCCATAACGCCATGCTAATTAAAGGGGTTTATTTAGTTTGACTTTGATAAGGAATGTCATATGTGAAAGTTGAGTTGCTAATGTTGAAAGTCAAACCTATTACTACAAAGCTGTGTTAAAAAAATCGTCCGTTGAACCGTTTAGGTGGATAAATCGTGACTCGGCATGGTACCGTGGCGTTTAGTGAAAATCGTGAGATACAGTATAGTCAACGAAATTCGAGAAAGTCAACCCCTTTTTTGAAGTAATGACCGTGTCATAAATGGAATCTTTTGGGCCAAATTGCACCCACTAAAGAAAAATCCTTTGTTTTTTACATGTGAACTAGAAAGAATTGCACTATATTGAGTTGTATATTTGGAAGTCAACAGTGAAACGCTGGGTTTTGTGGGAGAGCGTTAATCCTATATGTTCTATCTCTGCTGTTGTATCCATTTCTGTGAACTGTAATTGGTTCACAAGGATAAAAAGTTGTGTATACAGTTTTTATTATTATGTTATATGATTTTCTTCTTAAAAATTCTTTTTCTTACTATTCTTTTGGTATATAAATTTTATATTGATGTGTTACTTATGTTATATATATTTAAATGTTTGAAAAATATATAAATTATAGTTAAAATTTCATCCCCGTTTAATCCCCGCTTAATTCCCGTTTTCTAAAAAATCCCAAATCCCAACCCGACCGCCCGATTAACGATTACCGATGTTTTGAACATAGCTACAAAGTAATGAGTATATACAAAAATGTAAATTTACATAACCATGCATATATCAAAACAAAGTATTGAATAGAAATGTCAAACAATTTCAAGCCAAAGACAAAAGACAGGCACCGAGATCTAACGGCCTAGAAATCGTATCCATGATCATAGTCCTGGATATGTTTCACGTGGTTAGGACGTAGGAGGCTTGTTCTTGATTATCCGAAGCTGAAACTCTTTCATCAATGAGTTGTCTTTCTCGGACACGACAAAGATCCGATTTACAGACCAGAATCTCTCGGGCGTGAGCACAAGACTTGTATCTATCTCTTCGTTGCTGAATAATCGTTGTGACCGCACAAATAACCCCGCCCAATTCCACGTCCTGCAAAATTATATTTATTTATACATGGTGTATTGAAATAAAAAAGTGGGCCTCCAATGGAAAGTGTAGGAGGTTTGTTAGGCCCATGTTCAAACAGGTAATGCAAGGCAAACAGATTTAAGTAAGATGCCATGTTGAGGTGGCCATGGTGTCGCGGAGTTAGGACGATAGTATAGGTTGATGATCAATATAACAAGAATCGACGTAGTGTTCTCTCCATTTTTTTCAACTTATTGATGTTATGATGAAGGAATGTTGCCTTGTTGACAAATTGAACACTTCTAATGTTAATGTCACAAAAATACTATTTGATCATTCTTAAAAGGAATTATAAAAACAGATATAGGCCTGATTGGATGTGGTTGTGGCTTTAGATTTTTTGCTGTAGAGTTTAGGCTGTAGGTTTTAGTGTTGTGGCTTTAGTTTTAAGTGTTGTAAGATTTTTTTTTTTGTAGATTGTGTATTAAATGAAATATTAAAACAAAAAAAATATATAGAAATAAGAGATTAAAAAAAGAATATAGACAAAATAATAAGGAAAGAGAAGAGAGATAATTTAGAGAGCACTAAATTTAGTGCTCTAGAAAAATTGCTTTCTACAGCTACGGAACTTCCATAAATAAATAAAATTGTTCTATGTTTCAAAAATGGAAAAAAAAATAAAATGAGAGCATGATTGGTAATTTTGGAGTGTTGCACAGAGATATAGAGCTGTGGAGAGCAACCACAGCTCCCACCAATCATCCCCATAGTGTACTAGATGGAATCATTTTCTTGACTTGATCCTTGAAAAGTTTCTTTTATTAACTATACTACTAACAAATATTTTTTCTTAATTAACATAAATAAAGTTTCATAATTTTCGTATTTGTAAACATCTTTTGATGTTGTATTTTGTTAGTTTACTTTAACCCATAGCATGTTGACAAAAATAATAGCATGTTTTTCAGAGAGTTCGAAACGCAAGCACCAAATAATAACATGTTTATTTTTTTTGGAAACCTTCTAAAAATAATAACTTCACAAGTCGCAACACAAAGAAAGAAAGAGATTTTCATTTTCTCTCGACTGTAAAATTATCCGTCATCAAGATTTCAAATATTGTAAAACCAACAAAACTTCTAAATGACGTTGTCAACGACCTCTAATTCTATATTAGCTACAATACTTTGCTATTTTCGCATCCTCAAAAACGTTTAGTCTATATAATTTACGTTTGCCAAAATTAGAAAACAAAATCAGTGGTTTCTGTTTGCCTTCTTTCATTATAGGCTTTATCTCCACAACATTCATCTATTAAGCAAGCCGTTAAGCCATTTCCAAGGTTTTTCATCACCATGGCTCCAAAAACAATGGAGAGGCCTTATGGCTGCCTCCTTCTCCTCTTCTTCTTTATACTATCTATTCTTTTTTCTTTCGCAGCAGCTCTCACAGATGAGGAAGCCTCGTTTCTCACGAGACGCCAGCTTTTGGCTTTGTCTGAAAACGGCGATCTTCCCGACGACATGGAGTACGAAGTTGATTTAGACCTCAGTTTTGCTAATAATAGGCTTAAAAGGGCTTACATTGCCCTCCAAGCTTGGAAAAAGGCAATGTACTCTGATCCATTCAAGACTTCGGCTAATTGGGTTGGTTCGAACGTATGTTCTTACAAAGGCGTGTTCTGTGCGCCGGCACTTGATGACCCGAGCATTATGGTTGTAGCGGGAATCGATTTGAACCATGCGGATATAGCCGGTTATTTGCCCCCCGAGCTAGGCCTATTGACCGACGTCGCATTGTTTCACGTAAATACCAACAGATTTTGCGGAGTTATTCCTAAAAGCTTCTCGAAGCTCACGTTGATGTACGAATTCGACGTGAGCAACAACCGTTTCGTTGGTTCATTTCCGATGGTTGCTCTCTCTTGGCCATCTTTGAAGTTCCTTGACATAAGATACAACGACTTTGAAGGGAAATTGCCACCAGAGATCTTCGATAAGGATCTCGACGCCATTTTCTTGAACAACAATAGATTCGAGTCGCTGATCCCGGAGACAATCGGAAAATCGACAGCTTCCGTTGTTACTTTTGCACACAATAAATTCAATGGCTGTATCCCAAAAACAATCGGTCAGATGAAGAACCTCAACGAGATTGTGTTTATTGGGAACAACCTAAGTGGTTGTTTCCCGAACGAGATTGGTTCGTTGAATAACGTGACTGTGTTTGATGCGAGCAGCAACGGATTCGTGGGAAGTTTACCGTCAAGCTTGTCAGGCTTAGCCAACGTGGAACAAATGGATTTCTCGTACAATAAGCTCACTGGATTTGTCACGGACAGTATCTGCAAATTGCCCAAATTGTCGAACTTCACATTTTCTCACAACTTCTTCAACGGAGAAGCTCAGAGTTGTGTTCCCGGGACAAGCCAAGATAAACAGTTTGATGACACAAGCAATTGCTTAGAGAACAGACCAAAGCAAAAGTCAGCTAAAGAATGTTTGCCGGTGGTTAGTCGTCCTATGGATTGCAGTAAAGATAAGTGTGCCGGTGGTGGTGGCGGTGGCGGCTCAAACCCTTCACCTAAGCCAACACCTAATTCACCAAAGACACCAGAGCCTAAACCAGAAATTAACCCACCAAAGGAAGAGCCATCTAAGCCAAAACCAGAGAAATCTCCCAAACCAGAAACGCCTAGCCCAAAACCCGAGACACCAAAATCGCCAGAGCCTTCTAAACCAAAGGAACCTAAGCCAGAGCCACCGAAACAAGAATCTCCTAAACCGGAACAACCAAAACAAGAATCACCAAAACAAGAGCAACCAAAACAAGAATCACCAAAACAAGAGCAACCAAAACAAGAATCTCCTAAACCGGAACAACCAAAGCCTGAATCCCCAAAACAAGAGTCGCCTAAGCAACAAGCACCAAAACCAGAAGAATCTCCAAAATCTGAATCTCCAAAATCAGAGACGCCAAAACCAGAAGAATCACCTAAGCCTGAACCACCGAAGACGGAGACACCAAAAATGGGGTCGCCACCAATGGAACCACCGGTAACAGACTATCCTTATGAAGCATCTCCGATCAAAAAACGTCGTCCTCAACCACCTTCGTCAGAAGAAACACCGTCTCCACAATCTCCACCAGTACACTCTCCACCGCCTCCTGTATTTTCACCTCCTCCTCCAGTACATTCTCCTCCTCCTCCACCACCAGTTCACTCTCCACCACCACCAGTCCATTCTCCTCCTCCTCCCGTCCATTCACCACCACCACCAGTCCACTCTCCACCACCTCCAGTTCATTCTCCACCGCCACCAGTCCACTCTCCTCCTCCCCCAGTCCATTCTCCTCCACCACCCGTCCACTCTCCACCACCACCACCACCAGTTTTCTCTCCACCACCACCTGCACCAATCTACTCTCCTCCACCACCACCACCAGTTCCCTCACCGCCTCCACCAGTCCACTCTCCACCACCACCTCCAGTTCACTCTCCGCCTCCTCCAGTTCACTCCCCACCACCTCCAGTTCATTCTCCACCGCCTCCAGTTCATTCTCCACCTCCTCCGGTCCACTCTCCACCTCCTCCAGTCCACTCTCCTCCACCACCATCACCTATCTACTCTCCTCCTCCTCCAGTTTTCTTACCCCCACCAAAACCTGTAACGTCTCAACCACCGGCAACATCTCCAACGGTAAATGCTCCAACACCTTCACCGGATACAGAAGAATTCTCAGCACCTGTTCAAGCTCCAACCCCAGATTCTGAGTCCATCGAAGCACCATCAGAGTCGGATCACTCCCCAGTGTTCCGTTCGAGTCCTAGTCCAGCACCAATCTCCGAGCCGAATCATGCTCCGACTCCAATTCCCCAGCCAGATCTATCCCCAACTCCATCAAACGAACAAGTCGAAGCACCATCACCATCAACACAAGAAGTTGAAGCACCATCACCATCGACTGAAGAAGTTGAAGCACCATCACCATCAACAGAAGAAGTTGAAGCACCAGAACAATCGGTCGCCACTCCTTCGCCATCGCCATCATCTTCGACTCTACCACCCGTTGTAACTGCACCACCACCGGGAAACAACGACGGCGGCGATGATTTCATCCTCCCACCAAATATTGGACACCAATATGCATCACCACCACCGCCGATGTTCGCAGGCTACTAAACCAAGTTTTTTAATGTTTTACATTTTGGTCCAAAATTTTTCCAGTCTTAAGACAAACAAAAAAATACATTTATAAATTTGACCATTGTAATTTGTAAGTAGATGATTTTAGAAGTGAAATTTCCAAATTGAACCGTAAACATATCTGTAAATCTATGTCGATAGTGTAAATTCATCTCATTCTTTGTGCTTGTATCCATCATCTACCTTTTTGGATTCACTTGTATCTTTTTTTCAAAATATCCATTAGTTTTTCCAAATATTTGTATATATTTATGATTTCATGAATGGTGATAGATATTAGTCTATCCCCTATACGGATACTTTGTATCTGATTGATTTGTTTTTCCATAAGCAAACCTGACTTTTAGCTTGAGTTCTGGTCTTTATTGGCAACTGTCGTATTTTTCAACTATCCTCAAATATATTCAGAACTAAAATCTTTATATTATTAATTGAGAAGTACATTCTAATGTTTGGATACAAGAATTAGAGAAACATCTATTTGGATAGAAGAATAAATGGAAACAAAAGTTGTTTGGATATAAGAATAAGAGAAAAATCTATTTGGATAGAAGAATAAATGGAAAAAATTGTTTGGATACAAGAATAATAACTTAAAATAAACCGATGGTTTAGAAAACTTCCGTTTTCCATCTCTTAAAAATCTGCAAAAAAAAAACTTAACATAATCTAACGATAATTCCAAATCAATAGAATATGCTTTTTGGATTTTCGGGTTTTTATAGACAAGTTCGGGTTTGGGTGAAAATCTGAGACATAATTTTATAGAGATATATATAGAGATATAGAAATTGTTCGGGTTTCTTTGAAAATTTCTGTTCGGGTTAGGTTCAATTTTTTTTTCAGTTTAGGGTTTTCCGGATTTTTTAGATTTCTGGTTTTCGGGTTTAGATATATTAAAAAAATTGAGTATTTTAAAATTTTGATTAGGTATTGGGGTCGGGTTCCGGGTGAAAAAGTTTCCAGATTTTTTTTGTTCAGTCAGGGTTTTCGGGATTTTTTTGATTTCGGATTTTCATGTTTAGACCTATTAAAAAAGTTTGGGTTTTTAAATTTTTTGATTAGGGTTTTTTGTCGGGTTCGGATTTAGGGTTTAAATTTTCTACACAAAACAACAACGTCACACCGCACAAACGTGCGGGTACTCTACTAGTGATTTATTAAATTAAAAATCAAAATTTTGCTTGACTAGATCTCTTTGCTTGAGTATGACGAGAAGTAAGTCAACTTATATGGGAAGAAAATCTTATTAAAACTTGTGTTCAACTAAGAAACTATATTAATTTAGTCCAACTTTCCAATATTAATTTAATTTCATCGTAATACAACGTCGACACTGATACGTATTTTAATTTCTCAATTAAAGTGTAAGTTACTTCGTTGACAAAAAAAAGAAATGTTAGTTACTTCACGATGCGGTAATATCCTTCTGGACCAGCTTAATACTAGTTTTTTATTTTCTTGATACTAGTTTTTAAAATTCATTCAAAACGAGAAATAGTTTCAGTCCTTGAGATCGTGAAAGAAAATGATGGTATATAACCTTTATACTAGTATCTTATCTCATCAATAATGACATACGCATAAAAACAAATATGATTTGGCCATTTTATTTATATTTAATTAAATAAAATGGTATTGGTACTATATAATTACGAACATTCTTGTAGTGGACATCCAAACACCACAGCATAAACTAAACCCCAATCATTTTTACTTCTAACAATGGATGATCTTGATCCAACTTTCATCCAAGCACCAGAGCACAGATCAGATTCAAATTTCATCCCTAACCAACCTGAAGAAATACCAGTTATCGATCTCTCGCGTCTCGGTGACCCTGAAGATGTCCAAAATGTGATCTCGGAGATCGGTGATGCATGTGAAAAATGGGGATTTTTTCAGGTGATCAATCATGGCGTGCCTTGCGACGCAAGGGAGCGTGTGGAGGAAACGGTAAAGACGTTTTTCGATCTGCCTATGGAAGAGAAAATCAAGGTGAAGAGAGACGAAGTGAATCCGGTAGGGTATCATGATGGAGAACACACGAAGAACGTCAGAGATTGGAAAGAAGTTTTTGATGTCTATTTCAAAGATCCAATGGTTATTCCTTCTTCCGCGGATCCTGAAGACGAAGGTTTAAGAGTTGTTTGCAACAAGTGGCCTCAATTTCCTTCTGGTTTCAGGTAATTTTAATTAGATTAAAAAAAAAGTGTTTGTGAGAGATAATGAACAGGGTCCGGTTTAGATGATTTTGAATTGTTTAAACCCTGAATATGCATCTATACATATAGTCAATGGCGGATCTAAACAATTGAAATCAGGGCACTAATACCATCTCCAACCCCTCATGCCATATGTTATTGCAAATGGCAAAAATATAGCAATAGCATTGGGTTTCTCTCCAACCCCTCATGCCATATATCATGCTATAATTTTTTTCCAACTTATTATTAATTGTTAAAACTACTTGATTTCTTCAAATTTTACAAAGTGAATCATTTGTTTTTCTTTTTTTGCAAAAACAACCAGAATTATATTTTTTATTATTATAATATTAAAACAAAATACATCATATTACATAAAAATTATAGAAAACAAAGATTTTAACCTATTGTTTTATGTTTTTTGAATTTCAGTATTTTTAAAAATAAAATTTTAAGTTTATTATGGTTATGTTTTTATATTTCTATGAAATAAATATTATTTATATTTTGAAAAAGTTATGAGTATTGTTTATTTATTTAAATAAATCATAATCAATATAATTAAACTGTTAAATTAAAAGTAATTACAAATTGAAGGACTATTTTATAAATAAAAAAGTTCAATGGCAAAATAGCATATTGCATAATCTCATGCCAAATATAGAAGCAAAAATAGCATGATGCTATTTTGCAATAGCATATGCAATTGGGTTGGAGCAAAAATTATGGCAAAATAGCATATATGTCATATTTAGCATGGGGTTGGAGATGCTCTAATATATATTTGGGTGATTTGCTATAATAACCCACAAAATATTGTAAATAGCCAAAATAGCCTATCAAGAATTTTGAAGATTTTATAAAAAAAATTTCACACAATTATCCTTTTAAAGTCTTCCAAACTTACTCGCAGACTCGGATTTTCTTTTGCTAGTCTGCTATTTTTTTGGCAGACTCAACGTATTTTTGGTAGACTCTATATATTTTTTCGTAGACTCTGTCAAGCTTTGACAAACTATACCAAAATCTTCCAAATTTACTAGCAGACTCGGATTTTATTTTGTTGATCTTCCATTTTTTTTTGTGGATTCTGCATATTTTTAGTAGATTTAAATTTCAGTCTGCTAATCTGTTATTTTGTTAGCAGACACTACATATTTTTGGTAGATTCTGCGTCTTTTTTGTAGACTCTGTCAAGGTTTGGTAGAGTATACCAAAGTCTTCCAAAATTTACTAGCAGACTCGGATTTTAAATTGCTAGTCTTCCATTTTTTTGGTGGATTCTGCGTATTTTTGGTAGATTTAAATTTTACTTTGCTAGTCTACTATTTTATTGGCAGACTCTACGTATTCTTTGTAGACTTTGTTGAGGTTTTGGCAGACTACGTCAAAGTCTTCCAAATTTACTTCGCAGACTTGAATTTTAAACTGCTAGTCTTCCATTTTTTTGGTGGATTATGCGTATTTTTGGTAGACTTAAATTTTACTTTGCTAATCTGCTATTTTATTGGCAGACTCTACATATTCTTTGTAGACTTTGTCGAGTTTTGACAAATTACATTAAAGTCTTCCAAATATATTAGCAGACTTGGATTTTAATCTGCGAATCTTCTACTTTTTGGTGGATTCTGCATATTTTTGGTAAATTTGACTTTTACTCTGCTAATCTGCTATTTAATTAGCAGACTCAACATGTATTTGGTAGACTCTGCATAATTTTTTGTAGACATTGTTGAGATTTGGCAGATTACATCAAAGTCTTTCAAATTTACTAGCATATTCAAATTTCAATGCTAATCTTCTAATTTTTTTTGAATATTACATATTTTTGATAGACTTGAATTTTACACTATTAGTTTGCTATTTTATTAGCATATTCAATATATTTTTGATAGATTTTACATATTTTTTAAGACTATGAGTTTTGGCAAACTACACCATAGTCTTCTAAAATTATCACTATAATTGAATTTTAATCTTCTAATATGATATTTTTCTGTGTTGTTTTGTTAATATTGGATTTTAGTTGATGAAATATTTTCTCGCAAAATTCAGAAAAAGTTACAAACTGAAATCTCATATAGTCAAACATTTTATAAATGTGCAAAAGAAACAAAAATGAAAAGAAGTAGAATAGATAGAGAATCAATTTCAATGATAAATACCATAAATGAAAAAATTGAGTTCGACAAAAAAATTGCTGTTAGACCAAATATACATTACCATGAAATTTGATAAAATAAAAATAATCAATTGATTTGAAATTAAAAGTTATTTATTTCTTATTTTATTTTTCTTTTATTTATTTATTAACTAAAACTAATTTGTTATTGTTCAAATTAAATGAATAGTTATGTGTAATTTACAAAAACGAAATTAAAAAAATAATTATAGTTAAAAGGATAAAACTGGAATTATACATCACTGCTTAAATGATTAATAGGTTATATGACTAATAAAAATATAAATAGATTATTATAGCTATTTCTTATAAAAAAGAGGTTATATTAGATAATTTTCACTATATATTTTTCATAATATCAATATCAATATCCAGATAGTATATATTTTTGGGAATTTTAGTTATATGATCTTAAACATGAACTTGGTATTGTCATGAGTTTATTTTCACTTAATTATGAACTTTACTAAAAATTACTCATCATATTGTAGGTTAATGACATCACATATATAGCATAATATGCAGTCAGTTTTCTGTAAGCAAAATAATTACTATTTTTATTTTCATTCTCATTCTTATTTTTTTCTTTTCCACTATTGATCTACTCAAACAATAAATAGAAGTAACTTGTCACCAAAATGTTCACAACATAAGATCTACTTTGTACTTTTAAGTTTTAACAAATCTGTCGGAGGCACGTGAACCCTATCCTCCAATATAGCCACACAAAAGCATACAATAATTCGATGCAAATATATTTTACTGTTCTTTTTAATTATGTAAGCTAATCGCTTTCTTTTTTTGTCTTTTTTTTTTCTACTAATTTTAGGGAAGCATGTGAAGAATATGCAACTCACGCAGAAAAACTAGCGTTAAAGCTTTTAGAACTCATCTCATTAAGCTTAGGCTTACCGAAAAAGCGTTTTCATGATTACTTCAAAGAACAAATGAGTTTTTTTAGGATAAATCATTACCCACCGTGTCCACGACCTGACCTAGCTTTAGGTGTCGGCCACCACAAAGATGCAGATGTCATAAGTCTATTGGCTCAAGACGAAGTTGGAGGATTACAAGTTAGTCGTAGATCAGACGGTGTTTGGTTTCCAATTAGACCTGTCCCCAATGCTCTTGTCATCAATATTGGCAATTGTATGGAGGTAATATGATAAATATCATTTCTCATACTCTTAACATTGACACTATTAGTTTATAATGACTGCTATAATGATAACATACAGATATGGACGAATGATAAGTATTGGAGCGCAGAACATAGAGTGGTGGTTAACACAACAAGAGAAAGATACTCAATACCGTTCTTCTTGCTGCCTTCACATGATGTAGAAGTGAAGCCATTCGAAGAGCTTGTTAGTTCTCAAAATCCTCCAAGATACAAAGGATATAAATGGGGTAAGTTTTATGTCAGCAGAAATAAAAGCGATTTTAGAAAACTTGAAGTCCAAAACATTCAAATCGATGACTTCAAAGTTGTAACTTAATAATACTAGTTCTATGTATCGACCTATTTTTTACCGCAAGGGTAATATTAATGTAAGTCTTTTTATTTTATTTTTTTGCCAGCAAACTGGAGATTACATTTTATCAAAATAATCAACTAAAACAAGGAAAACAACACGTATTGAACAAAATACCCTATTTTTTTTAATAAATTTGGAAAATACCTTAGATTTGTTTTTTTTTTTTTTAAATACACTTTTTAGTTGTAAAAAAAACTATTTTGATCTTATTCAGACATAAGATTTAATCTTATATATAAAACTTGGTCACTCTCTCTAGCTGTTTCACATGTTATCACCGGAGAGATTGCCAAGTAACAATCCAGAAAAAAAAAATCGAAAACACTTCACAACGGATAAATAGATCGTTTGGTCAGCGATGGCGAGGCAGAGGACGCTGATTCGGTTGTTCTTGATCCATAGCAGAGCGAAATAGATCATCCAATTCTCAACGATTTTTTTGTGCCAAAAGTGCAAGTAACCGATAGATTTGTTACCGTTCTTTCAGCTTCATCGTACACATTGTTGTTAAGAAGGGATGCCTCTTACATTTTCCATATTCCATAACATGTTATATTTTGATCATCCAATTGTTTAAAGCATGTTATGGATCATTCTTAACTATCTTTTGGATGATCAATAAAATTTTCTTTTGTTTTTCATCGTACACGTTGTCTTTTGTTTTCTTTTCTGGGAAAATTTTATTGGAGGTGGTTCAGATAATTTTTTTTTTAAGAAAGGTGCTTATAGGATGCTTAACATATATTTTATTATTAAAGTTGTTTTAAGCACCTCTTTTAAGAGTAATTTGTTTTCTTTACTCCAATGGAAGAATCTTATTGGGGGTATTTAAGAGAAACAAAATTAAAAAATTCATTTTACAAATCCCTAATATATTAAAAGAGAAGACAACTATAAAAACAACCTTTTACTTATATGTTATTTTCAATTATATCATGCTAATGTGTCATCATATGCTTCACTTTCAAGGACTTTATAACTTAAGGTTGCATTTATTAGAGTATTTATACAATATGTCATTGTATTAATTTGGTTAGAGAATAGTTTATATCAATTATTTATACAAATTTCAGTATTTAATCATAAAGATATTTTTATTCTTTCCATATCTTATTAAATAAATCAAAATTGTTTTCTTAAATACTATATTTTTCTCTTGATTGGACTAAATTTTATAAAAAAAATAAATCATCACATTATACATATATTAAAAAAATGTACATTTGATATCAATTTATATTATTTTCATCATTATTTTGGAAAACATACATTTTTTTAATATATGAGATATTTATATCAAGATATTAATAATTACAAATATTCTTATTCATATTTTTTTGTTAGAGAACATAAATTGAAAATATACAAATTCAGAAATCATCACCCCGTATAGGACACGGGTCAAACCCTAGTTATAATGTTATTGATGAATAAAATATAAAATACATTGCATTAATTGAAATATGAAACATATTTGACATACAAATAATTCAAATCGTATATTTCGAAATCATAACGAAAAGGAAGACTGAGTCGAAATCTTGACAATTTGTGTAGAAGAAAAACCATCAACATTGGCAATATACTATTTTTCAAAAAAAAATAAAAACCATTAACATTGGCAATTTTCAATCAAGTGATAAACTAGTTGTGTTTGTTTCCGATTAAACTTGCCTGTCCCTAATGCTCTTGTCATCAACACTGGCAATTTTAATATTGTTGTTCAAAATTCTAAGCAACATTGAAAAGCAAGACTTCATAATAATTATGAAACTGATAATTATAACTATGAATAAATGAAAAGTATTGGACTGCATAAGAGAACACAGAGTAGCGGCGGTGAACACAATAAGAGAGATACTTACCAACCATCCTTATTGATGCCATGAGCCCATGACATAATGTGGTCCATGTGAAAGTGAAGTCATTAGAGGAGTAAGGACATTATCTGTTTACACAAAACTGTAACTAAAATAAAATTAATTGTTTACAGAAATTAGTCTAGATTCATTTTCGTAGGACAGAAAACTAAGTCTACGTGGCATCATCCCTATAAACCAACCCAACCGATATCTCCAAAGCCCAGAGCCTACCAAATCATCAAGAAGAACAAAAAACGCCATGGGAGGACTCGACGAAGCTTTCATCCAAGCTCCAGAACACAGACCAACCACTCATCTCACGAACTCCGGTGATTTCATTTTCTCCGACGAGATCCCGACCATCGACCTCTCTTCTCTCGGAGATCCAGACTGCGACAAGACGGCGATCGCGACAGAGATTGCAAAAGCTTGCGAGAGATGGGGATTTTTCCAGGTGATCAACCACGGCTTGCCGTCGGATTTAAGGCGTCTGGTAGAGAAAGCAGCGGCGGATTTTTTCAATCTAGCGTCGGAGGAGAAGAGAAGAGTGAAAAGGGACGAAGTTAATCCTATGGGTTATCACGACGAGGAACACACTAAGAACGTTCGAGATTGGAAAGAAATTTTCGACTTCTTCTTGCAGGATCCGACGATCGTTCCGGCGACTCCGGAGCCGGAGGATACCGAATTCAGAAAGCTCACGAACCAGTGGCCTCAAAGCCCTTCTGATTTCAGGTGATCATTTTCATTGTCGCATTCAAATTGAAGAATACATTATCGTTATAATCAAGAACATCTAAAAACGGTTAAACAAGAGTTTAAGGCCCATTGGGCCTTACTAGAGTCCATTTACTATGGTTTAATGATGCTAATTATGTGTGAGTAGAGAGGTGTGCCAAGAATATGCAAGAGAAGTTGAGAAGTTAGCTTTCAAGCTTTTGGAACTTATCTCGCTTAGCTTAGGTTTGTCTGGTGATCGGTTAAAGGGTTACTTCAAGGAGCAAACAAGCTTTTTGAGGTTCAACCATTACCCTTCTTGCCCGAATCCCGAGCTAGCATTAGGCGTTGGACGACACAAAGACGGAGGAGCTTTAACCGTCTTGGCCCAAGATAGTGTAGGTGGATTACAAGTGAGCCGTAGATCGGATGGACAATGGATCTCAGTGAAACCGATCACAGATGCTTTGATCATTAACATTGGCAATTGTATGCAGGTAAAATTTTTATCCCAAAACCAATTAGTGATCAATATGTATATCTTTGATGATACCATATTCAAATTCAGTGACATTTGTGGAGTAGGTGTGGACAAATGACAAGTATTGGAGTGCAGAACATAGAGTGGTAGTGAACACAAGCAAAGAGAGATTCTCAATACCATTCTTCTTTTTCCCATCGCATGAAGCCAACATTGAGCCATTGGAGGAGCTTATAAGTGAAGAAAACCCGCCTTGTTACAAAATGTACAATTGGGGCAAGTTCTTTGTGTCAAGGAACAGAAGTGATTTCAAGAAGCTCCAAGTTGAGAACATCCAGATTGATCACTTCAAGGCTTAATAAACCACATTATTATGTTCATTAGCTAAATATTTCTGAATAACGTGTCGGGATTTTATTGTTTATTTATGAACTTGACGACGACCCATGTTAAATATACTTCTCCATTAATATTACTGTCCATAAGACCATAACTTAAACACACAAATCCTCAGAGCACAGTGTATTTAAAGAGAGATTTTCATTTTTCAATACCATTCTTCTTCACAAACAGCCAACGTTAAACCATTAGAGGAGCTTATACACCAACAAGACCGGCCTTGTTGCAAAGAATATTAAATTAAGAAAAGTTGTGTTTAAGGCGACACAAATGATTTTAAGACGCACCAAGTTAGCGTATACATTCATGTGAATGATTATCACTCTAATTATTCAAATTATGTCAACTAGGAATACATATATACTGTATACACACACACACGTTTCCTACCGAAATCTTGTTTACATGCATTTTGTTTCCTTATAATTGAATAAGTGCTTTCTGAAATGCATGCGAGATTGGAATCTACTTTTGGATTTTGTTTTGTTTGCTGGTAAGAAGCAAAATGAAAATAACATAAATACCACAATTGACTTAACTCCAAAGTTTAGTAAGATGAAACCCGAACAACCGCTTTCTATATGATATGCAAATAAATGAAGTAACTAAAATTGTGCAAAATATGATCACTCATGAAAATGAACAAAATAAACTTGGGTCAATGATTAAAAACGCAGAGAAACCAAAAAGAGTAAGAGTTATTATTTTTTTTTCTCTCTTTCTAGATGATTCTCAATAGGATCATAACGTTCCCAGGTTTTCTTTCCAAAGATGAATTTATGCAAAAGATTTCAGGTTTTGTCCCTCTCATTAAACCTCCAAATTTCAAAATTTTCCTCCCTGACATTGTTGTAAGCCGCTAGAGCCAGTCCTCCTAGTTTCATTAGACGTTTGGTAGGCAAGGATACTACCTCAATGGGAAGGTCAAGTAACTCAATCTTCTCATTTATCATCTCGAAAGAGACAACCAAATCATCATATATTCCAATTACATCCTTGCAACGTTCTGATAAAAAATATATGTGATTCTCTATGTTGATGCAGATTCTATTTGGAAATTCGATCTTCAGGTCAGCCTCAATCAGTTTCCAGGCGGCATTGTCACTATGAAATGCCCATAAATTTGAAATAAAACTCTGATCGACTTCATCACTTGTCACTAGCGACATCACGGTAAATTTATCTCCCCACTTGCCTACATATTCCACACTGTTCACTCTGTTCTTGCTTGGTAACTTTGGTGTTGATACTTTGTCCTTTGTATCCATTGATCACCACCTGACCAAGTGTCATTAGTTTCTTCTCAGCTTCGAATTCTCTATGAACCACCATCAATGCTTCTTCTTCTTCAACATGATCTTGTTTGACCAGTAAGTATTCCTGTTTGTCACTGTTAAATGGTTACTGCAAGGAGCAAACAAGCTTTTTGAGGTTTAACCATTATACTCCTTTCCCGAACCCCGAGCTAGCGCTAGGCGTTGGACGACACAAAGACGGAGGAAATCTAACATTCTTGGCCCAAGATAGTTTAGGTGGCTTACAAGTGAGCTGCAGATCGGATGGGCAATGGATCTCAGTGAAACCGATCACAAATGCTTTGCAAACGGGGGTAGTAAAATAATCCCTATGAGTGGTTAGCTATAATGACTAAGAAAGATCAAGAGAGATATGAAAGTCATCAGGATGCTGCATTGCAATGTTCATAGACACGACCACCTAATGGTTTCTTCAAATGCCACTTAACTATGATGATGCGTATAATTACAACACAGTCAGCACCTTTGGAGGCTTATGGTAAGGCACTATTTATGGCTATTCAGATTGTTAAAACCATGTGATATGCTACTCGGTTTGGTTTGAAAGAAGGTGAATATGATCAGTTTTTTTTTTGTTAAGAATCTTAATTGAGTTGATGTTGACTACTACAAACATCTACAATCTCCGTTAAAGACATCAGAATGTGGGCATTGAAGTTCATACACACCAATAAATATTTCAATGAGTCGCTCATAACTTGGCAAGGAAAAGTATTTTAAGTTTTTTTGTTCTATTCAAGTTGTTTTCTTTGTGTAAAGACGATGGTAGTTCTCAATTCATATAATAAAATGATTCTCTTCGGAACAAAGAAAGAGTATCAAATTTTGCTCATAAGGCAATAATATAAAAAAGAAACAAAATATTTAAATGAAAATTAAATTAAAAGAAACAAATACTGTATTACTCCCTCCGTTTTATATTATTTGATGTTTTAGCTTTTTTCATTTGTTCTTTATTATTTGATGTTTTAGAGTATAAAATATATTTTTGGTTATTTAATGCAACAAAAATGCAAACTTCAAGATAATTCTATAATTTTTATTGGTTAATAGTTATTTAAAATTAAAAAGTAATATACTAATAATTAGACATTAATTGTTTCTTAATCTATGTAAAAACCATATAATATCAAATAATATGGAACGGAGGAACTATTAAATTTGCAAAACAATAAAAGGAGAGAAAAAAAAAAAAAAGATGGTCGAAAAAGGGGAGTAGGTGGGGGCGGTCGGCTTTTTGATTAGTTAAAAAATCAGTAAACCACACGAGTGACCACAACCGATTCGACTCACCGAGTGAAACACACAGATTCAACTCGGTCTCGAGCTACAAGTTGGTTTTAAAAACCATTTTTTATTCTTTTTCATTTTCTCTTTTTTTTTTGGTTTGGTTGGGTCACTCAGGTCAGGTGTAAAAGAAAAGAGAGTGTTGCAAGTTGTAAACACCCCCTTTGACCATAATCAAAGCTTCAGATCTGAAAGGTTCTCTCAGTCTCTGTCTGCGTATTCTCCGGCGTCGTTTCATGATCTGACTTGGGTCTCTTCTTTTTTCTCTTTCTCCTCTTTACTTGGTCACTCTTGTTTATCTGAACATGCCACGCCCTTTCTTCCACAAGTTGATTTTCTCATCCACTATCCAAGAAAAGCGTCTGGTAAGTTGTAACTCCCTCTCCTCCTCTTCTTCTTCCTTGTATTCCAAAATCTCTTCTTTTCTCTCCTTCTGTGTTTCAAAGTTTTGATTTTTGTGCGAAATTGAGAGCTTTCAGTATTGGAATCTGGTGTCGAGTTTGCAAGTCTATGCGTTTTTTTAATTCTTTATGCTGTGACACTTGTCTTGATCTCTTCAGTTAAATTGTCTTGATTCTTTGTAGTAATTGGGTTAAAGCTTGTATTTTTCAGTTTTGGGAGCTGAATAATTGAGTTAGGAAGATTGAAAAGTTTCATTTTGTATAATTTCTTCTTATGGTCATTGCTTTGGTTTGGTGGAAAGTTCGGGTTTGGAGAAATCCACATCTGGTCTCGGATTTTGATTAGGATATCAATGTTCTCTGACAGCAAATTGAGTGTAGTTTGGTAATGTGTTTCAAGTGAGTTGACTTCTGATAATGATAATATGTATGATCCTGTCAGATTAAATGCAACTCATGAAATGAAAACGTTGAGATCTGTTTTGTTTACTCTGTTTTTGACCGCGGTTATTGATTCCTTGACCTTTTTTTATAAGGCCTCTCTCTATATGTTTATGCTTTAAGTTTCTCTGTTTTCTTCCTTTAGATAAAAGTGTTATTTTGTGTGTGTGTGGAGGAACAAAAGTACATTTATGGTTTTATTTTGCACAATAGATGATACAGTGGTTAGTCATTACTTTCTGCAGATTTTCCCCAAGAAAGTTTGTGGATTGTTATGAATTTGGCACATAAGTAAAGAGATTTGGCATATGATATATCATATATGTGATAAGATCATAGGAGTCACATAATCACTCTAGTCAAAGATAAATGTGCATTGTTATACATGTATAGTAGTGGACTGTGTGTGTCTCTTTGTTGATGCCTTCAAAAACTGAAACATGACCTTTTATATCTTCTTCTTGCATTTCCGGTGTGCTTGTTGTGCAGAGAGTACCAGATAAGTTTGTGAGTAAATTCAAGGATGAGCTATCGGTAGCCGTAGCACTCACAGTACCTGATGGTCATGTTTGGCGTGTAGGACTAAGGAAAGCTGACAACAAAATCTGGTTCCAAGATGGTTGGCAAGAGTTTGTCGACCGTTACTCCATCCGCATTGGTTACCTCTTGATTTTTAGATACGAAGGAAACTCTGCCTTCAGCGTCTACATTTTCAACCTCTCCCACTCCGAGATCAATTACCACTCCACCGGTCTCATGGACTCTGCTCACAACCACTTCAAACGCGCCCGCTTGTTCGAAGACCTCGAGGATGAAGACGCCGAGGTCATCTATCCTCTGTCCGTCTACCCTTCTCCTCTTCCTCCTGACTCTACTGCCCCTGCCAATAAAGGGTATCCTAGCTCAGCCATCCAAACCTTGTTCACTGGCTCTGTCAAAGGTGATTGCTTTACTCTTTATCTTTCTTGTTAACCTCTTTTAAGGCTTGATGGTTGATGTTTCCTTTCTTTTCACAGCTGAAGAGCCAACGCCAACCCCTAAAGTTGCTAAAAAGAGAGGGAGGAAGAAGAAAAACGCTGACCCTGGTAAGCATTTTTTTTTTACTCTTTTAATGTCTCTTGTTAAGAGGAATCCAGATCCTCATGAGATTTCTTTATGATATAGAGGAAATAAACTCATCTGCGCCGCGCGATGATGACCCTGAGAACCGTTCAAAGTTCTACGAGAGTGCCTCTGCGAGGAAGAGAACCGTGACTGCAGAAGAGAGAGAGAGGGCCATCAACGCAGCCAAAACGTTCGAGCCAACAAACCCTTTCTTCAGAGTTGTTCTACGACCATCTTATCTATACAGAGGTTGCATCATGGTAAATATAAAAACAAACATTTTTACTGCATTTTGAGGATCAGGTGAAAAAGCCAAATCTCTCTGCACAATGGTAATCTAAAAAAAGTCTTTTCTTTTTGTTGTTATTCTGTTTCTTTCAAACAGTATCTTCCCTCTGGTTTTGCTGAGAAGTACTTAAGTGGGATCTCCGGATTCATCAAGGTCCAGCTCGCGGAGAAACAATGGCCTGTGCGGTGTCTCTACAAAGCCGGGAGAGCCAAATTCAGTCAAGGATGGTACGAGTTCACTCTTGAGAACAACCTAGGAGAAGGTGACGTGTGTGTGTTCGAGCTGCTCAGAACCAGAGATTTCGTTCTCAAAGTGACGGCCTTTCGAGTCAACGAGTACGTCTGAAACAACAAACAAAGATCACTCACTGTAGGTATTATGAGTGTGAAATCGATCTCTGCAGTGTGGTGGAAAATTCAAAGTACAATGTCGTGTAGGAGGAAATGTCTTAATTTAAAAACAACTAAAAACTCTTCTCTTTTGTGTCATTTGCGTCAAGTGTCTCTCTTTTTTTCTTTCTTCATAGTGTTTTCGATGTGGATAAGCTTGTTTTACTATATATAACCTTGGAGTGGAACTCAAATTGTTTGAGTAGAAGAAAGTTAGGGTTTTAAGAAGTTTGTAAATACCTAATCTCCATCAGTTTGTGAGTGACCAAGAAGATGATATGATGATGAAGATGGGTTTGTGTTGTTGTGGATTCCTCGTCTTCTCTTTATCATCTCCTCGCTTTTGTTAATCAGATTTGGTGCGTATGAGCTCGGTTTTACAAGGAACAAGATTGTTCTCCTTGTTGCATCAGAATTCGAAAGCCTTAATTCAGGCTAAGCAAATCCATGCTCAATTGATCATCAATGGCTGCCGAGACAATTCTCTCTTCGGCAAACTCGTAGGCCATTACTGCTCGAAGCCATCGCCAGAAAGCTCAAAGCTTGCTCATTTACTGGTGTTCCCTCGATTCCGTCACCATCCTGACAAGTTTCTCTTCAACACACTGCTCAAATGCAGCAAACCAGAGGACTCGATTCGGATTTTCGCTAACTGGGCATCGAAAAGTTCGTTGCTTTACCTCAACGAGCGCACGTTTGTCTTCCTTCTCGGCGCTTGTGCTAGGTCAGCTTCGGCGTCGCGGGTCGGTAGGATCGTTCATGGGATGATTATAAAGCTTGGGTTTTTCTCTGAATCTGAATTGATCGGAACCACTCTGCTCCATTTCTACGCGAAGAACGGAGATTTACGTTACGCGAGGAAAGTGTTCGACGAAATGCCTGAGAGAACCTCTGTCACATGGAACGCGATGATCGGAGGTTATTGTTCGCGTAAGGACAAAGGGAATCACAACGCGAGGAAAGCTATGATTCTGTTTCGGAGATTCTCAAGCTGTGGCGGTGGTGATGATGGAGTGAGACCTACCGATACAACCATGGTTTGTGTTCTTTCAGCCATTGCTCAGACGGGTTTGCTAGAGATTGGCTCTCTTGTCCATGGTTACATTGAGAAACTCGGTTTCTCACCCGAAGTCGATGTCTTTGTTGGTACTGGACTAGTAGACATGTACTCGAAATGCGGCTGCTTGAACAGCGCTATCTCCGTGTTCGAGCTGATGAGAGTGAAGAATGTCTTGACATGGACTTCAATGGCAACAGGGCTAGCTCTCAACGGGAGAGGAAACGAAACGCCGGAACTCCTAAACCGGATGGCGGAATCTGGGATTAAACCGAACGAAGTAACGTTCACTAGCTTGCTTTCGGCTTATCGACATATAGGTCTTGTTCAAGAAGGGCTCGAGTTGTTTCAGAGCATGAGGACAAGGTTTGGTGTCACGCCGGTGATTCAACACTACGGGTGCATAGTTGATCTTCTCGGTAAAGCAGGGCGGTTGCAAGAAGCGTATGAATTTGTATTAGCTTTGCCTGTAAGACCTGACGCTATCTTGTTGAGAAGTCTCTGCAATGCCTGTAGCATATATGGAGAGAGTGTGATGGGTGAAGAAGTTGGAAAGGCTCTTTTGGAGATGGAACACAAGGAGAAGAAGGTTTCAGGTTCTGAGTGTGAAGATTATGTCGCTTTGTCGAATTTGTTAGCTTCTGAAGGGAAATGGGTAGAGGTAGAGAAGCTGCGGAAAGAGATGAAAGAGAGACGAATCAGAACAAGACCTGGTTACAGTTTTGTTTGATCAGAAAACTTTATTCTTGTGCCATTTCAAGTTCTTGGTTTCATCTAGTACAAGAAATTACATTACACAACAGAAACACTTGGTTCTGTTAAAAGAAATCTTTTCCCCTGAAGACTCTCTTGTCTTCTTCTTCTTCTGCTTCAAGCACTTTGATCGCATCAACATCTACACGGAGATAAACAAATTAAGATCCTGATAATCATTACGTATAAGGTTGTTATTAAGAACAAAGTCTGTTTTTTTTTTCTCTTCTAACCGGTTAGGATCTTCTCAAACTCGATGTCTCTTGGCCTCTTCTTGACAGATTGATCATTTTCCCTTGTACCTTGAGTCCCTGTAACATCAATGATCTCATTCTCATCGTCGCTATCACTGATAAGAACAGCATCAGTTGGATATTCTATCTCGCAAGCCGAAACATCAAAGATCATTACACGGAAACTAGAGTTCCCTTTGTATTCGAAGAGGAGAAAGTGGCCTTCGCTGATGGAATGAGCCTCTGCAAACTCACTCCAACCCTCGGCGAACCAAATCTCATCGTTGATCCGCTTAAGCTTTATCGAACGCTTGAAACCAACAGGTGTCTCGAATGTAACAATGTCGGATAGTTGAGCACCAAGTAGATTCGAAAATCTTGTCGGAATCCTCTGTTCAAATAATGAAGCCCATCAGATCTTGTATCACTTTTTAGATCTCTAATCCAAGATTAAAAAATAAAATCAAGAAATGGAGACTGTTAAGTGAATCTGTTGCTATAATTCCTAGAAACTGCGACATAAGTGCAATGCAACAAAGAATCGAACCAGTGTCGACACATGCAAACTGTATATTCAAGTAATACTGTGTTTTAAAAGTGTTTCTTAATTACCATCATGTTACTCTTCACTGTTGAAGGTAAAACCAGCTTGAAGAACTTCTTCACCGGCGAATCAGGATCTTGCGATTGCCGGCGGTGAGAGGCTGCGGTGACTCTGCCCTTCGTTTGCCGGGTATTGACCATTTTTCCTTCTATTTTTTTGTTCCTGTGTTTGTGGCTTTGTGCTCGGGGGAAGCTAGACTAGCCATATATCATCGGTTTTGTGTAGTTGCATAAATTTCTTTTTACATTCCCAAGACGCTTTTTATTTTGAATAAAGTTATCTGAATATTTACTTCATTAGATTTAATTTGTGTTTACAGGTAAAAAAAACTTTATTACCAAAGTAAAGCAAGAACAAGGCGGACCCAGGTCAGCTGAGACCGGTAAAAGATTAAATGGAGTATACTTTATTGGATGGAAATGTGTAGCAACAATAATTGGTATTTCACTTTAGGTATTGGCACCCCTAAACTCAAACTCAACTCTATATGGTTGATCCGTAATACAACTTTTTGTTTTTATTTGGTTGTGAGGTTTTCTATTTTGGTTCTCTTTTATTGTCATAGAAGTGTATTATTATGGTTCAATATCTAACAAGGCTCTAATTGGATGAGAGGTTAAAGGAAAGTACCATAAGATAGTGATTTTATCTATCCAAACTCTTCATAATGAATCTGTTTGGAGTGTGGTTAGCAAATCCTATTGTAATCGTTGAAAACGTCCTGAAACTAAGAATCTGATTAAACAGGGTTAAACATGACCAAAGTATAGTATTTGATTACACCAGAAATAGATGAGAGACCGTAAGAATCTTGTTCAACATAACTTTTAACATGCACTTGGATTATTATTCAAACTTGAAACACAGACCCATTACGAGCCTAAACACAAAGGTTCACAAGATGATAAAGAAAACATAAAACGAAACATAAGTCCTTTTTTGTAGACTAGAACACAGAAATCCCAAGTGCAGAGGTTTGAACAACACCATTTTTTACCACAAATCACACGGCTCAGAAGTCTCCACCACGAAGACGAAGAACCAAGTGGAGAGTCGACTCCTTCTGGATGTTGTAATCCGCCAAAGTGCGACCATCCTCGAGCTGTTTCCCAGCGAAGATGAGTCTCTGCTGGTCCGGAGGGATCCCTTCCTTGTCCTGAATCTTTGCCTTGACATTGTCAATCGTATCAGAGCTCTCGACCTCCAAGGTAATAGTCTTGCCCGTCAAAGTCTTCACAAAGATCTGCATACCACCACGCAGACGCAACACAAGGTGGAGAGTTGATTCCTTCTGGATATTGTAATCCGCAAGTGTGCGACCATCCTCAAGCTGCTTTCCGGCGAAGATGAGTCTCTGCTGGTCTGGTGGAATCCCCTCCTTGTCCTGAATCTTGGCCTTGACGTTATCGATTGTGTCAGAGCTCTCAACCTCCAAAGTGATGGTTTTCCCGGTGAGGGTCTTCACAAAGATTTGCATACCACCACGAAGACGAAGGACAAGATGTAAGGTCGACTCCTTCTGGATGTTGTAGTCGGCAAGAGTCCTTCCGTCCTCGAGCTGCTTCCCGGCGAAGATGAGCCTCTGCTGGTCTGGTGGGATCCCCTCCTTGTCTTGGATCTTAGCTTTGACGTTGTCAATGGTGTCTGAGCTCTCCACCTCCAAAGTGATGGTTTTTCCGGTGAGGGTCTTCACAAAGATTTGCATACCACCACGAAGACGAAGTACCAAATGGAGAGTGGACTCCTTCTGGATGTTGTAGTCAGCAAGAGTCCTTCCGTCCTCTAGCTGCTTCCCGGCGAAGATAAGCCTCTGCTGGTCCGGTGGGATCCCTTCCTTATCTTGGATCTTAGCCTTGACGTTGTCAATGGTGTCAGAGCTCTCCACCTCCAAAGTGATGGTTTTTCCGGTGAGGGTCTTCACAAAGATTTGCATACCACCACGAAGACGAAGGACAAGATGTAAGGTCGACTCCTTCTGGATGTTGTAGTCAGCAAGTGTCCTTCCGTCCTCTAGCTGCTTCCCGGCGAAGATGAGCCTCTGCTGGTCCGGTGGGATTCCCTCTTTGTCTTGAATCTTAGCTTTGACGTTGTCAATGGTGTCTGAGCTCTCGACCTCAAGGGTGATTGTCTTGCCCGTCAAAGTCTTGACAAAGATTTGCATACCACCACGAAGACGAAGCACCAAATGGAGAGTGGACTCCTTCTGGATGTTGTAATCGGCCAAGGTGCGGCCATCTTCTAGCTGTTTACCGGCGAAGATAAGCCTCTGCTGGTCCGGAGGAATCCCCTCTTTGTCCTGGATCTTTGCCTTGACATTGTCGATGGTGTCAGAGCTCTCGACCTCGAGAGTGATTGTCTTGCCAGTGAGCGTTTTCACGAAAATTTGCATCTGGAAGCAAGAAAGCAAGTCGAAATTGATCAGCAACGATTGATCCGATAAGAATCGTAATAAGAAATCAAAACCACAAAACGAACGAATCTTAACAGATAAACTGAATAGATCGAGAAAATCAGCCAAAAAAATTCAAGAGATCGTCCTTGAAACCCTAACTTTTTGGGAGAATTGCCAAATCAATCAAAATTACAGAGATCTAAACGATATATATCTCATCCAACCATACAAATTCACTAACAGATATATTAGTATTCGACGATGAGAGATCAACCAACGATGATCATAAAGACGGAGAACAGGCGAAACAATCAAACAATCATTGGATAACGAGATCGGAAAACAATCGATGATCAATCCAACTATCGCCGGAACCAGAAACAGAGAACAGAGAAACCGAATTGAAGATCAGGCGCAAAATCAAAACAAGAGATTAAAAGAAACAAGTACCTTGAAGAGATTTGCAGAGCGATTTAGGGTTTGTTGAGAGATGAAGAATCAGAGAGAAATCAAAGGGATGAATAAGATTCGTCGTAGGAAGGTCTTCTTTATATAGCAGCCTAAAATCGATTTTAATTAGAAAAAAAAACGGAAAATCTAAAATATCAATTCGAGGATATGATCGTGAAACTAGAGTAAGGAACCACGCGGACACGTGTCAATGTTTACAACCGTTCGTTTCAAAAGACCCACTCAACTAGAAACATCCTTCGGTGGATGGATTAGGTCATCAATGACTCTTTTTCTTCTCCATTGGCAGGCCACAAATAATTTTTTTTCTTTTTGTTTTTCTATTTCCTTTTCCTCTAGCTAATTCTTTCTATTTTTTTATGATAATATAATTATAAAGAAGTGCAAATATATTCTTGCCAATAAGAGTATATCTTGGTTCACCCAACCCATCAAGTATAAGAAATCATAATACAAAAATAATTAAAAAATTCCTATATTGAATTTCTCTATAAAGAAACTACAATATGAAAAAAAAATCCTATATTGATTTTCCCTATAAAGAAACTACAATATGATAGTTCATTTTCTTGATGTCAACAAATTTATATTGGGCATAGAAATATTATCTACTACATTATTTGCTTGAAATGAACTTATCTACCACTGACCAAAAATAAGAAAGCGTATCTACCCAAATTTATTTATGCTTCTCCTAGAACACTTGTTATGTATGATTCAGAACACTAAATTCTAAACTTAAACCTAATTTTTGAAAAGTTAAATACGAACACATGATCTGAAGCTAGTTTTTGTTCTATCAATTTTGCAATAAGTAATAACGCTTTAACACTTTTATCTATGTTGTTGTAGTGTTCATTATTTAGACGGATAAACAAAGAAGAAAACGTGTTGCATTGCGGCCGTCGGCTTGCTATATTGTAGAAAGGACATGAAAAAACATTTCAAAAAAATTTGATGTATTTAAGTATTATTGGGCTGATGAAACTTGGAAACAAAATTGTTGAAGCAATCGATGAAGCAAGCAATAGTCTTGTTGATGTCATTAATTAAATAGATAAGAGCCTAACCAAAGAACACAAAGAGAGTTGTTTTAAGATGATTACAGAGCCATCCACTATCGCGCTTTATCTCAAGACAGAGAGTGTTAGCCCGTCTTGTGCTCCAACATTGTATTGGCACCCCCCTAAACTCAAACTCAACATTATGATTGACCCGTTGTTTGATACAACTTTTTGTTTTTATTTGGTTGTCAGTTTTTCTATTTTTGGTTCTCTTTTATATATTGTCTTAGAAGTGTATCATTATGTTGAAGAATCTACCAAGTTATTTTCCATTTGAGGTTCAATATCTAACAAGGTATCTAGTTCTTGGATGAGAGGTTAAAGAAAAGTACCATAAGGTAGTGATTTATGCATTATCCATCCAACTCTTGATATATTTGATAAATATGTATGTCTTGCTACTTTTTTTGGGTAAAAATGTCTTGCTACTTTATTATTTGTTACCAAACGACTCCATTGTTTTTTGTGTGAGTGTGATTCGTTTATTTGAATGCCAAAATTATGTCTAAACTAGGAGAGTACCCACGCAATGCGCGGGTTTATGTTTGCAAAAGTTTTTTGTTATTGTTAATATTATTTTGTTTTGTTTAAATATCATTTTGTGTATGTACAAAAGTAAATTTTGGGTTAAATATCTCTAAATGTTAAATAAAATCAGAGTTTGTTTCTTTTGAAATATTATGAAGTTAAAAGGTTTTGAGCTTGATGTTTCAGTTTGATGATTGTAACATTAATTATGTACTTTTTCTTGAATCAATAATTTCAATCCTTACAACTTTTCTGCAGATGGTAATAAACAGTAATTTGGTATGTCATATCGAGTAACCCATGAGAAGAAAATAATAAACAGATATTCAATTGTATTAGATTAGCTTAACATCTAAAAGTTACTTGTTTAACATAAAAACATCCTGTATGAGGGAAACAATAGAGAATCCCTTCTCTCTAATATATAACTTTTTGTAATTTTGGAAAAAAATTAAGATTGAAGTTAAAAAATGAAGAAATACGTCTTAACTTTTCTCAATCTTTTCATAACGTTGTGTATGTTTTCCGGATGAACTAATTTACAAGTTAAAGAATTCAAAATTAATTGAGAGAATTCTGTAAAAGTTATGCGCGGTTTTTTTTTTAACCAAACTTAAAAGTGATTCACAATAACGAATCTTTTGCTTTTTATTTAATTTGTTAAAGAATTAAACTTGAAATTATAATTGGTATCAGCTTTAGCCTTTAGCCATTCATTTAAATCGACCATATGAACCAATTCCCTTACAATTGTGATCGTAAGAAAATTTAACTTAGATTTGATTCAAAAAAGGCGATCATAATTATTTTTTGTCTTGTTTTGTTTTGGAGCAAAGCTGAGCATAATGAATTAAATCTTTGTTTCCTCTGTATCTGCAAAAACCTTTTATCTTAATGAAAATCCTTCAACAAAGGAAAAAAAAATGTATTAAATCACGAAAGTTGTGTACTTGAACTATATGGGTAACTCGAATTTTCAAAGCACTTGCACGTCTACATTCCTTGGTTCCTTCATCTTTTTTTTCCATTCGTTTTCTCTTTTGGCTGAATTTTAGAAATACATAAACATAAGAGTATATTTATGGGACTACATCGACTTGATTCAGTATGCTGCTTATAAACTTTTCTTAAGTAGTGATTATTCACAGAACTTGAATAGGAGAACCAACATTCTTCCAAGGCACACAAGCTGCTTCACTTCTTACGTGGTGGTTTAATATGGAAAAAATCTAGCATACAAAAATCAAGCATGTAATAACAATATGTAGGCACTTCGACCTTCATCTTTGCTCTGGTTGCATCACCTTTAGCAGGAATGAATCCGTCTACTTGTTTCTCTACGCTTTCTGCAATGTCCGAGAGGATACGCCGTGTAAGAGTCTGACAAAACCCAAGAAACTTAGCTTCCCATCAGAATGTCTTATCTAATCCTGAAGAACAACCTGAACAGGCACCGATGGACCGAGCCCGAGTTCCTGTCAACAAAACACATCAAGAACCACCCAAAGAGATCGATAATATCACAGCTCTAGGTGGATTGAACAGGGGAAACTTTTATACCGAAGCAAGTTCTTCGATCATGATGTCTCTGTTCCCATCCTTCTCAAACAACTCATATGCACGGCGTGCGTGTTGCTCCCAAGTTCCCATTGCTTCTAGCTAATAAACACTTAAAGCCGATGCGCAAAACTATTCAAAGTCTAGTTTCTTGTACTGAAGACAACTAATCTGCAATCCAGCAAAGTCACTAATTACAATCTTAAACCCACAAAAACACACTGAACATTATTTGGCGCTCGTCATTTATGCTTCTTCTCTTCAGAACTTTTTCGGAGAAACTGAGCTCCTGCCATCATCATAACGTCTCTTACCAACTCTCTCTGAAGGAAAAGATCTATGAGATACAAAACGCATGAGCATACATAAACATCAAAATTTGGAAAAGAACATCTACATATATAGAGAATGTTAATCGCGAAACCAGTTCTTACAAATCAAAAGGGTAAGCCATCAGCTCTCAAAAATCCACATGGGATATTGTTTTCTTACGTATGCAACGAAACACTCAGGTAATCTAAAGAAAACTCTCAAAATACCAAACCTTTATTATCAAACGGAAATTCAGCTTGATATAGAGGCATAAATGGTGTTTGAATACTGGGTTATAAAACAAGTTGCGTAATAATCAAACAAAAATCCACTATTTCGAATCAGAAGACGCAAAAGGGCGTTTTAGAACAGACCAGATCATTGTCTTGAATTTGAACAGACCAGATCATTGTCTTGAATTTGATCGGATTTGATTTCGCCGGACTCGCCGTCGGAATCTGACGTCTTAACATTGGCAATCCCCGCTTCGTCTAAAATATCGCCCTCCTCCACGTCATCCTCGCCGCCGTTACTAACACGAATCGGAGCCGCCGGATTCGGAGATATATCCTTCGCCTCTGCATCATCTCCGGCGATGGAATTTCACTGTTGCGCTTCTTATCACGGTGATGTCGGTGATGGCGCCTAAGGGAGACGGACATTGAAGATCAAATTAGGTAAAGACACTGTCTTTGGGACACTGTAACGGCTCCGAACGGAAGTCAAACGGATCGCCTCGACGGTGAAGAGAGGAAGTCGAGAAGACGAAACCTTCTGCGTCAGGCCAACACAAAAAACCTAAAAACAAAACGACGTCGTTTTGGAAGCAGGTGGGAGAGACGCAAAACGACGTCGTTTTGGCGTTGGAAGGGAAAAAAAAAAAGAAGTGCCAGGTGTCCTGAACAGAGAGTGTCCAAGCCTTATTAGTTATGTAGATTAGGATGGCACTTTCTTATACAATATTGTCTTCATCAATCAAATTTCTTATGGTCTCTGTTATTTGAAACATTATAAGACCCAATATAAAACATTAATTTGTTTGTAGAGTGGTTAATTAACTCATTGAAAAACATCATGAAACTAAGATTTTGATTAAACATAACCAAAGTATTTTTGATCACACAAGAAATAGATGAGAGATAGAGAGAGAGTAATTTAATAGCCAAGCAGCTTCTTCCACCTGGCGTAAGCAAGGGTGAGCAAGAAAAGGACAAGGTGAACCGCAGTAGCACTCCACACAAAGTAACCAAAGATGCCTTCCATGTTATACAATGGACATGGTATGTTCATCCCGAAAATGCTTACCAACAACGTGTACGCAGCTATCGCACACGAGGCTATGATCAGCACCAGCTTCATCTGGAGCAATTCGTTTCGTCGGTTATCCAGTTGTATGTTCACAAAGTCTTCAGTGTCGTCAATGTACTCCCTCACCGTAAGAATCTTGTTCCTCACTCCCTCAAACTGTGTGAAGTACACCTCAAGCAACATCTCCAGATCCTCCACGTCCTCATCTTCCTTGGTATTATTGCACGTCACCATACTAGAGCTTCGCTTAGACGTTGTCCCTCCAAGCACTAGCGCCTTGGATTGCTGCTGGCTCTGGATCCATTTCCTTGTTAAGTATAAGTCTGCCATGTCCTTGTTGTCATCTAACAAATGTTCAATCTCATCTCTCACCTGAACATAAAAATAAAAATATGTTTCCTTCCATCACAAGTCACAACAACATAAGAGTAAATTAAGGTCAATCTTTGTTTACCTTTTGTACACGAGCAAGCAAGCTGGTGAGGTTACTTTTCAAGCTTCGAACGTAATCAAGATTCTCGGTGCTGACATTCTTGGTTAGTTCATCAAGGACAGGCAAGGCTTCTGTCTCTAGGGCTACCACGCTGCTATCGACAAACGAGCAGACTACCTTCAATGCAATCTCCAGGACTTGGAACTCAAAAGGAAGCTCATGATGACTCTGCAAGTCCTCTGCTGCTTCCGGATCAAGAAGAGAAGATTCTTGTGCAACTCTTGTTTCATGAGACTGAGGAAACTGCTGCTTGAGTCGGTCAACGAGTGAAAGAACTTCAGGACGGAGAGGATCCAAGATCAGCACTTCTTCTGCGGTCACTATCAGCTTTATGGCCTCTAAACTCACAACTATAGCTTTCTCTCTCGCTGCATACAGAGCCGAGGAAAATGGATTCATCATTACAGACTAAAACGCATACAATCCAATTCCAAGGCTCGTAATAATCATTAGTGAGACTCAAAACATAAGAAAAGAAATGGGAATATTCTTACCAAGAATGTTTGAAGAGTGAGAGAAGACAGGACCAAGAATCTTCAAATCCCTGGAGGGAATGGAAGCACGTTTGATGATGGTACTCTTGTCGCATTCAACCACTTCGGAAGCTCCAGTGCGATCAAACCTCATCCACAGCCTCGCTCCTCTGCTCTTCTTCTTTGACTTCCTCACAGCCTCTCCTCCGTCTGCATTAATCGGCGCTGGAGAGGAAAGCCGGCTACTCTCGGCTTCGTCTTTCGCAGCTAAACCCTTCTTTCTGTGGCGGCTGCTCGAGCGACAGCGTAACGACGACAAGTGATCCTTCCCCATTGCGATCAGTTATTCAAATCTGGTAACTGACGGCAGAAGAAAACGGCGCCGAGCTCTGCCGCTTCTTCTTCTTCACTTTCGACGGTGATACTTCTTTCTACCATAGACGTCACGCCAGTGAGGAATAGGGTTTGCATTGTTGTAATTTCACCCCAAAAAAAATTATGTATATATATATGCGGTGCTTGTTGGCACTCTTTTCGTGATTCATAACAGAAAATATATTTGTTTCATATATTTTTTTTATTTGTTTCATATCTCCATATCTGAAAGATCTATTCGTTGAAAGAAAAAAAAAGGAAAAAAACGGTTAAATATATGGGCTTTTTATGCAGACGCATAAAATATGGGCTGGCTTTTATTTCTCAAAGCCAACAATAGAGGAAAAAAATATTCCAATAATGGAGTAAAAAGATATTCCGACCTGCCGGAATCGAACCAGCGACCTAAAGATTATCTACAACTACTACAGTCTTCCACTCTACCAACTGAGCTAAAGTCGGATGCATTATTTACGTACACAATTAAATATGTATAATATGTTTTAGTAGTCGATTAATATATACTCCCTCCGTTTCAAATTAGTTGTTGTTTTGGCAAAATGTATCTGCAATTATTTGGATGTATCTTCAATGCAAAACACGCATCCAAATATTTGCAGATACATTTTGCCAAAATGACAACTAATTTGAAACGGAGGGAGTATAATATTTTCACTTCGACATATTATAAAATATTCCATATGGCTGTAACTGGTGACCAAAGAATGAGGGGGAATAAGACAATTCCCCTTCATTCCTTTAAAATTACACCATTTATTAGGAATGTGTATTCTATATTATTCCTTACCATTTCATATTAATTAGGGAATTATAGTGTTAAAATATTCCTTATAAAATATGAAGAAGAATGAGTTCCATATATTTTATTCCTCTTCATTTCATTCCTTCTCATTCCTTTTGTTCCTTTATATGTCACCAGTGCCATTTTTCTGTGAGATAATTTTCATGTTTAAACTATTAAAGGTCTTATAAAATAGTCAAGATTATGGGCTAAGACCATCTCCAACCCCTCATGCCATATGTTATTGCAAATGGCAAAAATATAGCAATAGCATTGGGTTTCTCTCCAACCCCTCATGCCATATATCATGCTATAATTTTTTTCCAACTTATTATTAATTGTTAAAACTACTTGATTTCTTCAAATTTTACAAAGTGAATCATTTTTTTTTTTTTTTGCAAAAACAACCAGAATTATTTTTTTATTTTTTTTTATTATAATATTAAAACAAAATACATCATATTACATAAAAATTATAGAAAACAAAGATTTTAACCTATTGTTTTATGTTTTTTGAATTTCAGTATTTTTAAAAATAAAATTTTAAGTTTATTATGGTTATGTTTTTATATTTCTATGAAATAAATATTATTTATATTTTGAAAAAGTTATGAGTATTGTTTATTTATTTAAATAAATCATAATCAATATAATTAAACTGTTAAATTAAAAGTAATTACAAATTGAAGGACTATTTTATAAATAAAAAAGTTCAATGGCAAAATAGCATATTGCATAATCTCATGCCAAATATAGAAGCAAAAATAGCATGATGCTATTTTGCAATAGCATATGCAATTGGGTTGGAGCAAAAATTATGGCAAAATAGCATATATGTCATATTTAGCATGGGGTTGGAGATGCTCTAAATAAGTCTTAGTTAATTAAAGTCAAATGGACAAGAACCTGGTGGGGCTTTGCCTAACTACGTTGGGGAATAATAGTTAACAAGCTGTTTGTTTGTAAGCTCTTACCTTAATTAAAAGAAAAAAATATATAGCATAGACTGCTCTGATATCCTAAAGTTTGAAAACAGACTCATATGCATAATCTTGATAACGAAAACTTTATAAATATCACAAAGTGCGTTGCTACTACGCATTTTAGTGAATATATAAAAAGTAATTTACAAAGAATTTCTACGAAGCGAAACATGCATCTCTTAGATGATTTTTATCTGAATTATCATCATTAAGAATGTATTACACTTTATAAACTTACGCAACGTAGGAGTCGTAGGACTAGTGAGTGATGACTATGAATGCTTGAATCATAACGCGGAAAGGCACCCAATCATACGGACAAGTACAAACATTATGGATCACATTAGTGACATAAAGCGATACAAACTTTAAAGAGTGAAGAGATGACAGTAAGCACATGCAGTACCGAAATAGTTAAAAAGAAGTAAGAAATAGTTGTAAGAGAAAGCGTACAATTTTTTTTGAGTTTACAGCTTTCAGTACCACTTGTTGTTAATTACTGCTTTCGTGTGTGTAACTACAACAATACAGAGTTACCAATTGCATCCGTACATTTTGGTTACGTTCCTAATTTTGAAAAACTTTTAATTTGCTTGGAGATATTGATGTAGAAAATTTTATCAGCTTTTCATGATATTTGAAAAATGTAAGAAATAGAAGGGTGCGTATATGTGCCAGTGTCAGTGTCAATGTGCATAGATATGATTAAACTTATACAAGTGTATATTTGTATCACGCCTAAATCCGACGAAAGAGAGACTTTTTACATACATTCATGAAGACAACAATAAAATATTGCAATTAATTTTTCCAATGGGTACCTCTTTTTCAACATGTCGAACAAACAAATCAACCTACCATAGTACCATACGTATTTAAAAACTTTCATTTTCTATCAGATCAATTTTAAAATAACTGAATATAAAAATAAAGCGAGGCCTACTACGAAGTCTATCTATGTGGGTTGATGTGTCCAATGCTTTTACTGGTTTTTTCAAAACGTAACAAGTATTGGTTGTAGGTTTGGCTTTCGATTGTTTGTGTACTGTAAGTACATGGTCATTCATTACTTTATATACCCTCGAAACATCAAAATGGTCATCTACCATACATTTTGTTAAGACTGTTGACCAGATTGATTTGTACAAAACGTAATGTCATAGCTTTATTACGATCGACTTATGAGTTATGACTACGAAAGTACGAATGGTCATATTTTTTAATCGTATAGGCAACCTATCAAACCTCAACTACAAGTCTACAACATCCCATTATGATTGTGTTTTTTTTGACATCGATTGTGTTTTTAATTGCTTGTTAATATTATAGTGGACTACTGGTATAACCAAGACCTAATAGATTTATTTGAAAAATATTAGAAATAGAAGGGTGTGTATGTATGTCAATGTGCATACATTATACATATATAAATGTGAACCAAACTTAAATCCCACGAAAGTGAGACTTTTTACATAAGTTCATAAAGACACGAGTACAATTTTACACTCATTTTTCAATGGCTACTTCCTTTTCAACAAACTGAACAAACAAATCAACCTTTTATTAGAAGATACAAATCTTAAATTCCAGCAACATCAGTTATAAAAATACAAATCCTATTATATATTTTACCATATCAATTACAATTTACAAATATATCCATTACAACATCAGTTATAAAACTAACTAAGAAAAAGAAAAACAATAACTGAATAATAAACGAATTTTACAAAAAAAAAAAAAAAAAATACAAAGAAAATGGTTTAGAATCTGTTTCCCCTTTCCTTTCTTGTTTTTCCAAACGTAAAATTCAAATATGTGCGTTACAAAAAGGTCGAATATAATAGATGAACTTTCTGAACTTTTGGCTGTATTTATAACGTGGCCGTTCGTGATTGGTTGTATGATCTGCTTCTTTTAGCCGGCCAGAAAACTTGCCTTGACCACGAAGGCAGGAATCACATGGACCACGAAACATTCCCATTTCCCCCACGCGCTACGACGGCGCGTGATATCTGCTCTTCAGCCAATCACCGGAGTCGCCGTCTCCGTCACGCGCCACACCTTCACCGATTTATCCAAGCTTCCACTGTACACTGTCCATCTCTGATCGCCGTTGCCGTCTTCCTCCGCCTCTTCCACCGCCGTCAAACACTTGACTGGTCCCACGTGGTCCATCAATACCGAGAGACACGAGTGTGTCCCATCGCCGTTCCTCCTCCATACGCAAATGTTCTTATCCGCTCCGCCGCTCAACACCAGACTCCCGGCGGCGGCAAGGCAGAGCACCGCCATACGATGGCCGCGGAGAGTCCCGCCGTGAGAGAGATATTTCTGCCCATCCCAGAAATTAACGATACCGTCAGAAGATCCACAGTAAAGAACCGACGCCGTCAAATTAACCGCCAACGCCGTTACAGCGTTCTCTTGCTTCATCAACACATTAACCAGAAAATGATTCGTCCCTTTCCCTTGAAGCTCGCGTTTCCACACTTTCAAAGTTCCGTCGGCGGATCCGGTGAAGAGCAAATCGTCGAATCCGGCGGCTACAGTGTTGATCGCGTCGTCGTGAGCTGCAATCGATTCTAAACATTTCGAATCGGAGAGTCTCCACACTTTGAGAGTCTTATCCCACGAACCGGAGTAGAGTAAACCGAGCTCTTCGTTCAAGCTAAGACACGAAACGGCGTCGTAGTGTTTGATCTTCAGAACGTTTTTCCGGCGACGAACTTCGACGTAGTTCTTCGGATTCACCGATTTCGTCAGAAACTCTTTCAAAGTCGGTAAGCTTCCGATTCTGGAATACCCTCCGGTTCTTCTCTTAGACCCTCTCCAAACCCGGATTTTACCGTCTTGATGACCGGTGAAAATCCGGTTATCTCCGGTTATTACAATCGCCTTAACCAATCCACTGGTCGATTTAAACCCGGCGAAATCCTTGAGATCTTTCCAGACCCGAATGTTCTTCGAATCGGATCCCGTGAAGAGAAGATCTCCAGAAGCAGCCAACGAGTAGACATGCCCTTCTTGTCTCACGATCGTACCGATTAAACCGTTGTCCGGGTCATCGTCCATGTTCCGGGTCTGGTAGATCCACGGAGACTTGTAGTACGGAGAGTACGTCTGGTTCCACGGAGACGGAGACATCGTCGGCGTCGTCGTTGTGTCGGTGTAGAACGGAGAGTAAATCTGGTTCCATGGAGATAAAACCTGATTAGGAGACGAATCGCCGCTTGGGGTCGAGGCATTGCTTTGATGTTGTTTGTAATAGTTAATATCGTTGTTGATTTTGCTAGTGTTGCTGGTGATGGGGTTGTTGAGATCATCGCCGTGGCTTTGTTCTTCTTCGGTGGCGGCGGGATCGGAGTTTAAGAAGGCGGCGAAAGTGAGTCTTCGGTGATGACTACTACTGGTTTCTGCTGCTATTACCATATTTTTGCAGATCAGACAAAAGAATAAATTGAGTAGTTGTTGTGGGTTTCTTTTTTCTTTGGGTTTTTAATTTCGTTGTCGTGATGAGAAGTTTCAAGGGGAAGAAAAATGTTCAAGTTTTTTTCTCGGGATTGGGAGAGAAAAATTTTGCAAGTTTGGTGAGATTATTGAAAATAAAGAGTGTAAATGAGGAATATGGGATTGGGTATATATAGAGAAGCCAAAGGAGTAAAAGTTGGTGAACGGGCGACGTGGGTTACTGACACGTGGCGTTTTGACTGGAGACGTGACCGTCACATACCGGGAGCGCCAGTTTTCACGTGAGACCGTATTAAGAAAATGAAAATTAAAAGTTTAATTGTAGTTAAACTTAAACATTGTACTAAATTTTTATTTATTTTTATGGAAATTTGGAAAGATTTTTTTTTTTTGGTTGATGAGAAAATAATGGACGGTCTAGACACAATGTGCACAAGATGATGTCTAATAGATATTGGTTAGGTCATGTGTAGAATCGTTTGGTTAACCGGTATAATTTGTTTGTTTCATTAGTTGAGTGTTTTCTCATGTTTATACAATTTGTACATTTGTAAATTCGGCACCACCGGCGTTCGATATATTGACGCTGTCTACCAAATTGTGTTAATTTCTTCCACGAATCTTTCTTTTTCACATTTTGAAACTAAATCTATTTTCATCTAAACTGTTGAAGCAAAAATGCAAATTGAAGTGTAATTATTACTCTTTTAATGTATAAAAAGATTATAACCAAATATTTCAACCCAACATTTCTATAATTGGTAAAACATTGGATATTCTTCTTTTTTGGACGATAACATTGGAGATTCTTGCTAATTACATATATCTGTAACTGTTAATTATGATTGAAATCAATAAAAACATTCCAAACCTTATTTATGCAGCTCAAGATGAGTTCAATAACCATTGGACAACTATAAGTTATTACGAACATAAAACTTGTATCAAAGTTACGAGACGTTAAACATAATGGTCTTACATGCGTGGTACGAGCAATGTGAAAATGATTGCACATGAGATGCGTCCGTACAAAGATTCGGGTTTTTCTAAGAAAGTTAGTTGGATGATTCAAAATAGAAATAAGATAAACGCGTGTGTGGCTGTGTTGGCGGCTGATCATCTTCACACGTTGCATTACGTAACGGTAACACTATTCGCCAAGCGGTATTGATTTTTATTACTTGGTTTTTTATGTTTTTTATGACATGTGAGAAAAAGGTTTTCTTCCAGATGTTTGACTTTTCTGACTACCCATGAACGAACGATATAGCTTCATTTTTATTTTGGGTACTTATATACGTTTGATTTTCTTACACCAAGTTTTTATTTTCTTTGTCAATAAATTATGGAAATCTACACGTACGGAATAAACAAGTTGGAAATGGCAAAAAATATAATAATAATAGAGCAAGTTACAATTTATTTTTCTCGAGCTGCAAGCCTGCAAATAGTTTGTTTTTGTTTTTCTAAGTTAATGGACACAACCAAATTTAACGACTCTTATTTCATACTTGGTCCGTTGGTCGTTTGGTGTTGTTTGACTTTCATTACGTACGATAAAGAAACATATATTTTCTCTGTAAAGTACATTTTTGGATAATTTTGGGGAAATATGGAATCTTCTGCAATCATACGAGATTTTATAATTATTTATTTTTATTTATATCAAAGTTGAATCGGATCATCAAGTTTTTCTAAATCATTTTAATTTAAATACTTGTCCAGTCTACTGATACAATTCAATACAGGTTAAACTACATAAAAGTATAAAACCCGTCAAATTCCACATAAATTTCACGTAATAGAAAAACTGATCCGATCTCTAATGTCAACCCCTATTTAATTGAAAACGATTCTTGACAGCTATCACAGTTTTGACATTTTAGGGTTTCCTCAAAAAATATCGTCGTTTATTAATATTTGAAAAAACAAATGGTGATAGTCAATAGTCAAGGACTCGATTTGTAGAACGATGGCGTTTTGAAGCCACGGTCTTTCACATTCACGGACTAAACTTGTCATTTGGTCCACGGACTATCCATCTTTCCAGGACGTTATCATTACGATATCAGTACGACACGAAATTTATATTTATATGATTAAATCAAATATTCAAGGTACAAACTTCAAAGGTATGACCAAATTATAAGTCGGACATTTATGTAACATATTACCATGGTTAGGTATTATTTATAAACAAGAAATTGGATGACTGGTCTATGATATGTATATATTATGCTAATACCACATTTGGGTATTCTTTGATCAAGATATTTGATGATTGGTCCATACAATTCATAAACAGAAATCCATTAGTCGACATGTATAGTAGCGGTTCCAAATGTGTGTCGTCATGATCGTGCTTAAACCACAATTAACATCAACCACGCTGTTGTATTTATTCGAGTTAGATAGAACTGAAACAATTTTTTTCTAATCAGATTGAAAATTTTCAAATTTAAATTTGGTTCGGAGATTCTAGAGATAGTGTGATATACAATACATATTTTGGTGGTGTTGTTGTTGGTCTGGAGGTAGTATAGTTATACATTTCCTCTTTGATCCATCATTTGATTCATTTCTAATATATATGATGAATCATGAACGAATCCTAATTAAAATTAAGAACAAAGTTAAACAAAAACAAAAATTTAGAATACTCAATACTTTCTCTGTAATCCCTAAGAACTCCTAGATTTTAGTTTCCCGCTAAACTACGATCGCTAGAAAATTGTGGTTTTCAGTAACCAGAAACTAAGCTACCGTTTTAATCAGACAAAATTACCTTTTATTTCTTCCTTAGGAGTAGTTTGCACCTTGCACGTCGTTCTTTTGACACGACATGCATGTATTATTATGTGATAAGTTTGAATTCTCACACAATCAATCGTTGTCTAATATAAAATTATAACATTTCCAAATGTATATATCGTTGTCTTAAAGGTGTCTGGTACGTACGCATGCCGTCACAACTGTGGCAAACGTACAAACCCCATATATACCAATTACGGAAATGCTAAGGATACTGTAATTTCCTCCACCATAATAATTACAATTATCATTTTTTTTTTTAGTTTTAGTTAAATATCTTTGGAAGCTCGACACAGTACAGCCATGTACACCAACGAACAAAGAAACATTTTTTTGTTGCCCATTACGTAAGGAGTTCTGAAGTAATTACATTAGGAGATTTTTCATTTTTTTTTGGGTGGCTTAACTGATCCAGTCGATGTGCGGTCCGAATAGAAACTGAGCTCTTTATATAATCAGGAAATTTATAGAGCTCCATCATTTAAAAGTAAACTAGGCACACAGCTAAGCAAAGTATTTATATAAATTACACTTTACTTCTCAAAATTTCTAAGTTTTTTGTCTTTAACCAAAAAAAAAATAATAATAAAAAAAAACACGTTACACAGTTAAAAAGATTATGATACATACACAAACAAGTACACAACTCTCACTTCATCATCGATTATTAACTCAATAATACAATGGGGACGCCAGACTACCAGAATCAAAGATTTGATATTACATGTTAGATTTGTTGATTGAAATAATTTATAGTTTCATTTTTGTTTTAATACACACAATAAATTTCCTTTTTTATACTTTGGTGATTAAAACTAAAAATTTAAATGTATTAGATCTTTTTTTTTCTTTGATGAAACACCTATAAAACATAGAAACATATTGTATAAATATTAATTTATATATGGAGAATAATTTCCTAGATACTGTAATCGAAAAATATCTCCCTGGCTACTGATATTTTTTCTGTGATCCCTATATAAGTTTACAACTTTTTCTTTGCAAAAACAACGACACAATTTTCTGCCAGCAGTTATCAATATCTTAGTTGCCTGTGTGTAAGTATCAACAAATGCAGATGAAAAATAATAAATACTAAAGTAATATCGATGTGTACAACAATGTATCTTTACGATATATAAAAGTTATTCATTGGAATGGTAGGTTTTGGAACGTAGAAAACGTCTCCGCTGACTTTCTGGCAGTGGTGATCGATATCCTTTCTTTTCAAATTAACGATACAAAGATATATATTCCCATAAACCGGTGTCCCAACATGAAATGATGGATTACAAATACTCATAGGCACATGATTTACCAACATGCAAAAATCTATCAAATGGGTCAATGGGACCGGTGTCCGCTGTAACACGATTATATTTATCGTAATTCTCCGATATATTTTTCTTAATAATTTTCATCAAGCAGATTCCGAGTCTAAAACAGACACAATATATTGAATCCAACAAAAAAAATCTCAGAATGTATACGTAGTGTACGTAATAATATAATACATGTATGCAACTCGAGTGACGTGTGTATATGGAAACTAGTCCAAATGTGTTAGGTGGGTAATTTATATAGTTGCCCCTCAAAATTAAAACCATTAATTATTTGTATAGATCATGGACATGGACCGTCTTTTTTTTATAGAATAATAGTATATGTGTATCATTTTTTTGTTGTTAAATAAGTATATGTGTATCATAGACCGTTGCTTCTTAACACTGTATTAAGATCATGCAAACACATTCCGCCCTGTTTGGCGGAACGAAAACACGACCCGATCTCTTTTACAAAAACTAAGGAAATCAGGATTCTTAGGGACAATCACACATGGACTAGTATAGCAGGGACATGTGTGCTTTACAAAAGATGTAGATTGTATTTTAAAAGTTTTGGTTGTTGAGTTTTTGTTTGGAGTTGTAAACTAATATAACTAAGGAAGATAGGACGAATACACTTGGAAACGGTTTATGGAACACAAATAAGAAAAATTCAACTATAGGATAAGATCAGATTTCATACCAAATCATTGTATATGGACTATTTGATTTCATACCAAATAATTGTATATGGACTATTTGGTCACCACTCCTTGACATAGTGGTGTCCTGCAGATTTTATAATTCATCGCTTCCGTGACACTAATAATTTTTTTGTTTAACATCTCCATAATAATAAATTTTATTTTGACAAAATAAATATTAAGCTTAAATGCGATAAATACAGTGTCTGAATCTTTTGTTCTAATACTTATGTATTTGGATGATATGCTAAGTATTGCAATCATCCCACCTAATGAATTATGGTTGATCAAAAAGTATAGTTGATTGCTATGTTGAATTGCAAAAATAAAACGAGAAAAGTTTTTTAATTACAAATAGCGAGATCAGTTTAGACCGATAATATGGTCATAAAAATATTGTTGTCACCAGATTGGATCAATAATTATTCCAAAATAAAAACAATCACGATTTTCATGCAACCCAAAAGAGAGCGATCAAAGAAAAAATGTACCCAACCGAAGAGACAGCTAACATCATAAAGTCTTCGCATCTCATTTTAAATGTACCCAACTTGAATTATTATCTTTTATGTGTCATCCATCATATGATATGGATCACTTAGGATAATAATTGCTTGATCAGAAAACTTATATGACAATCACTTCAAAGTGAAAAAACTTATTTTTAACTTTTGTTTGTTTTTGTTTTTAATAATCATTTATGAACACACGTTTTTGTGTTGCTTGTCACTTCGTCACTCGTTTTGTTGTTAAAACAAGAAGAGAGACAAACAGACAAGACAACCCGTTTTTACAAAGAGTCAGCAACATGCCTATATTCCTAATACAGCTTTACAACTTATTGATTTTTTTCTTCTAATCACAAATACAGTTAGCGTCTACTTTGTGTACTATACGAACGTAAATTAGCAACACTTATACTACACGATCGTTTGACCTAAAAAAACATATTTTACATCTAAGACTATCGCTCTAAAATGCACTCTTGTCTTGTTTTTCTGTCGAAGAAGAGCCGACACGACTGCTCAAATATATCTAGGTTACATGTATTTTCTAGTTCTAGACTTGTAGTCCAAATAATAGTTATTTTTGAGTTGTGATGATGATGAAGAAGCATTTATCCATGATGATGATGATGAGCAATCGAAAAGAAGAAAGCTTTGTACATGTTTTGTGAATCACTTTCGTCACAGAATTGGAAAAAGCTTGAAACTCTGGACATGATTCCCTCTTCTTTAGACATGTGAAGTACGAGACAAGATTTCATCTTTACTCAAAAGCATCAAGGATTGATAAAACATTTGATAAAACAGCACATCTTGATAAAATATCAGTTCACACTATAATTCAAAGAACATGAACATGATAAATAAAGAGAAATACACAACTCAAGAACAAGAAATGAGATTACATGTCAGCTCTTTTCCTTTTGCCTCCAGCTCGCTGGATTTGAACCAAACTCGGACAATAATTAAAAATATCTGCCCGAAACTCATCCTCTATCGATGGTCCAACATCCACTAGTGTGGCTTCATTGTCCTCCCCAATAATGTATACCATGTCTCTGGCCTTGGTCTCGTCTTCAAAGTCAACCCAATTCACAGCAATCATGACGACTTTCTTCTCGTCGTCGAGCAAGAACCTTGCCTCGTAACAAAGTCGAAAATCAGGCGTCATATCGAATGCTAAGACCTTGCTCCACGACACACCTTTGTTGGTCTCACCAATCTTACTTGTCACCCATATCTCGGTCTTGGATGTATATTCGAGCTGTAACAAGACCGAGAGTTTCTCGTCTTTAACAACGGAAAGACCTATAACATCATAACGACTACGCTGATAGGGAAGAGGCACAGGCACACATTTCTCTGTTGAGTAATCAAACTTGACCAAGGACACGATGGATTGCGTTTTCGTTTTATCTTCAGCGAACCAGTAGGTGCTTCCCTTCAAAGACACGTCGACACTACAGTATCCAAGTTTCCAGCCAGGAGCCATGATATCATCAACAACCCTCCACGAATCAGAGCCGAACTCGTACATTTCGAAATCTTTCGAATACGGATAAAAGCTCAACACTTTGTAGCTCTTATGGTTGCCTTCTTTGTAGTATCCGAGAGCAAAATGGCGGTCTTTAATGTAACGATAGCTGGGAAGGAACCACCTGGTCTCACCAGTAAATGGGTTCCAGACCACAAATCTAGATTCGTCGAAGGAGGTGCATAACAAGAGGCCGTCACAGTGAAAGACTCTCTTTATATCGAATTGATCAGCAGGATACTTCGGATCTACTAGGCTAACCTCAGCTTTCACCTCTAAAGATGCAACTTTTCCGTCGAGATCGACGATTGTCCGACTGATCGTCGACTCCCTCCTCAGCAAGAGAACCAGAAACTGCTTTGCGGCTTTGTCAGTGTGCTTTCTAGCGAATCTCCCGTCACGGGTAAACATATGGTTCCATAGTTTACAAGTAGTTCCCATTTCTATCAGATCATCAGTAGCCGGAACACGAGTCAGTATCTCCTCAACTACCAAATCCCTTGGAAGATCTCCGGACATCTCCATCGTCATTGGTGTTTGAACCAAAATATCACAAGTTTCTATTACAGGATTTTAGGTTTAGGTTAGGGTTTCCAGAATAGTTCTTTCTTGTTGATCAAGTTAAAACTCAAACAGTTACAAAGAATGCCCAAGTAAGGCGAAGAACCCTCTTTATATATACGTAGTGAGGAAGTTGGTTTTTCGACTTTATTTTTTCATATATTTTTAGGAATCTTTCATATTTGTTCTCATCTTTTTTCTCCCTTTCTGTATTTTTCCTTATCTCTTTGATCTTTCCTTTTTCTTTCTTTATCATAACCCCAGTTGAGAATTTTTTTTTTTAAAATACATATATTTATTTGAGCCAACCTGGTGACTACAGTTATTCCAAAATACCATCACAATTTCCATGCAAGCAAAAGAGAGCGATAAAAGAACAAAAAATGTAGCCAACCGAAGAGACAGCCTACATCATAAAGTCTTCGCATCTCATTTTAAACGATACATTGAATTATTATCTTTGATTTGTCATCATGTGATATGGATCACATCGGGTAATAATTGTCTAATCAGAAAAAACTTTTAACAAAACAAAGAAACAGTAATTGTCTATGTCAATCATTTGAAAGTGGAAAAAATAAACGTTTCGTAACTTCTATTTGTGTTTTTAATAATCATTCATGTAAACACGTTTTTGTGTTGCTTGTCACTCGTCACTCGATTTGTTGTAAAAGCAAGAAGAGATGAGTCAAACAGACCATTACAGTTATTACAAGCTTTTTATAGAAAAACAAATACAGTACAGACTGTACAGTTAGCGTATAATTTTGGTACTACACAACCGTAGATTAGCAGTAGTCGTGTACATTTAATTAAGACTCTCACTGTCTCACTCACATATGAAATGCACTCTTCTCTTGTTTTTTATCTCGAAGAAAGAGCCATGCGACTATCCTCTTATGTTTAAAGGTGGGCTATTTGGGCCTTTATACTTGAAATACTGCTATCGGCCCATAACGTAGTTGAGATTTTCATAAATATATCAGCCCAAATCAGTTCCTGGCTTGCTCTTCAAGCTCGCCCGAAGAAGAAGACTGGTAAATTACTGAAGCAGACAGAATCTGTGAAATTTGATATTGAGAAACGAGAAACTCGCAGTCAGGCCGCTTCTGTAATCACTGTATAGCTTCGTTTTCGATTTCCATACATGGAGTTTGTTCTTGAAGAAGGCAAGCGGGTTCATGAAGAATGCTCCACTTTGATTCTCGTAAGTTGTTTCCTTTTCTTAGCTTTTTCGATGTCGATCTGTAACATCTGTTTCTCTCTTTCTGGGTATCTGATATTTCTATCTGGAAATCCAAAAACTGTAGCTTTCTTGAGAAATTATGTTCTAGCTGACGAGAAAATAGAAGAAAATAGCTGCTGTAGTGAAGTTAAGAAACTCCCAACTTTCTAGAAAACATTGAAATTCCCTGGAAAATTATAGAAAAAGGATGGGTTTTTAGAAACAATGATCATTCATTATCATGAAACAAAAGTTTAGAGATTTGTAATTGAAAAAGTTAATGATTTTTTTTGTTTGGGCACCACCACCACCAGCCTGCATTGTCAATTGGGAATGTAGGGCAGCTCGCTGTTGATCTTCTAGTGGCATCAACTGGTGCAGAGAGAGTTGGTTATCTCGATGATCCAAATCTGCTTCCCTGTGTTGGAAATGACGCTTATGGCCTTCTTCCCTGTGGCGATCTCGCTCTTCCTCTCGAGGGTTTGTCTTTCCAAACCATTAGGATTAGCATTTCATGTAGATACTCTGGTTTATATGATTTCTTGTCACTGAATTCGACCTTATTGTTCAATGGAGAAGCTATGAAAGACACTACTTGCTATATTGTATAGTTTGATGCTGCCACTTATATCGTTGAATCAGCCTTTTTTTTATCTTTGTGGAATTAAAATCCCTTTGGTTGTGCCTTTTATTTCAGTCTACGAGTCATCTTCAATTGCTACCGCTCTTGCTCAGCAGCGGTCTCCAGTCGCTAAGGTATTAGATTTTTCGAAAGCAGCTTTGTCTGTCGTCATTTTCATGGTCCTATTTTCTTTTAAAGGTTGCACATTTGCAATCAATTTTTTTTTTTTTTTGTGTTGGGACTATGAACTGGAGTTTCCATTAGAACAAAACTAGGAATGTGAGTGAGGAATGATAAACTTACAATGTTGATGTTAAAACAGGGAATGATGATTAAGTTTGCGGAGAATATTGCTGATTTCGCTGCTTCAAGTGGAAAGAAGCATGTTGTTCTGCTTTCGAGTTTGGACTTCCAGAGGCTGCATAACTTGGATATGTCAAGGTAACTGCAACACCTCTTCTTTGTGTTTCTTATAAATTATATTCATATGCCTTTTGACGAAAACTATACATAGCTTGTGCAATCAAACATCATAGAGGGCCACAAATTAATTTATGCTCTCCTTGGCATTTACTCTAGAGGCCCACAGGTGTATTATCTGTCTAACTCGGAAACTGATGAAAGAGACGATCACTGTGAAAGACTCGGATTCGGAAGGCTGCACGAGTATGATTCAGAAGGAAGATGCTGGAAGTATCTTAGCTCCGTCTTTGAAGAGAAGAGTAAAGAAGAGCTGAGTTTCCCTTCAGAAGATGAGCTCGAAGACATTGACTACTACCCAAGCTTGCCATTTGCAGCTCTTTTCTCAGCTTTTAAGGTAAATAAAATGGCCTTGTAATGAACAATCTATCCACATGACAACTCATTTTGAGATGATTGCAACACTTACATGGCCTTTGTGGGGTTTAGGCAAGAGGCTTGAAGGTGACATGCCTGCTATGTTACTGTTCTGAAGGAGACAATATTCCAGATGCATTTCTTCTAGCAGAGGCTGCATCTAAGCTTATGAGTCTGAGTCCAGACAAGTTCCATGGTAAAAAAGCTCTCTTCTTTCAAAGGGTAATAGCATCTTTGAGCAATCAACCAATCTTGAGAGCTGATGAAACTGATATTGAAATTATCTTTTGATGCAGGGGAAGAAGGTGGGAAATGGCGGATACCATTTTCGTGGAAGAGCATGTATGGAGCTCCTCCGGACATGTCTATGTTTTAAGACTGTTATTGGAACTCACAGAGTCAGGCAAGAGGTTGTAGACTTGTAGTAGTAAAAGTATGATCAAATTACAAGTTTATGGGTTTTTTATCCGATGGACACCTTTTTTTCGTCATCTAAAGCTGTTACTATTGAACAAACTCAACAAATTAAACTGACCCGTGCCTTGCACGGGTGATAGTTTCTGAATTTGTATTTTTATTAAAAATGTTTATTTAAATATTTCGACATTTTATGCGAGAGATTTTTAACATTTGTTATTCGTTTATAGTATGGAAATTAGGCATTTTAATCCTTTAAAAAAAAAAATTAAAGCATTGATCATAACCACAGATTAAATATGATAGATTTAACCGAGATACATAAAACTCAAATAACTATAATATAATAAGATAGTTTAAAGAAAAAAAATTGAAAATAAAACATTATTCTTTAGAAAAATTATACATCATGTATTTCATAAGATAAAAAGTTTTAGCTGTGTGGACACGGATTAGAACTAATTTTTTTCTTTCTTTCAAAACTAAAACATGCTTTATTATAATTTCAAAACAATCCAACCAATCAGAAAATAATATGCAGAATCCAAATTGTCAAAACAGCAAAAATATAATTAATTTTGTATAGAAAGTTGAAACAGATAGAGTAATATTCAAAAGTTTAATCAAAATAAAATATTTATAAAAAGATTTTTTATTCGATTTAATTATAGATTTTAATTAAAAAACCATATTAAATGAAAAAAAAAAATTACCTTTGGATACCTACTAAATGAGGTTATATACGAAACAATTTATATTATTTTGTTTTTAAAAATTCAAATCATAACATGTACAGAAAAAGTTTTAGATTTTTTTTGATAGATTTTTTATATTGTGATTCAAATTATTTTATTAAATAAATTTAAACAAAGATGATAGAAGATGTATACTGATTTTAAAAGAAATTATTATGATGAATTAAATTGAATCTCATATCTTCCTTATTTACTAATTTTCGTAGTTGCCAATTAAGGAAAGAGAATGATAAATTTAATTTCATTATTTGGTTGTAAGCATAATATGCAATGGCATATATTGTAATTTGTCTAGTAAAGCTTGTCTTAATTAGAAATTGCTCTAAGAGTGAACCTAGTGATGACACCTAAGCAATGACATTCTTGTTAATAACACATTAGACAAAGGTTATTTAGTTAGTGTTTTCTCTTTTAATATATTAGGGATTTCAATACTAGAATACAACGTCTCTCTAGGAATTCTATCAAGAAAATATCATAGAGTATGAGGATACAATCAACAGTTTTGTAATGTATCGATAGGTTTGCAATTTATTGAAGAACAGAGTCATAGATAGGTTTGCAATTTCGTATAAAGTCTGTGACTAGCCGTAGAGGGATAAAGCACTAAACCGGAATTAGAACCAAATCCTAAACAGAGGATCATTTAACCTCAGATCTCAAATCGGAATGCATAATTGTATTCTTTATGACCGGGATATGCATATTTTTGTTGGATGGAAAGAAATATCACTAATTCTCATGAACAATAATGTATGAAATATCTGTGGGACTAAAAAGAAAGTAGTTGAGCAATAAATTCTGGAGTCATTGTGTTTTATTGCATAGATAAAAGCCAAGTACTTCTGACCGGTTTTTAATTGCTCTTTATTGCCATCAGATATATAAATTTATATTTTTATAATGTTTCTTGTTCGTACATAGTTTTGGATCTTGAAAGAACTGAATGGTGGGGGTAATTTGTACATAAATTGGTTAGTACAAAGTATATAACTCGTAATCTTGATTCTTAAACTCGTTTCATATTAGACTAATATCAAATTAACATTTATGGGATTTATTCCTTACAAATTAAGCATGTCTTTGGTCATAATCATAGCCTCATAGAGTCATAGGAATACTACTAATCTTAGATAATCTAAAAATAATGAGTCTACTGTTCAGGAGACAGAAAGAAAACATGTTTACAAGTTTCTACTTCGTTGGCTTATCAGGCAGTATGAACAAATGGAGAAAAGCGGAGAAGAATTTTCAAAATAATACAATACAACAATAATATAAAAAAGTCATAAAATTCCACTTAGTAAAGGTCCCAAACCATTAGTATCAGAGTGGGTCACCACATCAAATCCACATTAAAATCAAACAACCCTAAAGGAGCACTATCTCTCCTTTTTTACTCCCATATTGCCAGATTTTGGTAATCTCTCTTAATTCTTACCTAAAATTATGATATTACAGTTAGTTATTTATAGAATTATATCCTCAGTTACCTAATTAGTACCTTTATAATGTAAAATCTAAACATTCTAATCTAGACCAAAGTATTCAAGGCTGGATTGCTTCCAAATTTTCAATTATTTGATTAATTATGTATGTATCATTTTGGCTCGTCATATTTGCAGTGACGTGGCAATTAGTCTTCCGAATACCGTTTACCTTTAGTCAACTCCTTCTTTTTCCCCTGCGTCCCCAAACACTCATTTACGTTAAACCTTTCACTGAAGCTCTGTTTTAGACTCTTTCTTCGTTACACTTTTTGTTTTTGTTTTTTTTACACAAATTACCAAACCACCATGCGATTCGCGGCGCCACCGCCGCGTTCCCGCGATATCTCACCGGTTCCTTCACCATCTCTTTCACCGTTACTTTCACCGTCACTTTCACCGTCTTTTTCACCGTATTCCGGTGTATCTGAGGAGATTCTTTCCCGTTCTTCGGATCCTCCTCTCGAGTTTAGTCCTCCTTTGATCGCCATGGTGGTGATTTTAGCCGCCGCTTTTCTTTTCGTTACCTACTCACGCCTCATCTCCCGCCGTTTTCTTTCACCTCTTTTCCGTCGTTTTCGGCGGTGGCGATGCCGTCGGCGCCGTCTTCTTCACCTATCGTCGGCTTCCTCTGCTTCAACGTCATCCTCCGATCTTCGATCGTTTTCCCCTTTCCCTTTCGACTCTTTTCACTACTCCTCGTACTCGCCTTACGGATTAGATGACTCGGTTATCAAAACGCTGCCGCTTTTTCTGTACTCCGCCGCTGCTTGCACCGGGAAAAGCGTTTCTTCTCCTGCGGTTGGAAAAACTTCCGCCGTCGTCGGAGATTGCCGAGATTGCGCTGTTTGTTTGTTGGAATTCGAGGAAGGGGATTACGTACGAACGCTTCCGTTATGCTTTCACGCTTTTCACCTTGAGTGCATCGATGAGTGGCTGCGATCTCATCCTAACTGTCCGCTCTGCCGTACGGCGATTCTCGGATCCGCGGCGGCCGGTGTTTTGGCGCCTAGGTCTCCGTTCGTCCCCTTAATGGCTCCTCGAATTCGGCCAAGCTTCGATGACGAGACTAACGCGATCATCATCCGCAGCGAAATCCCGCGGCGGAGTAACTCCACCACAATCGCTGCTGCTGCGGCAGCGACGATCGATCAAGAGATCACGGTGTCAGTGGAAGAGCAATCACCGGCCATTTCTCGGTTCAGGGAGCTGAAGAGGTCCTACTCATTCGAATTCGAGAGGGAAGGATCGGCATCAGAGAGAGTGACGATGGAAACAGCGACGGCATCTTCTCCATGGAGATACCGGAGATCTACGTGGAACAAGCAGCGGCAGTCTCCCTTCGGAAACCTAATATCGAAATCTCGAGTGTTCTCTTCCCGGTACTACAGAGGCGCGAAATCACCCTTCTTCCGGCGGCGATCGGGAGTGTTCTTCCCGATATCGGAGCGGATTCCAGCTACAGGAAGCTCATCGCGGCGGACGAAATCAATGACGAGCCCGATGTTCTTCCGTACGGCACCGCACGCATCGAGCCGGCTAAGATGCGGAGATCCAGAGGCATTGTTATCGCCGGAGAGATGGAGGAGAAGGGACACGTGTAGGGTAGATATGTAGATGAAATTGGACGGTGGTGATGATAGGAAAGGAAAATTGAAGTGGGAGGAGAAAGCATTAATGGAGTGTGGGGTTTTGGCATTTAATGGAATTAAAATGGACGAAACAGAGAAAGATATAGATTGGAGATTTCATCAGAAAAATGCTGCTACTCAAGCAATGCTTTGCTTCACAACAAGGTTCGTTTTTATTTAAATTATTTATTATTTTGTATACCTTATTTCACCTCTCTTATTTAATGCTGGTTTTTGTGCTAAAATACGGATTTCATTTATGTATAGTCATAAAAATTAGTTTTGAATTTTTCTGAATTCCTGACTACTATATTTTTTTTTCATTGGTGTATCTGATTTGTAGTGTAATTGACTGTTCATAACATTGCATGTGCAGGGCTCTAGAGGATGAAGGTAATGAGTTTGTACGACGACGTTTTTGACTGTGTTTGCCTTCTCTTGGAGTTGTCAACTACATTAACTTCCAAAGCTGCCAAAGTTATTATAGAAACGGAGTCAACAAACCCATTAAATTTCGTTTCTATAATAACTTTGAAATCGTCGGTGGCTTATTGTTTTCTAATAAGGAATTTTATGTTTTCTGAGCTTTTCAACCATATACTAGTAGTACTAATTTTCTAGTGTATTTAGCTGCGGATGATGTTTGAACATAAATAATTGATGATTTATTACACTCTGGAGAAGGATGTTAACATTTAGAAGTTGTGGATCCATTGCGCCATTGCTGTCTAAGATATTTTAAAGTGATTGCGAAAGCTTATAAAGTTATACATGTCTTCATCAATTGAAATACTACTGAAGCTCTATTTTTCAAAACAAGAATTAATAAAACAATCAAGTGTGCACAATTGGCAAGCACTTATTGTTTACGAAACTTAGAACAACTTAATTTTGGGATTATTGGTTATTAAATGTTTCGGAGAATGTTCCATAAAATAGAAGATGGTTGTTGGCTATCACAATTCTCATTTCACATATGTTTTTAAAATCTAATGACTACCTTATGTGTTAAACTTAAAGGGTAGACCAAGCATAAATGGAGAAATCGGCTTACGCCGTTGGTGTGTGCTCTCTCATAAGACAACTCCCGTGGGACTGTTCTAGTCTAAAAGAGCTCACACTTCCATGCATGTTAGTGTCTATAAACTCTAAAGCACGAAACTTTGGAGTTGCAAATCTCATTTTCCCATTCCTTTTCAAAAGTAAAGACTACTTTTTGTGTTACAAGGATATACACAAAGAAAGCAAGAATCTCTAAGGTGATGATTGGTTCTCCCGCTACCACCCGCAAACGCAGCGTTTGCGGTTCGTAGCGGTTCTTAGCGTTTTATAACAATCACGACAACCGCTTTCAACCGCTCTATACCACTCTGTACCGCTCTATATCGCTGAAAATCAAAAGCTCCTTTCCGCAAGCGTTTGCGGTTGCGGGCGGTTGCGGTTTGAAAAAAAAAAAAAAAAAACATAATATCTCCAAATTTGGAATAAGGGTATATTTTTTTGAAAAATACCATAATTATGTTTAAAAATTTCGAAAATACCCTAAATTTTTTCTGTTTTGAAAAATACACTTTTAAAATGTAAAAAGTATGTTTTGACGTGATTTAAACAAAAAAATAATAAATAATTACAAATTATAAACGAAAATTTAAAAAAATAATAAACTAATAAGTTTTTTTTCAAATAAATATAGTATATGTTAAACTGAAACAAATTTTAATATTTTGGATCTTTATATAAACAACTTAACCTCATACACATTCAAACCAAATGAAACTTTAAATAAATTAAAACTTTACATATATTTAAAGTTTATAAATTATTAAAAATTTAAAAGTGGAGAAATATATCTTTCATTTTTAATGTTTATCTTTTGAAAAATTTAAATATTTTTGAAACTTTGCATAAACAACTTTAATCTCACCCCATTTAAACTTTATATAAACAATCTTATATTTTTATTAAATTGTTTAAAAAAAACTAAACAGGTAATTAGGATGTTAAAATGATACAAAATTATTATCAAATATTAATATTTTATATTTCTTATTTGAATTTCGTTTTTATTAAATTAGGAATAATCATTTTACATATAAAAAGTGTATTTTTCAAAACCAAAAAAAAAGGGTAGTTTTCAAATTAAAAATTCATCAAAAAATATATTTCAAAAAAAAAATTATTAATATGGTTATAAATGTTTTGAATAATTATATATTATTTTTATTTTAGTAACTTTTGGTTAAACCGCTCTTGCACCCGCTGGCTAACCAGTCAAAAATATCCCGCAAACGCAACCGCTATGAATTGCTATACCAGTCGTACAAACAGCTTTTAATCGCAAACTCCCGCTTCCGCAAACTCCCGCAGCCGCAAACTCCCGCAACCGCAACCGCAGCGGTTAAACCAGTCAGACCCTAAGTCTCTAACCCAAACATCGTTTAAGCCGCTGGTTTGTGTTTATCAATATCACTAGACAACTACCGTAGTTGGGCTATTTAACTAAATCCTTACACATTCAGACGTGTTAGTGATCAGTATAAAGCTCTAAAACTCGAAGCGCTAATCGAATACTCGGTTTTTGCCGCTGGTTTGTCATTTGTGTTAGTGTGTATGATGAGCTCTAAACCTCGAAACAAATTTACGCGAGTTAATGTGCATGAGCTTTAAGTCTCGAACATTATTGGACTGAGAATTTATTTGTCTAGTGAAAAGTTAGAGATTCTTTGGCCAATGTGTATAATTTGGCGATATTTTGTGACTTTTTATATACCCTATTGTTGTATTAGTTGTGATTTTTTTTTTGTTCTCATTAATTCATTATACAACTTTTTCAACCGAAAAGACTTGTGATTTGATCATTTGAATGTTCAGCAATTTCCCGGGAATACTTTTTTCGTACAAATCAAAGAGCCACATGGACCTAATAGTGATATAACAAGGCCCAATTTAAAACCCATACATCTCATGATCATAATCATCACCATCATGCATACTAGGTTAATAATAATCATTTATCAATCATTAGAAAGCTACGAGAGGAAGAAGATTCAACAACAAAATCACCAGCTTTTCTTTTTCTTTCTCTGCAAACAAGGTTCATGCATGACTCGGCGTTTTCTTCTCAGAGAAGCAACCTGAATCTGAAATCATGTGCGACCCAATCTATGACGAATCTCCCAAGCTTCTTGTTCTGACACTGCTGGATTTTGTTTCTTGCTTCACAAGGCAGCGAGTTCCTGATCATGTCGACGACTCCGACGTGGCACAGTGCAGTGTCTTTAGCATACAATTCAACGAGCTTCGGTAAAAGAAGCTTGTTGTCTTTAGAGATTCCTACGTTTGATCTTACATACTCTTCTCTACCACGATCAAGTTCCATCTTCACGTTCTTGGGTGTGTAAATACGGACCTAAAAGGATCCTCCTTTTTAGTCCTTCATAACGCAAGAAACAATGTTTGAGTCAAGAAATTTTACTTACGGATGGATCTGAGAAGTTTCCAGAGCAAAGAGCGAAATGAAGAAGAGGCTCAGGTTGAGTTATAGCATAGTCTTTACCCAAATCTCCAGCTTTACCCTTTGTTCTAGACGCAAACAAGAACCTAAATACCTGCAAATAATTAGCATGACCCTTAAGCCCTCAAATCAACTTGTAAGAGTCGAAAATTTCATAAACCGAGATCAAATCAATCTTAGACTTGCCTGTCCTGGACGAGAGACCCGGCAACGGAGAATTGAAGTCTGAATGGTATCTAAGTTCAAGCTTCGACCTCCAACGTTATACGCTGCCTACATTGCACATTAGAAAAGCCCTAGACATGGTTACTCAAATCGATGACTTGTTCCCCAAGTTAGACCTGCACTGTAAGTAAGTAAGATCAGCTTACCTTCAACAACCCATATACTCTTTTCATACTGTTCTTTGGGTTCCCATACACAAGAATCGACTGCGAAAGAGACAACAGATCAATGTATTACACAGAGATTTATCAAGTCGAAAACTTAGTTTCAGAAACATTACGTGCATAACGAGAGAGTTGTGTATATTAATCCAGAAAGCTAGCTTCTCTTCATGATTCAACTTCCTTGGATTCACTCCTTCTAACTTATTAACAAGGGACCTAAACATTTAGAAGACAAAAAGATACAATTGATCAGTAACAGAGTTTAGTTCAGTTTATTTTTAAAGAGCCCTAGATTTGAGAAAACCTGAAATGCTTTAAAGCAGGTTCAACTTCATTTAACTTCTCCGAGTCTCTACATATCGATTTCACCATTAATAATTTTTCGTAAGGTCTGTTAATGACTTTCAGACGCTCTTTCCCGCCAAAAGGGCTGCTCGATTCTCGATCACCTTTGAGTGTTTCTTGATCCGCGAGTTGACGAATAACTTCTGAGATGCACTTGACCATCTCTTCAGACAAACTGTTTGGTGTTTCAGAAACGTTTTCAGAAACATATGTCCTCATCATCGTGTCGATATCAGCTTGCTGTAACCAAAAAGTATATCGCAGTTTTGATAGAAAAAGTAACTCAAAATCAGATTTAGTTGTTTACAGGATATAGCAAAAAGAAAGATTGCTTGTACCTCAAGCAGTGAGAAAGGAAGAGAGTGATGATATGATGAGTCCATTGCTTGGGGAGACATTCTAAAGGAATAGCCTGAACAATGAGACAAGGATGAGTGGCTGCGGAATATTCCAGAGTCATCTAGAACTTTCTGCGGGCTGCAGACCACGTTTTTTGGTGAATCAACGGGTTTATTAGACGCAAGAATATCATCTGATCTCTCTTTCTCCTCTGATTCTAGGTTAGATGTAATGATTTTGTTGAAGAATCTTCGGTATAGCAAAAGAAGATATCTTTCTAAGTACATCACTTGCAGCTCCAAACCTGTGATTTCACTCACTAGTTTCTTTGCTTCCTAAATCAAGAAATCGTACAAACATTTTCTCTTGTTATTTCAGAGAAGATATTCAGAGGCTTACGTGTGTTCTAAGGTAGACAAAGCTTAGTTTTATTTATTTAATAACCTTGGGGATAGAAGAATTGTCGCTTCTACAATCTTCCAAGAACAGCTTTCGTCGAAGGGCTGTCTCCATTTCACGACGCACTAAAAGTTCATTTTCCTGAAGCAGCAGATCCATCTGTGGAGTCAATAGTTGAAGATTTTGTTTTCTCAAGATTTAAGAATTTTAGATAAAACTTTCTTAAAACCTCATCACTTGAGAACGAAAAAAAAAAAACCTCATCACTTGAGACTCTGTGGGGCTGTACTTTTCTGTATCTTACAAGAGACTTTAGCTGTTCTATCTCTCTCTGCAACAGTTGATCCTAAAAAGAACAAAGGATAATGTTGATTTGATAAACAGTTGATTTGATAAACAGAGGATTAAAGAAACCCTTAAACAACTACACATTTGGACCCTTTTGAAAATTACTGACCATGTTGCAAAGAGCTTCACTTGATTTATTGTTCTTGAGAGATTTTCTAAGGACCGGATCGCTGAAAACAATGTCGGAAATAGCAGAAGCTTGTTAAGACATGATTGTTAAATCAGATATAAAATAATGAAGAAGAGGAGAGAAAAACCTTCTAGAACGTTTGTGAATCGAAGTTGTCTTCATGATAAGTTGGCTGAGTTTTCAGCTGTGAAAAAAACTTGAAATCCAACTCAGAAGTAAAAAACTTGAAATTCTCTTCACATTTTACCCAAAAAAAAAAACTTGAAATCCCCCCGCCTTTGTTTTTAAGAGTGTTTGTGATGTGATAAACTCTGAAGTAAAAACGACCCAACAGCTGAAATCACTGGAACAAAGCATTAAATGAGGGGTTTAGGGTTTAGGGTAACAGATTAGATAGTGACAAAGGAAAAGTTACAGAAGAAGAAGAAAGGAAAGGTTAAATAACAGAGGAAAATTTGCAGTGAATACCACGAATGGAATGATACTTTTTAAAAGAATATACATTTGATTAAAATATAAAAAGGTTTATTACTACTCTTTTCATCCGATCTTTTTACCTAACTTCTTTGGGGAACAGTAAATGAATATATGCGGTTCCTTCTATTTGAGAACCGGTAAACATACTCATGTGTGTGTATGCAATATGGTTTACCTTGGAGAGAATCACCTTTTTCCCTTCTCGTCCACATATTTCTGCTAAATAGGAGTATTTTTTTTTTTTTATAAATTTCAAATGGTTATATGGGGGTTCGATCGAAATAGGAGTATTTTGTGAATGATGAATACAACTATTTAAAATTTCATCCCATGATGAATATCCCATTTGTATATGAATTCGTTGTCGGATAAAAACCATTTGCAGTTTTGCACAATCATTATAGAAATAATTAGGCTATCTATCTATTTCTCATTTCATGATTTGTATTGACCAGTCCGATCTTGGAAAGAAACATGACTTTGATTAAAACACTTTACTGTTAAAATAAAACAAATATGTGTCTCTTTTTGGGTATATGCATCAAAAGAAACAAACAATATGTAATTATTGGTTTGACATCGGGTCTGACGTTTTGTAAAGGCTACTTTTTATGCAAACAAAAATCAGAAAATTAACAACTTACAAATTGGAGACTTTCAGTTTTGTGTGTGTGTGTGTGTGTGTGAAGTTATAATGTTAATTCATCTTTTGTGTGATCATATCAGTTCTTAATTTTGAACCCTTTATACGAATGTTAATGATTTGGAGCATACGTTGTATATTTTTGCTAGCTTTTTATTCATTATACATTACTTTCTTTTATATGGACATTACAACTGACTCGTCGTAGTATTTTTTGTTCGAGGGAGAGCTAGTAGTATTTGCAAATTAAAAGTTTAGAGAAAAGTAATAGATTATTTTTAAATTTAGTTCCACGTGAATTTATATGGCTGCATATGTATCAAGTGGATCATTTCTAAAAGCTCCACTAAGATTCAAAATTTGTAATGGCATTTTACCAATATATATACAAAAACTTCTTTTGTAAATGGACAAAAGGTTTTTGGTGGGTCTTTTGCGTAAAGAGATTATGACATGCATGGAGTGGCAAGCACTTAATGATTGAAATGGTAAAGGAAAGCCTTAAAAGCAATGAAAGGTGAGACGCTACAAAACCAAAACTACCAAACGTACTAACATAGAGAATTAGAGATGCATTTACATAAATCCCGTACGTATGTTTAAATATATATACAGTATAGTACTCACTATTCAGTGTTCTAACAGACTAGTCTTCGATAGCCAGGGAGGCAAGGACACAATACAACATCATTTCTTCCCATCAATTAATAGGTAAGAAAATAACATATTTACAAAATGTTGTTAGAGTTGGTTTTGCTTGGAAGTGTTCCATGTGACTCATGTATATTGAAATATTTTACAGGGTTTATTTGATTATCGCTGGCCATTGTATAGAAGAAAATAAACCTTTTGTGAATCTATATTATATAAAAGTTGAGGCTATAAGTCTCTGAGAGCGTCCACATCAGGATTTTAAGAAACCAATTAAATTTCGCCAAATCAGCATTTTAATTTTAAAATCGAAAATTAAATAATTTTTGAGAAAAATTACATTATTGTATTAAAGAATGGAAATTGTACTATTTTGAATTTTAATACAACATAAAAATAGTTTAATGGAAATTCAACATAAAAAAAAACATATTATTGGAAAAGCTAAACTAACTAATTAAAATAAAAAGGAAATTAACAATTTTGCTATTTCAATGTTTGACATTGGCTATAAATAGTCCTCTAAACTTTAGAATACACATACAAGAGTTTAAATACAACCATATTCTTCAAGAGAGAGATATAGTTTATTAAAATAGCTATGTCTTCTTCCAGCTCTTCTGTTTCTGAGAGTTCTAGGCGTCCTTTTGTTTTCGATGAACTCACTAAAGATTTTGTAAGAAAGAGCTACTTGCTAGAGTCATCCACTTTGGAGGCAAGGAACCCTAAAAAAGGAGGTCTGCTTATGAGAACTGCTTCTAATCGATCAAAAGGTAACGACACCAACATTATTTACCAATTACCAATAGAAAGTTAAATCATCATCAGCTTATAATACTCTTTTCTACCATAATTTAATACAGGGAACTACAATCCAAGCATTCATACCGCTTATCGACTAGGAGACTGAGGAAAAATTAAAGGCTGGTGAAGTTTACAAGTTTAATAGCTTTCTGGTCATCGGGAGAAGTCTACAACATTGGTAGTTTTTTGGTCATCATCAACAAAACGAGCTACAAGTTCTCCTCACACAGATTTCTCATCCAATTCATTCCGGAAACAACAATGGTGCAAGCCGACCATGATGACTACACTATTGAGGGTCAAAACTTCAACGCCGAGTTTAATGAATCTGTTGACAAGAACGAGGACCTTTATGGTAATAACTCTTTCATTATGAGTAGACTTCAATCAAAGGAAGACATTGAGAAAAGTATGTTTAGACGGTGATGGAGAGAAACGAAGAATCAGAAGAGGCTGATGAGCGCTTATTAATTAAACAGGATACGAAAAGGAAAAGTTGTATATGAGACTGTTTAACTATCAAAACAGTGATTTAAAAATAAATAGATGAATTTCTTAAATAGAATTGAATGCAAAATAATTAAACTAAAAAATATATATAAATAATTAAGTATAAATCATAAACTTAGAGCTGGAAAAGCTAAACTAATAAATAAAATTAAAAAGGAAATTAACAACTAAAATATGTATTACACTAATATTAGATTGTACAGAAGCTTGCCGGATGACCTGATATAAAAATTAGAAAGTGTTTAATGAATAGTAAAATTAAGGGATTAGTTTAAGAAATGTGAGAATAGGGCTGTTGTATGTTTTTTTACAGAAAATATGTTTTTAAAAAGTACTTTATTTATTATGACTAATTATAAAATAATTAATTTGGTTAAGTAAAAAATAATTAAAAAGTATATTACAAAGAAAAGTTTACAAAAAAAACAAAGAGCAAAAATTAAAAAAAGTGAAGCATTTGTAAATATTTTTTTTAAAAATATAACAGTTTAAAATTTCATTAGAACAGACCCGCGCGTGCGCGGGTCAAAAACCTAGTATATAAAAGAATAGAGAAAAAAAAGAGGAGAATCCAAAAGAGGTGATGTAGGGCTATAGAAGATTCATATTTTGGGATTTTGGAAATGTGAGAATAGGGCTGTTGTATGTTTTTTACAGAAAATATATTTTTAAAAAGTACTTTATTTATTATGACTAATTATAAAATAATTAATTTGGTTAAGTAAAAAATAATTAAAAAGTATATTACAAAGAAAAGTTTACAAAAAAAACAAAGAGCAAAAATTAAAAAAATGTGAAGCATTTGTAAATATTTTTTTTTTAAATATAACAGTTTAAAATTTCATTAGAACAACGCGGGTCAAAAACCTAGTATATAAAAGAATAGAGAAAAAAAAGAGGAGAATCCAAGAGAGGTGATATAGGGCTATAGAAGATTCATATTTTGGGATTGTGTTCTTCGTTTGTAGTTTCCTAAGTTTATGTCCCGTAGTTTTCTCACCGAGACATAAGGCGACAACTCTTTTTGTCTTGTGAATTTTTGTCTTGAATGTCACAATTTCAACACAAAGTCACAAACTAGCTCTTAAGGGCTATTAAGAGTATTGATTTACACTTCTTACTTTGCACAGATTAATTTAGTACCTATGAATCGTTATAATTCAGTAAATATATTCCTTCTAAGTTTTTGTCTCGATTGTCACAATTTTCAACACGGCTGATTTCTAAGTGTATTGACTCTACTTACCATGCATAGCGTAATTGAGAGTCTTGAAGAATATATGAAAAGTAAAATCAATCATATCTCATCTTTAGCGATGTTTTTTTCTCTATAATATATGGTAAACAAAAACATTGTATTTATATGTAACACAACAATGAATATTCTAAGGAAGGTTATTGGGAGATAGATTTCAAATTTTAAGAATTTTTTATTAATTCATGAATTCTGACAATCTTACTAAAATCCATTGTTATTGGTTTGATGATGTTTAAATTCCATATAAAATTCATTGTTATTCAAAAAGTTTTTATTTTAATGATTTCATGAATTCATGAAAATCCTTATTATTAAGATATGAATTTTAAACAATTTAACTCATTAAACAAAATTTTCAAAATACTACATATAACTCTAATGGCGGAGCTAGCCAATTTTTTCACCGGAGTCATATTGACATTACTCATATGCCACAAGGGTCATTAAGCATATTTTATAATATATTTTATAATGCATGTAAACTTTGGTTTTTTTTTTTTTTTTTTTTTTTTTTTTTTTTTTTTGTCAAAATCTATCGGAGTAGTTGACCCAAGTTGCTTCCGCTACTGTATAATCCTGAGATTTTTAAAATCATGACAGTAAAATATTTGGATAGATTTTTTAAATATACAAATTTTCTGCAAATTTAAGAATAAGTACTCTTCATAAATTTAACAATTCTATCAACTTTTAAAATTTTACTTCTATGTAAATTTATCTCCCAATAGCCCCCTAAATAATTCATTTTGATAATTCTAGACCTATACAAGAGGACATGAACATATAAAATTTCTCAACAATAGTTTCTATTTATATTGAATGTTTAAATCATGAACACAAAAACTTGAGCATTGAGAAATTTTAAGAAATACATCTTTCCGGTGTTAATTTTCAAAGGTATACTTCTATGATTTTAATTTTCAAAATTACATTTTTTTCATAAAATTAATATATAAATTTGGGTTTACTAATCCCTAACTAGAATTAATATTTTGAGGTTTATGGTTTAGATTGAGAAGTTTAATGTTAGATTCTAAGGTTTAAGATTTAGATTACTGGTTTAGAGTTCTTTTACTTAATGAAAAATAAACACCTTAGAGGAGATGTAATTTTGAAAACGTACATTTTTTTAATTTCCCCAATATTTAATCAAGAGAAATTTATCAATCAAATATTTATATTTGCGTGTGTTCACATTTGAAAAACTATTTATACGATGACGACACCGGAAGAGAAAGATCACAGCTTCATCGGGGTATCTACTACTATCTAATCACTACTTAACCAACAAAATTAAACCGGGAGATTCGGTAGAGGTTATACACTAAATTAATTGCTCTTAACCAGTTTGTCAACTCGGTCTACTGTAGATGGTATCTTGTTTGTTCATGCTCTTTCGGTTAATGGTGAAAAGGAAAGGTGAAAAGCAAACCCTAAATTATATAAAGAGACAGCTTTTACCGCCTTATTATCAACGAGAAAATTCAGACAAAAGTTCCAAAGGATTCGGTTGGGTTGAGTGTTGCTCATTGTTTCTCTTTCAGTGAATGTTCTGAAGAGGAAAGGTGAAAAAGGCGAGCCTCCTTTTTCCCGTTTTCTTTCTTGAGAGCTCGAGCTCGATCAATGACGAAATCCAGAAAACTTCCCAAACTTCCCCGTGATTTGGTAGAGGAGATACTCTGCCGCGTTCCGGCCACATCTGTGAAGCGGGTACGATCTACTTGCAAACGATGGGACCGTTTATTCAACGACACGAGATTCGTGAGAAAGCACTCTGTGAAAGCACCAAAGCAGTTTATGTGTCTCATGCTGACGAAGAGTCACGGGATTTGTCCGATGAGCGTGAATCTGGATGGAGATCCTCCATCCGTAGAGGTTAAAGCTGAGCTTAGCCTGCTCGATCCGCGTTCTAGAAACTCAGCCTTCCAATTCGATGTAACTCAAGTGTTTCATTGCGACGGCTTGTTGCTATGCGCCTCCGAAGAACCAGAACCTAGAATCGTGGTTTGGAACCCGTTTACGGGCCAAACCAGGTGGATCGAATCCGGTGGCGGGTTAAGCCCCCAGTTAGCTCTGGGATACTATCAAGACAAGAGACACAACACTAGGAGATACAAAGTATTGAGCTTTTATAATGACCGAGATTCGAAAATCTACGATTTTGACACTGATTCGTGGAGGGTTCTTGATGGTGATAGCGTTGGAGGACGGGCTCGTAGACGCGATGATTATATGGTGTCTCTCAAGGGAAACACTTACTGCTTTGCTACAGATAAAGAAAAACCGGAGCTTGGCTTATACTTGCTCACGTTTGATTTTGCAACTGACAAGTTTGGATATGTGCCTCTTCCCTATCAGTCTCCTTACCATAGTGCCTGTCTTTCAGTTGTTAGAGAAGAGAAACTTTCTGTGTTATTGCAACAAAAGATTACATCAAAGATTGAGATATGGGTGACAAATAAGATGGGTGAGAGCAACAAAGGGGTGTCGTGGAGCAAGGTCTTAGCATTGGATTTGGGCCTTTGTCTTGGGATTCTTGACTTTGCGAGTTTCTCGTTCGATGAAGAAAGTCGTCACGTGTTGTAACAGATTGACAAGCGCCATAGACGAGGCAGACGCCTAAGACGTGGTATACATTGTTGGGGAGGATAACATAGTCACACATGTGGAAGTTGGACTGGGTGAGTACTATACCTGTTGGCCAGCCATTCTTAATTATTTCCCAAGTTTGGCTCAAATCGAGGGAGCTCGAGGCAAGAAAAGAAAAAGACTCGAAAGGTAATGTCACTAGTTTGTCTCTCTATGTTTTAACTGTCCACTGTTACATGATTTAAAACATACACAAAGCTTTCTCATTGTCTTTGCTCTAACCTTGCATGTTGTACAGCTAGAAATCATCACTCATATTCACTGTTGTTTCTCTGTACAGATGGATGGATTTGATCGAGGGAAAGCCTACTCTTGAAGCCATAGATGTCATCGAGAACCGACTAAATTATCTAGGCCGAGATGTGGAAGCCATAGGTGGCCTAGCAGAGAGCATCCCTTTCGCTATGTCTCATCTGAAAGACGACCAATCAGAACTACACTCGCTTCTAGAGGCTCAATTAGGTGTATCTAATCGAAACAACTTAAGAGCTTTGCTAGAGCCCTACATGTGATCTCTCTTTTACTTCTTTTGGTTTTTTTTTTCTTGGTTATTTTATCCGGATACATTACGTATCCTGGTTAATTTCAAGCTTTTCTAATTCAATGACAAGTGATTTGTAATAAAAGGCATGAAACGCTCCTAGAGTTCAGCAATTACCTGTATTAGACATACATCCATGAACTGTCACTCCTCCAATGAAGGCACCATTAGATCTTCCTCTCATTTCAAATTCTGCATAACAACCTAACAGTTAACCATAATTTTAAGTATCTACCTTCCTCAAGTAGAGCTTCAAAACAAGTTGAGCACCAATTTTCTTAACTCATTTTTAATTATAATTTAATATTTTCTAAAATTTGTTTGCAGTATAACACATACATAAATTAGCATAATGATAGCAATTAGCAATACTTTATTTATAGTATAATAATATTCTTCAATAGATGTTGCTGGTCTTAACATGACAATGTCATCCAATGTATAGTTACCAAAAAAAAAAAAAAAGTTACCAAAAAAAATGTCATCCAATGTGTATGCATTAGTATTTACCATTTATCTAAAACTGGGATTTTGCAACTACACCACAAGAGTTAATCTCCCAAGATTTTTCTTGTTCATTTTCTTTAGCTTATCCGCAAACACAAGCAAGATCTATAACAAGAATATAATATTCATGGTATAATGTATATATTCTCTCCATTAAACATCACAATTCAAACCACAAAATATCCTCCGTTTTGCTGGTGTCTCGCTGCATTGTCTTGTATTAATATCGCTAATTCTACTCGCTTTTGTTCTGATCACAGATATCGCAATTCATTCACATTTTTGTTTGAGTCTGCCGATGTATTGATTTCCACAGATACGTAGATCAAGAGTGGGCAGCAATATTCATTTTTTTTTTCTTTCTCCTTGCTCTTCGTTTTTTTTATTTGCAAGACAAAGTTGATCATCCAAAAATATGAATTTAGGTGAAGTCAATAGCAACATTGATATTGATGATTACAATGATGAGATTTAATATATGATACAAGATCACATGATAAAAAGAAAATGATGTTTTTCTATTATAATTAGCCTATATTTTAGAGAGAATAAGTGAAGATGGACAGATATTGAAAACATAAACAAAAATAAAAACAAGAATTTGTAACTTTTTGAAGAGTTTGAATTCTGACCATATGTAGTGAAAAAAATAATGTGTAAGAAAGAAACCTTGTTGTGTAAGAAAGAAACCTATTGCGTTCAAACCAATGATTGTGGGCTCTGAAAATATAACATTGGAGAAGCCTATGAGAATTAAGGTTTTTCGGTTTAAACGAAAGATTAAGACGAGTGTGGAAAATTATAAAATTACGAGTTTGTGAATATGGTTTTCAAAAATGTAGAAATAAATATGCTGAAGATTCATAATTTTCTTTATCAAAACTACAACTTTGAAAGATTCTAAAATTGTAATTGAGGGATCAAATAATCTTACATAATATATAGAAGTGAAAATGCATATTATTAAAAGCTGCGAATTTTCGACAATTTAAGCAATTCTAAGTGAAAAGATATGATTCGAAAAGACAACTCTTTAGATGAGCGGTTATAGCTGAAACTGTTAAAATTGAAAATGTAGCACAACAAAAGACATTTATTAAGTTGCTATTAATATATAATATAGATAATTCTAGCACGAATTGTTTTTGCTTTTGTTTAACATTTTGAACAAACTGAACCTAATCACACATGTATTATCTATATGTTTCCTAATGCAAAGCAAACAACTATTAAAAAAACTCAGACATCACAATGAAACCGAATCATACTTAAATTTTAATATAATGATAACTCTTGTTTATAAGAAAACTTTTAAAAGTTATATTAAAAATCTTCTCTTTTCAGTCATTTTATTGTGATGTATATAAGATAACTTTTAAAAGTTACCATTCTGCTTCTGGGTGCCTTTGTTTATAAGATTTTTTTATTTTACTTTCCAGGCCAAAAAAGAAACTGTAAATTTCAGTATTGAGTTTTTAGAGATTGCAATTGCATAATGCTTATTATAGATTTAATCCGAAAAAAATAAAGCAACTGCTCCTTATTTGCCTAGGATTTTTGATGCCGTAAACCAAAAAAAAAATATTGAAATACTTTAGTACAAAATAATTGAATAGTTAAGCTATTAAAATTCCCTTTTTTAAATAAAATAAACAGTGAACATAGAAAAGAAATATCTATATACATATATATATATATATCTTTTAATGATTTTATGATCAATATACAAATTTTTATATATAACAATGTAATATAAAATAAAATGTAGTTTAATTCAAAGAATATGAATGAAAAGACCAAACAAAAATGGTAGAATATGAAACACCCAACATTTTTTTATTAAATAAATCATAAACAATTATAGCGAAAGTCTTTAAAATAAATTAAATAAATTATAATCAAAGAACAATATCAGTTCAGCGGAAGCAAATAACAGAATAAAATAAACAAGTCTAGCAACTTAAACAAGTTCAAATGAAATATTGTGAAACAATAAAAATCTTATCATCCCCTCTTTAGCATTGATTCCGCGATCAAATAAATATTTTTACCTGCAATACATTACGATAGAAATACGTAATATCCAGATACATCCACTTTTTTCCAGATATATTTTCTTCAACTACTTATAATATGAGACAGTGAAAAATAACAATTTGATGCCGTAAGCCAAAGCTTCTAAAAGTTTCAAGTAGGCAAGTATAGACATAGATTTCATGCGTAAATCTTGCGGCATATTTTAGCATTTCATATATTGTATACCCTATTTCTTTATCTCATTATTCATTAAAATAGAACTAATGCCTGATGAAAAAAATGAGCATATTAGTGTGCGTAGAAACAATATCCTCCTCATTGTATGGTGTACACATTTTTTTTTTTTTTTTTTTTTTTGTAAGGCTTGTACACATAATACTAGTCCATATCGAGGACTAGGAAAGGCAGAATGTTAAGTTTGGCAGGGCGCATCACGCTGACAAAGTCAGTTCTTGGTTCAGTCCCGATACACTCAATGAGTTCTGTGAAACTCCCGGAATCGATGACAAAACGTCTTGACCTCTCTAGAGATTTTGTGTGGGGATCGACGGAGGAAAAGCGGAAACAGCACCTGGTAAATTGGGATAAGGTCTGCAGTCCGAAGGAGGAAGGCGGACTTGGAATCCGAAAGATAAGCCCTATGAATAAGGCCCTTTTAGCTAAAATTGGATGGAGGTTGCTGAATGATGAAACGAGTCTCTGGGCACGGGTTCTACGGAGTAAATACCGCGTTGGCGATATCCATGACACTGCGTGGTTAGTCGGGAAGGGCACATGGTCATCCACGTGGAGGAGTGTAGCTCTGGGGATCAGAGAAGTGCTTCAACCGAGTCACGCTTGGGTGATGGGAGATGGTAAGAAAATACTCTTTTGGACAGACAAGTGGCTTATGGGGAATATCTTGAGAGATGAGGAGGTCACTCCAGCCCCGGAGGCACTCTTATGCTTGCCAGCAAGCGAGTTTTGGATTGATGGAGTTGGATGGGATCTGACCAGAATTGCTCCATATGTACCAGAGACTACACAACTCGAGCTAGCATCAGTAGTGGTTAATAAGGCGACTGGGAAACAGGACAGAATGGCATGGGGAGAAACACCATATGGGAAGTTCACGGTCTCGTCTGCGTATCGTTTTCTCACACGGGATTCCTCCCTCAGACCAGACATGAGCCAATTCTTCAGGAGAATTTGGAGAGTCATAGCTCCCGAGAGGGTACGTGTTTTCTTTTGGTTACTTGGGAACAATGGAATCATGACAAATCAGGAGCGCTTCCGCCGGCACATTGGAGATACAGAGATTTGTCAAGTATGTAAAGCAGGTATCGAAACCACCTTACATATCCTCCGAGATTGTCCGGCCATGAACGGAATCTGGGAGCGCATTGTCACGCGAGAGAAACGCCAGGCCTTTTTCTCGATGTCGTTGCTTGAGTGGCTGTTCGTGAACTTGAGTGACCCTACAAAGACGGAGTTTGGACCCTGGTCCACGTTGTTTTCGGTATCTGTGTGGTGGGCTTGGAAATGGAGATGTGGAAATGTCTTCGAGGATAATAAACTGTGGAGGGACAGGGTCGGATTTGTGAAGGAATATGCGAGGGAAGTGTCTCAGGTGCAGTCTACAGAAAGTGGGGCAAGAACGACAGTGCGAGAAGAGAGATTGATCTCATGGTTACCCCCGCTGGCAGGTTGGATCAAGCTAAACACGGATGGTGCGTCACGTGGAAACCCCGGTTTAGCTACGTGGTGGAGTTTTGCGCAATGGAGAAGGTCAGTGGTGTGGTGGGTTTGCATTGAATATTGGAAGATGCACTGCGCCTATGGCTGAGCTATGGGGATTGTATTATGGTCTATGCATCGCGTGGGAGAAGGGGGTCACAAGACTTGAAGTAGAGGTGGACTCTGCATTGGTTGTTGGTTTCGTGAAGACAGGGATCTGTGACACTCATCCACTGTCGTTCCTGGTGCACCTGTGCCATGGCTTTTTATCAAAGGACTGGGAAGTCCGAATCACTCATACGTATAGGGAGGCTAATAATCTAGCAGATGGATTGGCAAACTATGCTTTTTCTTTACCTTTAGGATTGCATTCATTTGATTCAGTCCCTCCGGGCTTAGTGGCTATTCTTTGTGATGACGAGCGTGGAGTCTCGAGGTCGCGGCAAGTCCGTGTGTAAACTCTTTTTCTTTAATAAAATTGGGAGATAGCTCCCGGTGCTTCATAAAAAAAAGTCCATATCGAGGACTATATTCTATAAGCACATTTTAAGCTCATTTAATTTCTCATAATGTACGTCTTACGTAAGATGTTAACTTACTATTTTTATTTTTTGAAGTGAATGTAAAATTAATTCAAAAACCAAAAACCTTTTCTACAAAAGTTGTGACTTTGTTTTTGAGAGTTTAACAAAGTTATTACAGCAGCGATCACATTTCCTAGTAATTTAACGAGACCCAAACCAAGCTTGGAGACCTCCGTCGAGTCGTTTGTCGCTGATGGTAGAAAGCCTGTTTCGAACATTTTTGTCAATGAGTTAAGCCAAAAGTGGAGAGGGGAGTAGGGGGCGTGTGAGAACCATATACGAGTTTGGTATTACAGCAAGCCAAACAATTTTTTTTTTTTAACCATTCCAGATACTTAGTTAGGATTCCCAAATGACTTAACAATTCATTTGACCAATACTGGAAACTTGACATGATAGACTCTCCTCCATTCATTTTAGACCCATGTTGGTATTAAAGCCTCGGGAAATTTTAAAAGATTTCAAAGAACATTCAGTTTCGTAATTTTAAGCCAAGTTAGCAAAGAGGAAGCTGAAAAAAGAACCGAAGGACAAGGGTGACAAGAGAAGTGGTTTTCTTGTTGGTTCAATGTTGATTCTCCAATTAAAATTCTTCACCGTTCAAGTCTTTCTCAAACTTTTTATTTATTTCTGGTTTCTACATTGGCTGTAAAAGACACCAAGGATGTTCATTTAAACAATGCTTGTTAAGCATGCTATTATTTTGTAAAAGAAAAACAAATTCCAAAACTGACGTGACTACAAATTGATATCTTACGTATTTGACGCATTCTAACCTTTGTTTTCAAGAGTTTTATCGAGTCTTTCTAGTTTTATCGAGTCGTTTCAGGTCTAAAGACGTTCCATGGAGAGCTTTGGTCACACGGATTGACAACAGGCGAAAGAAGGCAAAATAGAGCGAGAAGGTGCTCGATCGAACAGCATCACAGTTCGATCGAGCCGGTGCACAAACAACAGGTTCGATCGGTCCGCTTGACAGCTCGATCGATCCCATACACGAGCAACCAGCTCGATCGACCCTTTCGATGAGATCCAGCTCGATCGATCCTTTACGCCAACAGCCAGCTCGATCGACTCCATGCATGTCATGCAGCGTTCTATCTCAGCCGTTTGATCCGTCCTGATATCACAGCCGTTCGATCTACTTGGTGCATACCGATTCGATCGAACCATAGCAAACCGGATTGAACCGAAGTCGACTCCTGAACCTATTTAGACCTATCTTTAGCCATTGTTTAGGCCACGCCGTTTTTCAGAGTTTACACTGTTTTTCTGAGTTTTCTGAGGGAGAAGATTTCGAACCTGTTTGGAGAAGATTTCTGAACCCTCTTTGTTTGCTTTTATTTTACTCTTTGATTCAATGAATTCAGTTTCAATCATTGTTATCTGTTTCATCATGTCTGAGTAGTCACCCTGCTAGATCTAGGTTTTTCAAAGGATTCATGTGTTAACTAAACTGAATACAGATAGGGCTTCAATACTGTCTTCGCCATTGTTAAGTTTACTGCTTAGATCGAATTGATCACTCGATCTCTGATCTTAGATTTACCTGTTCATCAAAAGTGCAATAGGTTGTTAGAACGAACTGTGGTGAGCGAATCGTCCTTAGCCTGCGAAAGTTGATGCTAAGGCGATTCGTGAACATCGAACCTTGTGCGCATTGCTTGTTATCAACTGCTAGATTCAAACGACAGTTTAGACATCTAGGTTGTTAGACGAAGTTATCATTATCGCGACAGTGAATTGACATATTGTTTTGTTTGAGTTCGAGACCTGTTCTTTATCTGTGCCCTGAATAGTTGTTTGGTTGTTAACCGTGAATCTCCTGCGAATTGCCTTGGTCTAGTGCCTGTTTTATTTGAATTATATCAACGTTTACATTCTGTCACTTGTTACAAAATCAATCAATCTTGTCTTAGCTCTATTTTAAATCTCTAATTTCACAGTGTAACGCTGGTCCTTTGAATCCTTTATATTACAATTTCATCACTGTTAATTTGCAGTAGAGAAAATGATCTATTTTTAGAATATCACAAATATGTATGAGTATGAGTATGAGTATGACATATCAAACTAACATATGTTTTCTATACCTTGGTTGATAGATGACATTAAGTAATCGTTTCTTAAGGACAACTGTCAAAAGAATTCCGCAAAAGTTTATGTGTGTTTAGTGTAAGGAAGGCTCTTTGCCAATCTCCACACGGTTCATAAACGGAAAAGTCCATTCACCATCATATCAAATGTTAAGGCAATCTATGAATTATTTTTAAAAACAATTTCCCAAACTATATATATTCTCGAAAGATTGAACGATGCATTTGCTATAGCAAAGATCCGACAGGATACGTACCTGAGTAGATGTGTCTTTGTTCTTCACGAATCAGCAAGCTAAGTAACAATTTTTTCATAATTTTTCTTCTTCTATTTTTGTGGATCTTTTCTCTCTAATTTGTACCTCTCCTTTGTAAACATAAATTCTGTAAATCTGCAACCTTTTCCCTCTAATTAGATTCAACATTAACCCAAAAAGAAGAGATGTAAGAGTTTTGCAGAATTACCTTGTCACCAAAACAAACATCTAGCAATTCGAAAATGTTTTTTTTTTTTTTTTTTGTGCAAAAGAATATATATCAAACAATTCTATCATTGCCACTTCCAGTAATGGTATACTTAATTAGGGTTTAGTTTACAATTTTTATTTTTGATGAACTCTGTTACAGGTGAAGTAGACCTTAATGTTGGTATGCTTCCGGCTTTCCTTACTCTATGATCTCTGGTTATAGCATCGTGTCAAATTAGATTGCTAAAACTTTTCTAAAGTGGAATAGACTGATTATAATTTATGTAGGTAATTTATGAGATAGATGGAGCTCTGGGTTATAGAAAAAGAAAAGTCAATATTGTTCTATAGGGTGGTATTTTAATAAGTTTGAGTTGTGATTGTTAGCAAATTTGAGGTTTTTTTAAAGGCCATGAGATTTGATGAAACAAAAGTCTCGATGTGTGACATTCGTTAGGCTAAATGGATCAATATTTCTCTTGGTTTTCAAGTACTTCAATCAATATTTTAGAATACATCAGTTTTGTTGTATGCTCTATATCTTTAGTACAACTTTACGGTTTCGCTTTGTCAAGTGTGTGTGTGTGAGACGAAGAAAACGTTGTTCCTGTTGATCTTCGTACGTTTCTTTTAATAGTTTCATTTTCTAAACGTTCAGCAAAGTGTGTATGTTTATCTTTTACCCTTTACCAAATTAAAACGTATATGTTTATCTTTAAGTAAACGAGTTTAAGGACATGTTCACTGTTAAGGTACCTGTACAAAGTCTACCCTTCATGGACTCTTTGACCGAATTATTTCTAGGATCGGTAAAAGAAAAACGCATGTTTTGCATTCTTTGCTTAGATCTACCGAGTTGAGTGACTACAATCTTTTTATTTTGTATTTGCCAGTCTTATGTTCTAACATTATATATTAACAAATCTAAAAGACTAAACCTGTTTAACATAACATTTCATAACAAAAAATATTAATCACAAATCTTAAATTGTACTAAAACATTTTTTAAGAACTATAACCATAGAAAAACTCACGGATATATAGTTCCTCGTTAAAACTTAAATAGTGTTGGTCCACCGAAAGCAAAGAATCTGTAACTTGTTTTTCTTCTCTTACAAAAATATTTGTCGGGTCCACCGAGAACAAAGAATCTATAACTTGTTTGTTTTTCTCTTACCACGGCTTTGCTCTTTTTGCAACTAACTTGATTCTTTTTGTTTTTAACTTTTTATGCAAATACTGCATTATTCATTAACACTTAAATAAAGTTTGGGTCCACCGAAGCAAAGCATTTCATTGCCAAATAATCTGCAACGCGTTTTACAACACGGTTCGGAATAACACACTTAACTATGAAGACTTGTTCCACAGAAAAATCATTAAAGGAAAAAAAAAGTATCCATTACAAAGGTTGAATTTGCATAAACTACCAACGAAATAATCAAGTTCATTGTTGGCCAAATAATCAAGATCGCACAAATTTGTTTCAAACTCGTTAGTCATTTCCAAATATTCTACTATTTCAATACAAAATAATCATTTATAATCTTTTGATATAAAACTTTGGATTGATATCCCAATAAGGCAATAATTCTCATAATGGGTGCAAATTCTCATAATTGTTCCCACGAACCAAATACTAACTTTGACATCCAGCTTGTACAGTAATTACCAACGAAACACACGCACACACACATATGTGCCTAATCCTTCAGTGTAATCTGGAATGTTCTTTTGGATAAAGAATATAATTAATCAGGTAAACGTTAAACACAAAACACTGACACATTCAATCATTCACACGGAAGACTCGTACCACGACGAACATGCAATCCACACCCAATTGTCTAAATCCACATTTTTGAAGATGGGTTTGGAGACCAATGGTTCAATGACTGGACAGGTTTGGGTCCTTATCTATTAGATTTGTGTGGAGCTAATGGACCTAGAGTTACAGGAATCAGCCGGTTCGCTTCAGTGGCAGCGGTGATCAGAAACGGAGAATGGAGGCTTCCTCGAGGGAGGCATTCGATCAATGTTCTTCTAAGAGCTGCTCTTCCTCCTGCACCGGTTATATCTTCCATGACCCCTAACGTCTTTGCCTGGAGGGATCCGGTAAAAGGGGATTCGGGAGTTTTCTCATCTTCGCAAACTTGGCTGGCTCTGCATTCGCTCGGAGTCCCTGGTCCTTGGGCTGATGCAGTTTGGTTTCCACAGATTATTCATAAGCATGCTTTTATTCATTGGATTGCTGCTCGAGATAGACTCCCAACTAGAGACAGGCTTCGTAGTTGGGGATTAGATGTTCATGGTGTTTGTCTTCTGTGCAATTCCTCGATGGAATCAAGGGCTCATTTGTTCTTCCTTTGTCCTTTTGGTCAGGAAGTGTGGAACTCTTTCTTCGTTCACTCTCTGATTATCAATCCTCCGGACTTCGAATCAGCCCAGCTGTGGGTCATTACAGCTTACTCAGATCGGAAGGTGAGAGTGATTACTAAACTTCTTCTGCAAGCCACTATCAATGAAGTATGGAGAGAAAGAAACTCCAGATTACACAGAGCCATGACCAAGCCTGCGGCTCAGGTAATTAGGGAGATTCAAGCTCTTATTCAAAGGAAACTTTATGTCCTTGATATGAAAGATCGGGATGTGAACTCCTCCACTACCTCAAACGACACCTACCTCTCCACTTGGTTCGGCTGTTTTCAGCGTTGACGGTCTGACGGGTTCCCTTTTATTTTTCTTTGTATCGTAGTATAAGCTTTTGTTCTTTTAGCTGTCTATTCATCTTTTTGTAACTCAAAAAACTCGCTTCTCTCGGAGGGGGAAAAAGATGAATAAATGAAAATTCAGAAAAAAAACAAAAAAAAACTATGAAAACTTTATCATTAGTACGATATTGTCGGTTTTGGTACCAATCCACATAAAAAAAATTATGCTCTTTTCCAAAAGATTTCATAGTACTTGTTAGATGATTTTTTTTGGTTAAAGGGTAAGATTTTAATAAGACAATTATAATAAATCGATGTAAGATTTTGGATCATAATCCTAACAATTTCTTAGATTGATTCTTCTGTCTCACAATGATAAAGTTATGATAATCGTAACCAGAGCCGGCCCTTAGAGCAAGCAAAACAAGCAGGAGTTTGCGGCCCTTGTTTTTATATACAATTATTCAGCTTATATTTCGAAAAGTCTCTCATAGTCTAGTATATTTGTCTTCGAAGACATGAGTTCAAGTCGACGGCAATGGCGATTTCACAGATCTACGAATGATCTTCCGAATGGATTCTGATTTCGATTTATGGTTATCCTTTTCGGTTCTATGGGGGCGTAATGAGGATGATTTAGTCGGTTTACACGGAGATCTTGGCCGATTTGGAAAATCCCGTGACGTTTTGGCAAGATCTAACGGGATTAAGATGATACACGGCTGGGATGGGTGAGAAACAAATCAAGCTAAGGAATCAATATGATTTGATTCGATTCGAAGGGAGCTTTTGGAAGGAGGATCGTATCCGCACAGATCGAATTTTTCGGAGATGGGGAAGAGATGTCAACGAAGTTATTCTAGGAAAGGAGAGGAGGCTCCAGGAAAACAAAAGGAAATTGAGATTAACTATTCGTTCACAATTAGGAAACACAATCGGAGAGATGACTCTCCAAAATCAGCTGATTCGTCAAAACATAATCTTTCGGGTAATCAATTCAGACTTTCTATTGTGGATTTAGTGTCTCTTGGGAAGATTGCGGATATTCTTCGGGTTTTGATTGAAGATTTAACGGGATTGAATGGGAAGAATGTTAATGAGCGGGAGCAGTATAAAATCACACTCGGACATTGTGAAAATTCACCTTTCTTTGTTCGGAAATTCTCTTTTGGCTTATTGTGCTCTGTTTTTCTTTGTGCGTGTGTTCTCGATTCGTTTAACACAGTTCTGTGCTTTTGCTTTCTCGTGCAAGACTCAAAGATGGCGCAAGGAAGTTTGGTCGGTGGTGGTGGGTCAAACGCCGGTGACAAGAAGCAGGGGTCCCATCTGAAGATCACGGTCCCAAGATTTGACAACACGGCCTTGATCAGAGGCTACTCTCGCACTCTGATCGGAAGATGCATGAATCCGGCGGCTCAGGATGTCAATGCTTTGCTGCATCATATGTCACGGTTTTGGAAGATGGAGGATAGAGTCGCTGGAGCGGACTTGGGAATGGGGAGGTTCCAGTTCGACTTTGACAATGAGGAAGACATCGTGGAGGTGTTTAAGCTTGAGCCCTTTCACTTCGACTACTGGATGGTCTCCTTGGTGAGATGGGAACCGGTGATGGATCCAACATACCCTTCGGCAATCAAATTTTGGGTGCGAATGATGGGGATTCCGCTTCATTTCTGGGCGGAACCAACATTCAGGAGTATCGGTGAAGCCCTTGGTGAAGTTCTGGAGGTGGACATCGACGTTGGCAGGGTGAAAGTCTGTCTTGACGGGTATAAACCTCTCATCTTTGAGACTACGGTGGAGTTCCACGGAGGTGAGGAGAATTTGGTGGCTCTCAGGTATGAACGCCTATTTGGCTTCTGCCGTAAATGCTCCAGTCTTTGTCATGATGTTAGCCAATGTCCGGTTCTTAGAAGAGTAAGAGAGGAGCGGGACAACCACCGTCGGCGAGATGAGAAACCAGATGGTGGGGTGATGAGTTACAAAAGTGTGGTGGTGAACAGACCAGGTGGGGAGCAGGGGAATGTGCGACAAGCTCATCCCACCACTGGAGGAGATGTGAAAGGGAAGGGCAAAGTAGAGGAAGCCAGGGAGGAACGTGGAAAGAGGCAGGCGACTTTCCGGGGAAAGAATGGGGGTGAGAGCTCCGGCTCACAGAGAAAACTGGCGGGATTTGTTCCCCTAGAACAGAGAAAGAGAATTAACAGGCCGACAGTAAGGTTGAAGCACATGGCGGCTCCGGCGACTGGCTTGGTGGTGATAGATATGAAGGGCAACGATCCCAGCCCCAGCCAACAGTCGGTAAACGAGGAAGCGGGAACGAAACTTGCCCATACGGTGAACGAGGAAATGGCGGATGGTACTGGCCCGGTGAATGAACCAACGGTGAATGAGTCGGTGATTCCCGAGGAGGGAGAGGATGGCGAGATCTGGTGGAATGAGGTTCTTGATGAAGGAGCAGCGGAGGAGGCAGCGGAGGAGGCAGCGGATGAGGATGAGAACCATATGGAGACGCAAGACAGCAACGACATGCTTATGGAGGTGAGTGACAATGCGGGAAATGCACAAGATGTTGAGCAGTTTGTTGATGTGTAAGCTAAGGAGGTGGGGAAGAGCAAACATGGAGAGAAGAAAGCAGGAGTTAAAAAGAGAATGGTCAGGTCAACTATGAATGTGGGAGGTGGTCCTCTTAGGTGCATGGTCCATGGTGCGAAAACACCACGGAAGAAGACAGCGTCGAAAGAACCACAGCGACTCGGTGAGAAACAGGCGGGAAAGGCAAAGGAGGCGGAGAAAAACCTGTCAGAGGGGTCCGGGACCAATCTTAAAGCTCCTTAATGTGAGTGCTCATCTGGAACTGCCAAGGGCTTGGCAATAGGTTCACAATAAGCTATCTTCGGGAGATTTGATGGAAATTCCGGCCAGAATTTTTATTTCTTTCTGAAACTAAGCAAGATTTCAATTTTTTACAACAATTTCAATTTCATTTTGGTTTTGATAATTTGTTTACAGCTGACCCATGTGGCACAAGTGGTGGTCTAGCTTTATTTTATAATAATAATTTTAATGTTTCAATTATTAGTTCTTCCAAGAATTTAATTGATACAGAAGTAACTATTGAAGGAAAAATCATGTTTATGTCTTTTGTTTATGGAAACCCAGTTCCAAAAAAAGAGACTATTTATGGGAAAAGTTGACTAGAATAGGTATTTCACGGAATGAGCCTTGGTTCTTAATTGGTGATTTTAATCACGAGAAACAGGGCGGTGCGGTTTGGTATGCTTCGACGTTTATGCCCTTTAATTTAATGATTGATGACTGCAGGCTAGTAGATTTCCCGACTCACGGAAATAGGTTATCATGGCGGGGAAAGAGATGGGGGAAAATAGTAAGGTGTCGTTTGGATAGAGCGTTGGCCACAGAAGATTGGCATGACATTTTTCCTAAATCACATGTGGAATATCTAAAAATGGTGGGTTCCGACCAGCGACCGATTCTGGCGACTATTGATAATAAGATCCCTAAGGCCCGATGGCAATTCCGGTTTGATAAACGATGGTTTGAACAGGAAGGATTCGCAGAGGCAATCAGACAAGGGTGGCAAGATAATGGGGTAACTGAAGAGGCCAATGTGGTTGACAGAATACGCAAGTGTTGTCATGAGATTTCTCAATGGAGACACAACAATAAGCCCTATGGCAAAGAAAGAATAGCGGATTTACAAAAAGCTCTCGAAGAGATCCAAAATGATGATTCCCGTACCTAGGAGGAGTTAGATGAGATCACACAAAAGCTGAAAGAAGCTTACCGAGATGAGGAACAATACTGGAAACAGAAGAGTCGTAATCTCTGGCTTAAGGATGGGGATTTAAATACAAAATTTTATCATGCGACTACAAAGCAGAGAAGGGCGATAAACAGAATGGTTAGACTTCATGATAAAACGGATACCTGGCTTACAGGGGAAAAAGAGATAGAAAATGTGGCGGTTGATTTTTTTCAGAATTGTTTACCACCACTTCTCCAGACGATTTCACAACCATACTGGAAGGAATTCCGGAGGTAATCAGAGAGGCAGATAATGCCATCCTAAGGAGACCAGTGTCGGAGGAAGAAGTGCGGGCAGCTTTGTTTTTAATGAACCCTGAGAAAGCTCCAGGACCAGACGGAATGACGGCTCTGTTTTTTCAACGTTCATGGCCGTTAATTAAAACGGATATTTTGGGACTTATTAATGATTTCATGATATCGGGTGTGTTTGATGAAAGATTAAATATGACGAATATATGTTTAATCCCAAAGACGGAGCGACCAACTCGGATGACAGAATTAAGGCCCATTAGTCTTTGTAATGTGGGGTACAAGATTATCTCCAAAGTTTTATGTGAGCGGTTGAAGACGGTGTTGTCCCATCTGATTTTGGAAACTCAATCCGCCTTCGTACCGGGAAGACTGATTTCCGATAATATCTTAATCGCCCAAGAAATGATTCACGGGTTACAGACGAATAAGTCATGTAAAGGAAAGTATATGGCTGTTAAAACTGATATGAGTAAGGCCTATGACCGAGTTGAGTGGCAATTCGTCGAGGCCACTATGCGCAAAATGGGGTTTGGTGAACGCTGGGTTCAATGGATCATGTGCTGTATCAGGTCGGTGAAATACAAGGTGCTTATAAACGGACAACCGAGGGGAAAAATAGTCCCCAATAGGGGGTTACGGCAGGGGGACCCTCTATCTCCCTATATTTTTATTCTCTGTACGGAGGTGCTGATATCTAATCTAAAACGGGCGGAATCGGGTAAAGAACTGACGGGCCTTAAGGTGGCACGTGCAAGCCCACCTGTCTCACATTTACTATTTGCGGATGATAGTTTGTTCTTTTATAAAGCGACAGTCGAGGAAAGTGGGGTTTTGCTTAAGATCCTTCAGAGTTATGAATGTGCATCAGGTCAAAAGAAAAACTTCGATAAATCCTCCATCCAATTTGGACATACTATGGAGTCACAAGCACGTTCGGAGATCCATCAGATATTGGGTATTCACAAGGTGGGGGGGGTTGGTAATTATTTGGGCATCCCAGAGAGTCTGGGAGATGCTAAAACGAAGATCTTTAGTTTTTTAATCGATCGACAACAGAAGCGGATAAACGGATGGACATCAAAGGTTCTCTCTAAAGAAGGAAAAGAGGTCATGGTAAAATCCGTACTCTCGGCGATGCCAACGCATGTCATGTCCTGTTTTAGACTACCTAAGGGGGTCACCAATAAGCTCACAAGTGCGGTGGCAAATTTTTGGTGGAGCACAAATTCACAAACACGAGGTATGCACTGGCTTGCGTGGAGAAAATTGTGTCGCCACAAAACGGATGGGGGATTGGGGTTTAGAGTAATCGAAGATTTTAATACGGCTTTGCTTGCAAAACAGTTGTGGCGGTTAATGGATAATTCGGACTCCCTTTTTGCAAAAGTTTTCAAGGGGCGATATTATCGGAACTCAACCCCCTTGGATCCAATTCGTTCTTACTCTCCATCATATGAATGGCAGAGTATTGTTTCTGCTCGGCCTCTGGTATACAAAGGACTTATCAAAAGAGTTGGCTCCGGTTCATCCATATCCGTATGGTACGACCCCTGGATTTCCGACTCTCGCCCGAGACCAGCAATCTGCAAAGGAATTAATTACTATCCTCATCTGACGGTGAATCAGTTAATCAATTCCCAGACATCAACGTGGAATCGACCACTATTGCGACAATTGTTTGAGAGTGAGGAAGTCACTCGCATTACAAGTATCCCGGTGGCACCTGGACACAAACAAGATGCTTGGGGATGGTACTTTACGCCAACGGGGCGATATACGGTCAAATCAGGATACAGTATGTTGCAAGAGCTTTCAGAAGAGGGGGCATTACCAGTATTTGGACCGGATGTCCGAAAACTGCAGTACAATCCTGGAAGATAAAATGTACTACGAAGCTTCAACATTTTCTCTGGCAAATTATTACTGGTTGTTTATCGGTTGGGGCTCGGTTATGCAGTAGGGGAATGCGGGTGGATCCGCAATGTGTGAGATGTGGTATGGGCGATGAGACCATAAATCATATGCTGTTTGAATGTCCCCCGGCTCGCCAGGCTTGGGCCCTCTCACCCATCCCAACGCCACCTCTATTTTTCCCAACGGACGCACTTTTTTCAAACATGGCACATTTGTTCTGGAATCTTCCAGACAATGATGACATGCTGATGTACCCATAGTTACTTTGGTTTATTTGGAAAGCCCGAAATTATAAAGTGTTCTCAAATGATGATCACAGTCCAAAAGATGTTATGGAAGCTGCGTTAACGGAAGCCCGTGCATGGGCTGCGGCCCAAACGATCCCAGAAAGGACGCAATTTGATATCTCAACACGTCCTGTGTCTGTCCCTTCGGGAGAGTGGTGTCAGATTAATGGAGCATAGAAAGTGACGGAGTGTAAGGCAGGACTGGGGTGGTACAATTTTGATCCGGAGTCGGGTTCAACCTTGGTTGGATCTAGCAATGTACGGCGGGGTTTATCTCCTTTACAGACGGAATTAGAGGCACTGATTTGGGCTACGCAAAGTATGTTAGCTCATAATAAACGACGGATGAATTTCCAAACAGACTGCGCTCAGTTGGTTAAGATGGTGTCCAAACCGGCAAAGTGGCCAGCTTTTGAGATTTTGCTTCAAGACATGGAGAACTACAGAAGGATGTTCCAGGCGTTCTCCCTCACACACATCTCCAGAGAAAAAAACACGAAGGCAGACAAGCTAGCACGGAGTGCTCGAGATCGGCCTCACAATGTGTACTTCATAAACTCAATTCCACCGGCTTCGCTTCTCGAACCCCGCTATAAGAATTTAGACTGTTGAAAAAAAAAAAAAAAAAAAAAAAAAAAAAAAACATGAGTTCGAGTCTTTCATATTTCAGGGACGACTTTGATCGTATAGATTGCCACACGTTTACGACACTTCTACATCCCGACAAAGATTTAGTGATTCACTTTTTTTTTCATACATCCACCGCAATTTCTCTTTGTCTTATTCTCTCTCTTTCCTCCTTATCTCTCCCGTTCACTCCCCCTCTCTCTTCTCTCCCTCTCTCTCTTTCTTTCTCTTTTTCTCTCTTCCTCCGTAACTCAATCCTCTCATTCTGCTTTTTTTTTCTCCCTACTTCTCTTCTTGTTTCTCTCCTTCTATAACTTTGATTGAGAATTTCAGCTTTATCATCGGTCGGTAGTTTAGCCAATCAAAACGCTGCCGAAATACACATACAGAAACGGCTCCATCGACTAAACAAAATTGTAAGTTTGTAACACTGACATATTTTAACCTTGTAAATAGTTATTTATTGAGTTATTTTTATTTATAGTGCGCTAAACAAAATTATAATACAAATAAAAATTTGTAAACTTTATTGTTGTTATCAATCTAACAATTTTAATATCCTGTAAATATAAATTTATGAATATACATGTGATACAGTAATTGTTAGCATATATCAAAAACATGTTACTCGTTAATATAATATGTTATCAGTACATAAAGTTTTTGGTTAGATTGTTTATTTGTTATATTTCTCTCCATTTCTTCTTCATTCTTTTTCAAATAATTTTAAAATTATCTAACTAATAATTAAGTTACCATGATAAATGAAAACTTAAAGAAATCATTTAAATGTTTTTTGTTCGATACAATGATTATTAACTGGGTATAAAAATATATAACAAATTATTATAATATATATAAATCAAATTTTGTTTTAAAACTCCAAATCTCTTAAAGCCTCATACCAAGTCTTGTTAGATTGTTACATGTAAATTGATTTGTTTTTTACCTCCTTGCTTTTAAGTATATATACTAGATTATATAAGATGTTAATTTAAACTTGGTGTGTGCAAAATTCCGTTCTAAATCTCTTCTTTTTTTTCCACTGAATTTTAGATTTTATTTCCCACGACAGGGGCCAAAACAGAGTAAGCTTTGTTTCTAATACAAGAAATAGCCAAAACAGAGAGGCTAAGCAAAAAAAACAGAGCCGAACAAAAGCCTCAAAATCTCTTCTTTCTCTGATTTTTTTGTTTCCTTCTTGATTATAGCTCCAATAATCAGAGCCGTGCCACCATGTAAAAAATTGAAACATTGGCTTATGGCATCTTTTTTTTCTGAGAGATTTAAAAGCATATTTTTGTTACTTTTTTTAGTTAATCTCAAATAATAGAACTATAGAAACATAGATTTAAACGTAAAAGTTTTGTAATACTTAAAAGAAACAAAATATGAACCTACACAATAAAAATTATGGGTTTCTTATGGTCATATATCTAAAAAAAACATTCCAAAGCATGAAAAAAGTTCTTAACTGTTAAAGAATTATAGTAAAATAAACATAGAATTGGTTATGATCTGGGCATCTGGCTATATTTTTGTTGGAATATACCATATGAAAATTTGATCTTTTGGTCCCTTTCCTCTACACCCTCCTTGTTTGAGTCCTTAGAGAGGATCTTGGCTAGTCCTTGATCTTGGGTGTTTTTTGGGTTGGTTATGATTTGGCTGGTTGGCGTTTAACGTCTGTAATCTTGTGCAATGCAATATAATTTTAGATGGAAAAAAAAATACCATATGAAAAATTGAAGAGTAATTGCATTGAAGAAAGAATGACAAGACCATCTATCATGTTCAAACAATAAAAATATTTCAGCACCACTAGGCTTCTCTCCTTTATACATACCCTCACGCGTTTGAGGTTTGACAGAGCTCTTCTTTGTCAAAGCTTTTCTCTTTCTTCTTTCTTCATTTTTGTTTTTTTCATTCTCTTTCTTAGATTTTCTTCCAAACTGGTAAAATTAGTGAATCTGCATCTCTACATCAAATTGGTGACATTTTATTTTTTAGTTTCAAAGCGATTTAGTAATTAGACAACTAATGGGTATGGGTGTGGCTGTCTCCATAGTGGCCACACTCCAAAAAGGCCAAAAGAAAATGGTAAATTTCAAAAGTTAAATCAATTAAAAATTATTGTGGATTCTCCTACCGATCCGATGTATGAAAAGAGAAACCAACCCACTAATAATGTCACTTTCGTTAATTAATAAAAATAAAAATAGAAAGAAATTAAACTGACAGCGAACAACAGCTGCAATAATTTGTTAGCAATGCTTTTATTTAATTTTGTCAACGTTCAGCAAATTCTAATGAACTGTTGTTGACAAAGAAAAAGTTACATTTGCAAGAAAAAAATTGAATATTTGGTATAGTGTAATCCATTTATATCTTGTGTGATTAAATAATAATTTGTTAGAACGTGAAGTTGGGAAGGAAACTAAATATTTCAAATTATTATTGTCATCATCCTTTTTCAGAAATCTAATATACTAGGTTTTCTATTTACATCTTATTAGTAGGAATCCATCGTTGATTTATTTTCTATTTAAAATAACGATTTATACTATTGTTGAATTTTTTTTATGACTAAGGCATTTTATTTTTATTTGCTTATGGTAGCGGTTAACGTTGGCGGAAGGCTCAGAACACCTGAGTCCCTACGTACCGGCTTGTGGAGAAGACCCAGATCTCAAGTCCTTTGATACTTCGCTTCACCAACGAACCAACAAGATAATCAACTCGCTCGACGTTCAAACCGACATGACTCAATCTTTACACTTAGACTTACTCATTGAGGCCTACAACTTTCTATTTAAAGCAAGCCAGGAAATTGTAGACATCATTATTGAAAGCAAAGAAGACGTGGGTAAGCACAAAGAACTAAGCTCTCTGGTTGAATTGTATTTAGAAAATACCACCGAGACCTTAAAGTTATTCAGTAGCGTGGATAAGTTCGTTGAGAGAGCCAAAAATAGCCAGCTTATCATTCGATATGCGGTACAACAGTTTGAAGCAGAGTCGGAGGTTCAGAGTTCCTTATTCTCATTCTTCTTAGCAGTAATTCAACGATGGATTCTGGGAGGACGTAAGGAGAAGAAGAAGTATGCGAAAACGTTAGAGGAACTGAACAAGTTTAAAGCCAAGGGAGATCTTCTTGGGGAAGAGTTGGTCGCTCATTACGAGTCTGTCTTGGCGCAGCAGGTCAAGCTTCTGGAGGACTTCTGTCAGCAGAAAGTAAAGCTTGACAAGAAACTTAAGAAGGTGAAGAAACTCAAGTACTTTTCGTGTGCGTTTTTTGTTATTGCGGGTGTCAGTGTTTCGGTCGCATCGGTAGTTGCACTCGCAGTTTTAGCCCCACATACGGCTCCGGCTGCAGCAGCTCATCTTGGTCACACGGCGTCAGCTCATTTTGGTTCAATGGCGGCGGCATCTCAAATGGGTCAATTAGCCCGACCAATTGCATCTACAGGGAAATGGGTCGGCGAGCTGTTAAACAAGTACGAGAAAGATGTGAAGTCACAGAAGGGTTTGCTCACAATGACGGAACAGAGTACGACTGTCAACAAAGGAGCGACGGAGACCATAAGTTCCCAAGTCAAAAGCCTAACAGGGAAAATCTCGTCTATTTTAGAGCAAGTGGACTTTGCTGTGGAAAGAGAAGAAGAGGAGAAGGACACGAGACTTGCCATGCAAGAAATCATGAAGAACGTTGAGGAGTACACTAAGAAGATCGAGGAAGTTGGTGAAACTGCTGCCAAGTTAAGCAAATCGATCGTTTCGGGGAGAGCTCGCCTTCTTGATTACATTGCCAATTCAACGGGAAAGTGATTAAAGTAATTTTATTAATGCGCTTTTTACTTTTTTTTTTTCTTTTTTTGAGGGGACAAATTGATGTTTCTTTATTTTAAATCATTTTAGTCGTCGTTGAGCTTTACTGTCTGTTGTACTTTTGTTTTGTAACGTTGTTGACTGGAAGAAAGAATTGGTGTTTAACTACCTCAATATAAATTAATATTGTTGGGATTACGTAATTTACGTGTAATGAGACAACTTCTGTGTGATCATTATTCATACAGAGCATGTAAAATTTAGGGTTCATCTAACTAGCACTTTGCCACTTTCTCAGGCTTCATTTGTTTGTAGTAACATGCTTTTAGTCTAATTAAGTGAGTAGTAATTTAGAAGACCCGAAGCATAAAAATATCCTCCAGAAGGACAGACGTTAAAGGAAATAACTACAGAGGGAGAGGGGAAACCTAGGCCAGATATCTACAAAAGGTTTTGGTTTTGTTAGAGTTTTTGCTTGGAAGTGTTCCATGAGACTAATATAAATTTAAATATTTTTCAGGGTTTTGTTTGACTAACGCTGGCCATTGTAATATTGTATAGAAGAAAGAAACCTTTTGGGAATATATAAACGAATAGAAAAGAGGAGAACCCAAGAGAGGTGATATAGGGTTGGTTATTATAGAAGATTCATATTTTGGGATTGTGTTCCCTAGTTTTCTCACCGAGACATAAAGCGACAACTCTTTTTGTCCTGTGCGATTTTGTCTTGAATGTCACAATTTCAACACAAAGTCACAAACTAACTCTAAAGGGCTAAGGTTTTTTATTTACACTTCTTACTTTGCAGATAGTAATTTAGTACCTATGAATCGTTATAATCAGTCAATATATTCCTTCTAGTCTTTGTCTCGATTGTCACAATTTTCAACACGACTGATTTCTAAGTGTATTGACTCTTCTTACCATATGCATAGAGTAATTTAGCACTATAAGTAGTTATAATCTGTAAATATGTTCCTTTTATGGACGTATACGTAACGCTAGACAAACTTATATTTTTCCCCATCTTTTTATAGTAGCTTTGCTATGCAGTCTGTATATAGTTTTTCTTTAACAAGAGAGTGTATATAGTTTTTGAAAAGATCTAGAGTTTTATATATTTTATTGAGTAAGAAGAATACACATGAGAGATATAAGACAAGTGGGTTATCATGAAAGCCTAATTAATGATGATAAACCTGGATTATAAATTTGAGAGGGAAACAAATGGGTTATCAAATGTAGTACTCAGAAGGCAAGATGAATGTTGTATACCTGCAAAATTTAATTTCTCTCTCATTCTTTAAGAATCTGAAGTAGAGAAGAAGAAGCTCCAGGTTGAAGGCAAATTCGTCTCACACATAACTAATGATTAATGACCGGAGATGGAAGTGGTGATGTTGGAGGCTTCATGTCCTCGTACCTACAAAACATTTGAGTCTCTCATCAGCTTACATAAGATGAAGTAATATCAATGAACACACTTTGATTCTCTGTCTCTCGCTCTCTCAATCTCACATTGTGTAAGGTGACAAAGGTCTTGGCTTTGGCAGATCAGCTGCACTGTCTTCTGAGGTAAGGGAAGTGTCTGTCCCATTGCTAACAATTTCTGCTTCTGGTACAGAAGAAGATTGAGTCGTGTTCCTACACAAACAACAAGCAAAGACCAGAGACTGTATAGATCAATTCCTTAATATAGACACATTTTTTGAATCTGGTTTCTAGATACTTACAAACTACCACCATCCACTGTTACCAGCACATCATTTCCTCCAGGCAACTCTGTTTTTTCTTCTGCGGATGTTGTTTTCTTGGGACCGGCTGATGCAGGAACCGGTGAGGTTGGTGGTTTCAGGTCTGCGTAACTGCAAAACACAGTGAAAATTTCATTGACAAGAAAACGAACTACATATAGGGAAAGAGAGGAAAGAAGAAGAGGAAAAGTTGTTACGCTGCATAAGGAGAAAGAGGTCTCATTTTTGGTGTGGCTGGTGCTTCTGTCTCAGTGACACTTGTTTCAACTGTTGAGCTTTTGCCAGTATCAGAATCGGTTGGAGCAGGCGACAAAGAATCGCTCTTTCGGGTACCAGAAGCTTTAGGAGTAGGGGTTGAAGGTGGTTTTAGATTGTCATAGCTGCATAACAACAATACAGCCAATCATCAAGATTTTGTCATTACCTCTCACATTTTCTGTTACTCCAAACTGTGATGATACCAATATAAACTCGTAGGCGTTGCATAAAGAGTTTCAATCTAGTGAGTCCTGAATACGTTCCACAAAGATGGGTAATGTTATTACCGGGCATAAGGGGAAAGAGGCCTCTCTTTCTTTTCCTCAGCTTCCTTCACTTCTTCTTCTTTCTCTTCCACTGCGACATTTGAGATATTATCTGGCGGTGGAACTACATTGGTCTCGACAGGAGCCTCTGTGGCAACAACCTCCTTAGGTTTGGTGGCACCAAGTGATGTGGTCGAAATTGGAATCGGAGATGTTGGAGGTTTCAAGTCTTCATAGCTATATATATATATTCAAAGACCAAGACAAGGGACAGTGGACATCGAAAACAATCAATGTCATATAGTTACATACAGTATTTCTTTCTTTTTACGGTTGAGGAACAAGTTGCTTACGCGGCATACGGAGAGAGCGGCCTAGGTTTCACATCTTTGACTTCGGCAGGTGCTTCAACCTCCTTGGGAGCTGTTGGTTCTTGAGCTACAGGCTTGGTAGGGACTGGTTTCACCTCTTTGGCTGCAACTGATTCCTATCCACAGTCCAGATGCAGAGAGATAAAGATAAAACCATCTTCTCACAGGAGAGAGATAATCAAGATTAGACAAAGAGAGGAGAAGAAAGCAAATATAACCTTTGGTACTGCAGGCTTATAAAGACGTTTGGAGGGAATCTTTTCAAGAAGCTTTTCCGTTGGAGTTAATGGTGCAGTGGTTTCTGCAACTACTTCCACAATCTTAGAGAAAGAAAGCTGAGGATTCTTTGCCATACAAGCGAGCAATTCCGCAACCTGGAGATCAATAAAAAGAAGAAATTAAAACAACAAGCAAATCAAAGCTCTTCTTCATATTGTGGTCATATATCACTATATCATAGACAAGAGAGAAATAACAAGCACCTGGAGATTTGAGACTTGACCACCAAACAATGTATCATCTAGAGAAAGAGTGAGATTATTAGTTTCCTTGTATGCATCAGTTGGTCTCTCCATTCCTCCTGGCCTAACTATCTGAAGAAATCATATGGAAAGACAAAATCTTAAGATATGATACAACCGGAAAGAGTGTGAAACTATAACTTTTGTAGAAATCACTCACTGCGTAGTTGAGACCGCTTGCAATCAACGCTTCTTCAGCTTTTCTCTTCCAGCAAAGAACCCCCCAGAATAGGCTTCATAAACATAATAAATGTTCATAAAAACGAGATGAATTTATATAACACTAACATGCCATTAAGTTTTTTATGTGCTTCTTTAAACAGACAAAAAGAGAAACATCAAAGACTTACTTGAGAATCGCAGCGGGAAATCCAAATTTATTTGTCCCCAAGGATGTCACCAAAATGAAGCTATTAACTTTTGCAGATGTTGCTGCTCATAATGGTGAAACAAGAGGCAAATGATAAAGATCAAAGAAAGCAAGAATGGAGTCAAGAAACAGGTTTTGAGTGTAATGTATTGTTCTTACCAGCATCAACAAGGTTTTTGGTGGCTAGATAATCAATCCTGTAAGGTCCTGTAATATCTGAGATTTCTTTCTCGCTAGCACCAATACAGCATATAACCACAGATGCATTTCCCAGCGCAGGCTGTATCGAATCTCTCTTCTCCAAGTCACATTCCACAATTTCAAGCTTTTCTACAGCTGGGCTAAAGGACACAGACAATGCCTGTTACTTTTCCTCTACCACAAAAATCATATTTAATAAAATCAAAAACATTTCTCTTTTTACGTTGAGTTCCTTCATCTGTGTTCTGTAGCTTCATTTCCTTAACACTCTGCAAAGTATTTTTATTTGCTCAGTAACTTCATACTTGCAAAAGGATGAACAATTGACTATTAAAAATATTCATATACTTGCACAAGACTTGATGCTCTCTGAGCGCTTCGAACTCCAGCTCTAACTCGAAATCCTAGCTTCAGTAGCTCTCTGAGTGAAAGAGGACAATTGATTTTAACAAAACCAGCATTGCGAATTCATTCTTCAAACTAAAAATAACAAATTTAAGAAACCAACCTCACAGTTCTAGAACCAACTTTACCAGTAGCACCTGCTACAAAGACAAGGTCTTCTTCCTTGGATCCTATGTTCTTAGTGTTTGCTTCCGTTACCGCAGAGCTTGCTTTAATAGGATCTTTTTGTTCAATTACAAGGAGGGAAATCAGTCAAGTGTAGAAAATTCCGGATATTAAGAAGAGAACTTTAAGGATGATACTAATGGTTGTCTGATTAAAAGATAGAAAAGATGAGAGCTTTGAGATATGAAGGAAGATTAGGAAATGACCACATTGCAGAAAGAATCCATCAGCAAAACAAGACAAAAATAGCGAATCTTACTCGAGCAAGACCCATTTCACGAAAAGCAAACAAAAAGCAATGTAACTAACTGGTTTACTTTTCTACTACCTGAAGCTCTGCTGAAGCTGCTAAGATCAGAAAATCTGGACTTTCCAGAACTCGGGTGATTCTTGAGACCTGAAAACTTGACAATTCGATTGTTCTTCAGTCCTCGGAGAAGGAAGCGTTGTCTGGGAAGAGAAGGCAATGTTGTAAGAGGTTGCCCTCTGAGAAAACAAGTTCCTTCCATTGTTAGAGAACGCTAGTTAGTGTTGTTCTTCGTCCAACTGGATTTTTTTTTCTATCAGGAAAACAATTAGAGCACAGAGTCATGCGACGAAAATTATTCTTTTTTAAAATCTACTGGATGCAGAGAGACGAAAGAGTTCTTCTGCCACTGCATCCTGATATGATGGGACCTACATAACATCATAAGAGACCAATCAAAATGTTTTGTTGGAGTGACTTGTGACTACAATGCTGACATGGCAAGGAGGATTCGATTCGGTTTGGTTTACTCCAAAACCAAAATTGTTTCTTACAAGGATGGATTTTAACTCTAACCCAATCTCTCCACCCTTCTTGATCTTTTTGTACAAATTATTTGCGCTTTTTTTTTTTAATAACTAGATGGAGAATTATTCATCAACCTTCAATACACTAATATCATCTGCAGCCTCAAATTCATCAACATCACTTAAAAAAGCACTATACAATGCACAGCTGATGGACAAATTTATGGTTAAGATAGAAACTTATTTCTCGACCCTGTGTGAGTTTGAGCTTCAACTGCAAAACTGCAGCATCAGGATAGAGGTAAAGCTGACCAGACTAGAGAAGGTAAAAGTAAATAGACGACCATGAATTCTCTAGAATAATAACTGGTAGCCGTTTAGGAGAAAGGGTAAGAGTAGCTAGCCGTAAGACCAAGACAAGGTAGAAAATGGAAAATCGAAATGCTCAACAAAGCTATATTGCCACAGAGTAGACTAGTGTAGTGTATTAGACTATACCCTTCAAATCCACTATCAAAAGTCAAAGGCCCATAATTTATTTTCAGAAGCAAAGTGACATCAAGTTCCTCAAAACTGACACTAGCCATCTTTATAAAGGTAATGCATGTACCAAAAGAAAAGAGATACACTCAAATTGCAACTGAAACTCAACAACATAACTCTGATGCAATTATAAGGTACAGAGAAAACAGCCAAATCACATTATGAAGACGAAACAGGGGGTGTTGAAAACTCAGACTCAGAGGGAGCTTTTGCGGCTGAGAAATTGAGAGCTGCAGCAGCAGCAGCCTGTGGAGAATATATTCTTGCCTTCTTTATGATTTCAGCAACTATCCAATTCTTACGCTTGCTCAGAGGCCTTGATGGATCCAATTTCACCTGCATTACATAACAAATCCAAGTTCCGTTTAGCATCAGCAGCTAGTAACGATCAATTTTTCGTAATCATCACAAACCGATAAGTCCACTTCCTAAAAGAAGCAAGCGAGATTCACTAGATTTTCGAGCTCTTGATCAAATATATCTCAAATTTACTACAAAATTATCCGAAGTTGATAGATTTTGAGGAAAGAGTAGAGAAAAGTCAATGGAATTACTCGGTCGCCGATGTTACAGGCGTCCTTCTCGTCGTGAGCCATGAACTTGGAAGTACGCTTGACGTAGCGATTGAAGAGCTTGTTGTGGAATAGTCTGTCCACAGCTACCACCACCGACTTCTGCATCTTGTTCGACACCACTGTGCCTATCACTGGCTTCATTTTCCCCGCCAAAAGAAATCACAGATTCAATAATCTCTGTATCTGTAGCTGAGAAAAACAATCTGAAAGATCGAACAAGACAATCGAAATGGTGTGAATTGCTAGTTTCTCGTTTCTCGTCTAGGGTTTTATAATGATGGGCTTTGATTTGGCCCAATACACTTATGGTCCGTCGATGTGAACCGGTTCATAAAATTGAAATATGGTTTGATTGATTTGCAAATATAAAATCAAACCGGGATGAGAAGAAGAAAGAAGTGCAGAAATCCATGGCTGTTAATGCTGCTGTTATTGCTTCACTTCATCTTCAACCTCTCTCCTCTTTCTCGTCGTCTTCCTCTCCTCCTCCAAGCTCTAGACCTCTCTATCTCAAATTCCAGACCTCACACCGTGAAAATCTAAGATACCTCTCTTCTCTCGGGCTCGTGCCGCAGAATCCCCGACTCGCTCCTCCTTCAAATGATCTTTCAGTTATCCTTTCCGCCGTGAACTTCCTAAAATCGAGAGGAATCTCCAACGAAGATTTCCCTCGCCTCCTCTTCCTATGCCCCCAGCTCTTCTCTCCGACTTTCGACATCTCCAAAATCGATCCGGTCTTCGATTTCCTCACCGGCGAGCTCGGAGCTTCCGCGGCGGAATCGAGAGGATTGATCGTGAATTGCCCCAACATCCTCCTCTCCGACGTCGAGTACTGCCTGAGACCGACGCTGGTTTACCTCAAGGAGCTAGGACTACGGAACCTGAACAGAGCGAGCAAGACGAACGCGCACGTGCTTAACACGAGGGTGGCGAAGCTGAGACCGAAGATGAGATTCCTAAAGAGCATCGGGTTCGACCACGAGGAAGCAGCTAGAGCCTGTGGGAGAATCCCGGCGATATTCGGATACAGCGTCGAGGCTAACTTGAGGCCCAAGTTCGAGTTTCTGGTTTACGACATGGAAAGAGATATAGAAGAGCTCAAGAAGTTTCCCCAGTATTTCGGGTTTAGCTTGGGGAGGAGGATAAAGCCGAGGCATTGGCATTTGAAGAAGAAGAACGTTAGGGTTTCGTTAAGTAGAATGTTGATGTGGGGTGATCAAAGATTCTACTCCAAATATAATAAACCATGAAAACAGAGCAAAGGCCTCTTTAGTTTTCAACTGTTTCATTGTTCATATATTCAAATCTGAAAGCTCTGCTAATAACTATTTTTGCATTGCGTTTCAAGGAAAGCGTTTCTAAATCATACGAAAATGTTAAAGAGACTGATCGAAAATCCAAATATCAAAGCACAAGTCTCGCTCTCGCTTTTTAAGGATGACGAACTAGAAGATCGATATCGGCACCAACTTCTGCAATCTTGGCTTCCTTAGACGCCTTTGCTGATTTTGCAATGCTCTCTACATCAAAATCTATCGCTATCTTCTTCACGAGGCCTTCAAGCATCTGTCATTTACAGAAACACCAGAATTTATGTAACCAACAAACACATATATGTGTATTAAAAGGAGGAAGTTAAGTGGTTTGCGAACTAACCAGTGAGCCGATTGCTACCAAACTTCTAAACTTGGAATCAACATCTGCAGCTGCCTCTTCTCCGATCTGTTTTAAGTTTCAATTTTATTAGCACAAAAATGATAGCACTATATTTGGTTCTCAGAAAGATTCAGGAAACTTTTTGGTACATTGGTTCTCTCAGATCTTAGAGAGTGACTACAACAACAGATGATATTCAATTCAATGGTGAGCTATGAATGGAATACATGCAGTGGTGAAAATGACCAAATTTAGTCCTACCTGCAATGCTGCTGAAAGGACTTGAGCTTGGCCTTCTTGATCCTTCTTTTCTATTAATAGCACTGCATAACTGCGGGGAAATAGCATAATACATCAGATGTTGATGTTCTGTGTCTGATAACAGCTCAACAGTGAGTAGGCATGACTCCAAACTAGACCAAGAGTAATATAAGAGAGATCTTACTTGAGAAGCAACGTCGAATAAGCCAACTGCAGATTCTTATTTGGGGATGAATAACAGTTTGAGAAGGCATCAAGTATCTGCATCGATCAAAAGCAAATTATAAAGGCAGAGTACCAGATAAACCACTTATTTAAATTATCATCATAATAAAACACAAACACAAATGTACAGAGGCACTAATGCAATAGCTAGCTCGTCGAGAGCATAAAAAATTCTAATTATGAAAAACGAAATGGTACTTACTTGGCTATGATGTCTCTGTAGCCAGTAATGGAATGAAGGATTCTTGAATAGATTAACCAGGACGCGAACAGTTGTTAGAAGATTTGCAGGAAGAGCCGAGTCTTGTGTGACTTTCTTTATAACATCCAGAATCAGGTCTGAATGAATTGCAGTTAACAGAGAGATACGAGTTAATAAAGAACATTCGCTGATACTTTAATTCATGTGTTGAAGAAACCATAACTTCAAGTGAGATGATTACCATTGTTGTTTTCCACGTGCTTAATAAGCAGACTTGATCCATGAGGATGCAAAACGAGCATCCGGACTATATCAGTAGCTGCATATTCAAAAACCATAACCATAAGAGCTTGACCCAAAAGCAAAACAAGTATCCAACACATGGAAACCAAGAAAATTATCCAAATACACCAAAACACATCTCATTTTTTAGATTTTTATACTGATTTTGCCATGGCTTCATTATAGTAAGAAATACAGAAGCTCAATATGTAATCGACAGTTCTCTTTGACTAGAGAAGACCTACCAGGAAACATCATCGCAGGTGGCCATGCTTGTAGTACTTTCAAAAGCAATGCAATATCCATGTCAGCAAAATTGGTTGAGTGGTAGTGTGATGTATCTTTCAGTATTTTTACGATCCCGCCTACTCTGGATAGTTCAAGGTCTGTCAGGGACTTGTCACTATTTGCCTTCACAGATGAAAAAAAGTTTCAGAAAACTAGTATAAGTAAAATAATCATTTTTGGTACAACTATAATCGTGTGCCATAAGTTACTACTAAGAGCTTACTGGGTCAGATCGTAGAGTATTGTTGAACTCTGACATCTTTTTCAGAATCCCATCATATTGGGCAACATCGAAAACTAGCACACCTTTCTGGAGAGCACAATGGAACAGAAAAGAGATCAATAACTAGATACACTAAACAGGAATAAAGAAAGAATTCCAGCGTACTTTTGGAATGTGCTTGAATAAAGGTTTTGCCGGAGTTGCTGCAACAGAAAAGAGTCACAGTGCATGAGTCAAACAGATTAATTTTACGTAAAACTGAAGTGTTATGTGACAATAACTCAAGCGCTGTATACATACCAGCTGTATGAGATGCTTGCCCAGGCACATAAGCATTTGCTGATACACAAAGAAGGCAAAATTATAATAATATCCTCAAAACAAATTTACAGCCCAAATATTTATGAAACATGTGAATTTTACCGCCAGTGAAGGGATCACGAAAAGAGGGATTGAAATTGAAGTCTTTCTGCCCAGAATTTTGTAATATAAATTCAACAATCTGCTGTCGATATGCAAAGGGAAGATTCTCTTTTAGTAGCCACTTGTCAGCTGCATCATAAGGATTGTCTGCCAAACAAGAAAACATTTTGAGTAACATAAATTGTTGCATTTGGAATTAAGACAAGGCTAGCAAGATAGTTCAGGTACCTGATCGATTGTAAGGTAGCTTCCGGATAGGTTCCCCATCACCGATGTCAACATCGAAAACTAGAAGAAGAAAGAAATCGGCTAAGAATTTTGTTCACTTTGAATTTAACTGATTCTGAAAGTTTCCATAACAAGTTAAAATCTAACCAAAATCATACTGAACTCCATCGTGGATTGGACGGTCAGCCCCACCATCTGGGCCATCGACAACCTCACCAATCTGAAATAATAGGCATGGCGTGAGAACTCAAATCATTCTACCACAATAGAATGTCAATGTTTACATGCAAAATGTTGAAGATAAATCTATTTCATATCCTTGTTATCTGCTTAAGAAGATTCTCATATTGCTACCTCAGAGCGACGACTAAACTTCATTTAAAAACCTCGCTCTAATGGCACTAATACATGTGGCAATCTGCTAGCAGCATATGCTATCATTTCATGACGCGGCAGCAAGATTATTCAAGGTAAATTCACAAGCCTTCATCCAATAGTAACTTTTCCATGAAGAAATTATAAATTTTCCTCGTACTAATTGATTTCCAAGGGATGTTGTATACTTATATGTATAATCAAGAATGCAATCTAATAAACATTAAGCAGCATTCACGTCAAGAGAAAAAACGGCATGCAATCAACAAACCGAAAAGGTTTAGCAAATGAGATAAAAGGCATTATGTTGACTTACTTTGTCCCACCTCTGTTCTCTCATATTCCACGAATAAGCAACACCATTGTCTCCTTCCCTTACGATTTTTGTCTGGCCATCACTGGTACCTGAGAAGATACATAAAATACAAGAAGATGTTACGAGAATGAGCATAGCCAGACAGTACCAATTACAATTTACAAAATACAAAATTTGGAGAATAAGTGGCACCTGGCAACCGTCAGAGCATCAAGACCCGGAAGCTCGTCAAGTTTCATTCCCCCAACCTTTTTCCTGAGATAAAGAACGGCACGCATATAGTTTGCAGTTATATGTAGAGCATAAAAACACGATATCATACACCATCAGCAGGTCATATCATAAAAATCCATGAAATTGCCATGTGAAAGTGAAAAAAATACCCAATCGATACAGAACTAAAAGATAAGAGTTGAGATAATCATAAATGATCAGATTACCTGCTCAATGTGTACTGAGAAATCAGCGAATTATATGCATCAATCTCCATCTGATCTGCAATCACTTCATCACGTACTGTCCAAACACGAACCACTCCATCCGAACATGCTGTGACAATATCCCCACTCTCCAAGAATTTGGCATCCCAGACACAGCCTGGGTGTTCCAAACTCTGGACGCAGACTCCATCTGTACATGTTAATAACAACGAAGTAAGAACAACAGATCAACCTATAAGAAATAGACATGGTTTAAGACCGCAATTTTCTCCTTTCGCTAGTGATATCAATTATAACATGCAGACCAATCTTTGCAAGCAATACAAACTGGTTTCTGATCACCTGATATTGTCCGAAACGCTAACAACAAACTCCCCATTAGCTGTAACTAAGTAATCAAATTTGATACCACGTCTTCTACAAAACTATGATGCAGGAAACATCCATAATATTCAAAGAAAGCTTTAAGACTGAACATTGGACTGAAAATTGGAGAGAGACTTTCTAAATGTAAACATCTTGAAACAAACAATGACGTCATTAAACCTAGAAAAATTATAGGTTATAAATGTAGAACAGAAGAGGCATCAATAGAAACAAAAGAGAATGATCACCTTTCCATATCTTGGCATAGCGATCTTCACTGCCACTAACAATAAGGCCAGATGCATGCGCGTCAACCGAATAAACAATGGAGGTGTGGCCAACCATCTCCAAAAGAACTTCGCCACTTAGAGCCCATAGCCTGATTGAGCTGTTTGGATAAAATAAAATGGAGATTTACAACCTTTTCTGTGTTTAAATGCATGAAAGGCTGAATAAAGAAAAACCTAAGCATCACATCCAAGATGAAGAAAATATAAAATCACAGGATCTCATAAATTATCCATGACAACAAATTCCGATTTAAGCACATACGAATGAGGTGAAACCGGAAGCAAAGCAAAGTACTTACCCATCGTGTGATGCTGAAAGAAATCCTAAATCAGACATCACGGCTAACCCTCGTACAGTATCTGCAGAGGAAAACAAAAGTACTTTTATAAGATCTTGAAACTTCACAAGATAGATATCTTACTTCAGATAGTATCAGATTGTGTCTTATTTTAGATATGCAGCTTCCTTATACTGACTACGAATCTGAGAGAAATGAAAAACTGAGAGAGGTACAAAGAACCTCACCTGTATGCCCTGCAAAAGTTCGTAGACTTGTTTTTCCCTTCCAGAGTTTGAGAGTGGTATCACTTGAACCTGGTAGTAGCATAAGTAAATTATTAGCTGAGAACTTCAGAAATAAGTATGCCATCAAAATCATACTTAAGTCCATGCACCTTAAGATCAAACTAAAAATATTTAACATAAGCTTATTTCCAGAAAGAGCAAACTAGAAAAACCAATTGAACAGAAGAACTTGACATCGAAAAACAGATGCATCAAAAGACAGCTTTGGCTGAATTACGTACCTGAAACGAGCTCGCCAGATGGCAGCTTTATCACGGCCTGAACAGGGGACTGGTGTCCCTCCCAAGATTCAACAAGCTGACCGTTTCTCCATCGTTTCAGAGTCCTTCAGAAAAAAAGAATCAAATGAGAACTTACGTTAGACTACACAGCAGTAGAGACTAGAGAGTAATTCAATTTAGTATTACTAAAGCTAGTAAGCTACATCAAGACAATCCTGCACACAGCTAACAGTCATACACACCCTTAAAACTAAGATTACAAATAATAATATCCCATATGGGAAACAACTACTGCTAGGAAACAGCAAAGAAAATTCCACAGGCTACTACACTCAACTGAATTTTAAGCAAGAAACGTTATTGACTGAACAGTTTGCAAGCTTCATACTAATAAAAATTATGTTGAACAAGAAGATGACTTACTGATCAACTGAAGATGAAACTATGTCCTCGTTATCAAGAGTAACACCAGTGACTTGCATACTATGACCCTTCAACGTCTGAGTGTTCTCTCCATTGACCAGGTTCCAAACGAAAACATTAGTATCCATGCTCCCAGAGACGAGTCTGCCTTCAGGGAATTCCTCATTCGGCGAAATCCATGCAAGCGGTCCAACGAAGCTTGTGTGACCCAGCAAAATCTTGGAAGACGAATACTTGCGCTTATCAGAATCCAGTGACCATATCCTTATCGTTCTGTCTCTTGATGAGCTAGCTATATTCTCATCAGTGCAAACACATATTCCACGAACCTGATAACCAAATTACAGTTTTTTTATTAATCAGCATTAGGTCAATATCATAAGGTCAACTACAGTACCCAGCATCTAAACATTCATGACATTGGCACGCTAAGTTTAACATCCAATTCCAACCCATAAGAAGCCATTCTAAAATTCAGTACACAGCATCTAAATATCTCTGAAATTGAGCTAATCGAAACAAAGCTTGACGCTAATTATCAAATCCGCACATGAAATTGAAGCGAAATCGAATGCTACATCAGATCAAGTGGGTGATTTCAGAAAACGCCAATGCGGAAGGAAGAAGGTGGAATCACGGAGCTGAATTGTGCGAACACCCTCCAAAGTTTAAGCGACGGAGTTTCAAAATCCAGAAAAAGAATCGACTGAGAGAACACAGTAAAGTAAGAAGTGGGGTTTGCGAGAGATCTTACATCATCATCGTGGCCACGAAGCTCGCATCTGAGCTTGTATTCGTTGAAATCGATATCCATGACCATGACTAAGAACGAGCAGCAAAGAGAGAGAGACCAAGCGACCAAAAAGAAGCGACTCAGAAGTGACTTGCGGGAGGAGGAAAACCAAGGGAGAAGGTGATGGATTTCTTCTTAATCTCAATATAATCTTCCGAAAGAAATATAAATCAGGAAAATCTCAAATAACCCACATATAAAAAAATATATTATTTCTTAATTCCCTCTTTTAAAATAGAAAAGTTAGTATATTTTTTTTAACTAAAATCGCACAATTTTTTTTAAAATAACATTTAACAACACTTTAAACACCTAAAATATTTCAGTTAAATTTTAAACTTACAAATTTTCAAATAAAAAATATTAACATAATAAACTTATGTTTAGAGATAATTAGGAGGTGATCTGGATTTTAACAACCAGCTACTATCCGGTTTTTTTAATGGATTTAAAGCTTGACACTATTTCGACTGATCAATTGTGAATAACTTAAATGATTTCAGGCCTAAACTAACATGAGATTCTTCTTTAAGTAACCATTAAACCACCATCAACTAGTTAACATTGTAATGCACTATGTACTTGATTTCTTTTAGTTAAGTTACACTATCGGAGCCGTCCCTGACTTATGAATGGCCGCAAGCTATTTTTAAAAAAGGGCTAATTAGTTTGTTTAGGAGTCTCGAACTCATGACCTTGAAGCTCAGGAGACAGCAAGGAAACCACTAGACTACTAGAAATCTTTGGAAATATGGGCCGAATTATTCTATATAAAGAGAAAGGGCCGCAAGCAGGAGCTTGCTCTGCTTGTTCTCAGGGACGGCTTTGTACACTATGTATTTGATTTTTTTTTTAAACAATGTAAAAAGAAATTATAACTTTGAGATTTCAACTAAACATACCAACAAAAAATGCACTATTTGAGTTATGTTTTCTAAAAGAAGAAAAGATAATTTTAGCTCAAAGAGTGCATCATTGCAGATGCTCTAATTTTTAGAAACAACAAAAGAGAGTAGCGAAAGAATAATGACTGATGGGCTTTAAAGCCCCGACCCAATTTAGAAACTGAGTTGTTTGTTTTCTTTTTATTTTTTCTCAAAAGTATAAATAAAAAATCGAAGAAGGATGAGTATGAACAACCTGGTGACGTTCACATTAAATAATCATGAAAAAGGAGGGGACAGTGGTTTAAATTTCCGCACCTTCCTTGTTGAGTACTTTCTTCGAGAATGGCATTCACCGTAATTACCAGCCACCTCCGAGCCCGTTTTCACAAACCAGTCCTACTCTCTCATGTCTTTTTTCTCGGCCATTTATTTTTCTTCTGCACTGTTTATAAAACCTCCAAGCCTCATTTCCATGGTAAAGCTGTCTTCTTCTTCTTCTTTATCGTTTCCAAGAAGAAAAAATCGATAGTGGATTTTGCTACTGCATTGAAAATCTGTAATGCTCTGTATTCTGATTGTGTGTGTGTGTGTGTTCTTTTTTTCTTTACTGAGATTTGAGCTTAAATCTTGATTATCATTCTTGGCAGATTATTTTCTTGACAGTGTATTTAGATCCTTAGATTCTTAGTATGATTTTTAAAGTCTATTCATCTTTTCAACCTGTAGCATTTAGTATTTCAATATGAAGTTTTTAAAGCAATCCGAAACTACTAGTTTCTTCAAGTCTCTAATAGATTCTTGACATTTGTTTTCATTACTTTACATTTTCTGTTGAGTAATATTGAAGTCTTGATCCTTTATCTGCAGGTAAAAAAGTATGTTGTGTGTAGGCAACAACTCTATGATGATGTGACCAAATGAGCTGATGGTGATTCTGGTAACAGTAGATTTCATTAAAAGACAACAGCAGTGAGATTAAATAGATTATCTTAAGGTGTTTAAAAGAAAACAAAAAAATGGAAAAAAAGGTTATAATGAGTGAAGAAAAGATACTAAACTCTCATAAGCTGTCTCTGATAAGAGTGTTAAGAGGTATAATATGTCTGATGGTGTTAGTATCAACAGCTTTTATGATGTTGATCTTCTGGGGGTTCCTATCAGCTGTAGTGGTAAGGCTTTTCAGCGTACGCTACAGCCGTAAATGTGTCTCTATCTTCTTCGGCTCGTGGCTTGCCTTGTGGCCTTTCCTCTTTGAGAAGATAAACAGAACCAAAGTTTTGTTCTCTGGCGACAAACTTCCTTGCGAGGCACGAGTGTTGCTCATCGCAAATCACAGAACAGAAGTTGATTGGATGTACTTTTGGGATCTTGCACTGCGTAAAGGCCAGATTGGGAACATCAAATATGTGCTCAAGAGCAGTTTGATGAAGCTACCTCTGTTTGGTTGGGCGTTTCACCTCTTTGAGTTTATTCCCGTTGAGAGGAAATGGGAAGTCGATGAAGCAAACTTGAGGAATATGGTTTCTAGTTTTAAAGATCCTCGAGATGCTTTGTGGCTTGCTCTCTTCCCTGAAGGCACAGATTACACGTAAGTTTTGAACTTTTTATCCCTCTCTTCTTGTTTAGAAACGTCTTTTGGGTTCAAAAGCATTTTTAACAACTTTTTATGTAGGGATGCTAAATGCGAAAGGAGTAAGAAATTTGCAGCTGAGAATGGACTTCCGGTGCTGAACAACGTTCTTCTTCCAAGAACAAAAGGTTTTGTCTCCTGCTTGCAAGAAATGAGTTCCTCACTTGATGCAGGTTTGTTTTCCATCAGAGTGATGTAATGAAACAAAGCAAACTCTCATGCAACAACTTTTTTTTTTGCAATTCTTGCAGTTTATGATGTGACCATAGGTTATAAATCACGTTGTCCGTCTTTCTTAGACAATGTGTATGGTGTTGAGCCATCAGAAGTTCACATCCACATCCGTCGTATCAACCTAACCCAAATCCCAAATCAAGAAAAGGAAATCAATGCTTGGTTGATGAACACATTCAAGCTCAAAGACCAGCTGCTCAGTGACTTCTACTCTCGTGGCTATTTCCCTAACGAAGGAACAGAAAAAGAGTTTGACACGAAGAAGTATTTAATAAACTGCTTGGCAGTGATTTTCTTCACCATCATTTGTACGCATCTCACTTTCTTCTCGTCGATGATTTGGTTCAAGATCTATGTCTCTTTGGTATGTGCCTACTTGACATCAGCTACACATTTCAATCTTCGTTCGGTTCCACTTGTTGAGACTGCCAAAAAAGCTTTAACATTAGTAAAGAAATAAACTTTCAATGTTTTATTCTTTACTTTTGTATTTTTGGGTTTAAACTCTATAGTTATGTAATGTGAGTTCAAGCTGAAATATATGATAAGCTCTATTTTTTTATAATGTCTTCCTACATTCATTTACACATGTTAGCTCATAGCTTGGCAAATATTAAGCCATAAGACACATTTGACCACTACATTACATAACTCACAGAACCACAATTTTTTACCAAAGCAGGATAAAAGATTTATTACTGTCATCAATGAAAATGTTCAAATTGTGATAGTACGTCCAAGATATATGCCAAAGTAAAAGAAGTTTACACATTTTACTTTGGTTGCATATGAAAACAATTAAATTTTAAGCCACCAAAGAACGCCCGTGACAGGAACAAAGTAAATGACAATGTTTCACGGGTCTTCACATTGTATTTTATAGTTGAAGTAGGCAACAAAAGTATATACAGGTTTAAATACATGCATACTATAGACTATAGACCAGCTTCGACATTCGATATTCCCCTACACATGCTCTTAAATAAATATGGATAAATAGTATGCACAGGAGATTAGCTCTGAGATTAATCACATGGTTACTGTCTTATATGATGCTAGGGAGTAGGGACCCATATGTTTTCATGTTAAAACCATAATTTATAGATTTAATCACACTAGTAACGTGCCTGTCCTCTCTATATAAACCCTAAGACTAAGAAGTAGGTAGCATAGCCTATCCTAAGCTAAGAGAAGAGCCAAACGTATCAAATAGTTGCAAAGTAGTCAAAGCCATGGAGCCAAACACTAAGCTTGTTCTTATGACCTTGGTTCTTGCCTTGACACTCACGGCAGCAACCGGAGAGATGTGCGGTATGACCATTGCTGGTATGTACTCTTGCAAGCCCTATGTGCAGACTGAGAACCCATTGACCACCGGGATTAATCCCAAGGGCGCTTGCTGCACTGCCCTGTCCAAGGCCGACTTCAAGTGTCTCTGCCAGGAGAAAAGCAAACCCCATCCCTTTCTCAGCGGGATTGACTTTGACCTCGCTTCTAAACTCCCAGCGAAGTGTGGTTTATCTGATGTAACTTGCTAGGACAAGTTTCCTTTTGGAAGGTTTCACTTTGTGTTTTGATTTTTTTTTCATGAGCCCATGGCTTTCTTGTGCTGGTTTCTGTTACTGCTATTGTTATTGTTATATGTTCGTTTGATGTTGTTTCACTTGTTGCTGTCGCTTACTTCAGAATAAATAATAAATCAAATAACAATCAGTCTTCTAATCTTAAATATAATTCACAGATAACTAACCAAATAATAAAAAGAAAAAAATATATTAATTCAATCTTCTATTTCCAATAATTCAATTTTTCAATAGTCTAATATCCAATTTTATTATTATAATACAAAAAATGGTATTGTAGTTTCTTTAAATCAATTCAGAAAAGTTATACATGATAAGAAAGGAGTACATCTTACTCAAATAAAGATATGAAAATTCATATTATACTATTTTTAAGAGTCATCACATTTTAAATATTGATTTTTCTGTAATTTTTTATATGTTAATACATAAATTTGGATGCTTAAAAGGTAACATAAGTCATTGTTAATTTAGGTCTTCACATGTATCATTGTAATAATATAAAGTTTACAGTTAGTTATTATTATTATTTTTTAAACAAAATGGAAAAAGAAAATGTTTTTTTTTAAAACAAATTAAAAAATAAGTGAAGTAAATACGAAAGTAAGAAGTATTTCATCATCACCGTTATTCATAAATTTTTATAACGTTAATTGTTTGCATAGAAGTTTTGGTACGTAAATTTCATAAATTGTTGAAAGTTGGAATTGAACCAAGTAGAGTGCACCATAAATATAGTTTAAAGCTAATTATTTTATTTTGTATTTAAATTATGCAACTAATCGTTTTATTTAGTACACGATTGGTTGTCTTGTACACTATTGGTGCTGACATTTGCAATGACTTTCTTCTCAATCATAATAATCATTTCTGATTTCGTTATTTTTGAATCGATATCTTCATCGTGTAATTTTCACTATTTCATATTAGAATTATATAAGAACAAAAAAAATATTGGTTTAAAAATTGATTTTTTAATATTTATTTTTTCTCCAATTGCAAAACCTGGAACCACACTACATCAAATCATGAAGAGATGCCTCACCACTAAGAGGAGACTTGTGACTGAAGGAGTTAGATGTAATTGTCTTCTTCAAAAGAGTGATAATTTTTCATTTGTTCTTTGTTTTGTTTTGTTTCCAGTGGATGCTTTTTTTTATCTAATATTTTTTCTTCACATTTCCTTTTGATTAGTGAATTTTATGTGTTGTTTTGATTTTACGCCTATTTTTTGCTTTATGGATTTGTTTGTTGATTTGTTCTCAGATTTGTGAGATCCCTTCTCAATCATATTAATTATTCGGTGTTTGTTTTTCATCTACTCAAGGGCCAATTTTCTGTGGGATTAGGGTTTTTACCTTTGACGTTTGTACCTGTGTGGAAGTGGAAATTCTGTAAATGTGGTTTTTTTTTTGTTTTGAAGGATAAAATTTAAAAACATATTTCCCTATTACTCATTCCAAATTCCAAAGAAATATTTCTGAAGGTTAGAGTTTATTTCATTCCAAAATTTGCAAAACACTGCAACAAAATATTCAAATTATTATTTCTTGCCTAATTTTAAAATTTGCCTTGCTAGTGAGTAGAGTTTTTTTTTTACATCGGTCATCTCATCCGCACATGGAGAGAACTAGAGAGCTTCTCTGCTCTGTTCTTGGTGTATAGACTTCAGAAATATATATAATGTGAAACTTATCAGACCGATGATAAGAATTGTTAGATCTGAGATAGCACACTTAAGAGCGAGTATCAAAGATTGAGTTTTTGGGAACTGAGAACTTTCACTCGAAGAAATATCAAAGGATTACAAGGATGGTGCTCTCGCCAAATAGGCTTGGCGAGGTGAAGTATGCAATTATAAAGAGGGGGTCTCGTCGAACAGGCCTCGACAAGACGGAATACGAAAATAAAGAGAACAAAGGAGAAAAGAGTAGCAATGCTCTAGGTGTTTGCAGAGATTTGGATGCTTGTGGATCTGGATCTCTCAAGGAATAGGGGGTCTTCTATTTATATGGAGAGGAGGTTGGCTTCTTCAAGATATTCTTCCTTTTCTCCAATTGGAAAACTTCCTCTTGTCCTTGATTTATTTCCATTCTTCAAGTCGGCATATATCTCTCTTTACAATTTTCCCAAATATTTGCCTTTCTCCTCAAGACTTGCCATTTATTTGAGGAGGTTAATGATGAAGGCGGGCTGGGCCTTGCTATTGTTACTAATTGTGACGGGCTCAGGGAAATGTGCTAATTTCTCCTCTAACAATAAGTCCCCCCCTCAGTTCGTCGAGTCAAATGCAGTTTGATCTCGGCGGACTTCATGTATAAGAGTAGAGCTTAAGAGCTATTAGTAACAATTGCGTGGCGCCAATGCTAGCTCGCCTTCGGTGCGATGTTGCGTTTTGACTTTAGATTCGTGCCGCCTCGTTAAAACCTTGATATGGAAAAACCACTATGGGATAAAAACCATAAAAAGGGAAAAGAGTACGTTGACGTCATCTTGTCCGCAATGTGCTTTTGGCAATTCCTCTCGGACTTGACGTCAGCTCGTCAAGGAGAATAAGTTGCCGTGATGAATTTTCTCGGATTTGACTTCAGCTGGTCAAAGAGATTTCTTTGTCATCGTTCGTCGCGGCATTAGAGCCTGTTGCCGTGATGCTTCTTATCGTCGTCTGGAAAAGGGTTCGTCCAGTAGGGATAACTCGTCCGCCTTTGGTGATGTGGAGCTTGCGTCGCGGCGATTCGAACAGCGAAATCTTGCATGGGCGCGGTAGTCGCGGCGTTGGTGACTGGAGCTTCTGCGCCTGGGACCAATAGAGGGTTGACGCGACCATTGTTCGTGTTGACGCGACCGTTTTCGACTTCAACGGGATGAATGATAGGGTTTTCATCTTCACCGAGTTTAGTTTGACTTTGCAGTCCGCCTGTTCTGGTGCCGCAAAGGTACGTCGAGATGGATAATTGTTGTACTCTATGATAAGCTTGCCGAGATGGAGGGGACAAAACAAGTTTGGCCAACTTTCGCCGGGATGCTGATGGAAACCTCGTTAGCTGGAGGAAGTTCTTCGAGAGAGGAGAATGCGAATGCCGAGATGGGGTCTGGTCCGGATGCTTCCAAGATCAAAGCTGCTTTAGCCCCCTTCTTCCTCACTCGTTTTGCTGAACTTTTGTCATCGGGGCGAATGTTATCGATGAGATAACATTGCCTGAGAGGGTTTTAATCCATATGCTGTTTGGATTGAAAATCGCAATTTAGATATAGTTGATAATTTCACAGCGCAATGAAAGAATCCAGCTTTTTACTATATCTTTTAATGAGGGGCGATATGCCGTCAACCAAGCGCAATGAATCAAGTATCTAATCGTCATTAGACTAATGAGTCAACATGCTGGGACGACTCGTCAACCTCAAGTGTGTCATGCCGAGATGCTACTCTTTGACAGTGCTAGTGCGTCGTGACGAGACGACGATGCTACGAAGCTCGTCAAGACTCTCATTCGAGACACCGACCTGTGCGTATTAGGTCTGAATGCAGCGGCTTGGTAGGCCTCATAATTCGGCGACGAGGTCTAGAAACTCGATTTATGCCTACGACTTTTAAGTCCGATACGCGTGACGAGACAGCGGTTTTTTCTCGCCCGTATGGCTTAGAACCGTGCGAGGTGCGTGCTCTCGTCTTTTGTGGGTGATCAGTCCACGGGTTGCTGTGCTTAAGTGCGTCCGAACGTTGGGCCAGAACGTCGGAGGAGTTGCGTTTTTTCGGAATTTTTGCTTTGCATGCTGTGCTTGCGTTGCTAACGTCGTCGGTGAGAGTTTCAGTTACCAGCTGAAAGTGAAGTTGTCACTTCAGGGTCTTTGCCGAGACGGGAACCCTTCCGAAAAGGTTCTGTAAGAAGTGCTTGCATTGGGGTTAACAAAGATAAAAAGGGCTTTTTATTTTTATTAATCCATAGCTGTGCCTTTAGTGAAAAAGGCTGCCTACGTACCCGTGCCGAGATCAAGCCAATCGTAGTTCGTTTCAGATGCTTCTGATTTCATTTCGGCGATGCAAAACGAATGACTCGAGATGCGTTTGTTGATCATAGCAGATCACTCGACCAAGTCATTCTTAGCCGTATTAATGCGAAAGCTAGCTGTTTCGACTTATTCCTACAGAACATGTGAGGCCATGCGAGGTTTTATCTCGGCAATGCAGAGATTGCTTATCTCGTCAAAGTAGGATTCATTGATTATTCGTCAACGAAGAGGTTCGTCGATGATTTGTTTATCGATGAAGAGGCGTGTTGCTTACTCATTTGTTGACGAAATAAATCATTGCATTGCGATTGCGGTTGAATCAAGTGTCGCCGTCGTTCTTCGACGAGATTATTAAATATTTAAAAAATAAAGTTATTATGCTGACCTTAAGTTGCTGATGAGTTTGAAGGTGACGACATGCTGGAGATGATGTTTCTGCCATTGACGAGACGGATGCGACGGTTTCGTGTCGTTGTACTTTTGCTGCTGAGCTTGCATCTGGGCGAATTGAGAAGCAATTTGAGCAGTAAAGCCTTGCATGGCGGCGGTTAACGCGGCGGTCGTGACGGGAGCTTCTACGTCAGGAACCGGTGGCGGCGGAGGCAGATCATCTTGGTGAGGGAGTGATGCAGGCGCGTTCTTCTCGGCGTCGTCGCTTCATCTTGGCGTGACGGATTTTTACTCGGCGCTGGTTTGCAGCTCGTCGATTTTCATCGCGGCGTTCAGCATCTTTGGCTTTGCGGAGTATTGCTATACTCTTGTATCATGCTCATGACGTGCCTACATTCTTCTGTAGTATGATCGGTTCGTCCATGGAGTTTGCACCATTTGGACTCGTCGCTGCCTGTTGTGAAAGACTCCTTAGAGGCCTCCTTTTATTCTCTTGACGAGATGACTCTTGATGAGATGAATCTTGACGAGATGATGCGTGCCGAGATGACTCCTTCGTCATTCCATGAATCTTTGAGTGGTGCGCCTTGCTTTCTTCAACGCAGACGTATTTTTGGGATCTGTGCAAAGCGTCCTGGAGGGTTGCGGGTTCGTCGAGCATCAGACTCTCTTTCAACTTTGATTCGAACCAAAGCCCGTTTTCGAAAGCTTTGATTCCTATCGCGTCAGGGATGTCTGAGTGCTCTGCTGCTGCTGTTTTGAATCTCTCGACGAACTTGCGAAGAGACTCATCTTTTCCCTGTGCCATAGTGAAAAGATTGGTGCTGCCTTTTGACATAAACATGCCAAAGTGTTTCATGAATGCCGTGCTGAGATCATCAAAGTTGTCGATGGTCTCGGCGGGAAGGTTCGAAAACCAGCTCGTCGCGTCTTTGTTCATGTGCTCGATGAACACTTGGCAGTAATTTGCGTCTTGTTCTTCGGGAGGCATATTTTGCCTTCTCATGGCCATCTCGAAGTTTCTTAGCCAGTTTCGAGGATCGTCACCATTGTTGTAGAACTGAAGACGGAGAGCCGTTTGATCCTTTAGAGGTATCGCGGCGATACGACGAGTGAAAGGACTTCTTTTCGTCTCGGCGAGGATTTTGGCAATCTCGGGTGACGAGCTGATAGCGTCGTGCACTTTGGAGCTGATTGCGTCGAGGTTGCGGCGCAGCTTGGCCACTTCTGGGTCTTGTCGCCGTTCGTCGCGATGCCTTTTACGAGACGAGTCTGTCGACGAAACGATTTGCTGATCTTTTATTGACGACATAATTTCTTCGGGGGGTTTTGAGAATGAGATTGATGCTTCTCCATCATGGCAATTTCGAACAAAAAATTATTGTTCGGGTTCTCTGCTGAGACGAAACGTCTTTAAGGAGTCACAGAAAGGTGCGTTCGCTTGAGCGAACTAATAAAAACAAATAGCTTTTTATTTTTATTAGTTTTACAGCTGCGTCTTGGTGAAAAGACTGCCTACGTACCCATGCCGGGATCAAGCCATTCGTAGTTCGTTTTGACGAGACGCGAAGCTACGCGTCTTGACAACAACCTTTTTTTTTTTTTTTTTTTTGCACGACGCGAGGCTACGCGTCTAGACCAGAAATTTCGCAAGTTCATGGAGATCCATGAACGTGGGAGAAGTCTTCCACCGGAAAGTTTTCCTTCTCGTACTGCTCCAAGAGGTTACTGATGAGTTCCGTGCAGGTGTCGATAGAATGACCAGTTCTTCTGTGGAAGCGACAGTACAAAGTATGATCGCACTCGTCATTCGTGGTGTCGTCGAGCGGAAGACGAGATGGGGTTGACGGAGCGGATTGTGACGGCATCTCGGTCACGTCCCAGTGATTCTCGGGGCTGTCATCTTCTGCAAAAGGGAATGATCTCTTCACGCCGTGCTTCTCGGCATAGAAGTCTTTATCCTCCTCAAGGAAAATGTAGTTTTGGGATCGGTGGAGCGCGTCTTCCAAGTTCGTCGATGGTCTCAGCGATAGGTCTTCCTTGAACTTTGAGTTGTACCAGAGACCGTTACGAAGTGCTTCGAGCGGGACACTATCTGGCATGTCGTCGAGATCAAGTGTTGCTTTCTTGAATCTTTCGATGAATTCTCTTAAGGGCTCGCCTTTTGATTGCGTCACAGTGAACATGTTTCGGGTGATCCTAGTCATGTTCATGGAGTAGTGCTTCAGAAAAGCATTGGTCAGATCGTCAAAGTTATCAATCGTCTCGGCAGGGAGGTTTGAAAACCAGACAAGGGCTTCGTTCGTCATATGCTCGACGAAGACTTGACAATAGTTTGCATCCCTCTCGTCGAGAGAGTCATATTTCTCTCTCGTCATGGCGAGGTTGAATGCCGTCAACCACTTCTTCGGGTCTTGGTCGCCAGCAAAGGGTTCGATCTTAAGTCGTACTCTGTCGTGGAGTTGGACTCGGCGAATCCTTGCTGTGAGTGGGCTCCTCCGGGTGTCGGCAAGTGCTTTTGTCAACTCCGGGGCTGAGCTGGTGACGCGATGGATTTTAGAGTCGAACTCGTCAAGGCGACGGTGCATTCGTTCGAGCTCTAAGACTGCTCGTCTGCTAACTCGTGCGGGACGATTAGTGGTTCCGTTGGTCGTCGCGGCAGCGGGGTCCAACGGTTCCTCGTCGTCTTCTTGGGTCAGGGTATCGACCTGCTCCTGGGTCTTCTTTTGCTGGGCTCGCATCGCTTTGAAGCCCTCGGTTAGTGGCTTCAGGAGCGTCTGAATCGTCTTGAGGATATCGTCATGGCGAGATGGTCCGCGACGAGGGGAGGGCGACAGCGTTTCCCCTCGAGTCGGCAAGGTCGACCGACGAGATGGGCTCTTCTCGTCTCGGCGTAGGGCCTTCTTGACCGTTGCTGGGTCTCTCTCATCGTCAGGATCCTTCCGGTTTCGGCGAGGGCTCCTGTCGGGAGTGTTTTCTTCTAAGTTTGACATCAGCTGTCTTCTTATAATCCTAGAACTTCTTCGAGTTTGAAAGTGAAAAGCGTTCCCAGCCCCACGGTGGGCGCCAATTGTTAGATCTGAGATAGCACACTTAAGAGCGAGTATCAAAGATTGAGTTTTTGGGAACTGAGAACTTTCACTCGAAGAAATATCAAAGGATTACAAGGATGGTGCTCTCGCCAAATAGGCTTGGCGAGGTGAAGTATGCAATTATAAAGAGGGGGTCTCGTCGAACAGGCCTCGACAAGACGGAATACGAAAATAAAGAGAACAAAGGAGAAAAGAGTAGCAATGCTCTAGGTGTTTGCAGAGGATTTTGGATCTTGTGGATCTCTCAAGGAATAGGGGGTCTTCTATTTATATGGAGAGGAGGTTGGCTTCTTCAAGATATTCTTCCTTTTCTCCAATTGGAAAACTTCCTCTTGTCCTTGATTTATTTCCATTCTTCAAGTCGGCATATATCTCTCTTTACATTTCCCAAATATTTGTCTTTCTCCTCAAGACTTGCCATTTATTTGAGGAGGTTAATGATGAAGGCGGGCTGGGCCTTGCTATTGTTACTAATTGTGACGGGCTCAGGGAAATATGCTAATTTCTCCTCTAAGAACATTGAAAAACCTAACTCTGAAACAGAAGCCAAAAACTCAGTGAGACTACTACATTGCTGACTGTAAATGGCATACCAATCCCTTAAAAGTACAAAGACAGAGATAATCAACCTTGAGTCATGTGGGCATTCTATAATAATGTACAGAAAACTAATACCTCTAATCCCTCTCTCTTAAACTTTGATTTCAGCAATTTTAGACAAATCCTTTTGGTCACAAAATGAAGCATTGATTAAGACCCCTTCATTTTGATGAAGTAAGTTATGAATATGACCCGGAAGACCCCTTCATTTTCATGGTGGCATATTTATAGCTTACCTCATCACCTCAGATTTTAGATGAAAAAAAAAGAGACTGATCGATCAGTAAGAAAGAATTTATTCGACAAAATGTTAAAAGCTTGTTTGAAAGGAGGAGAACAAATGATAAATCAGTCTCGTTCTTTCCTTTTGCTTCCTCGTTCACCACCTTGCTGGATCTTCACCCAACTGGGAAAATAAGAGCAAACAAGTGGGAAATCAGTGGGTTCTCCATCTTCTTCGTAGTGGAAATCATCCTCTTCCATATCAAATTCTCTGTAGTAACCATTCTCTCCAATCACGTAAGCTGTGTGGTAGATATCCTCCTCTTTGTCTTTATCAAAAACAACAGCCATTTTACGCTCCTCGTCAATGAAGAAACTCCCAGCGTAATGAGCAAACAGGTGAGGAACACCAGTAAGTGGTGCCATATCCACTGACAGGAACGACAACATGTTCCATGATACTTCATCGGGCTCAATCTTACTCGTAACCCATATCTCTACAAAGGATGTATCCCGCTGATATAACACCGCAAGCTGCTCATCTCTAACGCTAGACAGAGTCACAGTTTCTTCAGGGTAAGAGTGAAACGGCAGAGGCAAACGCGGTCCAAATCTCTCTGCCGTAAAATCAAAACAGAGCAAAAAATCTTCTTCCACCAACTCTTCCACCACTTCTTCCACCACCTCCTCTTCCACTAGTATTTTCTCTTTAGCGAAAAAGTAAGTCCTTCCCTTCAAAGACACCCCACGTTGATAAGATTCAATCTCCCAGTCAGGAGTCACATCAAGAACCCTCCATGAGTCAGACTTCAAATCGTAGATTTCGTGTTCAACATAAGGGTTCCCAACTTCCCAGAGTTCATCGAGAAACCTCAAGATCTTTTGGTTCTTGTTTACGTCGTATCCCAGAGCATACACGTCATGTTTGTGGTAAGCGTTTCTGGGTTGGATCCACCTGGTTTGTCCCAGAACCGGGTTCCAAACCACGAGCCTGGTCCTGTCTTTGGTCAAGCACAAGAGCAACCCGCTGCAGTGGAAAACTTTTGATATCTCGACTTCTTGATCTGATTCTGAATTGTTTAGGCTAGTGAGCTTACCTTCCTTCACATATGGATCAACCGAGTGGCTTCTTCCATGGAAACCGACGCTCATCAACCAGACCTTAAACTCAGACCTCAAGATTAACAGCCTTGCCGCTGCTCCACCAATGTGCTTCTTTGCAAAGCTCGGATCTTTTGATAAAGCGTTCCACCTTGTGCATGTAAACCGCACTCTTCTCGTACATGTCAACGGAACCCTAGACAATATGTTCTTTGCCAAATTGTCTGGTAGATCCGATATCTTCGTCATTGTTTGTTTACAAGTTTTGGCTTTTCTCTTCCCACATCTCCTTTCTTCCTTTTTATAGCCAAAGTGGTTAATGTTTTTTCCCTACATGAGAAAAATGTAGCATTTTAACTTTTTAAGGATATATTCCCCCTTCATTCCAATTTTGTCAATACAATGCAACAAAAATAATATAACGAGACAGACATCATCACATTTTGTCTCATGTGGGTGTTCTATAATAATGTACAGAAAAATGAGACCTCTGTTCTCTCTCTGTCTCTCTTAAGTCGTGGTTTCAGCAATTTCAGACAAATCCTTGGTCACAAAGTGCAGCATTGAGTATATAGCTTCTGTGTTGAAATGAGAGATATCAGAGGAAGTAAACATATGAGCTTGGTTATTGATATACGCCCAGCTGCATCCAGAGAACTTCCCAAGCTCTTTCCCTCTCATACAATTCCGAATCCGTCTCATATCATCCCATCTACCAGACGAGGCATAAGCGTTAGCTAGCTGAACATAACGAGACCCGTTACATCCTTCAACGGCTAACAACTTCTCTTCCACTTCCTTCACAAGCTCTGCGTTCTTATTCCAGTTACAAGCATTCAAAAACGCTCCAAGAACAACACCATCTTCCTCGCCTTGATGATCAATACCTTCCATAAGCTCTATGGCTTTGTCTATCCTATTAGCCTTTCCATACAAATCAATCATGCATGTATAGTGACCAACCTCAGGTGATATCTTGTAAACCTCTACCATCGATTCAAAGTACCTCTCACCCTCTAGGACTAAGCCGCGGTGACGACAAGCTGATAAGAGAGCCATGAACGTGATCTCATCCGGCTCGAGTCCACACTCAGTCATGTCTTCAAAGAGCTGGAAAGCTTTTCCTTCACGGCCGTGATGAGCACAACCAGCAATCATAGCGTTGTACATAACCGTATCTCTCTCGACGCTACTGTACTCAAAGACCTTCTCAGCATACTCAACGTTTCCGCATTTCGAATACATGTCGACAAAAGCAGTAACAAGCTTCTTGTCCATCGAAACCCCAGTTCTCAAGCTGTGACCGTGAATCTCCTTCCCCGGTTCCATACAAGCTTGTAAAGAGCATGCACCAAGGATGCTAACCATGACCAAAGAATCAGGAATTTCCCTCTCCTTGGCTATAAACTCACGTGCAAGCTCAAGCACAGAATCAGGTTGCCGTGAATTAAGATACCCCAAGAACATGGCAGTCCAGACCACAAGATTCTTCTCAGATAAAGAATCAAAAAACCTCTTCGCTTCCACCATCTTCCCCTGAGAAGAGTAACCAACGATCATCGAAGAAGTCGAATACAAGTTGCCAACACCATATAACACATGGACAGACTCTGCGTACTTCATGTTCCCACACTTACAGTAAAGATCAACAAGTCCACTGCTCACAAACTTATTAGAATATGATCCGTTCTTCAACACCCGAGCATGCACTTCCTTTCCAATCTTCAACCTCTTTAAACTACTCAAAACGTTTAACACAGCAACAACAGTGTGTTCGTCCCATTTCAACCCACTTTCCTCCATAGTAACAGCCATCTTCAAAGCTTCTTCCTCATATCCATTCTGTGCATATCCTGAAACCAATGTGTTCCAAGAAATCGTATCATTCAGTTCCGGATTTCTCCAGAATACACTCAAAGCTTTTTCCATGTCGCCTTCTCTACAATACGCTGCAATCATCGCATTCTTAGCCACGCAATCAACAAACTCAACGCAAGATCCGTTAAAGACATTACAAACCTCCTTAAACTTCCCACATTTTGAATACATGTGAATGAGAGAGCTCACTGCGAACTTAGTCGCATCGTTCCCGGTTTTCAACATAACGCCGTACAACTGTTCACCGTAAAACACATTTGATAGCTTCGCAGAGAGTTTAAGCATTGTGGTGAGAGTGAAATCGTCTATCCAAACCCCATCTTCCTCCTCCTTCCTATGCATCTCACCGAACATCTCAACGGCTTCACTCTCGCACCCATCAGTTTTGGCAAACCCTGAAAGCAGAGTGTTATACGTAATCAAATCTCGCTCGGAATTGGCCGTTTTGAACAGGAGACGCGCTTCCTTTAAATCGTTGAACTTTACGTAGGCAGAGATTACAGCGTTCCATGAGTAAACGTTTCTCTCTGGCATTTCGTCGAACACATTCCGAGCTTCGCGCAATAAACCATTTCTTGAGTAGAGATTAACAAGCTGGTTCGAGGAGATTGCGGTCAAGGTTAAACCGGTTTTAATGGAGCGAATCTGATGCAAAAACCCGTCTTTTAAGCACTTCATGTCAAGTTTCCGACATACACTCGGGAAATTCTAGGACATGATGGAGATGAGAACAACAACGATTCAACGACTGTCGGAGAGAGCAAACTATTCGAGCTCTTTATAATTGGGCCTAAGGATCCAAGCCCGTTAATCAAATGTCCAATTAAGGACAATTTTGTCCGTTTACAAAAATCTGGCAAATGGTTTCAATCCGGGTTGTTCGGTTCGGTTTATTCGAATTTCGGTTTGAAAACTAACATTTTGGCTACATATTATATTAGACAAAACCACACAAACGTATAAACTGGTCCAAAAACAAAAAATCCACTCATCTTTCAACGTATAGCACATGCCACATGCCTGCTTATGTAATAATATATGATTAAGACAACAGATTTTCCCATATTTATGAGGACAATATCAATATATATATGATATATTTCTCAATCAATCGCTTTGGAATCGGAAAAGTTGCCTCGTTAACTTACAAAGTGATGATTTTGTCCCTCTTTATCTACAGAGATAACTGGATCAGTGTACTTTCTCATCATCGTTTGAGAACTGAGAATATGCTGATTTGACCCCAATTTTTTTTTTTTTAAAGAATATGCTAGGAGCTTATTATACACTTGATAAATAAATAAAAAACATCTGTCAGAATATGTTATCACAATTAACCGTACGAACTGTTTTGTCAAGTTTGGAAAATAAAACTATGACCAAAATCTCATAGTTTTTTTTAGCCTCGCACATTGAATCCGTTATCCGTAACTAGAACATGTTAGTTAACGATATTCGAACTCAGCTTGTAGCCTTGATTGACTATTCTAATTGTGCCGTGAACAATTTTTAATCACTTATCAAAACGGTGGGAAAGAAAAGTCTATGTGGTAATCTAGAGTACTGAAGTGTAAGTGAATAGAAACCACAAAGAATTACCTTTATGAATTTGTGGTATGTTTCAAGTGATCGTAACAGCTAAATTTTGTTTTGTTTTTATTTAGGTCGTGGCCCAATAAATCCCATATATGTTGTGATTGATTGCTGACATGACACCATTTGCTTTCGTTCAACGTCAACAATTTAGCCTTTTATTCATATTTATTTGGTCAAATTTCAAGTTAATAGGTGAGTTATCATACATATTATTTTCGGATTAAACCATCCTTGTGTCTTGTTCTTTTTGAAGTTCCGATCTCTTGTGGTTTTATATTTGTTTCCTTGTTGTGTTGTTGTGTTTTTAGTTCTTTGGTGCTTCCCTCTTTTGGACTTTTGTCTATGGAAAAAAATTGTCTTCCGCCGGCTTAGTTTCCCACAAGTGCATCTCACAAATGTGTTCCACTTTGTTGTTTCAATAAAAATTCAGATGTAGAAATGAAAAGATAAATATCATACATATTAAAAGATATAGTTTACGAGGATCTAAATTCTTAAAAAAATTCGATCAACGTTACGAAACCAACACAACACAAATGTGAAAACAATGTTGCGTTTGTTTTTGTTAAAATTGCAGGAGATATACTCGTAGCCGGCCCTGAGATTTATGGCTAAAATTTTTTACGGTTTCGAGGTTAAATGATCCATATTTTTGTTTTTCAATAGTTTGGGGGCCATATAATTTATACATATTAACCACATTCAATTTTGGAACTAAGACGAATGTCTCATATCGCTAGGCCGGCGGCCGTATGCTCTCCCCCAGTTACCTCATCCTATGATACTTTAAAGTATAAATATTAGCAAATCTTAAAATCTCCTATGAATTATGTTATTGCTGGTTGGTTTCAGAGCATCTTAAGTTGTCAAAAACTTGGATTCACGTACATGTACAGCTGTGGGATCCATATGATATAGTTTACATCTATTTAGATATTGTCCATATCTTTAAATTATATTTGAATTCCCACGTATGTAACTAGTTGTCCAAAAACAAAATCCCACATAATTCATATAGCTGTAAATGAATAACGTAACTACTTAGGAAATATATATATGTTGTATACTATTTTCCTTTGTTTGACTAGTACTTTTTCTTGTTCCTGCATGTTTCATATTGTTGAACAGTTAGATTCTTCTTCTTTTCTTGGTTAATATACTTACTTTTATACCTCTGTTTACCAAATACCTTTTATCTTCCCATCATTTTAGAAGATATAGCATATTCATTTATCAAAAACAAAACGTAATAAATAGACATTATTTTCAAATAAATAAAGAAGCATAAGAAATTCAAAACCACATGGTAGACTTTTGTACAGTTTAGAAGATCATGTGGACTCCAGTCTCCACCCAAGGCTTAAGGACCGCCCATAACTTGAAGTCTTAAGTATATAACTCATGAATTAGCGATCGTAATTAGCTCGTTTTTAATCTATTCCGTTTTTCGGCATCTCATTTTATTTTCTTCTTTCATATATACATGTTGCGTAGCTTGTTATACATGTCACATGTAAATATGTAATAATATCTTCCACACTAATTGATTCTTTATTTTTATTCACAGCCTACACTAATTTCTAAAGTTGTCTTATTGAGTCATCAGTCATGGTCCAGTTCATCGGCATAGATATTATTACTCTTGTGGTCAACTTTAAAGTCAACGAATTTTGAATACCGACAGGTGTGATATATTTGTTTATATGTGATGCATTAAATGATAGATAAGATATATGATGTCTATGTGATGAATTAGCTGTGACATACAAAGAAATGCTATCTTCCGTTTTTTGCCTTGTTTTCTTTAAGCAGTGTATAGCTGTTAAAAAAGAGTTTAGTTTAGCCTTTTAGCGATATGAGTCACAAATATAACTATATACGTGATATATCAGATAGTTCACAGTTCAGAACATGTGTGTAAAATCACATTGGAAATGCGAAAGTCATATCATATCGATTGAGAGTCCAAATTTCCGAGCTGCCTAATATTATGGTCACCAATGATGGCTGCCTTTTCTGCTAGAACTTGGCCCACTTCTCCACTTCATGCTTTTTTCAATTATTAGATTTTCTTTTCTTTCTAATATATACGATAACTAAAAAGTTATACCTTGTATCAACAAAAAAAGGAGCACAAAGATAATTAAGTAATATTGGATAAACGTAGTCCAACGTTTATATAAAAATGTTTACCACAACATGATATATACATTAAACTTAACTATTAATCGTCATACTGAAAAGAAGTGAGAGCCACGATTTATGAAGGAAAATCATATTTTATCTTTATAATCGAGTATCAGACAACTTTATTTCTCTTCTTTTTCATTTCTCGGATATGAGTGACGAGGAAAAGTAATATTACTAGTAAATTGGATGAAAGAAGATAAAAGTAAGCTTTTGACTAAAGATAGGAGAGAAAGTTAAGAAACTGATGTCATGCCAAAGAAATCAAATGGCCTTCTTATGTTTTTTTCTCTCTGTAATACACAGATGCATTTATGTTTTTCTTTATTTGAACGTGCATTTATGTATCATGCATCTCCATAATTAATAATTTCATAAACTTAAGATCAGCACACGTATTGTATATATGTCATAGATTACTCCTGATTCCTGAAGTTTAAGAATGGAGAGAATTAAACTAAAAGAGTATTCGACATCAGGAGGACGAGATTGTTTTGATAACTAAACTAAAAGAGTCTACAAGTAGAAGCAAGTTGTTTTGACAATTCATAGTCTTCATAACAGCGATTGCTTTCGTAAGGCAACGACTTCTTTACTGATGGTTTGGCAATTTCGTGCAAGTATCCATAAATATCATACATGACTAAATAATTTTTTATGCAGACAATAATATTATATTACAAAACTTTGAAGGAATCTTGTAATATTTATTACTAGAGTGATTAATTGCCTCTTATCATCTTCAAGAATCAAGACATGTGGTCTTGGACTTGTGTGTGTTGTTGACCCGGCTTCTCATACTATAGTATACTCTTGAAAATGAGAAAATCTTATTCCTGCTCAATGTTAAAGAACGTAACATGTGACTATGTGAGAATGATACAGTTCCTATATTTACGCCTTTTAGATAAAAGCTTCATATTTACATGCCTTCATATCCACGAAAGTAGAAGTACTGATCTCATTGATGCCTGTTAGTAATCTCAACCTCACAGCAAGCTTCACATACAGAGTCAAACTCAATTCCGCGTTCATATTTTTGTAAATCAATACACAATAAAAAAGATACTTTGATAAGATATAAAGAAATTGAAACAAATACTGTTTTATATTATATCCAATGTCATTGTAGAGTAAATTATCGTCTGTTGGCGTATATTATTCTGCTTTTTTGTTTTTATAACTTATACACCATTAGGTTACATACAGAAGGAGAACGATTATAAATTGAAAAAAAAATAAACATTAATCTGGGATGTCATCTACACGCTCGTTCAGTCCCCAAGATCAAGTCGACAACAACAGTCAACAAGCTCACATGGACAACAAGTAGCCTTTTGCGAGATTACCTTTAAGCCCTCCGTAATTTAAATGGTGGTTGTCCTTTTCGGTAGAGTAAATCCAAATAAATTCATATACAACTGTTGTGAACTTGTGATAAATTGATAATTACATTAAAAATTTATCATCTAGTAGCCGTTGATAATATTTGTTTTGTCTCTACAAGAAAACATGCAAATGTAATGATACATATATTTGTGGAACAGTGTTCCCATAATCTCGGACGATTCTGCCCTTTCCACGAGATTATGAACACACAGACACGTCTATTTAAGACACAGCCCATAACCACACAAGTTGTTGTTAGAATACTCAGTCCTCACAACTCTCCCACTCTCTATCTCTCTAAATGACAGGTTCCACGCCGGAGAACCAAGCAGTCCCGCCGCCTCCACCGCCACCGGCAACAAAGCACGTGCCGGAGTTAGGACCACCGGCGAAGAAGCCAAAGAGGAACAAGTATGCATTCGCGTGTGCAATCTTAGCTTCCATGACTTCCATCCTTCTTGGTTATGGTTAGTTTTCTCTTTTTTTTTTTTTTTTTTTTTTGTCAACGCAAAACAAACAAAAAAACCACTAATAATCTTTAGGCTTTATTGATTCATTTTCTTGAAAAATCTGCAGATATAGGAGTGATGAGTGGAGCAATGATTTATATCAAGAGAGATTTGGAATGTACTGATCTTCAGATCGGGATTCTCGCCGGAATCCTCAACATTTATTCTCTCGTCGGATCCTGTGCCGCCGGAAAAACATCCGATTGGATTGGTCGGCGTTACACAATCGTGGTGGCCGGAGCTATATTCTTCGCCGGAGCTCTACTGATGGGATTCGCCCCTAACTACGCTTTCCTCATGTTCGGGAGGTTTGTCGCCGGAGTCGGTGTCGGTTACGCTCTCATGATTGCACCTGTTTACACCGCCGAAGTTGCTCCGGCATCTTCCCGCGGCTTTCTTACCTCCTTACCTGAGGTAAATATTAATGAAATCCTTATAAAAAAAAATATTAATGAAATCAGTATTTAATAACACGTCTAAGATTAGTCGGATATTAATTTCCGTATTTTATAAAGTTAAATAATAGTATCTCTACAAAACTTAAGAATATGATGTCAAAAAAACTATCGATTTTTAGTATTTTTGTAAAAAAAAAACTATCGATATTTATGTTACTGACAAATCGGTGACTTTTCGTTTCATCATCTTTAAAACGTTTAGGCCAACGGTATAAAAAAAATATTCGGTAGGTTTGGTGCCTGATTTTTATTAGAGCAGATGATAAATTTGAGAAAATAAAAAGGGGAGAGTAATATCTGACGTGGCATAACCGTTATGGTGACGTGGACAGGTGTTCATCAACGCCGGAATAATGCTGGGCTATGTATCGAACTTGGCCTTCTACAAATTGCCTCTGAAGTTGGGATGGAGAGTAATGCTCGGAATCGGATGCGTACCTTCCGTTTTGCTCGCGGTCGGCGTTCTCGCCATGCCGGAGTCTCCACGGTGGCTCGTTATGCAAGGCCGTCTCGGAGAAGCCAAACGCGTCCTCGACAAAACCTCCGATTCACCCGCCGAAGCCGCTCTCCGACTCGAAGACATCAAAGCAGCCGCCGGAATTCCCGCCGATTGCCACGACGACGTCGTTCAGGTAACACTAACACACCGATCTCAAACACTTGGAAATTCGAATTCGCGATTTCCCCTGATTTCTCGAATTCGCGATTACAGGTGTCGAGGAGAACCAGCCACGGTGAGGGAGTTTGGAAAGAGCTTCTAATCCGTCCGACTCCAGCCGTCCGCCGAGTCATGATCGCCGCACTCGGGATCCATTTCTTCCAGCAAGCTTCCGGAATCGACGCGGTGGTTCTCTTCTCGCCGCGAATCTTCAAAACCGCGGGCCTCGAAAGCGACCACCAGCAGCTTCTCGCGACTGTAGCGGTTGGAGTAGTGAAGACGTCTTTCATCCTAGTCGCCACTTTCCTCCTCGACAGAATCGGAAGACGGCCTTTGCTTCTGACCAGCGTCGCGGGAATGGTGCTCTCTCTGGCGACGTTAGCAACCTCTCTAACGGTTATTGACCAGATGGCCGGGAAGAAAGTGATGTGGGCGGTGGTGCTAAGCATAGCGACGGTGATGACTTACGTGGCCTCGTTTTCGATCGGAGCGGGACCGATCACTTGGGTTTACAGCTCGGAGATATTCCCGTTGCGGCTGAGATCGCAGGGAGCGGGTATGGGGGTTGTGGTGAACAGAGTGACGAGCGGTGTGATCTCGATCGCGTTTCTTCCCATGTCGGAAGGGATGACGACGGGAGGAGCGTTTTACTTGTTCTGTGGGATCGCGACGGTGGCTTGGGTGTTCTTCTACACTTTCTTGCCGGAGACGCAAGGGAGGAAGCTTGAGGATATGGATGAGCTTTTTAGTGACTTCAGGTGGAGAGACTCCAAGTCCAAGAGCAAGCCTAAGAAACAGAGCTCGGAGGTTGAGGTTGGTGGAGTCGTTGCATCAAACAAAGAATTGGATACAAAGTTGTAGAAATTTGATCAGATATGTAATTTGAACGAAATAAAGTTTTACTTTTAACGAATGAAAAAATGGATGAATGGACTTGATCCATGTTTATGATTCACTCATTTGCAACTTAACTTGCATGCATTATGTAGATAACATGAGGAACTCAAAATCCTGAGAATAGTCTGACATTTTGGCCAACGGAAAACCAGAAGAAAATAATTGCAAACATTAGTTTCTTGCTGGCCAAGTTTTGAAGTTTTAGATAACACGATAGAAAATGTCAAGATCCCAAGATGCATAATAACGTAAAAGCCCACAAAAGAAGAGATTTACAACATGTAATGTAATATCTTAATAAAGATAACTGATGAACAGAGGTAATGGGAGGAGAGAACCAAAACCCATCAATGTTGAACTCAAAAGCACAGAGAGAGAGAGAGAGAATCCTTTAGCATTCACACCCTGTAGACCTCTGTTGATTGCTCGTCCCGACATCAATTGTATCTGGCAAGTATCTACAAAAAAGAGAAAAGACAATAAGAGAGTGTTAAAGAGACCAAACCCGTGATTTTATAGAAAGAGTGTAAGAATTGTTTGTGGAAACTTACAGCTCTTCCTCTTCACCGCTCTTTAAAGCGTTCTTGGCAATGCATTGGAAAGCTTCCTCAACATTGGTGCCTTCCTTGGCAGAGGTCTCAAAGTAGGGAATGTTTCCCTTTGAAGCACACCATGCTTTAGCCTTCTTCTCTGAAACCTGTGAAACAATGTCAAAAGTTTATCGTATTAATGTTACAGCTCAGAGACATTCACGAGCAATGGGAAAAACAAGGTAAGCACAACACATACCACTCGGCTGTTTCCACCATCCACGTCGACCTTGTTTCCGATGAGAACAAACGGGAAATTCTCTGGATCCGATGGACTCGCCTGTAAGAGATAGTATTACACTTGCGTTACTGATTTGCTTACTATGAGAAATAAGGCATACGAATTGGAATTGGTTGGTACCTGGATCAGAAATTCCTCCCTCCAGTTGTTCAGATTGTCAAATGATTTCATGGAGTTGACATCATAGACAAGCACACAGCAATCAGCACCCCGGTAAAAAGCTACACCAAGGCTCTGAAACCTCTCCTGTCCAGCTGTATCCCAGATCTGTAATAACCCATCGACAAAAAGAGAAGACAAGAACATGTGAGCTTCGTTATCCAGGTCAAGCCAGAAACGCAAATCACACCAAAGCTAAGAGCTTGACCACTCTAGAGTCTGTACTGAGACACAATACTTGTAACAGCTGAGAGCTATTCCTTAATGGTTCAAGGAAAACCATTAAGAACCACATGATAATATTCTAATGACTTGTCTCATTTGAATCTAATTAAGTTATTATGACTCACAACCTCGTGAATCACTAGCACAAAACTAGAATACAACTACAGCACCATTTTGCTAAGAACATGAAACTTACTTCATAAATATTAAGTAATTCACTGAAAAAAGAATTAGTGAGAACCTGTAGAGTGAAAAGTCGATCTTCAAACTGAACTTCCTTTGTCAAGAAGTCAGCTCCAATGGTTGCTTTGTACTGGTTGCTGAACTTTTTATTCACATATCTAAAGTTATCGTGTTAAGCCAAAACAAAAATCCCCAAGTCGTTCAACTCTAAAAACATCTGAACAAAATATCTAATTTTCAATACCAACAAAACTAGGGACTACAACAACAGTATAGTTACTACTCCATTCAACCAAGACAAGGATACTGATTCATCAAAGAGGTTTTCCCCACCCTGCAATATCACAAGTTAGACAAGTCCAAATTACTTTCACTCCACAACATTTAGGATACACACCAATTTCTGCTCCAGGATACAATAGAGTCCAAACAACAAGTGCATGAACATATATAGCACAAATTCAGTGTTTCATGATTTCCCCACAAATCAGATGCAGGCAAGAACATGCAAACTAGTACAACAATGGATCATAAGTTTGTGCTCATTCAATTTAGCAAGTAAACTAACAGTCTCGCAAACAAATTTCTGATAATTTGATCAACAAAAGCAAAACAAAAAAACTTTGGTTAAATCACGCCTAACGCTAGACCAATTCCGAGTTACTGATTAATCGAACAAAGAGAGCAAAATTAGCCAACATAAGAGATCAACAAATCATATCAGTATCTAAACCGCAGGGAAACGAATTCGACTAAATCCAGCATAAATCTCAAAACCCAGATAAAAAAAATCCCTAAATCACTCATACATACATATGAGCGACAATTACATTACATAAAAAAAGAAACTAGAATTTCGGAGAAATCTAACCCGCTATCACCGAGGATGATGACCTTGAGGAGGGTACGTCGACGGGAAGGCATCGAATCGGAAGGAGCTGGAACGGTAAACGGATCTAAAAGAGGGTAATTCGCGAGGAAGAAGGTGTTTTACTTTGTTTTTCTCTCTCTGTGTGCCCGCCCCTCAAGAGTCTAAAGCTGTTCCTGATCTGTCTTCTAATTTCTTTTAGGCGACTAGTATTTTGTCCTTTTATTGAAAAAGAATAATTCTGTTTCTCCTATCTTATAATTTTAATAGCTCAATATTTATATGTAATATAGATATATTCAGCAGGCAGCTCTCGTAGCTCAGTTGGTTAGAGCACCCGTTTAGTAAGCGGGAGGTCTTGAGTTCAACTCTCAACGAGAGCAAGGTTTCTTTATATTACTATTTTTTGCCCTTTTCCTTATACAACTTGTGTGTTTTTCATTTTGGTAAATGTTTTTCAAACTCTTTGACGTTATTTACTTGTGTGTTCTTTTCTTTGTTTGGCAAACCAATCATTTTACTTTTATTTAAACACAAGGTTACGTTCTTGACTCTAGTTTTTTTTTTTTCAATTTTAGTTGAAGGTACATAATTTGCATGGCTGTATTAATACCCAATTATAGACCCTACAAAAAGAAGACATTACCAATTCTGAAAAAAATCAGAAAGAAATTTTTTTGATAGCACTAATAAAAATAGAATTTGAGACACACAAAGAGCTTTTGTGTTTCTCTTTGTTCATCTCCCTTTCTCTCTCTCTCTCTTAAGAAAATCTAAAGGAGAAATCTTAAGGAGAGAGCTTCCGAATAAAAAAGAAAAAAGAAGAAACACCGAAAAGAGAGATTATGGCGGAGGAATCCCCGGAGAATTCACCGCCGTCACCTACACCTCCATCTCCTCCCTCCGACAACAATCAAGAACAATCTCCTCCGCCTCCTTCCTCCTCATCCTCACCACCAGCTCCTCCTTCACCCGAACAACAACAATCTCCATCACCTCCTCCACCGCAAGATTCCTCCTCCTCACCTCCACCGCCTTCACAACAAGACAACAACAACAACAATAATGGTGGAAATAATGGTAATAACAACAATGGTAACAAAAATGATGGCAACAATGGCAATAACAACAATGGCAACAACAACAATGGGAATAACAAAAATGACAACAACAACAACAACAACAGAAGCAATGGCGGAGGAAGCAACAATCGTTCGCCACCGCCTCCTTCGAGAAACTCTGACAGGAACTCTCCTCCCCCACCGAGATCGCTGGCTCCGCGTAAATCAAGCGGTAGTAGTGGCTCCAACTCGTCACGTAACGATAACACGGGTGCTATTATAGGAATTGCTGCTAGTGCTGGATTGTTGTTTCTTGTTATGCTCTTGTTCTGCGTCTGTTGCTGTCGGAAGAAGAAAAAGAAGCATCAAATGCCCTACTACGCAGGCAATGGTTACGCCACCGGTAAAGGTACTAAAAAATAAAGGATCAACACCTAGCCCTAATTAAACCTAGCCCTAGTATCTGTTTTACAATCATTGCTTGTGCCTCAAGCTAATCAATAACCTAACTTATTGCAATCTTCTTACCGCCAAACCACATTTCAAAGTCTTGGTTTTTCTAAATCTTTTGAAATATGGTAGAAATCAGGGAAATTAGTTTCCCTGGCAGTGGTTTTGATTTCTGAATATTTTGAAATATTGTAGAAAATCATTAGTTTTGTTTCCTTATCAAACAAGAAACAAGGTAAAACAAAGTCTTTTTTTTTGTATCTTAGGTGATCAATATCAACAGCAGCAACATTACAACAATCCCCAAAGCGATCACGTAATGAATCTGTCTCAACAATATGGTGGATCAAACAGTAACAATAACTGGATGCCTCCACCGCCACCTGGAAGCTGGCAACCATCCCCACCACCACCACCACCGCACGTCTCAGGCGGGATGAACAACGGAAACAGCAGCGAAATGAGCTCAAACTACTCAGGTCCACACGGTCCGTCTCTACCACCACCTCACCCTTCAGTGGCTCTAGGTTTCAACAAGAGCACATTCACCTACGACGAGCTGGCTGCGGCTACACAAGGCTTCTCTCAAGGAAGATTGTTAGGGCAAGGCGGGTTCGGGTACGTTCACAAGGGAATACTCTCCAATGGGAAAGAGATTGCGGTCAAGAGTCTTAAAGCGGGAAGTGGACAAGGAGAGCGAGAGTTTCAGGCTGAAGTCGATATCATTAGTCGAGTTCATCATCGGTTTCTTGTGTCTCTTGTTGGGTATTGTATTGCAGGAGGACAGAGGATGTTGGTTTACGAGTTCTTGCCTAATGACACACTTGAGTTCCATCTCCATGGTAAAAGTGGTACTGTTCTTGATTGGCCTACAAGGCTCAGGATCGCTTTGGGTTCAGCTAAAGGGCTTGCTTACTTACATGAAGACTGTGAGTCAAAACAAAAATCTAACTCTTTGATCTTATTGAGGTTTATTTAGAGATGTGTTTTAAACTTTGTTTTCTTTACTTTGTGGACTGATCAGGTCATCCGAGAATCATTCATAGAGACATTAAAGCTTCAAACATTCTTCTTGACGAATCCTTTGAAGCCAAGGTAGGGTTTTGATTTGAATCATATATAAATGCTTTCAGATTCTTTAATATTTCTTTATAACTGGACTGGCTCAAATCTTCAGGTTGCAGACTTCGGGTTAGCGAAGCTATCTCAGGACAACGTTACACATGTGTCCACTCGAATCATGGGAACTTTCGGGTAAAACATATTCTTGATTTTTTTATTCTAAACTCATCCAAGAATCTGTTTATCTAATCAAGATTTGAAACTGTGGAACAAATATGACAGGTACTTGGCTCCAGAGTATGCATCAAGCGGGAAACTGACAGACAGATCTGATGTTTTCTCGTACGGAGTGATGCTTCTTGAGCTCATAACCGGACGTCGTCCAGTTGATCTCACTGGTGAAATGGAAGACAGTTTGGTCGATTGGGTCAGTACCACCATATTGTAAACATTCTCATAAAGAGTCCTCTGTTATAATCTTGTGATTCTAATGCAAAATTTGTTTAAACAGGCAAGACCGTTATGCTTGAACGCAGCTCAGGACGGTGACTACAGTGAACTGATAGATCCACGGCTAGAGAACCAATACGAGCCTTATGAGATGGCACGAATGGTGGCTTGTGCCGTTGCAGCCGTCAGACACTCAGCTAGACGTAGGCCTAAGATGAGCCAAGTAAGTTTTTTTTATCAACAAAACACTAATGGGTCCCATCAAAGAGACCAAATGTTCTGAATCATTTGTATGATGATTTTGTAACAGATTGTTCGGGCTCTGGAGGGAGATGCGTCGCTGGACGATCTAAACGAAGGAGGGAAACCGGGGAACAGCTCGTTCCTAGGGAGGGGAACGAGCAGCTCGGACTATGACTCGAGCAGTTACAGTTCGGATATGAGGAAGTTTAGGAAAGTGGCGCTTGATAGCCAAGACTACGGAGCAAGCAGCGAGTACGGCAACACGAGCGAGTATGGTCAAGACCCGGTAGGAGGAGCTAACAACAACAACAACAAACCAACTCCTAGCCGAGAGCTTTGATATTTTAGCTGTTAGATTTCAAACAATCATCAAGTACATACATTGCTGTGTTTTTGTTTCCCTATGAAAATTTTTACAACTCTTTTTGTCTTTTTGTGTCAGATTCTGACTGTTTGGATCTGTTTTTGTGTCTGTGTGTGTGTTTGTGTAAGAAAAGTCAAAAACTTTTGGCTGTGATTAAAATTGATTATTAATGCCTAAAATGTCTCTACTAATGTTTCACTGTGTGATTTCCATCTCTCTGTTAGAATCTTCTGTGACTTGAAAATCTACAAACTTCTTCTACGTAACTCGTTTTTATAAACACAAGCATTCGTTGACCAAAACAAAAAAAACACAAGCATTCATCGATATTAATATTGTACGGAACAAGTAAAAAGTACTTAGAAAAAAAATAGAAGATATATTCTAAAAAAAATCGTCGGACTTATACTCAAGATGAAAACCCAGCACGTTCGAAGCTAACAATCTTTCTACAGATAGGACACATGGAATGAAACTTAAACCACCGTTCGATGCAATCGTCATGAAATGAGTGATTACAAGTCGGCAAAACCCTAGTTTTGCCTCCGTCAGCGAGCTCGGAGAGACAAACGCTGCATTGGATCTCGTCTTTGACGTTCTGACCGTTGATGAAGCCTACGACGGTCATTACTAATCGTCTAATACTGTCTATAATCCAACGCACCAGTAACCCCAACCCCAGCAGCACCACTCCAATAAGAAACACGACAACGGCAATGGCAACAGTTATTTCGAAAAACGTTGCTTCGTCGCTCATCTTGAAAAACCTCAAAGAAGATCAATCTCTCAGTAATTGAAAGTAAGATTGAGAAACAAAAAAGAAAGAGAGAGAGAGAGCGAGAGAGTTCTTTTCTTTCAAGCCTAACGAAACTTGTTTATTGTCTTTAGAATTTATCCTTCTGTATATACAAACTAGAAAGGGCTCGTTCCTAATTTTTATTACTTCCATTTCCTTGGTTACAGATTATTTGAATTTCCAACTTTTCAGAAACTTCAGTTTTGTTCCTAGCCGAACTTAATGGCATTGATTCATGAATTTATAAATTCATATAAGATTTGTAAATCTTTATTTTTTGGAAAATGGATTTTGAAATTCCCTTGTTTTACTTTGAATTTGATTCTTTGTATTTTTATCATAAAAACACTTCCAAATCCATTAAAATCCAAAATGAAATTCATTTAATATTTAGAAATCATTGAATGAATAAAAGGGATTTTGACAAATATTTTAAAATTCAAAATCCACTAAAATCCATGAACCAATAACCCCAACCTTTCAATTTTGCTTTTTCGTTGAACAAGAGAGGAAATGAACAACGAGCCCTTTGAATTTCAGTATCATGTCGATGATAAGAAACAAAAAGTTATAATCACTGTAATTGGAAACAACCCACAAATTCATTGAATCATTTTTAAAATCTCAAACCTTTTGGGATCCATTATTTCTAAGCTAAAGACTTGTGTTGGAATTGAAAAACACAGACTGCATCAAATCTATCTTGAAGTTTCCAACTTTTCGTGATCCCTTTTGGTTTCCACATCATCATCCTCTCTAACCACTTTCCAATAAACTGAAGACTAATGAAATGAAATGATAAGAAACAGAAAGGGGTTTTAAAATAAACGAAGGAGATCTCAGAAACAGAGGATAACGACGGAGAAGGAGATCATGAATGTGTAAAGAAGGATCAAGAACCCGAAATAGAGAGCCCAATTCCTCTTAAACTTGCCGAAGTAGCTATCCGGCGGCTCCTGGTACGGAACTTCCAGATCCCAAGCAGCAGCCGAGGCGGAGACCTCATCTTCAGCACCACCACCACCGAGGAAATCGCCGGCGGCGATGCGGGACTTGATGAAACGGAGCTTGTGAGTGGCGAGGCCGAGGGTGAGCTTGTGGCAGCGACGCTGGTACTTGAAGCCGTTGATGCAGCGGAGAGTTTGCGCCACGGAGACGTAGAAGAAGAGATGGGAGAAGGAGAGGAGGCAGATTGGAGCCCAGCAATGGCGGCAGTGGAGACGCCCTGAGGGCTGGGAGAGAGAGAAGAAGACGACGGCGAGAAAGATGAAGAAGAGCTGGAAAATCTTGTGAAGCTTCTTCTTCTGGTTGTCAATGGCTCGCTTTTTCTCGAGGGTTTTCTCGAAGTGGAGCTGGATTATGGTGTTCAGGGCTTGCAGCGCCGTTTCTTTAGGGATGAAAGGTTGGTTATGGTGGTCGATTTCGTCTTCATAGTCCGCCATTGTAGGACCAAGAAGAGAGACAAACAAAAAAGGGTGCTTTTGCGTTCTGAGAGAGAGAGAGTGTGTGTGGTACTGTGGTTGGGGATTGTGTGTGAACATGTGGATGTGGTTCGTATCTCTAGACAAATGTATTATCATCTCAACGGTCTTGTTCAGATTTTTGATTCAATAAATGGAGTTTGGTATTTTTCAAAAGAAAGAAAAACACTAGTCTTTTGAGGCTGGTGTCTGCTTGTTTCGACTTATGGCATCTTTCGAGTACCCAGACTTTGCATTTTGGTTCTGATCAGAATCAGAAAATCAGATTCACTGAGTGATTTCGATCAAAAGGACGAAAGTAATTTTGTGACAGTAAGAAATTAAAATACAGAGAGAGTAAAAAAGTAGAGGTACATAAGAGAATACGAGTTTGTTTCCATGTCGCATTGTTCCTCACACTTCTTCCAAAACTGCTTCTTTAGGTTAAGCACAGAGTTTGTCATCAAATCAGCTCCTTTCACTGGATCAAGCCTGATAGATATAAAGATTTATCAGTCTCTTGGATTCATCAAGATAGATCTAGCAGAAAAGATCCTTTGCAACCTCTAACTAGACAATGTTCTCTCTATGGCCGCAAATTCAAATTCTAATACCATTCTCAATTGCTCAATTTCATGTTCGATCTCTAAGCTTCTGTAGTTGATAGATATTCAGGAATACTCAAAATTTAGCAAACTTCATTGAACAACTAATCGAATTCTCTAGGAGACTAAAAGAAACAATCAAGTGAAGCCAATTTCGCAAAAGAAATTGCAAAAAAAGAATCACCTTTCTATCTCTGGATATTGAGCATGGCTTTAGCCTCACTCTGCTGCTCAACCAAATCTTCACTAGCATACATACTAAGCAGATCCATCTTCTTCTTCTCCAACACCATCTTCTCAATCTCCTTCTCGTCAGGCAACGGAACGTGCACCACAAACTCCCTCACCTTCTCCTCCTCTCTCTCCTTCTCCATCCTCTCCTCCTCCACCACATCCTCCTCCTCCTCAAACAACACCTCCTTCGCAGCCGCAGCTGCAGCTCCTACGCTCACAACCTCCGCAGCCCCTTTCCTCGCCTCCCTCCTAACCTCATCCAATCTCCGCCACTCATCCAACGACACCTTCCTAATCCCTCCTTCCGAATTCTTCTCCAAATTCTCCAATATCCCGTCTTCCTCGTCTCTATACCCGTAATAGCTAGAGTCTATCCTCTTGTATATATCGTACCTCGTTCTCCGCTTCCTCAGCTCCGGAGGTTTCTCGAAGAGCTCTCTCACTCCCGGAAGTCTCTTGGCGGCGCCGAAATAGCGATACCCAGGACCACGGCCGCTAGGGTTCGGGACGTCGATGATGTTTCCGTCCAGATCCGTCATCTTCGCCCCGTGTTTCGTGTGGTTCTGACCGCCTAGCTCCACGATTCGCCGCTCCCAGTGATACTTCTCCCTGAGAAGCTTGTTGATCTCGTCGTTCAGATCTCGGAGTCGGTGCTCGTCCAATCCTTCGTTCTGAATGTCCTGCACCTTTTTACCGATCTCTCGCAGGATTTGCTGCCTCCATCTGTCTGCCTCCGAGAGATCGCGGCATTCAGAGGCGAGGTAAGGTCGACGCTCCCTGGGCTTCTTGTTCTCCGATTCTTTCATGGTGACGAACCTGTTGAGCATCGACTGCGCTTTCTCCTCATTACGCGCCATCTTCGATCTTCGGAGTTACGAACACTAGGGAAATCTCAGATAGAAAAGCAGAACTAACACAAGAAATCGAGCTTTTCTTCCTTAAACCCTAATTGCAGAGCTGTGACAGGGAGAGACGCGAAGACGAAAGGATTGGGAGTATTTAGATTTCAAGCTTTGTTGTTGTTTCCTCCTCTGTTATATTCCGTAAATCAAATTATTAGTTTTTCGTCCTCCTTTAAATGCTTAAGGCCCAATTAACCAGCCCATTTAGGCTATTTACAATTTTAGGACCGACTTGTTTCAATTTTTTTGGTGGGAACTTTCGGGTATGACAAGCAAATAGTAATGATGAGAATATTTTGGTAGTAATAAACTAATAATACAGTACTTGAAAAGTTATAGAATTGTGGTTGTTAGTGTGATCTGTACGGTAAGCAAGTTGCCTAATTATAAGATGATGCGATCATATCTGACTTTAGCTCAATTGAAATTCATTAGTGAGATGTCTCTATAGGTATTAAAAAAAAATGTGATGTAAATATTAACGCTTCAATCGTTTACACTCGATAGAAGTTGAAACTGTTGAAGGTTGCATTTGCATCGTATTTCGTATCAGTTAAAGCAAAATAAATAAATAAATTATCTCATACAATACTTATATATATCAACAATGCAAAGAGTTTCAAGGTTCTTCTTCCGAGTTTTGAAAGAGATTATAGAAAAATAAGGAATAAAGAGGCATCAATTCGATCACTCGAGCTACAAAAACAATGGACTAAAACGCAAAACGAAAGCGGTTTTTTTTTTTCAAACGCAGACGTAATGTAAAACCCAGAGAGTTTGCCACACACAAGTGGATAGAAACGAAAACAAACAAAAAAAAGGAAATGAAACAAACAAATGGAGAAGCAAATAGAAAAGTTTGAAAAAAAAAAAAAGAAACTTTGATCCCACTGATAAAACCCAGCTTTTTAGCCTTTCTCTTGAGAGCTTAGAAGCATTTTCTGTGAACAATCCCTGGACCTGCCTCATCATACTCAGCCTTGGAGATCCACATCTATTAAAAGAACAACAAACATACAAAAATAATCAGCTTTTGTTTAAACTTGCAGATTTCTTTTTACAAAAATGAAAAACAAAGTCAATTTTTTTACCTGCTGGAAAGTGCTGAGGGAAGCAAGAATGGAACCACCGATCCAGACACTGTATTTCCTCTCAGGCGGTGCAACGACCTTAATCTTCATGCTGCTTGGTGCAAGAGCTGTGATCTCTTTGCTCATACGGTCCGCAATACCGGAGAACATGGTGGTACCACCACTGAGCACAATGTTACCGTACAGGTCCTTCCTGATATCCACATCACACTTCATGATCGAGTTATAGGTCGTCTCGTGGATCCCAGCAGCTTCCATCCCCACAAACGAAGGCTGGAACAAGACCTCAGGGCACCTGAATCTCTCAGCGCCGATGGTGATCACTTGCCCGTCGGGCAACTCGTAGTTCTTCTCGATGGATGAGCTGGTCTTGGAAGTCTCCATCTCCTGCTCGTAGTCCACAGCGACGAAGGAGAGCTTCTCCTTGATGTCTCTCACAATTTCCCGCTCTGCTGTTGTGGTGAACATGTAACCTCTCTCGGTCAAGATCTTCATGAGGTAATCAGTAAGGTCACGTCCAGCAAGGTCGAGACGGAGGATGGCATGTGGAAGAGAGAAACCCTCGTAGATTGGCACAGTGTGAGACACACCATCACCAGAATCCAGCACAATACCTGTTCAGGATAAAGATTCAGACCTCAGCTTCAAATCATTATTAAGCAGAGAGAAACAAAAAGAGCCTATGAAATGTACTAACCGGTGGTACGACCACTGGCGTAGAGGGAGAGAACGGCTTGGATGGCGACATACATGGCCGGAGAGTTGAAAGTTTCGAACATGATTTGGGTCATCTTCTCTCTGTTGGCCTTGGGGTTGAGAGGAGCCTCGGTAAGTAGAACCGGGTGCTCTTCAGGAGCGATACGGAGCTCGTTGTAGAAAGTGTGATGCCAGATCTTCTCCATGTCGTCCCAGTTGCTCACAACACCATGCTCGATCGGGTATTTCAAGGTGAGGATACCTCTCTTGGACTGTGCTTCGTCACCAACGTACGCATCCTTCTGGTTCATCCCAACCATGACTCCGTGATGCCTTGGCCTACCAACAACACTTGGGAATACAGCCCTTGGTGCATCATCACCGGCGAAACCAGCCTGCCACACAGATTTAGGAATCAACACTTGTTGCTTATAAGCAAAAGAGAACATCAACAGATCTGAAAAAAAGGTGAAGAGACTAAACTAACCTTCACCATTCCGGTACCATTGTCACAGACGATGGGTTGAATATCATCAGCCTCAGCCATTTTTTATTAGCTGCAGAACAACATTAAGAGTTGAGTTACTGTGAAATGAGCCATGATCGAAACTAAAAGCAAATCCATAAACTAATCAGAAGTAGCTTTCGATTCAACGTATCAACACTACAAAATCAATCGTGTTCATCAGAAGATACAATTCCTCAATCGATATATTCCATAATCAAACTTCAACCAGTTCAGATTTCAATTGGCATCTACAAATCATTTCCCAGATATTTACAGATGAAAGAGTGAAAAACCCAATCGGAACAGTAATCTGACTATGGATCTATCCCTATCCAGATCAAGGTCAATACAAATTCCGGGAGCTTAATCGAGCTCAAGATGATCGGTCAACTGAAATCGTAACTAGGAATCATCTAAACATTCATAGATCTAAGCTCAAGCAGTTCCAGATCTCTACGAAATTCAAAAACAACATCTAGATCCAGCAGATAAAGTAGATCCAGAAAGTTAATTTTTACCTTTGAGCGAGAAAGATCGGAAAGCAAAAGAAGTAGAGATCGAAAAAGAAATGAGGAATCAAGGCGATTCCGGTCTCTTCCTTTCTTCTCGACTTTGACTTCCTTCTCTCTCTCTCTCTTTTCTCGCCGGAGATATAGATCGGCCGATGAAAGTGAGGACAACGAGACAATTCAAAGGGGGAGGAGAAATATGTGAATTTATATAGGCGGGGTTATCTGTACAAGTTTCTTTTTCGGCCTTTCAAACAAAAAAATAAAATAAAAATAAATAAAAATAAAAATTATCGACAGAGACGAATCATTTCGACCACAGGAAAAGATAACGTGACCTGGCTGTCAGACAGCCTTTTCCCTCGTGTTAACTGTTTAAGACCCTTTTTAAAATTTTAATTAGCGATCTCAGCCGTTGGATTAATCTGATTAGTTCTTTTGCTGAGATGGCTTGACTGTGATCGGCTCGGCGTAACATGACAGCTCCTTTTTTTATATTTTTTTAATTAATATTCTTTGTTTATTCAGGTCTGCGATTTAGTGTTAACTTAACCGAGTCAATCCAGGCAACGATGGTCGTGGTTGGCTTGTTCAATGAGGTTTTTATAAATTCAACGAAGTTAATTCATTTTTTTAATTAGGATCGAATCGTATTCAATTCTTTAAGTAGAATAGTAAGATCAGACCGTGAAAGAAAGTGACGTTCATGATGTGTTACGGATATATAGACTAAAATACTATATCATCGTATTCACGATTTATGTAATAAATAGTGGCAACTACTTCCGAAGTCGTCAAAACAATTGTACATTAATTATATGCTTACTGCTTAGTGCTTACACACAAATAATAGGGTTGATATAGCTAATGTTGAGTTGATGAGATACCAATACATTGAACAATATAGTTTCATCGTTCATGTACTTTTAAAAAGTTCAAAACTTTCTTTCATGTGATAAGAAAACTACATTACATGAAAGATATATATCGGTATGTTTGAGATTGTAAGAACACTTATGAATTTCAGACATTTGACCTTAGTACATCTTACTACTAGTATTTTTGTTTTATAGCTTTTTTTAGCTTTTATATCTTGAAATAGGTTTAAACTTTTAAAACGTATATTTTAGGTATATGGATTTGATTTACAGAAAATAGTCGCACATATATTGAACATCATTGTATTGGATCCCATCTAGTTAGATATCACAATCTGAATTAACGTAGTCGGTAGAGATTGCACGATTATATTGATCTTAGCAATAACTCTACAATCCTCATGTTCGACGAACATCATTCATCCTCACAAGCCACAAGTCACAAACATTTTCTTTTCGTTGAGAGATGAAACTAAAAAAGTCAACTTTTTGTGATCCACGTGAATCGCACGTGCCAAGTACAATCGAGAGAAAGTTGGGGAAAAAGAATGTGGGAAGGTTAAGCTGGCACCTACGAAAACGTTGTGTCCATCATTACGAAACTACTTCTGATTCTTCATTGCTACTATTATGATTACAATTAATTCCCACTCTTTATTATATGGTTTAGATGAGGCAGGCCATGTTCGTGTTTTTTATTTATTACAAAGTTGCATATATATGGCAGGCCACGTTCATATTTTTGTTTAGAGAAAAAGTCAATTAAGGTTAGTTTTTCTGGATTTAGTATGTGGTTAATGGTTTGATTGATCCTAGAGATCTAGCTTTTTCTCCCTCTCAACTTTACTAGTAGTGGCACACCACAATCCACCCATAAAGTTTTGTTGCTTTTTTGGAATATGGATTTATTGCCTATAAATTCGATCTGTTAAAGCCCTACATGCGATAAAAATCATTGTGATCCTATATAAGTAAGTTGTTAGTACTCAATAAATTTTGGTTTAGTGTTTATTTTTTGCTAAAGAATGGTATACTGCTTTTTACAGCCAAGTTCCAGATTTCGTCACTTATTGAAAGAATGTTTCTTTTATTAACAGAATGTTTCCCTTGATATAGAATACATCATATTCAAATTTTTATACAAATGAAGATATAATATGAGTTTGTACATATATACTAAAATAAAAAGTATGAAAAGAATATAAAACAAGCATCTAACACCCGTCCAATGAAGTAATGTGAAAATTGTTTGCTAATTCTTCATTTCATTTCAGTTTTAACGACACTCTACATTAGTAGAATTTAACAGTAAAACAGATACATAAATATCTAAACAGAAAAAGATGTTTGTAGAAAAAAAGATAACAAGAAAAGATCCAGGTCTAACGTACTTTTACAAAATGACATAGCTGAATTATTAAAGTTTTTGAATTATTGTTGAAAAAAGTGTTAGTGAATTATTACACGGAATCAAAGCTTGACAATCATAGAATCACGACCTAACCATTTAATTTCTTTTTTGGTGATTAGAGGCACGCTAACCATTTGAATATCGACAACGGAATTTGTTTAGGCGTACATCCACGACCATCATAAAACAAGTTTTCTTTTCATCAATCAACAAATGATTATTGATCATATAAAAGAAACTTTGGGCTGATTTGGGCTTTATTCGTAAGCCCAAATTTGTTTTTGGCGCCAAGGAAGAGGTGAAGATCTTGAGAGTTGCAATTCGATCTTCGTCCACATGTTTAAATTTCAAAATTCGCATCGTACTGATTAGTTAATGTGACTTGTGTCTCTTGAATATTCCAAGGTTGTCTCTTTAGGCGCAGTAAAACTAAAAGTAATAAACCAAACGAAATTTGGACTAGTGTTACATTTACTGCTCTTTCAGTGTTAAATGATTGGTTTTTTTGCTCTTAATTGTCCAGATTCTTCGACCTCAGTTTGGTGTAACAGATCTTGATATCTGACAGCACCAACTCTGGTTGTTAAATTATCGTACCGTTTTACTTTATATGATTAGTACAATATTAAAAACCACTCATTTTGTTATCCTCTGATTTGACTCTTTGGTGGTTTCATCCTCAGATCCCATTTTACCTTTATGCCGTTTGTTCCAGGTGTAACCTATATCTCTTTCTCAATCTACCTATGGCTTTTGTTCTCATTTGGGTGGATTATATCAAAAGCCTCTTTTTTCTTCTTCTATTGTAGGGTCTTTAATTTGAGTGAGTATTCTTTTTAGGCTTATTTTTGTCACGTTTTTTATATTGTTTGATCTTCATCACAGCCTACTCAACGAAACCAGAAAGTTCTTCTTTTTATGGAGGAGCTAAATTATTTCTTATACATAAATGGGCATTAATCAATATGTTAACTCAGTGTTAAACAAGATGTTAGTGGCATAACATGTTTTTTATAAGCTGAAAAATGAAGTAAGTCTCTTAGTTGACCTAGTTGATTGGCTGCCCTAAATATTAACTCGTTGGGTTTCAAGTGTTTTGCCTTCTCAGCTTCCTTATCTCTGGACCTATCAGTTGTTTATAGTTTCCTTCACTCACGTGAGTCTAAGATCTTCTATTGGAATGTCGTTTTGTGGAATGTACACTTATCAACCGTTTAAAGAGTGACGAAAGCAACATTTCATAATGTTTAAAGTGGAAATGATAAACTTTGTTTTGAATATTGAACTAAAGATAATTTGCGACATCGACTACACACACATAATGTTTTAAAACATAACTACTGCACCTAAGCCTACTTGACCGTGTATCAATCTCTCCGGTCGCAGTGGTGCTATATGAAAGCTACTCCTGTCCTGTCGTGGTTGATTAGCTGATGAAGTCGTCTCACTGCATCCAGCTATCTTTTGGCAAGTCTGAATCAAGCAGTGCCTACATGTGGGACATGATGAGTGCGAACTAAGCCATTTGTCGATACACCGGACATGGAAACCATGGTGGCACGTTGGCAGAAGCTTGACTCTTTCTCCGGATACAAACTCCGAGAGACATATGGCACACTCTGTATCTAAGCCAGGAAGCTTAAGCTCTGTAGAGTAACTTACTGTTTGAAAACTCTTCAAGGCTTTCCGTTTGACTCCTGTGTTTGCCATGCGAACCGCGAGCTCGTCACTAGCTTCGGATGTTAATAGATTGGTGTACCTTAACGCACATCTTATGATAGAGTGCAGTCCAAGTGAGCAGACTAGTGCGCATAAGAGGATTGATAGGACCATGACAACATTTGCATCAAAGCTCATGTGATGTGTATAAGAGTGAGATGCTTCTTGAGCTTCTGAAATTGGTGGTGATGCAGTGGTTGGTGGTTGAAGTAGTAGTCTTCTTGAGTAGAAATTTCCAAGAATATCTTGGAAGAGCTCTGTTTGTTTGATTAAGGGAGAAGAAGTTGCAGTCGACATGATAAAGTTTGTTTGAAAGAGTTAGATAGATAGATGTTCTAGGCTTTTTGGGTTGCAGGTTCTCTATATATAGTGAGGAAAGGTAAAGTTTTTTCATATACTTACTTTTTGATAATTATTGGGGAAATAGTTTTAATTGAATTTTCTGAATTATGGTTGGTGGAATATGCTGGGGAAAATTAGCAAGCTTCTTTATTGTTTTGTTTTATATAATTGTCTGCATCTAATATGGATTCTCCACTGAATTTGTATAATCTTAGTGTTGCTTTTGTTATTGATGAAAAATGGGCCCATCATACCATTTACTGCAATTGTAGAGCCATGTGGCAGTAAAATTAGCAAATGAGATCCTCAAGAGTTGCTCACAGGGACCCATGAGCTTTAGCTTGGAGCAGCCATTAATTTTCCACATCTTTGAGATTAGCATTCAGCTACTACACCTCTTGGGGTCTTAGACTCTTAGCTCATGTCATCGGCCTCTCTCTATTCCTTCTTAGATTTTAGGGATTCTAGTATATTAGGCCAAAAAATGAATTATGGAAACTAGGTTATGCTGTGACATCAATTTATACTGATTATCTTTGATTTAGATCTAAATATTACCCCATATACACTATAGTCTTCGTTATGGTTTTATTAGTGATTAGCTGATAGCATTAGTGTCCAGCTCTGCTCCTTTCTCTTAACAGTTTATCTTTCTTTTTCCTTATGTACACAATGGTGCACTTTATGATCTGTTGTCTTTTACTACAAATTGCAAGTGCAAATCTACATGAATCTAGAATCAAACCTTTTTTTCTCGTGGCTCGTAATTAAAGCAAATAATCTTTGGATGAAGATCTAATTGTTACTTTTAGTAGGATTACTTGATAATAATTTTAGCTAAGCAGTAGTTATCGGTAGATTTTTATCTATTTTTGGGAGAAAAGTTGATGTTGCAAAGCAGGGGATATCTATCCTTTATCACCACTCTTTTTTGTGTGGGTAAAATCTTTTATCACCAGTCTCACTCTGATAATTACAGAAAGGCTTTAGGCCTATCTGAAGATGATTCGTCTTTTGTTTTGTATGTGCCACTAGGTTCCATATAGCTGGTAAGAACAGATAGTGGTTTGTCCTTATATTTATCTTTTCCTGGGAAGTGATTTAACTTTGCCTTTATTGCTTTTATGTTGCTTTGAATACCATGTGATACTCGTGCATTTTTTGGTTGACATTCTTAATTTGGTACTCTTCCTAGCTACTTCGTGAGAATTATAGTGGAGTAGCATAAGAGGATCAAGATGTGAATAATTATAAAGATTTAAGCAGGAACTAAAGTCGTAATAGTTTACAATTGTTCTTCAAAATGACTCTAGAGAAATCAAATACAATTTGATGTGTCCAAGTAAGAGTTGGGGTATCCTCCGAACATCCACCTTAAGAATTCTTCTGTTTGATTTTGAAATGGTTTGGTCTCATCCAATGTGTTTGAGAAGCCTAGTAACTAGTTTCAAGCACGGTAATTAAATCTCTTCTTGGGCTAGAATTTGCAGTTCTCTAATACAGAGTCAAAACTAATCTTTGTCTAGGTTCCATTATTGATGTTCAATCTGTGCCTTTTCTTTGGTTAGATCTATCCATCACCTTATAATTCCATTCTCAGTGATGGTTAATTATCAATATTTTCTAGTAATCTTTTTTTTTTCCTGATTATGTAGACAGTAGAGAACCTCAATGGTATGTCGACATACTTTTTCCTCAATGCATGGTTCTGAATTATCTGAAAAATGATAGATTGTAAAAATTGAAGCTTCCCATTATGATCGAGTCGACATACCATGTTGGGTTTGCCTGATTTATTACAATACAAAACTATAAGTATTCCTCAAAGGTAGCTTTAAGGTTTGACTATTAGTATTAACTATTAACCCACTCACTTAGTTGGGTTTCTTTGACCATATTATGGGTTTGGGTCCATTCACGTCCCTTTCTAGGCTTCTAGGCACTGAGATACACACCGAGTTGATTTCTTTATCATTTGGACTAAGAATTCATAATTCATAATAGAATTCATAATACATTCATACTGTGGATCGTTGAAATTGGTCGATAGATTCTCTGAAAAGCAAGTATCAAACTTTTCTTGGCAGTTATGAATGTTTCTTTTGTTAGCCCTGGCTGTGAGTATTGCATAGTAATAAAGAATTTAGATTAACTTGTGGCTCCGTTCAGTGCAAAACAATGAAAAATGCTCTGTTGTGTTTGGTTCTTGGAATCCAATAGCTATGGACTTAAAAATTGTGTTCAAATCTAAAATGGTCACCAATCTTGTTGGAGAACCAAATTCTTGAAAATCTAATTAATTGCGTTCTCTAAAAGTGTCTACTCTTGCTTCAGGTTCTAGAGGAGCAATTCTGACATCTATGCTCTCCATTTGTGCTGCTTCCACTTGATCAGCTTCCTCGCAGTCACCTAAGATCTTTTGGCAAGTCTCAACCAGACAGTGTCTACATTTTGGACAAGTCATATGTTGCGTAAACCACTTGTCGATGCAACGAACATGGAACCCGTGGTTACACTTAGGAAGCAGTCGAAGCTCTTCTCCAGCTTCGAAATCAGACAAGCAAATGACACACTCCTCGCCGAGCCCTGAGAAGTTAATCATCTCAGGGGAGTAATTCACTACCGGGAACATCTTGAGAGCTTTCTTCTTGATCCCTTTGTTCACTGCTCGTGGTGTGGACGTGGTGGTAGGGATGGGATCAGAGATCATGAAACTTGAGGAGCGTCTGAATGCGCAACGGATCACGTAATGCAACCCTAGGGAGCAGATAATACCGCAAACAAGGATAGAGAGAAGCAAGAGAACGTTGCCGCTCAAGTTGCTTTTGTCAGGTACATGAGCTTGTTGTTCAGCGTTGTGGTCAAATGGGATTTGCTGAAGCAGTTTTCTTGAGAAGAAACTGTGGATGAAGAGTTGTTCTTGGAAGACTTGAGATGAAGACATCTTTACACTATAAAAGCTTTTAGAGCAAAAAATAAATAAAAGGGTTCTTGGTTTCTCTTGTGCTGTTTTGGCTTGGTTTATTCCCTTGGGTGATACAATGTTGTGTTTATATATAAGCCTAATGATAATACTTACATTTAGTGGGGACTAGGAATTGATATATTAAGAGATCATTAATTGTTGGTTTTGGAAAGTTCTTTGAAAGCAAGATGAGGAATTTGGGACCCAGAGAGAGCTTATCCAATTCCACGAGTCCTTGTGTGCAGATTTGTGCCTTGTGTCCATATCTTTTCCAATTACAAAATGCTTTGTAGGGACAATCATTTCGTCCTAGAAATAATTTGAATCTCTCTTTTTCTACTAAAATAAATAAATAAACTTGATTTCTATTATTGTTATGTGATTCTTATTTTAAGCAAGAGGACCTTGTTGAGTTGTTATTATTGTAAACTCAATTATGATTGTGTGGATAGTTGTAAAGCAGTGTTGTGTTTTATTGCTTTATATACTTCTGAATTCTCTGTATTGTTGTGCTTTCTTTCCATGTGTTGTGTCGCTTCACAATTCTCCATATTTTCAAAAACAAATCAAAGTACAAATGTTTTTTATTGAAAAAGTTTTTTTGGTTTATTTTTCTGGACTGAAGCTCTCTTTTTTTGACATGGTTGCAACTAAAGTAGTCAATGATGACTATATAATATACAACGATTACTAATAGTCATGACGGTAAAAAGATATGTTGTTTCGATAATTATTCTTTTTCATTTCATCTGTTTGCTCTTTAGTCTTTAGTAGGTAATATATGCAAAATCTTTTTCTTTGAAAATATAATGATTTTTCAAAGATCTAAACGATAAACTTGTCTGCATATATGTCGACCTTCTTTTGTATAATTGAGTTATTTATATTCGTTTTGCAAAAAGCCAAGAAAAAAAGGAGGGAATGAAACAGATGTAATCTGCTATATTGCCCCTTTTCGCTTCTACTCCACAAACGTTATCGTCTGGATTTAGGTTTTGTCTTTTTGGTCGTCGTTATCTTCCCTAACCTCAATCTCTCTAGTCTAGTGCCATGTTTAGTAGCTTTTAAATGAATGTTTTCGTTTCAAGAATTTTATTCAATTTTAAAAACCAAACCCAAATCTCCAACCCTGAGATTTGTCGTCCGCCCAATAGATATTTGTTCGAACTTGATTCCGACTTTTACCATATGATATATATATATTACAGTGTTTGTTTAAATTTGATTCATAAGCATATACCGTTACATATTTCTCTTGACTAACACAGAATATCTGGGTTACTATTCTTATTTTTCAAATTAGAAAGGGCCTTTAGTGTGTAAATAAGTTTATATATTGTCTATGATGTGTTGATATTCAATTCTAGATAGAGACCTTAAAGATAGATATGACTGAAATTGGTGGTTGTGGACGGTTGTGGACATAACTTAGACCACCCCAAAAAACACAAGTGGGATCATTTTTCTCCTCTTTTTTAATTGCCTCTTTTAAGTAGTTTAATGAGCGATGAATGAGAAAGTTACGAGATAAGAGATTTATGTATCTTGTCCTTGGTGCATCGTGGGAAATATTTTGCATGTCACGTAGCCTAATGATAAGTGCTAGAATTTAGATATTGAAATCTTGTAGTGCGTTAAAAGAGATTACGAGTACTATTTTCCACATCGAAATTGATAGCCATAGTTAAAGTACAACATGCGCAGCACATATAAAATATGTTAAGAAAGATTTGTGCTGCTTAATAAGATCAATTAGTATAGCACTTATATTGTTGATTTCAAAATAAATAAGTAACAAACACTTACACCATAAATAAGTTTATCAAAGCGCTTCTCCGATTGCTCAAGAAATCTCTTTACAACTGAAGAACAAAAAAAATACGAGGGGATTCACTAAACGGTGGAGACATGAAGGAATCGTTCACATTTAGATATAACTCATGACCGTGTTCGGAGAGAAGCACAAGTATGGTCTTTTGCCAATACATAGTCCGGAAGATAGGGTCTTAGGTGAACACCATGCAACCGCACTTTGACATCAGTCCATGAAGCCATAGTGGATGATGTTGTGTTGCGTGCAAAGATTGCTGGTAAGCATATTAGATACAGACTTGATATATAGGACCAAAATCATGAAGGTGAATAGCGACTCAAAACGCATCCAATTTCTTTGGTTTCTAAGCCATTATAGATCAAATATATATCTATATCTATACTAATGAAAAAAGCTGTTTGGGGCCTCTCAAGGTCTCCAACTCAGCATTTTCGAGTTGCTCTCTGAAGTTGCCACGTCAACAAATTCTACCAAAAAAAAAAAAAGTTCAATTTAAGAGCTTCTTCGTAAGTTCAATCCTCGCCTCTTCGTCTCCTTCGTGTCTTCTTTGAAATCCTTAGGACTTAAATTCATGTCTCTTCACATTCTAATTGAAGGAACAAATACTATCTGTAAATCTGAAACTATTCTCTGCACCACAACTCCCCAATGTTTGAGATCACACCGCGCGGAATAGACACACGCGTTCCGGCGGCGGCTTGATCCTTGAACCAGAGAAGCTTCCCTCGCTTGAGCACGAACCAGCGTCGGCGCCAACTCTTTATGTAATCGCCTTGCTTGGTGAGCCAACCAGATCGCTCTGGGTTTGACCAGAACTCGATCCCGTCGTAATCTTCCCGGTTCGGATCCTCACCCGTCGCGATTCGCCATAGATTCTCCATCCTCTTCTCTCCCAAATTCTCACGACTCCTCCGTCTCTCAAGTCTCAACAGTCATAAGGCTCTAAGCTTCCGTTTTCGATGCAAATACAAAGAGACATTGACAGGGTTTTTGAGTGTAGTTTTCTATGTTCTCTGCTTTTTCAATTTGATCACTTGATAATGGCAATTTGATTTGATATATCTGTTCGATTATTCTTCTATTCTCAACTTTAGAAAGCTTGTGCTCTCGGATTATGATTTTTGTTTCATTGCACGTAGATGTTGGCTTCAGATCGACTGTGCATAAGAGAGAGTCTCTAATGGCGCGAACAGGGCTCAATACAGGTTTATATGAACATAAATTTGATTTCTCTTATATGTTCATCAATTTACATTGCTTCATTTCATCTTCAGTCTACACAATGATGAGTCGGTGTCGCGTCTCACAGTCATCTTCTTCAGCCTATGGTTTCCACGATTTCGGAAAGATGACATTCAAGAAGAAGAAAACGGAGGAGAATCAATCGGAGAAAGGATTGAGCGGTGGTGGCAAGGGTGATCAAGGTTAGAAAGGAGAGGAATTGATCGTTAGTGATGGACTCTTCGAGAAAGAATTCTTCGGCTTATACTTATCTTCTCGCCGACGTTTCCCATCCGGATAAACCAGCTCTGGTACGTTTGCTTATCAAAGATTGAATTTTGCGAGATGGGTTTTGAGAATTTCGTGTCTCATCATTGTTTAGTTCTCGGGATTGTTGAATGTAATCGGATCGTTTTGTTGTGAACTTGAAATCAGTTAGTGTAGGTTGGTGGATTATCCTGATTATTCAATCAGCCGATGTGATTTGTCTACGTAATTTTTATCAGATATGCAGTTGCTTGATCTGATTTACAGCTGAATTGTTTTCGGAAAGATCACAGTTTTGCTAACTTTTGAACATGTTTTTGTTATCTCTTTATGTGATTTGCAGTTGATCGATCCCGTGGACAAGACTGTTGATAGAGACTTGAAACTGATAAATGAATTAGGCTTAAAGCTCATATATGCTATGAACACTCATGTTCATGCTGATCATGTCACTGGAATTGGACTTCTTAAGGTATGTTTCTGTTTATTGACATAATTGGTTACATTTCCAGCGGCTTTGGTTTTCAATATTGATCTCTCTTTGTTTGCTTTACACAAACAAAGGTCCCAGGGATTGAAATCTGTCATTTCAAAAGCAAGTAGCTCCAAAGCTGATATGTTTGTTGAACCGGTTGATAAAGTATCTATTGGTGATATGTATACCTTGAGGTATGAAAAACCAAATTGCAAACTAAGAAACTAGAAAGTCAAGAGATTAAGTAATGTTCATTTCTTTTTGTTGTTGCAGGTTCGTGCTACACCTGGACATACAACAGGATGTGTTACATATGTGATTGGAGAAGAAGCAGATCAGCCCCAACCAAGAATGGCCTTTACCGGAGATGCTTTACTTATCCGCGGTTGTGGGAGAACCGACTTTCAGGTTCACAGAAACAGAGAATAAATCAATTATAAAGAACCAAAAAAACAGCAATATAGATGCATAAGATCTATATTTTGGAATGAGACATTGGTTTAGCTTTACTTATGATGATTCCATCGATGTTTCAGGAACTGACCACGTTCTGACAAATATGACCTCCCGGAAACAGCTCAGGAATCAAGCTTTCGGAACTTTCAAGATCATGATTTTGAACAACGATGATGTCTCTTGATTTAAAGCTCGATACATTCAACCTCTCGCCTTCTTTGTGACAGTAGAAGTTCCTCTTTCTCTTAAATTCTTCCGAAGCTCTCTGTCATTAGTTAAAATAGCGAATCTTCTTCCACATTTTGCTTACTCTCCCTCATGTTTATATTTTTCAACCTAATGTTGCAAACCAGAAGAGAAATTGAGGCATGGAGATTAAACGAACATGGACGACGGAAAAGCAGAGAGACCTAAACTCTCACCGGATGTGAGAATTTCAAGGCTGATTCGTAGAGAGCGTTGGCAACGAGACCTAGAAAAGATGGGCCAAAACACAAGGTAGAAAACGAATACAAGAATGTTCTTATGATTTGTCTCTTTCTTATTTAAGCTATTAGATCATGTTTTACTCCAATGTTAAAAATGATTGACGTATATCTATGATGCATATTCTCTCATTTAAATCAGCATTTGTATTAGTTTGATGATCATTGCCTTGCATATATGGTCATATTGCAGTTTGAGCTCTTTCGATATTGATACACCTGCATATATGTATTAGTTTGTTGTTTCATGCATAGGAAGTTGATGATAGTTTTTTTTTGTTCGCTTGCATTCTCCTGTAATATATTCTTTTGTTTATTTCGCAGTGATCAGTAATGGGAGAAGCCGACGCAGAAGCAGAACTAGAAACAGTTTATGGATAGATGGAACCGCGTTTGCGGTATGGGTATCAGAAATCCGACGAACAGATGGTTGTGGGTTTGTTGTGTAAATATTTGGGATTGAGCTGATATTCCAATTTGATAAGGGATGAAAGGATTAGATTGCTCTATGCTTATACTTCATCTCTACATTGTCATTTAATCTATGAGATCATGTTTTACTACAATGTTGAGAATGATTGACGTATCTCTGGCTCTCTCAGTTCATCAATTTAAGATTTTATTCGTTAGACAGGTCAAGAAGAGATAACATTATCGTTTTTTCAGACATTGTATCGTGGAGCATTTGCCATAGCTAATGTCCCTGTCCTCGAAAGTACAAAATCCCATGGTAGTCACAGATTTCTTGATTGAATTTAAGTTTGCTATTGGCATTTAACCCAAGAAGAAGTAGTTACTAAGGATTATGAAGTATACCAGTTTCAAAATGGTTATGACAAGCATTATCTTTGTACTTTAACATTACAAATATTATTGAGTGCTATTGACTACTGTAATAGACTTCAATTCACATGACATAACTTGAAAGAAGAACATGAGTTGAAAAACAATGAATAAAAAGTGAGGAAACAAAGAGGGTTGCTATTCTCAAATATTCTATAATTGGTTTGAATTTTTACGAAAAGAGACATGTTATCCAATTAAAGGCAAGGAAAAGGAAGTACAAATTAAAGAAGTTAAACAAAATGGATTAGATAGTATTTTATTTAGGTATTTCTCTGTCCACAAAGGAAAACAAACTCAGAAAATGTGACATTTAATCAATGAAATATTGATATAAGAATGTAAAAGTAAATAGTGAAGTATTGGTTTGCCACAAGAGTTTGAGTAGAAGATTTTATTTTCTTTCCAATTTCAAACCCATGTAACACTTGATGTAACAAAGCTTGAATATAATTTTACATTCAATAAAAAAAAGTAAATACTAAAATATTTTTAACAAAAAAAATTTTAATATATGCCTCGCGCGTAGCGCGGGATACCATCTAGTAAGTCTCTAAAGCATTAATTCTATTGTGAAAGACTTATTAATTAGACCCGTAAGAAATGTACAAAACGGAGTACAAATGTACAATGGTTATAAGTTTTCTCTACGGTTTACAAAAGCTCACCGGAAAATATATCATCTTTAAGTTCTCTATCACAAAGGCTTGAAACTTGAACAATGTTATGATACTAGGAGTTGTCCCGCGCTACGCGCGGGGTTATTGTTAAAATTGTTTTATTAATATTTTTGTTAGAGTAATTATTTATCTACTAATCTTATTTCAAATGACTAATAAGACATTTTCTATATTAAGAATCTCTTTTTACACACCAATATTCGCGTTATATCCCCATCACATTTTCTGATTTTGATCTTATGTTTATATTTTGATATGTTCCGGTCGGATGTCTTAATTTTATATTACTACTTCAATAATATGAGAACGTTTCATGATCATGCTGTTTTGCTCATGTTGTTTCCCATTTTAGGCCTTTTTTATTATAAAGCCAAGGTCTACTTCTCGAACACACGTTTATCAACCTTCTAATGTTCTTCTAGCTCTAGGGCGGCTGGCTTGAATTAATTTTCTATTTAACCAGATCAATCTACATGTTTTTATCATGAAAGTTTGTAAACTGTATTTGTAATCATATTTTATATTGGTGATTGATACTTTGGTATGGAATTATATAAACTTAAAAATGTAAACTACAGCAATTTTAATGTTGAGTTTCCTCTACTTGAAACTTTCTAATCTATTAGAAAATTAGGTTACTATCCACACTAAGCCTTCTTGCTTCTGCAGTTCAATTGTTTCAAATAGGATCGGTTGAAAAGCATTAAAGTCCATTCGTTCGTGGGATTTATAAACATTAATTACAATATAATATTAAGTCATTATGATCATATTTGTAAAAGACATTGACAGTGACAATGGAGGTAACGACGTAAAGATCTATAGCTGTGCTGATTTGTGAAATCCTTGTTTAGTATTATACTGAAACGTAGTTTTACAATTTGTAGCCTGTGCACATCTATACTCTCAATTTTTCGAATTATCTATGTTTCCAGATAAATATTCATTACATCAACCAAGCTGCTGAGGATGATTTTATGTCTTTGCTGTCCTGGTATGTTTGAAGGGATCTAGGACCGAATAATCCAACATCTGCATAAATTAAACCCAAAAATCTTCCAAACGTCAATATTTTTTATTTTTGTTCGTTATGACCCAAACAAAGAGAGAAATATATAAGAGCGACAATGTTTGACACGACTAACGGAATATAAATTTGCAGATAAAGGCTCTAAAAAAGTTTATAATAGTAGAAAAACATAGATAAGGTATTTGCCGGATGTGGAACTTGTAAAGGCTATAAGCTATAATGCAGATCATAAAACATTGACTCTTTGGAAATTGACGATATTGGCTTTCATAGATACGGAAACGAACCTGATATAAAATAAGCATATGGGTCACCATGCTGTGGCATCTTCTCGAGAGAGCAATCCCCCTTGTGACCTGAATTTCAAAATCTCTGGCGGTATAGCATCTGTTACTGATAATAATTTAAAAATGAGGCATAGCCTGTAGCCCCTCATATCGATTGTAAAGCAACACAGCTACAGAGTCACAAAGAATATCAAATTATAAGACCAAGCCAAAGAGAAATGGGTTACCTAATCGCTGGCGGGCTCATTCCCAAGCAAGGCTTACAGATGAATGCAATTGCTTTTTTTTTTAAGAATTATGATCCTAAATTATACTTCACCTTACAAACTCTGGCAATTTGGGATGATTTCATTTGTCTAGTAATCGTTAGCCCATATCAACTTTTTGCTGAAGTTGATATCAGCCTCAACACATCTACATTTGATAGCAGCTCGATCATAAGCTCTGCATATACATAAAACATAGAAATTTATTCATTTACAAATCCTAATAAAAAACAAAGCTGAAGATTTGAGCTACAAAAATCACCTAGCTGCAACATGAGAAGTGTCCAAACCACCTATACGGCTATACATGAAGCAACAAAAAAGTTAAAAAAGTTTATAAATGAAGAACTTGTTCTAAGCAACGATTATCATTGTCAAATCAATTGAAATTACACAGAACATAGAAATCTACGATGAAAAACAGAGAACAATACAAACCTCGAGATACTCCGCTGGAAAGAAGTGAAAGAACGATTCCAGTTAAGAAAGTTAGAAGAAAGCATCAGTGCGCTAGATTAAAATGTGAAGAGACATGATCTTTTAGGTAACTGAATGGCGGAAGCTGGGGATCTGTAAGGAGAGACCGGAAATGAACATCCTGCAAAAGCAAGCACCACTGTCTTGGAAGGCCAACAATCTTCACAGTACGTGACAGAATCTGATTCGGTGAAACGGAACAATTATTCTCCACCATCTGTTGATGTAGCAGAAACGTTCTCTACAAAAGAGAGTGGTGCTTCAAGAGATGCTCCAAGGAAAATATCTGAGGGCGACTTGCAGGATGTCAAATTCTCAAAAATTTCTCAAAAATCTCCGAACAACAAAGCCAAATTCCCAAGCAAAATAACAAAGAACCTCAACCCTAATCTCGTTAAGCAAAAAACCACAAACCTCAACGAAATTGGTGAATTTCGAGTCGCGATTCACTACCAGTCCATGAACCTGAGAGAAATGAAGAGTCAGAGAAAAACATAAGATGAGAAGAAGCACAAGCGAGAGAGTAGAGGGAGAAGAATTGAAAATGAACCTCGTATTCGACTTTGTGTTTCTCCGACTCTTTGAGATTGGCAAGACTTGTCTGTTCTGCAATAGTATGAATCGGATCTGGAAAAGTGGATAAAGAACTCGAGAGAAATAGATTAGAAATGGGAATCATAAATCAAATTCGGAGAGAAATGGAGAAGAATCGTAAGAGAAGGAGACGAAGAGGCGAAGACGCTGAATCGATTCAAGTGCTTAGAAATTATATGGGCTCAGAGGCCCAAACTTTATAGTGATGACGTGGAAGTTTTATAGCTCTCCTCAGAAATTGTGAAGCGAAGTTTTTTTTATGTAAGATGCCACGTGGCATTCAAAGGGAGAATCTCTGAGGTGCTCTGAGAGAACCCAAACAGGTGTTTTAAATTAGTAAAGATATCATTTTAAAGTAATACTTAAATCCATTTTTTAATATGTATATGGATTGTCGATTATTTAACAAAATGACACAGGCGACGGCGGAAGCGATCTCCAGATCTAGGCTTTAGATATGCTTTTCAGACAAGTTTCGGTGGAATTTTCGGTTTTTCTACGGGTTCATCGGTATTTGGAGAGGGGATCTCATCAAATCTCCTCCTCTAATGAAAGTCCTCACACGTATTTTTTCAGATCGGAGAAAGATCTCACAATAAAAATTATTTGGGAGTCTGACATGCAGATCGATCGGATCTTGCTGATGATTCGAGTGATATACTATGGTTTCAAAGACGGATCCCTGGGCGATGGCGATGGCGTCATTGGAAATCTCGGAATCTTTTTCGGATTGGATTTGTGTGGCGGTTTAAGGCATTCTCTTTCGGCCAAGACTCGGGGTTATGGAGGAGGTTTCGATCGATCCGACGGATCGGGTGTGGGGTCGATTGAAATTGAGAAATCTGTGAGGTCCCACTTATTATTGATGAGGAATGGAGAGAGGAGAAAGAAGGATACGGATCCGTTTGATTCGAATCATTTGGATGGTGAATCGTATCTCGGTTATGTGCATCGAAGATCTCGGAAGAATTGCTCTTGGAAGGAAGAAGTGGTCGGTCGGAAACCAAAGGAAAATGGGGTTAACTCTTTCATCCGATTTAGGAAAAATCACAGTAATGGGGGATCACCGGAGACCCATGCGATTCGATTTCAAATTTTGTTAAAGGTAATTCACTTTTCCGGAAGTATACAATGGGTTTTTTCAAGGAAAGTTGGGGATTCTCTGATTGATTGGAGGGATTTCGGGATTGATTCACACGGATTTTCGGGATTAATGATTGATATCACACCTCAGTATAAGAAGACATCGGAAAATAGCGGAAATACGCATTCATCTCTTTCGCTCTGTTTCTCTAGTTTGTGTCTTCTACAAGCTTGTCTCTTTGGTTCTTGTTTTAGCTTTAACACAACTCTGTGTTTTTGCGTTCTCGTGCAAGGAATCCTAATGGCTCAAGGTGGTTTAATCGGTGACGGTGCTTCAAGCAAGGGAAACAAGAGCTCTGCCGCTCGGTTGAAGATAACTGTGCCACGCTTTGACAACACGGTCTTGATCAGGGGCTACTCCCGGACTCTGATAGGCCGGTGCATGAATCCGGCGGCTCAAGACGTGCAAGCCTTGTTACATCACATGCCACGGTTCTGGAAGATGGAGGATAGAGTGGCGAGTGCGGATCTGGGAATGGGAAGATTCCAGTTCGATTTCGATAGTGAAGAGGATATCGCAGAGGTTTTTAAGCTAGAGCCGTTCCACTTTGATTACTGGATGGTGTCACTAGTGAGGTGGGAACCGATTGTGGATCCTGCTTACCCGTCGGTGATAAAGTTTTGGGTGCGTATGATGGGGATTCCACTCCATTTCTGGGCAGGAACCTACATTCCGGTGTATCGGGGAAGCCATTGGTGAGGTGGAGGACGTGGATATTGATGGAGGAAGGGTTCGGGTGTGCTTAGATGGGTACAAGCCACTCATCTTTGAGACATCGGTGGAGTTCCACAGTGGAGAGGAGACAGTGGTGACTCTGCGTTATGAACGACTCTTTGGCTATTGCCGGGAGTGCTTCAGCCTGTGTCACGATGTGGTGCAATGTCCGGCTCTCCGCAGGGCCAGAGAAGAGAGGGAAAATCAGAAGAGGCGGGAAGAAAAGCCCGATGGAGGCCCTATGAGTTACAAGGGAGTGGTCATTAATGGACCGAGGGAGGAGAATGGGAATGGGAGGCAGTCACACACCCATGTTGGTAGTGGTGGTGATTTGAAGGGGAAGGGGAAAGTGGTGGAAAACAGAGACGAGAGAGCTAAAAGACAGGCTGTGTTTCGGGGCAATGGGAAGCATGGCGGAGAAAGTTCAGGAGGCCAGAGGAAACCAGTGGGACATGTACCACCAGAGCAGAGGAAGCGGATCAACAGACCCACAGCTCCGGCTAGAAGCATGATGGCTCCATTGTTGATTTCCACAGCGCCGGGGAACAGAGATCCAAGTCCAAACCAACATTCCGCCAAAAAGGTGCGTAAAGCCATTGATTTCACGACAGCGGTTGCGGGTCTTGATGAGAATGGAAATCAGCAAGAGGAAACGGGGGTTGAGCAAGTGGCGGAAAATGATGTTCCCGTGACCACTTTGGGGAACCAAGAGGAGGCGGTTCAAGAGGAGGGCGAGGAAGGAGAACTCTGGTGGAATGAAGTGATTGAGGAGGAGGAAGCGGAGAAGTTAGAAGAGGAGATGGCGGATCAGGTGGAACAGCGAGAAATCACTGATATGCAAGTTGACGGGAGTGAAAAACTGGAGACTCTAGTCGGTGTGGAGCAATTTGTGGAGTTGGAAGCAAAGGAGGTGGGGAAGGGTAAACAAGGGATGGAGAGGAAAACAGGGGCAAAGAAGAAAGTGTTTCGGACTGCAGTCGGTGTTGGAGGAGGTCCACTCCGGCGTGTTGTTCATGGTGCTAAAACACCGAAACGCAAGACGACTGTCAAAGGGGACAAAGGAGACAAGGTGATCGGGAAGGATAAGGAGACGGAGGGAGATCCATCGGAGGGGTCTGAGACCACAAACAAACTTGTTTAATGCGTGTACTCAGTTGGAACTGCCAAGGCCTCGGGAACAGGTTTACAATAAGCTACCTTCGGGAAATATGGTGGAAATTCAGACCAGAGTTTCTATTTCTTTCTGAAACAAAGCAAAACTCTTTTTTTGCAACAATTTCAATTTCATTTTGGTTTTGATAATTTGTATACGGTTGACCCATGTGGCACAAGTGGTGGTCTAGCCTTATTTTATAATAATAATTTTAATGTTTCAATTGTTTCTTCTTCAAAGAATTTAATTGACACACAAGTAACCATTGAAGGAAAAACTATGTTTATGTCATTTGTTTATGGAAATCCGGTTCCAAAATTAAGGGATTATTTATGGGAAAAACTTACAAGAATAGGAATTACAAGAGATGAGCCTTGGTTTTTAATTGGTGACTTTAATGAAATTACGGGAAATCATGAAAAACAAGGAGGAGCAATTCGGTATGCTTCGACCTTTATGTCTTTTAATCTTATGATAGATGATTGCGGTTTGGTAGATTTTCCGAATCATGGCAATACTTTATCGTGGCGAGGGAGGCGATGGGGAAAAATTGTACGGTGTCGATTGGATAGGGCTTTAGCTACAGAAGATTGGCATGATTTTTTCCGAAGTCACATGTAGAGTATTTAAAAATGGTGGGATCGGATCATCGACCCATCTTGGCAACTATAGATAATAAACGCTCAAAAGGTCGTCGACAATTTAGGTTTGATAAACGATGGATCGGTCAAGATGGGTTTTCTGCAGCCATTGAACGAGGATGGACGGATCACAAGAAGGAGGGGGAGTCCAAATTAGTAGATTTAATTAGCGGATGTCGTCATGAAATCTCGAAGTGGCGACATGTTACGAAACCATATGGAAAAGAGAAGATTGCAGAGTTACAGAGAGCCTTAGAGGAAATTCAGAATGATGATAGTCGGACGCAGGAGGATCTCATCGAAATTACTCAAAAATTAAAGGACGCGTATAGGGATGAAGAACAATTTTGGAAGCAAAAAAGTCGAAACCTCTGGCTCAAAGATGGAGATTTAAATACTAAATTTTACCATGCAACGACGAAACAACGTCGGGCCATAAATCGATTGGTGGGCTTACATAACAAAACAGATGTCTGGGTTACGGGAGACAAAGAGATGGAAAAGGTGGCGGTTGATTATTTTTCAGAGCTATTTACAACTACAGCACCGGATGACTTCACAGAGATACTAGAGGGGATTCCAGGTTTAATTTCGGATACGGATAACGCCCTGTTAACAAAGCCAGCAACCGAAGAGGAAGTACGGGCCGCATTGTTTTTGATGCATCCCGAAAAAGCACCGGGGCCGGATGGGATGACAGCTTTGTTTTTCCAACGGTCATGGCCGTTAGTAAAGACGGATGTCTTGGGGTTTATAAATGATTTTTTAGTTTCGGGAATCTTTGATGATAGGTTAAATATGACAAATATATGCCTAATTCCAAAGACAGAGCGACCAACTCGCATGACAGAGCTTCGGCCAATCAGTTTATGTAATGTGGGGTATAAGATCATTTCAAAGGTATTATGTGAGAGGTTGAAGAAGGTGCTATCACAATTGATTTCTGAAACCCAATCGGCTTTCGTCCCGGGAAGACTTATTTCCGATAACATTTTGATAGCACAAGAAATGTTTCATGGGTTACGTACCAATAAGTCCTGCAAAGGAAAATTTATGGCAGTTAAAACGGATATGAGCAAAGCGTATGATCGGGTAGAGTGGCAATTTATTGAGGCAACAATGCGGAAAATGGGATTTGCAGAACAATGGGTTAGCTGGATTATGCGATGTATTAAATCGGTTGAATATAAGGTCCTCATTAATGGACAACCACGCGGTAAAATTGTTCCTAATAGAGGTCTAAGACAGGGGGATCCATTATCCCCGTATTTATTTATTCTTTGTACAGAGGTTTTAATATCCAATCTCCAGACGGCGGAAAGGAAAAAAACTCTAACGGGCTTAAAGGTGGCCCGTGCGTGTCCACCTGTGTCACACTTATTGTTTGCGGATGATAGTTTATTTTTCTGTAAGGCGACAGTGGAAGAGAGTGGGGCTCTTTTAAAGATTCTAAAAGATTATGAACGGGTATCAGGACAAAAAATAAATTTTGATAAGTCTTCTATCCAGTTCGGTCATACAGTGGACACCATGGTGCGCTCAGAAATCCATCAATTATTGGGGATTCATAAGGTGGGAGGTATTGGAAATTATCTAGGCATACCAGAGAGTTTAGGGGGGGAAAGACAAAGATTTTTAGCTTTCTCATTGATAGGCAACAAAAGAGAATAAACGGATGGACCTCAAAGACTCTGTCTAAAGGGGGCAAAGAGGTGATGATCAAGTCAGTGTTATCGGCGATGCCTACACACGTTATGTCATGTTTTCGGTTGCCCAAAGGGGTCACTAATAAACTTACAAGTGCGGTAGCAAATTTCTGGTGGAGTACAAATTCTGAAACTCGGGGAATGCATTGGCTGGCATGGAGAAAATTGTGTCGTCACAAGAGTGATGGGGGTTTAGGTTTTCGGATTATTGAGGATTTTAATACAGCTTTACTAGCGAAACAGTTATGGCGTCTACTAGACAAGCCGGACTCACTTTTTGCGAAAGTTTTTAAGGGGAGATACTATCGGAATTCTACTCCCCTAGATCCAATACGATCTTACTCCCCGTCCTATGGATGGCAGAGTATCATCTCAGCTCGATCTCTGGTAAATAAAGGGCTCATTAAAAGGGTTGGCTGCGGATCTTCCATCTCTGTATGGTATGATCCATGGATTACCGACGCTCGCCGAGGTCAGCTATTTGTGCAGGAATTAATTACTATCCCCACTTGATGGTGAACCAGTTAATTAATTCCCAGTCATCAACGTGGAATATTCCACTATTAAAGCAATTGTTCGAAAGTGCAGAAGTTACTCGGATTACGGGCATTACAATTGCAACCGGGTACAAACCAGACACTTGTGGATGGATGTTTACAAAAACGGGACGATACACGGTTAAATCGGGGTATAGCGTTTTACAGGATTTCCCAGATGAGGAGGTGCCTCTGGTCTTTGGACCAGATGTCAGGCGGCTGCAAGCACATGCATGGAAAGTAAAATGTACTACCAAACTTCAACACTTTCTTTGGCAGATTATCACGGGATGTCTTTCGGTTGGCGCCCGTTTAAGTAGTCGGGGAATCCGAGTGGATCCTTTATGCGTGAGATGTGGTATGGGAGATGAGACGATTAACCATATGTTATTTGAATGCCCACCAGCCCGCCAGGCTTGGGCGCTATCCCCTATTCCAACGCCTCCCTGTTTTCCTACTGGGGCTTTGTTCTCAAACATGGCCCATCTCTTCTGGAGCCTCCCAGAGGCTGATGACATGATGATCTACCCATGGTTACTATGGTTTATTTGGAAGGCGCGGAATTATAAAGTTTTTTCAAATGATGATCATGACCCGCGAGAGGTTTTAGAGTCTGCGATAACAGAAGCCCGTGCATGGGCTTCTGCACAAACGGTTCTGAACCAGTCCGGTTCTTTCCGGCAAACAACACCGCGATCCCGATATCGGGTGAATGGTGTCAAGTTGATGGGGCGTGGAAGGAGACAGAATGTCGTGCAGGGCTTGGTTGGTATAATTTCGATCCAAGTTCAGGATCAATTCTGGTGGGTTCCTGTAATTTACGGCGGATTTATCCCCCTTGCAAACAGAATTGGAGGCTTTGGTGTGGGCCATGCAACTCATGCTGGTTCATAACAAACGGCAAATGAATTTTCAAACAGATTGCGCTGAACTGGTGAAGATGGTGGCGAAACCTGAAGACTGGCCGGCGTTCGAGGCTTTGCTCGAGGAGGTGGAGAAGTGCAAACGGAAGTTCCATGTTTTCTCCCTCACCCACATTCCAAGGACGAAGAACACAAAGGCAGACAAGCTAGCACGAAGTGCTCGAGATCAGCCTTATGATGTGTATTATGTAAACTCAATTCCACCGGTTACGCTCCCCGTACCGTGATAGGAATTTAGGCTGTCGACAAAAAAAAAAAAAAAAAATATATATATATATATATATATATATATATATGGATTATGGATATTTTTCTTCTTCTTGAAGGTCTTCAAATTTTGGCGGTTTAAGATTTGCGTCGGTGTTAGTGAAAGAAAAGAAATAAAAAGTAATTATTTACTTATATAGCCCTGAAGATGTCTTAAAACCAAAATTATGTTAATACACTACCGTAAGTACTGTTTGTGATATATGAAACTTAAAAATTACCCGGGTAACATCTCCACTAGTGTACTGGGTAGATCGGTTTACCCGGTTTAATTCTTAAATCAAACTAATTGCTCCTAACCAGTTTGTCAACTCGGTTTTCAGTGAAGAGTAAAGACTAAACCAGCTTCTCCAACTCCTGTAACCTTCATGATCACACTATTCACAAGCATATAACCATAAAAAGTTAAAAACAAAGAGTAAACAAACGTCCAGATTTAAATATAAGAAAAAAAAAACAAATTATCAGATCATAACAAAATTGGTGGGATAGAACGAAACCGTGAAACTCGTTTTTTGGAGATGGTACTGAGATAGGAAGAAGATTTATCTTGCCATTGAGAGAGAAGCATCTTGGACATAAACAAAGCTTTCGTATCGAAATACACATGCCGATCTTCGAATGTCTCCTTGATTCTATTACAAAGGTTCTTGGTTGTTTATTCTATTGGTCTTTCTTTGTTTTATAAAATTCATCTTGATTGTATAAGGAACTCGTTGATGCTAAATCGCTGAAGAATGCCATCTATAAGGTCTAGTACATCAAACATGAAACTAGACGTACATTGATCACTTGTTTAAACTCTCAAGAGAACAATGAAGGTCTTAATAATCATCATGTGTTTTGGTCTCTTCTTGTAGAACTTGTCTTTGTTCAAATTAGAGCTATTATCTTATTACAAAGTCGCTGGATTGGCCTCTAATATCGACAGAGATTGGTTTATCCACTTTCATTAATCCATGTAAACAAAGCAGTAAATGGTAATTTTGTGTCATAGGTAAAAGATTTGATGTAATGTTTAAGAAAAAGAGTTGTAATTTAAAAAAACATTCATTATATATTCACATCTTACAAAACACAAAAAAGGAAGAAAATAAATCATCAGCATCAGTTTCTTTTTGTCAATTTACAACAAATTTTGCGTTAATATAAAACAATTTACATTCGATAAGCGAACGAGTGAATTTTTTTGTTTTTACATTCGTGGAGTATATTCCTAACTTCCGTTACCTAAGAAAGACCTCGCCTTGTGGGACCCACTGACAGAGTAAAAAAAATATAAATATGAGGAAAAGTAAAATTAAAAATTGAAAGCAAAGTGTGGATCAAACGAGTCACGAAGAAGATATCAATCGTCTCTTAGAAATAAACAAAAGTAAGAATACGAATGAGCAAGTATTTGCAGTTCAAATGACAAAAAAACCTCCCTTGATTCTGAGAATCATCCCATACTTCGATCCTGTTTCGGTTCCCAAGGATTCAAAAGCGGAAGACGAACCATTTCTCCGATTTCTGTAATCGAAAGTTTACTTTTTTTTTCTCCATTTTTTCGTCGTTAGGGTTCTATCAATTTCGCCGATAAAATCGTAATAAACAAAACAAAAACAAAAAATCAGTGAAAAGAGAAGACTTCGAAGTGAAAAGGAGCGACACAAGCCAAGGAAAGAGTCGGTGGTGACTTTGATTAGGTAATGATGCTTACTGGGTTAAATTTCATAGTTCGTAACTTCGTATACTCTGTTCTGGGCTTATGCGTTTACTCTCTGAGACGGATTTGATCATCTAGCACTATATCAATGATTCTGGGTTTTGACGAATTTCGTTCAATTGATCATATGCGGAATCAGTAGAGTGTTTAACCAAATTTGAATGATTTGGTTGTTGAACAGTGAGTGATAGTGAATTGGTTTTCAAAATTTTGATTCCCAGGAACAGTTTTGCTCAATCATTTGGCTAAAAAAGGTAAAAAAAGGATGTCATCTTCACAAAACAGGAGCGGCAGCAATTCGGAGAGTGCAAAAGCAGAACAGATCATATTCGAGTTCTTCGCGAAAAGCCTCCACATAATCCTCGAATCAAGGACTCCTTTCATGTCCTCAAGGAACTTCAGCGGCGACCAGATGGTATGTTCCTCTTCCTCGTCTTCCTCCTCTTCCTCAAGCGTCAGGCCTCGGGACAAATGGTTCAACCTAGCCCTCAGGGAATGTCCTGCAGCGTTAGAGAGTTTCGACATCGGCCGACGAAGCAGCCTCGAGCCTCTGGTTGTTAATGTGGTTCTTGTGGCTAGCCCGTTCGCTACCGATCAGATTGGGAAAAGAGAGCTTATCAGGAACTTCTCCGGTGGGTGGAGCTCTGATCAAGACGAAATGGGATGTGAGAGCAAGAACGAGCAGATCATTGAGAGATGGATTGTGCAGTATGATAACAGGAAGGTTAGAGAATCTGCTACTACTACTAGCAGCAGGAGGTCAAGCAGTAGTAACAGCAAGCTGCAAGTGATGTACAAGAAAGCAACTTTGCTTCTGAGGTCTTTGTTTGTCATGGTTAGGCTCTTACCTGCTTACAAGATCTTCAGGGAACTCAACTCCTCTGGACAGATCTTCAAGTTCAAGCTTGTTCCTAGAGTGCCTTCCATCGTTGAGCCCTTCACTCGTAGAGAAGAGGCGGAGATGCAGAGGTTTGCCTTCACGCCTGTTGAGACTCTCTGCGGTAGGCTTTGCTTGTCTGTGTTGTACCGTTCTCTCTCTGATGTGAGCTGCGAGCATTCGACTCCCATGTCTCCGACGTTTATAACTGATTACGTTGGAAGTCCTCTGGCTGATCCGTTGAAGAGGTTCCCTTCTCTTCCTCTCTCGTACGGTTCGCCTCCGTTGCTGCCGTTTCAGAGGCGGCATAGCTGGAGTTTCGACCGTTACAAGGCCTCTCCTCCGCCTTCGGTTTCTTGCTCACCGTCGCCTACGCATTCGGATTTGCATGGAGCGTTGGTTTCGAATCCTTGTTCTCGTCGTCTTCCTCCTCATCCTTGTGATATACCAACTGGTCGTAGGAAGGAGTGCTACGTCGAAGAGTGTCAAGATTTCTCCCCTCCTTGCTCTCCTTCAGGAGCTATACACGCTGTCACAAGAGGCATCACTCGTACTGAGAGCGCTCCAGTGAGAATCCCAGCTCCTAGTTTCCAGTCCAAACAGAATAATGTGGTGGCGCCTTCTCCGAATTTGAAACTGTCGAGGCACGCTTCTTTGAAGCCTGTGAGAAGCTCTGGTGTTGTTGAATCTGGAGGGGCGTTGGAGAAGGTTACAAAACTGACTCCACTAGTCTTTATCTTTATGTGAGCGAACGAGTAAACTCAGGTGTTTTTGTTTTCTTGATTAGCAGTTTCTTTATGGGAGAGAAGACTTTAGGAGGAACTCTGGAGTGAGGCTATCGTCCAACAGCTCACCGAGGATATCATTTTCTCGGAGTTCCAGTAGGTCTTTCCAAGATGATTTTGATGATAATGATTTCCCTTGCCCGTTTGATGTTGAGGATGATGATATTACAGATCGTAGCAGCAGGTATGATCGTCTCTCTATTGCTTTTACCTCTCACTGTATAGCTTCCAAAGAAGAAGTAATTTTGCCCTAAGAAGCTTGTTCATGTTGCTTTCTAACTATTAGATCCAAATGATTATTTCAAAAGCTCAAAGTTGTTTTGGAAATGGTTTGATTGCCTTGGTTTCAGACCGGGCTCTTACGACCAGAGAGGAGATATACCTGAACCAACACATGAGCCAAGCGGGTCATACCCAAAGAAGTCACAAGATGCTGCAGTTGGTGCTCTTGTGAGTATGCTGAAGAAAGCTCCACCTCTTAGACAAGATGTCTCTATAACTGAAGTTTCCTGGAACAACAACAACAGCAACAACAACAAACCGGCTCGGGGTCAGGAGGCAGCAGCAGCGTCGATCACAGCCTCGGGGCTTGCTCTGGCTTCAAAGACAACAGCTGATGCCTTGGAGGAGCTGAGATCTTACAAGGAAATGAAGAATGTGTTGCTTAGCCAATCCGCAATGGACACTTCCTCGGTTAACACTACTACTACTTAACCCTTTGCTGTTTCAGAATCTTGACCCGTTTTTTTGGGTTCCGTATTGGTTTTGGGTTTGGTTTTGATGTAAATATATATGCAGTATCAAGCTCTCGAGTGTTTGGATGATATTGGTCTGTATCCATGTAAATAAACTTATACCTAAAAATGAAAAACAATGTAAATAAAGTAAAAACACCTATATACCTATAAGAGTCGAATATTCTAAAATCTTTATTGTGTTGCTGTCTGATCTCAACTGTATTAACAAAAGCTTTCAAGTTTCAACTGTACAATTTTTCTTGGGGAATTACTTTTTCAAATTTTGTTAAACTGTAAGAGAGAGACTTCTCAGTTCTCAGATAAAATAAATAAATGATATTTGATGAAACGTTGTCGTTTCGAGGAAAGAAAACATCGGCACTCGTCGGCGAATCTGTCGAGAGACTAAAACCCTAAAGTAAAGTCGACAGAGAGTGCAAAACTAATCTGTTTTCTAATTTTCACGGTGGTCTCGTTGGAAGGAAGATCGAAATGCCGCTCTACGACTGTATGCTTCTGTTCAAGCCAATTGTTCGGAAGGAAGGCCTCATCGAGCTCGTCGCGCGAATCGGGAAACACGTTTACAATAGAAATGGCGTCCTCACCGAGGTCAAATCCTTTGGCAAGGTCGAATTGGGTTACGGTATTCGGAAGCTCGACGGAAGACACTATCAGGTAACACTATTTCTGAATTGCTGAATTGATTGATTTTACGAGTCCGTTGATTTAGATCAGGAATTCCATTTCCCAGGTTTAGGCTCAAAAAGCATTTTGTTTTGCATCTATTTGATGGATTCGTATGGTTAAAGAGCTAGATTAGGGTGCAGTCATTGATTCTCATGCTCGATACGATCCTGGATTGCAGTGTACAATTTGGGACAACATGTCCTCAAAAATTCCTTTGAAATATATTTAGTTCGCCCCAAAAGTATAGTTTTGAGCTGAATTCTTGAAGCAACATGGTCAGACTGTGAATACCTTATCCTTAAAAGTCACAAACGTTCTTGATTCACGGTTCACCTAGTTAAACTTATACTTCGTCTATATGATTCAAGAAAATCCGGATGAAGATAACACAACAGCTAGGATTCTAGAATTGTTACGACCGGGAAAACTTGTCCAAAGAGTTTGATTGTGATTTGGATCTTCAGCGTGGAGTTTTATTATCAGTTTGATGCATTAACTGAGGAAAGATAGCTGTAGGATTTGCTTATATTTGTAGAGTATCAGTACAAGCTTTTGACAGAATCTTCATACAGTGAATCTTGAAGACACATCTTTTGTTTGTTAGCTTCTCTATCACAAGTTGGCTTAGTACCATTTTCTTGCTTGGAGTTTTGAGTGTTATTATATAATAACCTCTCACTTAATCGTATTGGTGTGTATCGCAGGGACAACTGATGCAGATAACAATGATGGCAACTCCAAACATGAACAAGGAGCTTCACTACCTCAACAAAGAAGACAAACTTCTGCGCTGGCTCCTCGTTAAACACCGTGGCATTGAGATTGGATCAACGGAGCGTGAAGATGAGTCTAACAGACTTACTAATACCACCACATTTGATGAATCTTCATCTGACGAAGACGACGATATTTTTAGGTTAACGCGATGATGAGCAGAATAAATCTTTTACTTTGGAAAGTTTACTCAGACCAGAAGATGTCTTCATGAGAGTCTCTTCCCATCTTTCTCTTATGGTTTGTTGATTGTCTTTGGTATTTTGAACTCAGACGACAATGAAAAATAAATTAGTTATGTAATAATAATTTTCTTTCTTCTAAGAAGATGTGGTTATTTACGTAACGTTAGCAATTGGCTGATACACCAGAATTAAATGCCACGTGTATTGACACGTCATCTTTGCATAGAAAAGAGCGATTGCTCTGTTTTTAGAAGTACTTGAATTATCATTTTAATTTTGAGGAGAAAAACAAAGGTGGTGGTTCGTGATTAACTTGACAAACACTTGTTCTGTTCTCCATTGTCGCTCCGTTTCTTCATCCATCGATTTCTCAATTAGGGTCGGATCATTTTCTCTCATTGTTTCTTCTCCTTCTCCTTTTTCGTCTCACGTTGGCAATTTTATCATTGAAAGATCAAAAAGCTACATTTCTCCAGGTAGAATCGAAGCTCAGAATCAAATACAAATTTTGCTCGATTTTTGTAAACTTTCATCCCTCTTTTGGGCGTTATAATATTTCCATCGTGTGTTTTGTGTGCATGGACGTGAATGGAACATAGGTCTGTCTCTCAATTTGCTTATGTGGATGTTCTTTTTGACATTTTTAGTTACATTTCTCTTCACAAATTATGAAATGATTCATGGTAATTGTCGAGTGTGAATAAATATCGACGGAATGCAATCTGGAAAGAAGAAGAAGAATCTTGGATTTTTTTTAAGAAATTGATGTCACAACCTAAGTTTTCACGAGCTTCACATGATTATTCGTTTTTTTTTTTCTTGTCTTGATCTGAGCAAATTAATTAAAGGATGAGAAGTTTCAAATTTTATCCCAAACATAAAGCTGGATTTTGTTAAGCTTGTATTAGCGTTCTGGATATCTTTGAATATTCTTTAAAGATTCTGTGTTTTTTTCTTTCTTTTCTGAGATTGTTTGTGTTGTAAGCTTGCAGGTTGATATACTTTTCAAGGTATAGAAAAGTATGGATTGTTCAGAGGATTCTTCTGTACTTCAAGAGCCTCCTGACCCCGAAGTGCTCGAAGTTGATCCAACTTATCGATATATACGGGTATGAGCACGATCCATCTCTTTTTTTTTTTGCATCTCAAATGTTAAAGGCTTGAGTAAAATATTGAGTGGTGATTTAGATATCTTTATGTTGTTAACCAATTTAATTATGGACCTTTCAGTATAAAGAGGTTATTGGAAAAGGCGCATTCAAGACTGTGTATCCTTCTCTGTTTATTTCTTGATATCAAAATGCTTCCTAGACATACTCATTAATCATGTTAGTGTAAGAAACTCTTTAATTTATGTTATGCATACTTCTTGGTTTTGTAACCTTAACTCAAAGAAACCAGTTATAAGGCGTTTGATGAAGTAGATGGAATCGAAGTAGCGTGGAACCAAGTACGAATAGATGATGTTTTGCAGTCACCGAATTCTCTAGAGAGGCTTTATTCCGAAGTGCGTCTTTTGAAATCATTGAAACACGGCAATATCATTAGGTTCTATAACTCATGGATCGATGACAAGAACAAGACTGTCAACATAATCACTGAGCTTTTCACTTCTGGGAGTCTCCGACAGTATGTATCTATCTATCTCCCTTCCTCTCTACCACACAACACAAATGTCTTCTGTTGAGTTTTAAGCAAATCTTTTTGGTTTACTTTTTAGCTACCGTAAGAAACACAGAAAGGTGAATATGAAGGCAGTGAAATGTTGGGCGAGACAGATTTTAACAGGGTTGAGATATCTTCACAGTCAAGAGCCGCCTATTATACATCGTGACCTCAAATGTGATAACATTTTCATCAATGGAAACCATGGAGAAGTCAAAATAGGTGATCTTGGTCTTGCCACTGTCATGGAGCAAGCAAATGCCAAAAGTGTCATTGGTATAGTTTCTTGTTTCTTGATGTTGCTTGCCTTTTCCACATTTCTGCTTTAAACAAATCTTTAAAGAAAAGACTATAACTTATGTTACCAACAGGAACACCAGAGTTTATGGCACCGGAGCTATACGATGAGAACTACAACGAGCTGGCTGATATATATTCATTTGGGATGTGTATGTTGGAGATGGTGACATTTGAATACCCTTACTGTGAATGCAAAAACTCTGCTCAGATTTACAAGAAGGTCTCATCGGTGAGTTAAAGCAACAAAACTCATATATATTCCATTTTTTTTTTTTTGACAAGATTTTAACAGAATCTCTGTTTCTTGTATGTCAAGGGAATAAAACCTGCTTCACTCTCTAGGGTTCAAGACCAAGAAGTGAAGCAGTTTATTGAGAAATGCTTACTTCCTGCATCCGAGAGGTCATCAGCAAAAGATCTTCTCTTGGACCCTTTTCTTCAGGTGAATGGTTTAACGATGAACAACCCTTTGCCACTTCCGGACATTGTAATGCCCAAAGAAGGTGCGTTTGGAGAGCGTTGCCTTATGTCTGAAGGCCCTCCTACAGCAAGGCGTAGCATACCCATGTCTATAGATCTCGATGAAGACAATAACCTTCCCATTGTTACTTACAGCGAAAACTCAGGATCCAGGTGTATTGAGGTTAGACGCGCAAAGAGAGGGAACTTCTTTGTTCTCAAGGGTGAAGAAAACGATGAACACTCTGTCTCACTGATTCTTCGTATAGTAGATGAGAATGGTGAGCCATTTCTAGTCCATTTCCACTTGTATATATAATCAGTTGCTTTTTCCACAATATAAAGCTTAATGTTTCTTTGTTGTAGGACGTGTGAGGAACATTCATTTCTTGTTCTATCAAGAAGGTGACACTGCTTCTAAGGTGTCGAGTGAGATGGTTGAGCAACTCGAGCTAACTGATCAGAACGTCACGTTTATAGCCGAACTGATCGATATATTACTGGTGAACATGATACCAACTTGGGAAACCGATGTGACGGTGGATCATCTCATCCATTCGCAGCTGAATCAGAGCTCAAGAAGTCATCACAGTGAAGCCAAGGCACAGAGGCAAGAGGAGCCTGCTTTTCATGATGCTTGTGAGTCGGTTAGTCACTCTTGGGCATCGGATTGCCCAAGATCAGATGAGGAAGATAAGCAGTGTGTTGATGCAAGTAAAGGAGAAGAAGAAGAAGAAGAAGAAGAGGCAACAGAACCGGTAAGTTTGGAGGAAGAGGAAAGTTTGAGACAGCAACTTGAGGAGATAGAAGCTAAGTATGAAGAAGAGATGAAAGAGATAGGAAAGAAAAGAGAAGAAGCAATAATGGAGACGAAGAAAAAGCTGTCGCAGAAGAAGGTGGAACAAGCTGATTAAAGAGGCATGAACAAACCAAAGACCTAATTAGTTGTTTGTTTTTTCTTTTCTGAGTTAGCTTGTTTCTTGAAGAAGAAGCATTTCTCTGCTTATCTTGTCTTTTTATAGCTGGTTTAAGATTTTTGATTTGGTCGGATGTTAGAACATAACAAGGATGATGTGAGAATGTTGGAGATGGTCTTCATTTTTTTTTTGGCCCATTGTAGAAACCATGATGATGTGATTAAACATATAAATAACTAGAGAATGACAAATTAACGAATAGTTCAAACTGTTCAATAAAAGATTAAGCCTTTTATTAACATTAATACCAACAAAATAAAAAGATTGAGCATTTCCTGTTTAATGGGGACGAAATCTTCATTAGTCATATAAGGAAGAGTTTAGAAACCAAAACAACATCTAACATTCAAGTCTTTGATGAACATAAGAGGAGCAGATAGAAGCGCTGCAATTTGAATTAATGGGCCTTATTGGGCCTATATCGAAACCCATCTTATTTGCCGACCATACAAAACCGGGAAATCGTGGAAAATGCAGAACCGTCGGATTCAAATATCCAACGATCAGTGAAAATCTATCCGTTGGAAGCGTGTGGCGATATATACATCAATTAAGCTTACCGAAGAAAAATTTCCAGCCCCAATTCTTCACCTCCAAAGGTATTTTCTCCTAAATTTTCTGTGTTCTTCTTCTTCTTCTTCTTCTTCTTCATTCCACGAATTCTCTCGATTTCAACACGAAAACTCCATTACTCTCTTACGATTTGTACGCTTTTCGATTTCTCTTGATCGCGATTTTGTTTTACCGCTTCTAGGATCTCGAAGTCTCGTGTGCTTACTGCTTAGATCTTGTTTAGGTTTTTCATAATTTGATTCCGCTTGAAATTGATGCAATCGATTGGGTTTTTTCCTCATCCTCTTCGCGAAATTCTGATTTATGGTTTTCAAGTTTCCTAATCGTTTCACATTTTAATTTTTCTGTAAAGAATTTCATGAGGCACTCTGTTAGGGTTTTCACGTTTCGTCGCAAATTTACTTTCTTTGAGAACAGAATCGACAGACGCATAAGATTAGTTCTCGTCCGTGACATCTTATTTAGTTTTGCATATGCTAAGAGCAAAATTTTGTTGCAAGATTTAAGTCCCCGAGACCCGAGTGTTGACACTTGACACAATCCGTTCTTGGATTCCCTGAAGGTTTGGAGCATAATGGAGGTGGAGAAGTTCTCTTGACAGTTCCAAATGTCCAGACTTTAAATGTATGTAACTTCTTCATTTCTTTTTTCTCTTCCTCACTGCAAGCTTCATCGGGTTTTCTTATCTTTCACATCGTTGTTTCAGGCTGTTCGATGAATTGATGAAGGAAATGGTTGAATTTCTCTGGAGAAGTGTCTTCCGACTTTGAACATTCCATGAGATTCGCTGCCTGATGTTCACCTTCCCTCAAATCACAACACTGGCCCTCAAGCAGGTAAATAAGACACACGCAAGCACTAATCTAATAGTGTTTTGTCAGATTCGTATTTCGGGACATTGTCCTGTTGATTATAGTCTGTTGGTTGGTAGTGCATGCTCAAGAAAAAAGATGTTAAGAGGATGGAAATTGGAAAATAAGACACACGCAAGCACTAAGTTGAAACAAAGTTTCAAACCCAAATGAGATCACAGACAGGCACTTATCTATAGTGTTTTGTCAGATTCTTATTTGGGGACATTGTCCCGTTAACTATAGTCTATTGGTTGGTAGTGCATGCTCAAGAAAAAGATGTTAAGAGGATGGAAATTGGAAAAAGATTTCGGGACATTGTCCCGTTGATCATTGTCTGTTGGTTGGTAGTGCATGCTCAAGAGAAAGATGAAAGCGGACGGAAAATAAGACACACGAAGGCACTAATTTGAAACAAAGTTTTCAAACCCCAAAAGGGATCTTAGGCATGCACTAATCTAATAGTGTTTTGTCAGATTCTTATTTGGGGACACTGTCCCGTTGATCATAATCTGTTGGTTGGTAGTGCATGGTCAAGAAAAAGATGTTAGAGGATGGACAATAAGACACACGCAGGCACTTAGTTGAAACAAAGTTTCAAACCCAAATGAGATCACAAACATGCACTAATCTAATAGTGTTGTGCAGATTCTTATTTGGGGACATTGTCCCGTTAACTATAGTCTGTTGGTTGGTAGTGCATGCTCAAGAAAAAGATGTTAAGAGGATGGAAAATAAGACAAGCGACTGAAAAGTCTTAAGGCAAAAGACTAGTTCTCCACCCACCGCTTACAAAGTCTTTTAGACAGAAGACTATACACTAGTTTTTGGAATAAGACAACTGAAAGAAGTCAAACACACCGACTATAGAGCCAAGAGAGCTTAAAGAAGGTTTTTGAAATAAGACAACTGAAAGAAGTCTTTTAAAACACAAAGACTGAAGTGAAACAGAGACTATAAAACCAAGAGAGCTTATAAAAGGTTTTTGGAATAAGACAACTGAAAGAAGTCGTTAAGACACAAAGACTGAAACGAAAAGTGTCTCTATGTCCACAAGGCAAAAAGTTCTTAAACAGAGAACGACCAACGGCTTGAAAGAAGTTTGACAGAGACGATAGAGCCACGAGAGCTTATAGAAGAAGGTTACTGAAATAAGACAACTGAAAGAAGTCTTTAAGACACAAAGACTGAAACGAAAAGTGTCTCTATGTCCACAAGGCTTAAAGTTCTTAGATAGGGAACGACCAACGGCTTAAAAGAAGTTTGACAGAGACTAGAGCCAAGAGAGCTTATAGAAAGTTTTGAAATAAGACAACTGAAAGAAGTCTTTAAGACACAAAGACTGAAACGAAAAGTTTCTCTTTACTATGAATGACCACAAGGCTTAAAGTTCTTAAAAGAGAACGACCAGTGGCTTAAAAGAAGTTTAAGACGAGACTATAAAACCAAGAGAGCTTCTAGAAGGTTTCTGGAATAAGGCAACTGAAAGAAGTCTTTTAAGACAGAAAGACTGAAACAGAAACTCTCTTTACAATGAATGACCACAAGTCTTATAGTTCTTTAACAGCGAACGACCAACGGCTTAAAAGAAGTTGAAGACAGAGACTATAAAACCAAGAGAGCCTATAGAAGGTTTCTGGAATAAGACAACTGAAAGAAGTCTTTAAGAGACACAAAGATAGAAAAGAAACTGTCTCTTTACTATGAATGCACACAAGGCTTATAAAAAAGATGCTTGACAAAGACTTTTATTCAAAAACACGAAGAAGAAGTCTTAAGACAAAGACTTTGAACCAAGACGTAGTTCTTGAGACAAAGTCTAAAAAGGACTTTAGTATGAAAGCGAGAAGGTTAGTATGAGACATTTTACTTGAATTAATGACTAATTTAATTCTGATTTCCGCAGGTATGTGCTTCAGAAGGAGTTCAAATTGTAAGAGACTCTGAGAAGATTTCAAGTGTAGCAGACTTCTTTTATAGGTATGTACTTTTCAATCTTGTATGTAATTCAGTTGATACATTAATGAAAATCACGGAATAAGACACATATATGAAGTCAAGACTTATTTTGATTTGTTCAAGTATGTGCTTTTACAAACTTGTTTGTAATTCAGTGGATAATAAGGAAATCACAAGTAGGAGACACATACATGAAGTAAACACTATCTTTTTATTTTTTCTCCAGGGATATGCTACAGAAGTATTAAATTCTCATGAACGCCAGAGATTTCTAAATGTAACGAAACTCTCTGATCAGGTATATGCTTTGCTAGACTTTTATGTATTAAATTTATATCACTACATACTACATATCAAAATCAAAAACTAAGGTAAGTGATATATAGTTATATACGTAAAGATAGAAATACTGATCTAAGTGTCACATGTATTAGGAATATTTCTTAAATAGCTGTCTTGATAACATTATTACTACTCTTGATCTAGTTTTTATCAGATTTTATAAACTTATTGCTCGCATATCCATTGATTAAAACGTCGATTCTACTTTTGGTAGTCGAACATCAGATTGTGTTTACAGTGTTGAGTAATCACTGTCTTGATTTTGAAGAATACATTTTTATCTCTGTTTTGGTGCTTGTTTGTATCATAAGATCTCTCATTTTATTTATGACATGTATGTATCTTTGAGTCTCATGTAAATCTTATTTTCTAAATTATCCACTTAGAAAATGGTAGATCTTATATTCGGTATTAGAACATTACTCATTATCTCTGATTTGAGCAATCTCTGTCTTGAATAGAAAACTACTCATTATCTCTGTTTTGATGCTTATATGTATAATAAGGTCTCTCGATTTATGATATATATGCATTTTGGAGTCTGCTAGATATATTTATTTTGAGCGCATGTGAGCCCTCATGCACACAATATGGTAGCTTCCTTGAATCTCGAGTGTACTATACTAGATTTTGCATTATGCTCTAAACCTTCGGTGATTATTCTTAAGATGTTTAATGATATCCTCGCAATTTTGGGATCTGCAGAAAATCTATTGTTGATTGTTTGTCTAGTTTCGATGATAGTTTTGGTGTGTGTTAGATTATAAAAGGTTTTCTCGCTGCTTATTTTTGAAATAGCAGTGACTGCAAATATCTTGGTTGTCGTACTAGTGTCTATCTCATGGTCTATTAGTCTTACACTTTTGCATGGTTAATGGAGTGTTTATTTAGAATGTGCAATTGATCTTACTTGCTTTCTCTAACAAGTCAAATGACTTTTGCTTCGTGATTTTTCTTGGAATAGTTAGTGTGATAAATTTATATAACTTCTTGGGGTTATATTTACTCTTGTATGTTTATCCAAACCATACCTATTGAAAGTGCATCAAATGTCTATGATTGGAACCTAGTGAATGACTATATGCTTTCGGAACCTACACGATTTTAAGCTCTAGTAGATTGGTATTTGTATGGACTGGTAGTTTATGATTTCGAATCCTCACTACTCCTTAGTCCATACAGACAAAACTATTAAGCGGACATAATTATATTACTTATATAGGCTTCTCAATAGTTTGAAACACAAGTTTTGCATTGCATTTTCATTTGTTTATATTGGAAATAAGTTTGAAAAATTGTCACTTTGAATCCTCCTTCTTAACAGTCCCGTTGTGGAGGAAGTTACATAAGTTTCTAAATATATTTTATTGGAAAATATGCTGAACCGAGAATTCTCTCGTAAACAAAAATAATTTATGTATAGCAATTTTCCAAAAATATCAAAACATTAGACCATCTCCAACCCCTCATGCCATATGTTATTGCAAATGGCAAAAATATAGCAATAGCATTGGTTTCTCTCCAACCCCTCATGCCATATATCATGCTATAATTTTTTTCCAACTTATTATTAATTGTTAAAACTACTTGATTTCTTCAAATTTTACAAAGTGAATCATTTGTTTTTCTTTTTTGCAAAAACAACCAGAATTATATATTTTTATTTTTATTATTATAATATTAAAACAAAATACATCATATTACATAAAAATTATAGAAAACAAAGATTTTAACCTATTGTTTTATGTTTTTTGAATTTCAGTATTTTTAAAAATAAAATTTTAAGTTTATTATGGTTATGTTTTTATATTTCTATGAAATAAATATTATTTATATTTTGAAAAAGTTATGAGTATTGTTTATTTATTTAAATAAATCATAATCAATATAATTAAACTGTTAAATTAAAAGTAATTACAAATTGAAGGACTATTTTATAAATAAAAAAGTTCAATGGCAAAATAGCATATTGCATAATCTCATGCCAAATATAGAAGCAAAAATAGCATGATGCTATTTTGCAATAGCATATGCAATTGGGTTGGAGCAAAAATTATGGCAAAATAGCATATATGTCATATTTAGCATAGGGTTACAAATGATTTTTTAAGAGATTATAATTAAGAGACTTTGGTTTGACTTTAATATTTTACGTTTAGAGTATAGTTGAAAAATGATCTCTTGTTCTTTAATAAACAAACGTTTAGGGTTTTTAGCACCGAATATTAAAGTTTTGACATTTCCAATCCTATACTCGTTATAGTGAAGAAAAATCTCATACTCGACCAAGTTATCATTCCTATCTTCTACTTCTTCTCTATCTTCTTTTTCCACCACTCAGCCAATATCACCTAGTTTAGAAACAACATATTTTCTGTATGAAAAAAAAAAATCATGTCATATCTTGTATATGAAAAACAAGCATGGCATTTTGTAAGAACGAATGTTTTTTTAAAGTGCAAAAGAAGCACCAAACTAAAGCTACGAAAATGGCAAAATGGCAAAGTCCGTTTCGATTCTGCTATCTTCAAAAAAAATCTTATGCGTGCATAAGTTTTTATTTGTAGTAATCAAGAAACATGTCTTTGAATATATAATGATTTGAATGAATGTTCATCAAATGTTTAGAAATCCCGAAGAGCGAGACGACATGTAACAAGTTTTTAGGCGGTGTCGCATTGTCCTACTACCCATGTAGGGAAAGCGAATGTGAAGCCAAATGCAAGGAGCATTACCACGAGTCATGCAAAGGAGAGTGTGAAGATCACGATGTGCATTTGATGAATGACAATGATGACCATTGCCACTGATACGGTCGTTACTAAACTTCTAAAATTTACAAATAAACCCGTATCGAATTGAGAAAGACAATATTAAGAATGTAAGCGTATGTGGTTTCGTTTGATTTAAGTGTATCTGTGATTGTTCGAATGCCCATCGGCAATTCAAGTCTGGCAAGAGTCAAACGTTACAATGACTCCGGGGGTTTTCCCGAGTAATGGGATTTTTACAAACCTGGACTTTCTCTTATGGCGTGTAAAGGAGAATCAGGTGCCGGACAAAACCATTGACCAGTTCCCATGGATAGTATGGCAACTATGGAAGGCCAGAAATGCTAAGGTTTTTGAGAATGCAGACATTACACCTGAACATACTTTCCAACTCGCACATGCAGAAACGGAGGCTTGGTTTGCCGCACAAATCCTGGAAGAAGTTATAGATGAAGACACGATCACACTCTCCACGGTGGTACAAGAGGAACCCCCGATAAATTTCCCGGGATGTCAAGTTGATGCCTCTTGGGGCATTTATAGTTACTTCATAGGGATGGGTCTCGTACTGGACCATGAAAGCGGAGATAACGTGTATGGAGCCTCAGCAAGATCACAAGTACTATCCCCTCTGCATGCTGAATTTGCAGCGCTTATATGGGCCATGAAGGTAGCCTTACAGTTAGGCTATACCTCTCTTAGCTTCGAGACGGATTGCCTCCAGCTGGTGACGATCATAGAGGAAGAAGATTGGCCGTCATTGGCCTCGGAATTAGATGAGTTTCAACTTATTCATGCTTCGTTTATTTATTTCTCACTATCTTTCATACCACGATTGTGTAATGTCTGTGCCGATTGTCTCTCCAAAGGAGAAAGAGCATGTGGTTTTAGTTTTACTCATGTAAACCCTTCGATTCCAAGCTGGGCAGCTCTTGAAGCTGTCTTGATTGGTTAATATCAATAATATATGAGTTTGGACGTCAAAAAAAAAAGTGTATATGTGACTGTGTATGAGTGACAGTTGTTTGCTTTTAAATTAAAATAAAATAGTACGTAGGATGAAGCTAACGTGTCATCAAAATTAGGATTAAAAACTCGTTAATGTATAAGAGAAATTCATGTGCCAAGTTGTAGAGGGGGGAAAATGCATTTTGAACATCTTTTTATAAAAAAATTCACAATCATGTTACCATTTACTCGGATCTAAGAATTGTGTTTCTTACTATAATAATATGGGTTTTGGTGAGTTTGTAAGAAAAAGACAAATTACATTAGTAGTTAAAATTTCATAACTTTTTTTCTTCTAAAAGAATCATCTTCATTAAGAGCTTACAAATCTTATTCAACTTCCTCATTGCTACAATACAAATATATATTACTTTAATTTCCTTACATATAAAACTATCAATGCACACCCGACATTTAGGTAAAACAAGGTTTAACATCACAATAGCATTCCTTCCTTCCTGAATTTTTATACGGGAAACATTTTCCAGATCTTTCCTTGTTCGTCAAACATTTTATTGAATAATCAGTAACACAATAACCAGAGCATATTTCGGCACTGTTAGTTTCACTGCAGTAGTCAAACGGCGAGGTCTTGCTTTTTACCCACTTAGCTTCTCCTGGCATTTATAATGTGGTGTCAATAACCAAATCAGTATAAAATAGTTTCAATTTCACACATGATTTATTTCCAATTAGGTCTTGCAAGATAACCATTTATATTGAATATTCATAGTTCATTAAGTTTTCCCTATGTTAATTTTGTGTTTACAAGTGAAAAACAAAATCATATTTTGACAGATTAGACGTAATATGCATGTGAAATTATGATCGCAATGAAAAATATTATTGGAAACAAATGTAATTACCAATTGAAACGCGATATGAAATAAATTGTGTTTCAAATATTATGAAAGTTATGTGTGATTCATATGTGTAAAAAACCGTAAACAATTGAAACAGGAGAATATTAAAAAATACAACCAATAGCTAATATGCTTTTGTGAGATTCAATTGTCAACATATGTATTACCTCTTGAAACCAATAAGAAAATCATCAAAACAGAGATGAAGCCAACGATATTTTCACGCTTCGCCATTGTTGTTTTCTACTTCGTAGTTATTCTCCTTTTTTTGTTTTTTTCTTTAGAAAAGTTTCTATTGAATCCATTCATCTAATTGTTAATTGTTGTATATATGTAAAGGTCATAAGTTTTCTAAAATAAGAAAAAGACGAAACGAAAAATGTTATCCGTAAAGAGTGGTGGTCTAAGCAGATAAAACAGGAAAGAATAGAATTCCAATGGACCACATCCTAAGGGGATATTGAACTTGGGAGTTGGAGAGATTTAATTTTAATGAGTTTTTAGATGAATTTTGGTGAATTATAAAAGTTTTTATGATTTTAATTAAAGTATTCTACAATTTTATCTAAAACCATGAGATCTGGATTAATAATTTTTACCAAGAAAACCACATCAATTCTTTTAAAACTCACTTTTAAAAGTATTTTCAATAACTATGGATTTGTCATCATCATTTTAAAATCCCAAGTTCAACACCACTAAGTTTTACAAAAAAAATAGAATTCATGTTTGCATAACATGAAATTTGTTATTTTAATTCTCTCTTTAGTTGGAAAGGGAGGTGTATTCAACTTGGGATTTCAAATAATTTTAGATGTTTTGTATTAAAATGACAAATCCTATTATTCAAATTTGAATTATAACTCTTTTAAAATCTAAAACTTGTGATATTAAAATGTATTTTTAAATCTAATGTTATTAAAAATATTTTAAGAAGTGAATCTATATTAGGGTTTTCGGCTAATTCCCCCCTGAACTTACTAATCCCCGAAAATCCGCACACAAACTATTTAATCAAGCCAAAACCACACAAATCCTTCAAATATTGAGATTCCCACACGAACTTGCACAAGTTGGCCAATTCCTCCAAAATCGCATTTGGGCGTGTTTTAGCTTGCTGAGTCAGCTACAGCGTGGCAAAATCAGACGACGTCGTTCGCGTTTTTGGTGTCGGGAACAGACGATCAGTCTGAGATTAAAACAACAAAAATAACATCTCGATATCCCATTCATCTCTCAACAACCTGCAAATTAGAAAGACACAAAATCAGAAACGTGAAACCCAACATCTTAAAACCTGAGATGGCAGAGCACTAATAATCCGATAACCACCACCAACATACATATCACGGCCTTCAGCTTTTTGAAAATTGCCACTATAGTGACAACCAAAAGTTATCGCACGCTCTGCTTCATCACTGCATACAATTACAAGCAATTTAGATTCTTTTAAGCATTCTGTCGAACACTTGGCAAACATATTATATTCTCACTCTTTATTAATAAAATCAAGCAAATATGCCAATACTAACTAAAATTTGAATAATTTGGACGAGAATTAACTATTAAACTAACATATTTCACAGCCAAACCCAACTCCAATGTACGAATTTCATAAAAATCAAACTGAACTTACCCCATTCTTCGATTTGAATAAGGGAAACACAATACTTGGTCCCGAATTCTGCTTCTACTTCCCCAACAATCGAATTAAAATCCTCTTGAATTGCTGGAAGTTTGCTGTTGATTCACTCCTAATCTCTCTTTCAAATCGGGATAAACCCTAACTCAAATTCCCCAAATCGATTTTGGCATTACAAGAGAAAATTTGAAGTTTCAAAACGACGTCGTTTTGTTTAGTACGTCAAAACGACGTCGTTTTGATTGTTCCCGACACCAAAAACACGAACAACGTCGTCTGGTTTTGCCACGCTGTAGCTGACTCAGCAAGCTAACACACGCCCAAATGCGATTTTGGAGGAATTGGCCAACTTGTGCAAGTTCGTGTGGGAATTTCAATATTTGAAGGAGTTCGTGTGGGTTTTGGCTTGATTAAATAGTTTGTGTGCGGATTTCCGGGGATTAGTAAGTTCAGGGGGGAATTAGCCGAAAACCCATCTATATTATAATGAGTGGTGAACTCTCCCCAGATTTGTGCCACATCAGATTTTTCTCATTTTCTATTGAGCTGCCACATGGCAGCATTTATCATTTAAAAAAGAAAAAGAAAAATTAAAGACACAGAAACCACCACCTCACACCCACCGTCGCTTTTTGTTGCCACCGGTGAGAAATACTTCGGCTCCAAACCCATCTCTCCACTATTTTTCCGGCCTTGATCTCCTTCCAAACTCCCACCGTCTCCGTTTCGATCGCCGGCGTCAACGAGCTCTCCTTTGGATTTAGGGTTCCTTCTTGCTTTCGTGATCCTACCTTCGCCATCAGACCCGATGGCCTCTTCTCCAATCTTGGCGTCTCAATTCGTCTCTCCAACGACCAGCCGGTGAGAAATACATCCCCTCCACACCCAGCCGTCTCCACTACTCCTCCTGTCTCGGTTTCAGTCCAAACCTCCACAGTCTCCGTTCCAATTGCCACATTGTCGCTTACTCCGTGTACTTCTATTTTTTTTTTTTAAACTCCATTGATTTTTTGATAAAGCAACCTTTGATAAAAGAAAAAAAAAAGTCATTGATGCGATTCAATTTACTTTCATCTTCATCGTCAGCCCTTTCATTTCCCCTGTAACGGCTGCGCCTCTAAGAAACACAAGTCAAATTTATTCATTTCCGTGCATTTCCTTCCTCCTACAACAGCCAGGTCCTTTCGAATTTCTTCTCACCAGCTTTAATTATGCTCTACTAAATCTAATTAAATACTCATCCTCTCAGGTAAGTTCACAAGCCGAAGCATCAATAAGCCTATAAATACTTTCGCTTCCGAATCTCAACCCGTCAGACGCACGATCTCCTTCTCTACGCCGATCGATCAAACTCTTTGCCTGACCTTCGTGAATCCAAACGCGAGGAAAAGGTTCTTATTCATGATTGTTCCCATCAAAATCAAAGCACAAATCGATCGCAATTCAATGTTTAATTTTGGTTTTTTGAATTTTTAGATGGCGGAGCTAAGCTGGAATATCCATGATATGAAGTCGATTCTATACGGAAACAGCGAGGTCAAGCCAGTCGCTGGAGCTTGTGCCCAATTGACACATTTTTTTCTCTTTAAAGAGGATACTCTACGCTCCTTGATCACTTGTCTCCACAAGCTCAACCTCCAGGTAACATTAACAATTCACTCTCCACCATTTCCTCATAATAAGAAAACAGAGCATTTTGCAAAAAAATCTCTTTTTGTTTTACTAGAACAGGAAAGACACAAGTTGTTGCAAATCTGCATAGGCAACAAGTCAATTCAACATCTATCTCGTGGATGTTCTGATACAAGGGTGAGTGTTCCATTCATTGAAGCTAGATTCCAGATTAATAGATTCTCTTAAATTTGTCAGGTATATCGCTTTCCATGTTTCGATGTCAGCTTTGAGAACACAGACATGGCTTTACATTATGGTGCTATGTTTAGGGAGTGCATCCGCCATCAGATTGTTGCCAAGTGAGCAAAATCCTTCCATTTTCTTCAGTTTGCTAACATCATTTCCTTGGATTCAGATATGTTTTGGAGTCTGACCATGTGAAGAAATTCTTCGATTACATACAGCTTCCTAACTTCCGCTGCAACTATTAAGGTTTCAAATACTGCAACAAACTTGCATATTCTCGCTCACTTTCTTCTACTTATGTTCTGTTCTGTTCTGTTTTTTTTAGGCCGCTTAGGCAAACATCTCCATTTCTAACTGCCTTTGCAACGGGTCAAGTTGCAGCGTAAAGATGTTTGAGACTATAAAAAGAAAGCCTTTGACTGATGCTTACAACCAAAATGGAAAGGTTCTTGAAGATATAAGAAGAGACATTGATCAGTTTAAAGATGTGCATTGACATGTCCTAATCAAAGTCAACAAGATCACATGAACAGGTGCCACTACTCCACTCAACCTGTATAATGTAAGTCCAAATTAATAATCGTATTATAATCAGAGCAGCTTCGTAACCATCACTTGGTTATTATTTGTGCCTCTCCATATTGTAATGGGAATAAATGTTTCGAATAAGAAGTCATGATACATATATAACCTTCAGATGTGGGGGACAAATAACAAAAGGATCGGAGTTAGATATATAGCGTTTCAATTTAAAGTCTATATTAGTGGGGTTTTATCTATGATCTCAAACTAAACAATGCTGTTCATCGTTTAACGTTTAACCTTTCATGTCTTCATTTCGGTGATGCAGAGTCCAAAATGGAGGGAACACAAAGAAAACAAAAGGGATCAATTGCCAGACGCAAAGTATACTTTTCAATAGAGTTTGGTATTAAGAAATAACATAAAACTGTTTCATGGATTTTGAAAATACTATAAAACTACCATGGCCAAACAAAACAAAACTACAAAAGTACTATAAAACTACCATGGATTTTGTTAAAATCCAGTCCATGGTTTGCATATCACATCTTTTTATTTCTTCGACCAACTCTGTCTTCGATCCTCTCTACTATACCAAATAACCAAGCTACATGAATACCTTATTGTTAAAATAAAGAGGGAGAGAAAATTAAGAGATTTTACCTATTCTTTTAAGTTCATTTATATATAAAGCCTATACTGTCTATCATGTAACTATTTTTATAGATTAAAGATACACCTACCTAAAGTATTAAAACCTACTCTATATGCCACATTTCACAAAATATTATGAGAAAAAAAACCAGAGCGTATGGTCGACACCCTTAAATATGTGTGTAATTTGATTGTTCTAAATGCTAGAGTCCGATTGAACTTAATTTATGCAATGGCCACTCCAAATCTGTTGTGAGTTATAATGGGCAGACGAACCAAGCTTGGAAACAAATGAATGACAAAGACCACGCCCCTGCAAAAGCTATTCACTGCGCAGGGAAGTTACGACTTAAGGGTGGTGAACGGAGCATTTATTGTGACCTACAAAATATATGCGAGAAAGAAGTATCAGAGTATATCATCATTTTTTCTATCTTAAAATAAACAAATTTGATTTACCTTTTATTTCTGCTTTTCTTTACATGATATTAGATTATATGCATAGTGTTTCAAAAATAACTATATATAAACAAAAAATAAATGTAAGAATTATGATATAGTTGGCAAAAAAAAATTAATACTCACAATCCGCGCATGGACTTAGCCCTAGTTTTATTAAAAACATAAACTAGCTGCCTAGAACATAGAACAAGTGGACAAAAGGAGAAGGTCATAGTGATCACAAACCACTTGCTTCCCAAGAAAAAACTCTAAAACAGGAAGTAGTGATCCTGGTTTGCAATATTATTATTTGTTAAAGCTGATATACACTCCCCTTGCGTACTAATGTACTTCTTTGTTTTGGTTTCAAGATCACACAACATTCAATATTTGCTAATTCCTACTTCTGACCAAATACCGGTACTAGATAAGGTAAAAATTCCAAATATCAGTGTACCGTGGTCTTCACTAACAAACCAGGAAGCAGTGAGTGATCCAGCTTTGCAATCTTATTATTTGTTAAACTATCTTCCCTTGCATACTAATGTACCTCTCTGTTTTGGTTTCAAGATCTCACAACATTCAACATTCAACATTCAACTTTTAATAAAGAAAAAATTCCCAAAAGCTATGGCTACAGTCTACAGAAAACCAAACTTTAAACGGTTCCGAGGAAATAACCCAAGCTGACACAGACCAATAAACGATTCCGACTACATACTTAGAAAATCAGAACAGTATAAGCAGATCGAGAAAGACTCACTTCATGAAAAAACTAATTGAAGCAGAAATCAACTTATCCATTGAAAACCATGTACCTGAATAAATAGATCTCGTGTAGCACTATGTGAAGAAGAGAGAGAGAGAGAGAGATGGAGGAGAGAGAGATGAGGAGCAATAAAACATAATTGCATGTCATAGAAAAGTCATCAATTTCTTCATTTTTATATACAAGACTCAGCAATACTGTATACCTCTAGAAGTCATTATACAACAATCGTAAGTAAATGCTAAAACAGCCTTTGTTCTTTTTATGCATCAATTCAAAAAAGTCTCTCAGTAATCTCCTGATAAATGCTTCAACGTTTGAGATGATCCAATATTTTTCTCAGAAAATCAAAGAACTTCTCGAAATCTTCGTAAGTCCAACCCCTGCGGATGACAGAGAACACACCTATCAATTCATTTATCAACACAAGGCAAACCAATAGCGCTAAATCCCGTACAAACATTGAAGAAAACTCTCACCTGCGTATGCCGAAAATTAGAACACCAACTCCCAGAATGGCTCCAATGACTAGCCCAGCGACGAGAGGGTCTATGATCGGATCGTGATGGTCAACAGCATAAACGAGCTCGCCATACTTGTTGGTCATATTGTTGTACAAAAGTCCCCAATTTCTCAATCCATCACAATCTTTATCGAGCAGCTCAAACAAGTATACCTCTGAGGGACCTCGGTTCTTCAAGGTGGTGCCGTTTCCTCTCAAGTGCGCTATAAGAGATGTGAAGAACAATCGGCCATATAACAGAGTGGCATCCACTTCACTGGCGTCGATTCCGGAGCTGGGCCAACCGGTTTCAGCCACTATAACCGGAATTTTGGCATGGCCCATATCTGCCAAGGATCGAACCAAAGAATCCAGCATCACGTCGAACAGATTAGTGTATTTGATGCCCGTCGCTGGATCTGTGATGAAGCCGTAGGGAGAGACTTGCAACAAACAGAAACCAATCGTAAATGTCCAGCTGGATCGGTAGAGACTGTAGGGATGTAGATTGATCAGGAAAGACGAGTTGGTTCGCTCAAGGAATTGCAGAATTGGCCTGAGAATCACTTCGCCGTTGGGCTGTTGAAACCGCGCCGCCGAAGGAGGCCTAGCCATGGAGACGATGTTGAAGAGAGAGAAAGTAGTTGATACCGAGATCTTGTAGATTCGGTGATCTTTCAGTGATCGGCGAACGTGCTGCATCGCCCGGAGTAGGAACCGCGAAACGTCCGGCGAGTCTGCAATGTCGTCGTTCCCGACGGAGATGATTGAGATCTTCGTGTGAGGGTAGAAGGGGAGGACGTGGCGATGGACCCACTGTTTTGCGACGGCGCTATTAGAAGCCAAGAGTGGAACCAGAGGATTAGGAATCGAGAGGAATAGAGAGACGTTGGTGTAGGCGAAGGCGCCGATCATCGCCGGATTGGAGTCGAGGAGCCTCACCGCCGGAATCTTCATTGAAACAACCTTTTCCGCCACTCTTTCTGGAGCAACTCCGACGGAAAATGAAGTCGAGTATGTGACTCCGATCGTCGTGGCGGAGGTGACCGAAAGGATAGACAAGGCGGTTAACGAGAGAAGTAGGAGAAGATTAATCGCGATGCAGACCATTTTGTGCAGAAGCTTATTTTCTCGGAAAGAGAGAGAAAAAGAAAGACTGGAAACTGAGAATCGCTTTCAAGAGACGAGAGCTTGAAGACGACAAAGTGCGAGAATGAGCGGGAGATTCTGTTTATAAGGCGTTGATGATGATTCTGTTAGGGAGTTATGATTCTGTTACAGTCTTACAGACGTCGAAATCCAAGAAATTTTACAAAATTATATTTCAATGTCAAATCTTTTTATCACTTGTATCACGAAACCTGATTAAAGCTATGAAGGATAACTGGTAAGTGGTAACCAATAAATCCATCTAAACCGGCTCAACAGTGAATCAGCTTATGATTGCAAAGATCACCAAAAGATAGCTCAGCTTTTCAATTAAAAGGACAAAACTCGAATTCAACAGATCATACCAAGTTTACCAAAGCCAGTGATACTTTATTACTTTATCATGAAATTATACAAATAGTGGAAATTACACTGTTAAATCAGGATACTATCTATATTCAGCGTCAAATCTCTCTGGAGAAAACAAATGTATTTCATCATCGAATATGGACACCTAAAAAATAAAACCTTAATCCATAGATGATGAATAGGTAATCCTAATTGAGGTTTTGACTTTTGAAAACCAAAGAGTTTTCCTTTCGGATAAAAAAAATAATAATCATTCAGCAACTCACATTTTTCTAACCTTGAGAAGAGCTTGAAGCATTATCTCCAAATTAAGCCTAATAAAGAGAGACTATTGAATTTAAAATTCAGGAATGTTGTTGCCTTGTTGGCACACCATGCAGAATATTTTGATGAAGCTGATTTGATTATATAAGTATAGTAATAAGTGGTTGTAATTTCCCTTTTTCCTTGGAAAGCTGAGCAAAAATTGTTACAAGACGGGTCAGTCTAAGAACTATGGAAACGACCAAGTAATTGATTTTACAATGAAAAGCTGACCATTATCTTACAAAAAAGTGAGGTAAAATGAAATTGAGTAAAGAAAATAAAACGTGTTTTAAATGAGTTTGAAATGATTCTACCCCAGTACTCGGAATTAATTAAATAAGAGCAAGTCTTTAAATACATAGGCATTTTGCGTAACAACTAACGACCACATGTATCCACATAAGATGGATTACCAATAATAAAAACTTAAACTCTATGAACTTAATAGCGACCATGAGTTCACTGAGAAGACGAGCTCAAATGGAAATGATTTTCTGTTATTGATAAATGTCTTTATAACTTTCCTCGTATACAAGAGGTTTATATCCGGTATACCACATACGGTTTTACCTGGTTTACATCAATTAATCTCTATGAACTAGGCTGGTTTAGGACCAGAATGAACTAGGTTATTTAATCTCTCACAATTACTGAGAACTCCATATTATTTTTTTTTTTTGTGGGACAAACTCCCCATTAATTTTACTAGAAAACCAAACGAGAAAGAGTTGTGTGAGATTTGGTTGGGATTCTATTTATCTATAAAAAGAAGCAGCAAAAAGGATGAAGAACTTGCATCAATCCATAAAATGATTATGTAAAATAAAAACTACGGAGTATAAAGGAACAAGAAAATAATATTTCTCATCGTATAAATTTGCCGAATTGAACATACTTTTCAGGTTTGCTTGGGGATTGATAATCAATGTTCAAACTGAGATAAATTTAAATATTTCTTTGATTGTTAATGAGTTTTGTAAAAATGAAAGAAAAGAAAATCTGTCTAACTTAAAACCTGCCAAAATCTGTCTTCTAGTATAGTAATAAGTGGTTGTAATATTTCCTTGTATTCTCTTCTTCCTTGTATTCTCATACCTGCCAAAATAAAGAGCAAATTGCATCATAAACATCAAATATCATATAAGAAACCATCAAACCATCAAGTGAAACTTAGTTCAAACCTCAAACCTCAATTAGCAAAGTTGATACTACACGTATCAAGAAGTTAAGACTACCAACTTGATTCATACCAATTCATACCAATACACCAAGCAATGTGATCAAGATATGACATCAAGATATGATCAGAATGTGACAATGCAAAGATCATTAAACAACAAAACTTGCACCACTACACCAAGCAACATTTTTTCAGGTGAAACGATCAAGTAACATACCAATACTACAAGTATCAAGAAGCTAAGACTACCAACTTGATTCATACCAATACTACACGTATCAATAACTCAGAACAAGTTAATTACCTTATGAAATGTATAAAATCCTGTCTTATCCTGTCACCTTCACGTTCTATGCCCTGAAAACATTAAAACAGAACAAGAGCTAAATAAGGCAACACAGAACAAGAATATATGCAACACAGAACAATACGGGGCCAAAAACTTCAGAAAATTCATCATTTTTATCACCTTAAAAATGTATGACGATGATGGTCGCTTTGTCTCAGGACAATCCTTTTTCTTCTTCTTATTCACCGTTTCTTGCACAGCCTGTGTGAGAGACTGATTGCAAGCGAAAGTCTGAAAAAGCAAAACAACACACTCTCGAATCAATATCCAATATAGTAATGTCACCTTTCGAGATATACCAAAAACAAAAAAATAAACAGAAAGTCAATGGCTTTTTTTCCAGAAATGATCTAACTTGAGATCATGAGTTAACTAAACGAGCACAGAGTAAGTACCTGTTGACCATCTTTTGGCTAATCACCTTCCCCAACATTGAAATCTCGATACATGAGGCATTGAAATCTCGATACATGAGGCCTGATTCAGCGTTTATATCAAAGCCTGCACTATATCAGCAAAAACATAAACACAAACAAAAGTATAGTAAGTTCTCAAATTCTTTTCAGCAAGAAGATCTTAACTCGAGAACTAAAAACCAATAGTTTTTTAGACGTAATAAAGGCTTTAAACTTCTCTAACAAAGTTTGGAAACTCGTCAGGAGCATTGATAGTTCTCTCTCTGTATCCTGAAGATAATTGTTCAGGATATGAGCCATCTTCTCTGTTAACTGTTCCTGAAGATAAGTAAATTCACACAAACTATAAGAGAGCCAATGATTCCAGATTATTGTCAATGAAGCAGACTATTAGAGAAGTATTTCACGAGATTTCTCATTGTCCTGAAGAACAAGAAACTAATAAGGCTTCATATCCCAGTCTAAAGTTCCAATCATCCGGTTTATTCTCAAAATGACAAATATCTACTATGAAACTTTAAAGAGAGATAGATACCTTGAGAAGTTGAGAGTCAGGAAAGCCTTCATGATATGTGAGCTTAAATCAATCTGCTGACAAAAACCAACACACAGGAAGAGCATTATTTATTGGAATACAAAATTTGATGTATTCATGATCCAACAGTGAAGTAACCAATCACACAGTAATTCTACAAACCAAGCATACTACATTGATCAGAGAAACGATAACAATAAACGTAGAAACAGATCCACAAAGAAGAGTACATTTATATGAATTTGTTTCAGAAGAGAGAGAAGATAGATCGGATACCCTTCGCTCGAATCCTGAGCTGACGAGAATGCATAATGAGATAAGAATTCGGCTACAACGACGGAGAAGATCAAGATAAATCATCGATGGACCGATGGCTTCGCCAACTCCGATTCAAATGCTGATTCGAACAAATAGTACACCAATCAAAGCAAATCTAACACCAAACAAAGGTCGATTCTAGAAAAGAGACCAAAATCACGAACAATTTAGAGCAAAATCACTCAAGATGAAAAACTTTGAAATCACAAAAAATCTCAAATCGTAATACTAAAGTAGTGATTGGATCAAAGCTCGAGATCGAGATGATCCCGATGGAGGCAACGCGAAGAGAGCTGATTTTTTATTTTTCTTTTGTTTTAAAGGCAATTTGGTACTTTAATTCTAACACACATTTATTATTGAATTTTAATTATATCGAAAATACTGATTTTTAGCATCATTAGTTTTATAAGTGATACTAAAAACCAACTATTAATGTCATTTACAAATAAATGATGTTAATATTCTTGTTTGATGTCATTTTGAACAAATGATGTTATGTGTTTTGTTTAATTTTAAAGTTAACATCATTTTTACAAATGATACTAAATAAATGACACTAAGAATTAGTTTTCTTGTAGTGGTTGTCAAATAAAAAGTATTATTTTAAAAGGCATAATATTATAGAATAATTAAATTTTTAATTAAGATGGTTATCACCTAGTTTAGATAAAATACAAACATAGTCGGTAGTTCATGACGTCTTATGTCTTGGTAAGTGTCAACTGAGAGAAGTGGTTCAAGAAAAAGAGAGCGGCTTAGATTCATTAGGTAAACAAAAAAATCTATATCCTAACAAGAATAATTTTTAGGTCATAAAGATGAAAATTTAGGGTTGATTAGGGTTTTATTTTTTGTTTAGTTGTGGAAGATGGATCGAACTGGAGCATGGGACAGAGACAGCTGTTCTGTTTAGGCAGAGCAGTTTTGAGAAGAAGCAGAGTATTGGTCCTTGATGAAGCAACGGCGTCGATAGACAATGCCACAGATTTGATACTTCAGAAAACAATTCGGCGAGAATTTGCGGATTGCACCGTCATAACCGTCGCTCACCGTATCCCCACCGTCATGGATTGTACAATGGTTCTCTCCATCAGCGACGGTGAGTGATGGCATAATCTTAAATTCATTATTTTTCGTTGATTTCATCGGAGTCTTGAACTTTGTTGTTGATTGAAATGTAGGACGAATTGTGGAGTATGATGAGCCGATGAAATTGATGAAGAAGGAAGACTCGTTGTTCGGGAAGCTTGTGAAAGAGTATTGGTCTCATTACCACTCCGCTGACTCACGTTGATGATAGACAAAACAAAATATCGAATATGTAATTGTGATTTTAGAAAAAGCTGTAATTGCGTGACATGCTCTCCAATGAAATAAAATATTTTGATAGCACAAAGATTCATACATCAAATCCTTTTACACACAAGCTTTGACCAAGATCCTTTAACAAAAAAAAAAACAAGCTTTGACCAAAACCAATCCAAATCTGACGTCGATAAAACTAATCGGCCACTCATAATTGATCGGTGTTATATATCCTGTTAAAAGCTAACAAACATTTACTAATTTACAAAGTCGTATAATTAATGGCCGTCTCGATCTACTCAACGAACCACATACTAGTTAACTTGTTCCGACAAAAAAAAGATAAGTCTACTTGTGTTTGTTTGGAAGTATTTGTTAGAGTTAATATCCTCACGCCTATTGACTTTATGAGCATGAGCTGGATTTCTATGTCTTATTAGGGCTCTTTTAATCTAAATCAAGTATACGAGTGTAGTATATTGCTTGTAACGTGTGGAGACAGATCTTGGGAAGAAATATAAAAACATTTTTGTTACAGGTTTGTGGAAAGCAGTGCATAAGAAACGCATCTTTGGGGTTGGGTCAATCATAATGATATAATAAGCTGTATGTTGGTCATTGTTTACAATGTATTTAATGGTAGCTCCACAAGATTAAAGAGGCATAAGAGTAAGAGCACACATCTATCAAAAGATTAAAAACCAAAAGTGGTAAAAGATAAGATATGGGATGATGAAAGAGAAGGGCCAAGATGCATTGTTTCTGATCCAGGCCAACCTCACAACCTCCCCGTGGAGCCGGTTATAAGATTAAGCATGACTGCTTTTCGTGCGGGGAAAACAGGCGTTCTCGACGAAAACCGCTTTATCGATGTTGAATACAGAGGGTATGAGGAAACTGAGTGGTACCACTTACGTGGAGCAGATGAGGCTATTGATTTCCATTACTACTGCACCAAATGCGATCTCGAGTTCCACAGTGAATGTTACCAGTTTCCAAGTAAGATGATTCATCCTTACCACCCTCAACACCCTCTCACTTTCACCTTTCTAAATTACGAAACTGGGATCATGGCCGACACCAGTTTCCGTGAATTCTATCACGTTCTAGCTTCTTTTGAATGGATTTTCTGAATACCTCAAAAGTATTCGGCCAAAATCCAATATTATGTTTGATAAATGCACTTGGTGTCGAAACCATCTCGGCGAGTGGTTCTATCGTTGTTCTATATGTAACTTTTCCTTGGATTTCCATTGTGCCAAAAACATTCCACCTCTTGCAATCCAAAATCCAAAAAGCCATCACCATTCACTCGCCTTGTTTCCTCGACCACTCTCTTTCCCTTGTGATGCTTGTGGGTTGATCAACGTCTTGGAACCAAGTTATGCATGTTACCAGTGCAGTTACGTGGTTCACAAGACTTGTATTGATTTACCCCGAGTTATAAAGATCACGCGTCACCCTCATCGACTCTCCTCACTCCTTATCTTCCTACCAAAGTTTCCTCTTGCCGGGTTTGTTACAAGAATGTGGACATCAAGTATGGTCAATATTCTTGCAACCATGAGGACTGCTCTTATGTAGTCCATTCAAAATGTGCAACCCATGAAAGAATCTGGGATGGGAGAGAACTCGAATGGGAACCGGAAGATCCTATCAAACTGAAGATATGGCACCATTCGTAAAGGTAGGGCGAGGATTTGATTGAGCATTTTTGTCATGCTCACCATGTTCTAAGGCTCGAGAAATCTGTGGAGACTCAGAAAAGCAATGCGATGCGTGTATCCGTCCTGTCGGTTCTCATGATCATTTCTACAGCTGTATCGAATGTGAGTTCTTACTCCACGAGGTATGTGCTAATCTTCCGCGGAAACTTGATCATGCGTTGCATAAGCACCCTCTTTTCCTAGACCCGGAGTCTACGTGAGAGTACGCAGAGGAGTTTATTTGTTTTGCTTGTTCTCGATATTCGAGTGGTTGGAAGTACAAATGCAAAGAAAAGGATGCACGAGTGGCTGTCAGCTAGATATTAACTGCATTTTAGTTCCCGAGTGGTTCACCCATAAAAGTCATCAACAACATCTCTTATTCATCTCCCATCTTACAACGCTTAGATGAAATTCTCTGCCAAGGTTGCAAGGGGAGTATTCGCGGGGATCATCTACATTGTACTCTATGCGAATTCGCTATATGCTACAAATGTGCCACAATTCCAGATGAGATATACCACAAATATGATGAGCATCCTCTCTCCCTTTGTTATGGGAAAAGTGGTGTGGATGAGGATGAGGTGTGGTGGTGCGAAGTTTGTGAGAAAAGATTAGATCCAAGGAATGGTTCTACACAACAAATAGCAGCGATCAACGTTGCACCACAATCCACCATGAATGTTTATTCGGAGATTCTGCTTTATTTAAGGCTGGTCATATATTTGGTGACATTGTGGAAGTTGTTGGTAACGATAGTTGCTCTCGTCCCATTTGTGGTAAGTGTCATCGCCGTTGCCGACATTCTGTATACTTCAAATCTGTATACACCAAAGTGCATAGTTGGAACAGTAGGGGCAGCAACATATGTTAAGAAGTTACGCTTCTTTGTTCTGTTCTTTGTCTCTCAAACTCCTCTTTGCGGAGCTCAGCTCTTCACAAACGCTTCTTCTATTAATGTTAAGAGGTAGCATCGGAGTTTCTCCGGAAAAATGATAGAGACGGTGCGACCAAATCTTTTGCTTTTTTTTTGTTTTTATCTTCTTTGGCTTATGACCAGATGGATCGATCGATTTGATTAGAAAGAAGACGTGTGCTGTCATGCAGGTGCTATATATTGTTTGAAACTCTGGGAGTTACACGAGCGCGAAGCTGAACATTGTCACCTGGCTGTACATGAAAGAGTGAGAGTTTCTTTTCTTTGTTTCATTCATAAGTCTTAAGCTTAAGCAGCCAATTGAATTTTATTAACAGCTTCTTCTTCTTCTTATTTTTATTAAACCAAACAGATGAATCTGTTTCAAAGTGTGAAAGAGAAAGTGATTGAAGCATCTGGCGATGAAGATCTCGCAAGCCAGAATGTCATTTTTTTTATAATTTGCTTTTGTTCGTTCCTTTTAATAGTAACTTATTTTGTAATCTGAATGCCAAAATAACTTCTCTCTATCTATATTATACTAGGGTTTTGAGTATTACAAAGTTTTATAGCTTTTGTTATTTTTATCTTTTTCTACAAAGTTTTTATCTATCTTATCTAAAATTATATTATCAAAATGGGTAAACAAAAAGAATGACCCGTGTAGGACGGTCAGGTGAACGGGTTTGACCCGATTAATTGATAGGGCTAAATATGAGGACCTTTGGCCGAAAGTATGTATACTACAATTGGGTAATTTGCTTAATATTGCTTAGATATTCAATGATTGTGGCTGTTTGAGAATATATGAATAATCAAGCTGGCGAAACCACATGTATTAGTTTCTTGCACATATGATTCCCATGTTTCCTTGCTCTATTTATAATCGTTTGTTAACTCTACATGTACCAAATTTTAGATACGATGATGGAAAGTTTCACTAATTTCTCATAAGTTATGATTTCTATTGAGAAGAAGTAATATAGTAACCAAATTTAAGGACTGGAAACTTGAATATATATATATATATATATATATATATATATATAAAATATATTTACTTTTGTACAATGGTTTTTATAAGGTGCTTATACATAGAATTCCTAACCAAGTGTAATACAGTAGAACCTCTATAAAGTAATACTCGATAAAGTAATACCTCGATAAATGAATAGAATTTTTGAGTTCCGAATTAAGTTTTTGGTCTAATTATCTCTCGATAAATTAATAATCTCGTTAAAGTAATAAAATATCAAGGTCCCAACGTTATTACTTTATAGAGGTTTTACTGTATAAAGACAAATTCTACATAATTTTTTTATCCTTGAGTAGAGAAACTCATGATAATAATGAAGATCGTTCATAATATAACTCCCACCTAAAACTCTGTCCAACTGGTTAGTATTGATGTAGCATTGAGTGTAAAATTGGATCGAATGACTTGGCTGACGTCTCTACGGATAAACTTTGGTTCTGTTCCAAATCCTATTTTGTGACTTCTCACACATAAACCTATGAAGATTGATGGAGAACCAATTAAGAGCCATATTCAGTCGATGAAATAATTAGATTAATTGTAATGCAATGGAATTGAGTTTGACTGCAATGGATACATCCCGCCGTATACACTATGAAACACTTGGCTGCTCCTCTTAGATCATGACTCGTAAGGACAACAACAAAGGGAAAACAGAATACTGGAGTCAAATATAGTTAAATCTGTAACTATACCTTTGTTTGATTTTTCCTGTGTGGTTCGCAGCTTCCACTCAAGCGTGATCATATATACTTTTAACATATGTAATGAGTAATGACACAACCAATCGATTACAATACAGCAATAGGAAATTGATATGGAAGACCGGAAATTCGAAAATTGGAACTACATAAGGAACGACTATAGAGTAGCACATGTGAAGTATATATGTAAAGGTCTTATTAGATATTAGATAATACCTAGTTTCCATCATATGTTATGTATATATATTGTACATTGCTCATCTAATAATACTCATTCAGTCTCCAAACCTATATGGTATCAGAGCTAACGAAACCTAAAAACATTAGCCGCCACCCAAATTTTTCAAAACTTTTTCTTCTTCCTCTTGTGATTCGGCTCACCTCTCCTTAGTCTTGATATCATGTCAACCTCTCCTGCCGCATCCAACGAAACCGTCGTGGTTTCCACAAACCAAAACATCCTCAACGTCAACATGACGAACGTGACGAAGCTCACCGCCTCCAATTTTCTTATGTGGAGCCTCCAGGTGCACGCCTTGCTAGATGGCTATGATTTAGCCGGATTTCTCGACGGATCTACCGTCATACCGACTTCCACGATCACCACCAACGGTGTCACCACTGCCAATCCCGAATACACGCTATGGAAGCGTCAAGACAAGCTAATTTACAGTGCTCTCTTTGGCGCCATCACGGTGTCCATCCAACCAATACTATCCACCACCACAACCTCTGCTCAGATCTGGTCCACACTCTCGGCTACCTATGCTAAGCCTAGTCGTTGACACATCAAACAATTGCGACAACAAATCAAGTAGTGGACAAAGGGCAACCTGACCATCGATACATACCTTCAAGGCTTCACCACACGCTTTGACCAGTTGGCACTCCTCGGAAAAGCGATCGACATTGAAGATCAAATCGAGTATGTGCTCGAAGGATTACCCGAAGAGTACCATCAGGTGGTGGATCAGATCGAAGGTCGTGAGACTATTCCTTCTCTCACCGAAGTTCACGAGAAGCTCCTCAACTTTGAAGTGAAACTTCAGTCCAAAGCCATCACTCCGACCAATCTCCCGATCACTGCCCATGCCGCGACAGCTCGAGGCTCCTCCAACAACAACAACAATCAACGCAACAACTACCACGGTCAGGCACGTAACAACTCCCGTGGAAATCAAACCTGGCAGCAGCAAGGTTTGTCTCGCAATGATCCAAATGCTCCTCGCGGATACCAAGGTCGTTGTCAAATCTGCGGCGTTCAAGGCCATAGCGCGAAACGGTGCCCTCAATTACCGTTTTCAAGTCCTGCGTACAACAACAACACTCGCCACAACAATTCTCCGGTCTCGTGGCAGCCGCGTGCCAACATGGCCGTCACTCAAGCTTACAACCCAAACAATTGGGTTCTCGACACGGGAGCAACCCATCATCTGACTTCGGACTTGGACAACCTCTCACTCCATCAGCCGTACACTGGTGCCGACGAAGTAACCCTCGCAGACGGCTCCAGCATCGCGATCTCGCATACTGGTTCTACTATTCTTCCCACTCCCTCTCGTCCTTTAGCTTTAAACGATATCCTATGTGTTCCCAATGTTCATAAGAAACTGGTTTCTGTATATCGCATGTGTAACACTAACAATGTGTCTGTTGAATTCTTTCATGCTCATTTCCAGGTGAAGGATCTCAGCACGGGGGTCCGATTACTCCCAAGGCAGAACTAAGGACGAGTTGTACGAGTGGCCGGTTTCACCAACAAATGTCATTTCCCTCTTCGCATCTCCATCACCAAAAACATCTTTTTCCTTTTGGCATTCCCGTTTGGGACATCCATCGTTTCCCATTTTGCAATCTGTTGTTTCCCAGTTTTCTTTACCAATTCAAAACTCTATTCCAAAAGAATTATCGTGCTCCCATTGTCTCACTAATAAAAGCCACAAGCTTCCCTTTCACTCAAACACAATCACCTCAAAACATCCCCTTGACTATATATACACAGACGTTTGGACCTCTCCCCTTCTTTCTATCGATAACTTCAAGTATTATCTAGTACTTGTTGACCATTTTACTCGATATACCTGGTTCTATCCTCTGCGGCAAAAGTCTCACGTGAAGGAGACGTTCGTGGCCTTCAAAGCCTTAGTCGAAAACAGGTTTCAACACAAAATTAGGAACCTGTATTCGGATAACGGCGGCGAATTTATTGCTTTGCGTAGCTTCCTCTCTGCTCATGGCATCTCCCATCTCACCTCACCACCTCATACGCCGGAGCACAACGGAATCTCGGAAAGGAAGCATCGGCATATTGTGGAAACTGGATTAACTCTCCTCCACCAAGCCTCAATTCCCACCACCTATTGGACATATGCGTTTGCCACAGCAGTATATCTCATCAATCGATTGCCAACTCCAGTCATTGCTCATCAATCACCTTACTTCAAGCTTTTCCAACAACAACCAAACTATCTCAAGCTTCGGGTCTTTGGGTCGTTGTGTTTTCCTTGGCTGCGACCCTATACAAGCCACAAATTGGACAATCGCTCAATGCCGTGCACTTTCCTTGGTTACTCGCTCACACAGAGCGCCTATTTGTGACTTGATGCCACCTCCGGCCGCATCTACACTTCCCGACACGTCGAGTTCGTTGAATCCGTCTTCCCGTTTGCCACAAAGACCTCACCGCCGAATCATGAACCAGAACCGATATCTCTGTCTGGTCACTCTCCGCCCACACTCATACCCGTCCCGCCGCCATCACTCGTACAACCGTCGTCTGCAGCGCCCCCGAGCTCGGATCCTTCTCCTACGGCGTCGTTGACTCCGTCGACTTCTGTCTCTGTCGCATCTGCACAGAATTTGGAAATGGGCTCAACAAATAATTCATCAGGCCCATCTGTTCCTAGTCCTACACAGGCCCATACAGAAACAACATCAAGCCCAAACCCCTCACCTAATCCTCAACCCAATTCCTCTCAATCGACCAACTCCGCTTCCTCGTCGCCTCCGACACCGACACCACAACCAACCCCCACTCCGCCGCAAACTCCGACACCACCACCACCACCAGAAAACCGTCACAATATGACCACTAGAGCCAAAAATAACATCACTAAACCAACCCAACGCCTCACTCTCCTTACTAAAGCCAAAACACCCAAACCTCTCATACCCTCAACCATAAACCAGGCTATGCGAGATCCAAACTGGACAAATGCGATGGGAGATGAGTACAATGCTCAACTTCGGAATCGAACTTTTGATTTGGTCCCTCCAGCACCAAATCAAAACATCGTTCCCACCATGTGGATTTATACACTTAAATACTTACCCAATGGTTTTCTTGACAGATATAAGGCGCGATGGGTTGCAAGAGGCTTCAATCAACAATATGGCCTCGACTATGCGGAAACCTTCAGCCCAGTCGTCAAGTCTCTAACTATTCGTTTGGTCTTGCAGCTGGCTGTCAACAACAACTGGCAAGTGAAGCAGCTCGATGTCAATAATGCGTTCCTTCACGGCACACTTACAGAGGAGGTATATGTCTCGCAGCCTCCTGGTTTTGTCGACCGAGATAAACCCGATCATGTCTGTCGGCTTAATAAAGCTCTTTACGGACTTAAGCAAGCACCACGTGCTTGGTATCAGGAACTGAAATCCTACCTCTGTCGTATGGGATGCATAAACTCTGTTGCTGACACTTCCGTGTTTGCTTACATCAGTGGAGATCAGGTTGTTTATGCACTTGTCTATGTAGATGACATTATTGTCACAGGAAGCAGTCTGTCCTTGGTCTCTGCATTCATCAATGCCCTTGGCGCTCAGTTCTCACTCAACGATCCAGTGGATCTTACATACTTCCTTGGCATTGAGGTCACTCGCACGACCACAGGTATGCACTTGATGCAACGAAAGTACATTATTGATTTACTCACAAAGGTCAATATGTTGGATGCCAAACCAGTCGCCACACCAATGACTCCTCATCCGAAGCTGTCTCTTCAAAGTGGCCATCCCATTGACAATCCCACCGAGTTCCGTACAGTTGTTGGTAGTCTCCAATACTTGGCATTCACTAGACCGGATATTGCTTACAGTGTCAATCGTCTCTCACAGTTTATGCATCGACCAACTGATCTCCATTGGCAAGCGGCGAAACGCATCCTTCGGTATCTCGCGGGAACTCTCTCTCATGGTATCCTCCTCAAACCAAACACTCCTCTGCATCTCCATGCGTACTCAGACGCTGACTGGGCCGGTGATACAGACGATTTTGTTTCAACCAATGCTTATATTCTGTATCTTGGCTCCACGCCAATTTGTTGGTCTTCCAAGAAGCAGAAGGGTGTGGCGAGGTCCTCCACGGAAGCAGAGTACCGTTCCGTCGCTAACACTGCTGCTGAGATACGATGGGTGTGCTCACTCTTGACGGAGTTGGGTGTTCAGTTGCCATCAACACCGGTTATCTACTGTGACAACGTCGGAGCCACGTACTTGAGCGCAAACCCGGTTTTCCACTCTCGCATGAAGCATTTGGCCTTAGACTTCCATTTTGTCCGAGAGAACGTTCAATCAGGTGCCCTGCGGGTTGCGTTTGTCTCCACTAAAGATCAACTGGCTGATGCACTAACTAAACCTCTTCCTCGACCACGGTTTCTCGACCTTATGTCCAAGATTGGTGTGAGAGAACTCCCTCCATCTTGAGGGGGCGTGTGAAGTATATATGTAAAGGTCTTATTAGTCATTAGATAATACCTAGTATCCATCATATGTTATGTATATATATTGTACATTGCTCATCTAATAATACCCATTCAGTCTCCAAACCTATAGCACAATCTCTAACTAAAGATTATTAAAAATGCAACCTTACTTTTCTTTTCTATAAACTGCATAATAATCCATAATAAATAGCATATGGAAAGAGCGTGGACCTCATCTTTCTTTTTCCGCTTTGTAAAAAGCATCTCAGTTTTACTTTAAAATCATCAAAACAAGTGAGGTATCTATTTAAGAATATATATGTACATATCATCTCTTCCAGCTCTAAAAAGAAAAATTACAGACATATATGTTAAAGATTAGGGTTTTCGGCTAATTCCCCCGTGAACTTACTAATCCCCGAAAATCCGCACACAAACTATTTAATCAAGCCAAAACCCACATGAACTCCTTCAAATATTGAGATTCCCACACGAACTTGCACAAGTTGGCCAATTCCTCCAAAATCGCATTTGGGCGTGTTTTAGCTTGCTGAGTCAGCTACAGCGTGGCAAAATCAGACGACGTCATTCGCGTTTTTGGTGTCGGGAACAGACGATCAGTCTGAGATTAAAACAACAAAAATAACATCTCGATATCCCATTCATCTCTCAACAACCTGCAAATTAGAAAGACACAAAATCAGAAACGTGAAACCCAACATCTTAAAACCTGAGATGGCAGAGCACTAATAATCCGATAACCACCACCAACATACATATCACGGCCTTCAGCTTTTTGAAAATTGCCACTATAGTGACAACCAAAAGTTATCGCACGCTCTGCTTCATCACTGCATACAATTACAAGCAATTTAGATTCTTTTAGGCATTCTGTCGAACACTTGGCAAACATATTATATTCTCACTCTTTATTAATAAAATCAAGCAAATATGCCAATACTAACTAAAATTTGACTAATTTGGACGAGAATTAACTATTAAACTAACATATTTCACAGCCAAACCCAACTCCAATGTACGAATTTCATAAAAATCAAACTGAACTTACCCCATTCTTCGATTTGAATAAGGGAAACACAATACTTGGTCCCGAATTCTGCTTCTACTTCCCCAACAATCGAATTAAAATCCTCTTGAATTGCTGGAAGTTTGCTGTTGATTCACTCCTAATCTCTCTTTCAAATCGGGATAAACCCTAACTCAAATTCCCCAAATCGATTTTGGCATTACAAGAGAAAATTTGAAGTTTCAAAACGACGTCGTTTTGTTTAGTACGTCAAAACGACGTCGTTTTGATTGTTCCCACACCAAAAACACGAACAACGTCGTCTGGTTTTGCCACGCTGTAGCTGACTCAGCAAGCTAACACACGCCCAAATGCGATTTTGGAGGAATTGGCCAACTTGTGCAAGTTCGTGTGGGAATCTCAATATTTGAAGGAGTTCGTGTGGGTTTTGGCTTGATTAAATAGTTTGTGTGCGGATTTCCGGGGATTAGTAAGTTCAGGGGGGAATTAGCCGAAAACCCTTAAAGATTAATTTAAAAACAGCAAGCTAAGGATTAACAACATAGGGATACAAACAAATTTGACAAGACTTTCCATCCTCAGTTGTGGTACATATATTTTTGAAGAAGAGATGTGCGAATAGCTTTACAGAAAAATCTCCTCGCCAATGTATGTTGATTATTTGAATACTCTGATGCCTACGGTTGAGCTGAAGAACAGTCTTGATTTTCATCCTCTTAGTTTTTCGTAGAATCGCAGCACGAATTCTGTAAAACATGTGCATCAAATCACTAAATATGAGAAAATAAGCATGGCTTGAAAATCCACCTTATGTTATAACCTATTTCGATTATTGATAGACCATTAGCTTTCAATCCAAACCAAAATCAGATAGATATATCATACAAATTAGGCAGTTAGAACAAACAACTTGCAAGGGGTTAAAGGTTTGAAAAATATAAGGGCAAGGAAAAATAAAGGAAAGGTGCATATGTTCTGAACACAGTGAAAAACTTAAAAACTTAAAATAGATAAGAAGAGAAAGAAGCATATACCCTTTCTCTTTCATTGTCCATACAAATTTTTTAGGAGCCACAATTTCACCAGTTTTGATATCTTTAGCCATGTAAACCTGACTGCAAGAGCGAACAACAACAATAAACATCCTTAAGAATAATCATATACTTAGATTTAGCTTCACCGTGTACTTCACAATAAGAAGAAAAAGGAGACACATGTGCATTGTAAACGCAGAAACCTATGTCCAACAATCGCTTCTAACCCCCAATTTATCAATTCACAAGAAAAGCAAAGTAAGACGCCACCAGCTCCTGTATTCGCATTATTATTGTCTAAAAGTAATTGAATTGTCAAAGTAAAGAGGCATATATTCTATGGATCAAGTACCAGATTCTCGGCGGAGGTAATGCCTCTGAAATCAAAGAAGCTTAATGGAAGCAAAATTTTCAATCGAGATTTACATGCTTAAAAAAGGCTTGGTTTGATGAACACATACCTTAACTCCTTAAACTGTAAAGAACAACAATCTTCCAGAGCAACACAGACGCAAAAAAATTCATAGCTTTTTTTAAATTAGTCTCTTTTTGAGATATGACTCTGCCTTTATTCAATATTAGTCAAGGAAATATGAAATCAGTTTGGAAAATAGGGGTAGGGAGATAGATGCTTAACTGGAACTTGAAGACCAAATTTAGCAGATGCTATCTATGATTCCATGAGCTCCTTCACTCTTATCTGATACTAGATTAAGGCCCGCGTATACGCGGGTATATTTTAAGATTTTATAATAAAAGCATGGAAAATATTAAACAAAATTTGATCATTTTTAAACGTAAACAAAATAATATTGAAAACCCGATAAAAATATTTAAATAAAATAAAATAAAATAAGATTGGTAATACTTTTACATTTTTATTGTAAATAAAATAAAAAATTTAATTTGTTTTACTATTATTTTTATCCAATACAGAAAGACTTACACATGTCTAAATCTGATCAACTGATTAATTAATCAAACTTTTATTATTCCATTCAAGAGATTTTAATTGATGAAATATTTATTTCAATTTTTTTACCTAACAAAAATTGAAAATCAAACTATTTAAAATTAGAATATCAATTATAATTTTTTAATATTAGTTAATTGCTTGATAATTATTTTGTTAGTTTTCTATTTATATTTTTTCTTTCTCAATTTTTTTTTGCCTCGACCATTATAAATACTATATATTGGTATTTTTCCTTTTCGAAATGGATTTTTTTTCCTTTTCTTAATAGATGTAACAAAAGAATTTTAATTATTTGTTATCTGTTTTTTAATTTTTAGTTAGTCTTATACATATTAATTTTTTTATTATTTTTATTCCATGACACATGTTACGATCTTCATACTTCAGAATTTTTTTTTTCTAAAACACATGTCGCAATTTTGTCAGTTATAAAAATCCTATGTATCGCAAAACTTTCAAAAACATGATTTTTAAATTGGAGAAATAGAATCAAAGGGATTTGATGAATTTGATGATTGATTGAAATCTTGACTCTCTTTTATAGGGGTTCAAGTAACCTATTACATGCAGTTATAGGAAATTTAGTTTACATAACATATTCCATGTACAAATAGGATTTTATTTATTACATTATTTTGATTTTATTATTTGTTTGGATAATATTAATTTGATGAATGAAACCTTTCTCTATTAGGATATGACAAATATATTTTTATTTCTTTTAACTGTAATGGATTAATTTTTTTAAAAATTTCCTTTATCTAAATTTTTATTATTATTTTTTTTCTCTAAGACATGTGTCACGATCTTAACGGACGTAACATTAAAAGTGACACATGTCGCGATCTTATAAATTATAAAAATCCTATGTGTCGCAACCACGTCGTGCGCATCCAACTTTATATAATAAAAAATTGATGAATGGGAAACCTTTTTCTGTTTGGATATACAAATATTATTTTTTCCTTTTTGATATAATAGATTAAATTAAATTTCGTTTTTTTTAATTAACATTTTTCTGGAATTTTTTTTTTTAATTCTTTTTTTCCTAAGACACGTGTCACGATCTTAACGGACATAAACTTAAAAGTGACACATGTCGCGATCCTGAATTTTATAAAAATCCTACGTGTCGCAACCACGTCGTGCGCATCCAGCTTTATATAATAAGATTTGGATCTCCTTCGATCGATGGTTTTCTTATTATTATTCTCAATGAAAATTTTGCAATCATGGGCTCACACAGCCGCTAATACCGTAGACTCACCGGCAGGGTGTGATGGCGAATGTCTAAAGCATAACAATTTCAAAGGTCATTCATACTTGTTCACCAAGACTCATAATTGTCAGGTGTTTGATAATACAAAGAACTGCAGTCACATGAGACAGAGAAGATCTAAACCAGAAGATCTTACAATGTAATTGATTTCGTACATATCTATATCCTTCTAACAACATGACCACTAATTTCGAAGTAAAGTTTGGTGTCCAAACATTTTCATGGTTATGTTATATTATTTGTTTCGGTCAAGTAAGAAAAGGTTGGGTTTGAGTACGTGTAATCTATGGATTGAGCACTTAATCTACTATTAAAAAACGGGAACAAAAACAGGCGCCAAAACCAATCAGCGGAGACGAAATGAGTAATGTATATACAAGACTACAAAACTGAAACGAAAAGAATGTTTACCTCTTGACTCATCACTGTTCTGCTTCATTTTTGGAGTGTGCGCAGTTTCCTGTTGACGCCACATGAATCTTACAAAGCTTGCGTGGAAGTCATGTCCTATTTTATTTTCCTGTTTTCAGACCCAAAAGAGAAAAGAAAATTGAGTCAGTCATTTTAACGAACACGTGGCAGGCACCCTAATAGCGATGTGTGAATACATCTTGAAAAATTTTGATTCATCAAAAAACGTTTAAAACACAATTGAAAAGAGCAATAAAAAATGGCTTCTATTCACATACCAAGCAGCATATGAAGAAAGGAAAACAACGAAGATGAGTTAGAAATACAAACCTAAGAATGTGTTAATAACAGAGTTTGAAGATATTGGAAAATCAAATCTTACGTCATGCTTTTTATGGAACGAAAGAATCCGGAAATGATTTTCTCAACAGTCTGGGAAAGAAAAGATAGAGTAGTAATATATTGTTAGGGGCATGTAACGGGGAGCGAAATCGTCTGATGAAAAAGCAGAGCATTAACAGTTGTGACATAAAAAACAATGAATTCGGAGTTATTGTAAATCAAAAATGGGCTCATAAATGAACAATGAGTAAAACGTCTTGGGTAACCTGAAGGAACCGTAAGTCCGAAGGAGCAATCGACAATATGTCGCATGGGACGGAGACGAACGGAGAGTCGAAAGTTTTGATCGAGACAACGCCTAGTCGAGAAGGCCGGGCTTGGAGGGGATGCATTTGTCTCATTGGAGAGAGTCTTTAAGACGGCGGGGACTGGAGATCCAGTTTGTTTAGGGATGTGAATTGATCGCCGTAAGGGATCTATTGTCGGCGGAAGTTGGTGGATGGTTGATGCGCGTTGACTGTGTACAGGTGGTTTGTCGGGGAGAGGCTTCGTTGACCCGCACGACCCTGTTTCATTGGCTTTGAGATGGCGGAGAACCGAAATTCAGTTTCATTGGCGCCGCAAAGTGGAGATCTATTTAGGAGCGATTTTTTAGGCGATGCTTTCATGAATGGAGAAATCGGAGACGACAACGTTTGTGGTGAGTGGAGGAGGCAGTTGCGGTTTCGCGGCGGCGGAATCAGACGAAGTGACCCGGCCGGCAGGTGGCTGTTTTGGCGTTAGGTTATGGTGTGTTTTTTTGTAAAAAAATAAATGTGTAAGGACTGTGAACGAAATTGTTTTTTTTTAATAAAAACGCTGCCACATGGCAATTTGAAAAACAAAGTAAAAAGCTGACGTCGCGGAATTCTGGAGAGAGTTTATCCTCACTAGTTTTAGGTTCTAAAATCAGAGTGTCTTCAACGTGATTGTAAATAACTAACATTATCAGTCATTCAGTCATCACGATGTCAAAACTTAAGTTTTATATATGCCCTACTTTTATTAGCATAACTGGTGTGTTTCATAATATGATTATGCAACTTAGACCACGTATTCAATTTGCTTGTTTATATCGGGTTATATACTTATATGTCGGCTCATATCATTAGCCATTTTTATTTTTTGTTTAAAACAATCAGCTATATGTTGTCTTGTCATCGTCTATATTGTTGTTAATATCATCCTATTCCTAATGCTAAAAGGAACTAAGGAAACTAGAGAATTGGTAATTATCTTCGTAGAAAATATAGAATTGTATATCCTAATCCTAATAAAATTAAGATGATTTGTTATATATATATAGAATGAGCCCAAAACCAACAAATACACACTTATTCCGATATTAAATTAAGTGAAAGCGATAAAATAGAAGCTATGGACGGTCTCCTCCTCTCTCATTCGCCGGAACACCAAAATCCAACAACCGATCCGGCTTTGGAAAACAGAGAGCTTAAGGCAAAGAAGAAAGAGATACTGAACAACGATGGAGCCTCTACCTCTAGTTCTTCATCTTCTACCTCTAACACCAATTCTACTCGAAGGGTTTCTCATAGACTTCGAAAGCCTACGGTGCGGTTAGGTATGGCTCGCCGAAGCGTTGTGGAACGACAAGCCGAAGCCTTAGCTCTAGGCATGTCAACTGCGACTTTTGCCAGTCTGGTACGATCAATTCCCTAACTTTTTCTCGCTCTCTATTGATCTCTTTGCATCACATGGCTCTTTTGTTTTATTGTTTACAGTTACGGGTTGCTTCACTTTCGTTTTATTGTAGTGGCCCGCGCTTGATATTTAAGGTTTCTGTGCTAAAACGTTTGCTTCTTTAGAAAGCAATCATTAAAGCCTTGTAGTTAGGTTTTATTTAATTCTAAACAGGAATTAGGGGTTCAAATCTGAATGGGAGACAAAAGGGTTGAATCTGAGTAGTTTCTTATTTAAGAATCTACAACAAATTAGCAATACTTGAGTCTACTCTGGCACAGTTATACTGTCATTGACCTTGCATTGCTATGTAATTTAAAGAGCCTAGTTTTTTGGTTTTCTTGTTCTTTAGGTTTTTGAGAAAAAGAGTGTCCCTGGCCAGAAGACAAATCGTGCTGATCTTGCATTGGTAAGTACTAAGAATTTTTAAATGATTTAATTCTTGATTTCTTTTCCATCTCTGTTTTGTTTTTTGGTAGTGACAACAAAAATTTCTCTGATTATGCTCTGCAGATTTATGCTTCCGCTGTCAAAGAATGTTTAGCCAATGTAAGCCAAAAGTCGCTCGAGATTTCTTTTCTTGCATTCTTCGGGTTTACAGATTTTCATTAGTTATAATTATGTGATTACAGGTTTATGGTCATAAGCTCGGTTCCTTTGCAGAGAGATCATTTAACAGTACTCTAGGGATACTTAAAGTGATTAATGATCCTGCATTTCCTCATCAGTTAGACACTCTCGAGAAATCCAAGCTAGAAGTGGATGTTTCCAGAGCTGGAACTAGAGCCGAGCGACTCAAAACCGAATTAGAAGATAAATTAAAAGCCATGTTAGGCAGAATATACTTTGATTGGCTCGTCTTAAGTGTCATCAACACTCTTGTTTGGACGTCGTACGGTGCTTACGTCTTCTCTACTGTCTTCTCACAAGAGAGTGTCATGGAAAGATTTATCAACTTGATTTTCCGGCCTCAGGTTTGGTTGCAGATGAATTTCCCTGTCTTAATGATCCTCGTCGTCACGTATTTGATAATCCGTCGTTCATCAGCTACAAAGCAGAGAATGTCGTCAATTTTTTACCTACTTTTCCTCCCTATGGTTTGCGGTTTGTCGGGTAAGCTCTTTGTCGACAAAGTAGGCGGTAACGGCGAACTCTGGCTCTCTCTTTGGGGAAGGCTTTGCCTTTTTCAATACGCTGCAGTTAGGTTCATCACATGGGCTGTCTTTGGTCTATTGACTCAAGGGACCAAACCAAAGACTATGGTTATGTTACTGCGTTGGGCACATCGTAGTATCTTCATTGGATTGGTTCTGGCGCTTCCTCTGATCAACGGTCTCTTGCCATTTGCCACGTATAGTGAATGGAGACATCTTTTCTCTATTGGTATGGATGCAATTCGTGGTGGTTTGGGGTTATGATGTTTCAGGCTGATCCTCTTTCTAATTTTGTTTGTTTTTGCTCTTTATAGTCCCCTTTAAGGCTTTAAACATATGCTTTATGTTTTTTTTTTCCTTTCTTAATTAAATGAATCCCTCTTCATATGAAAGTTTCAGATGTTGCCGATCTTGCATTGTCGAAACTCGACCCCATCCCGAAATCACAAAACTGAGTATGATTGTTTTTGTTTCTTTGTTGGCCAACATATTATATTAATTCAGAGGGAGACACCTAAGTTTGGAACTAAATATACTAAATCTTTTGTTACGTGTGTGATACTCACTATTGGTCTTTTTATACGTGTACACCCCCACTCCAATCGTTGAGCTCTTCGTTGGTTTCACCGTCCCCCCATACATACTTCTTCCCTTGTTTCAAACATTGAGAGCTTGACTTAAACATATGTCCCATTTTTGTCTCCTCTTATGTCATACTTGTTCCTCTCCCACCGTTCTTTACACGATTGATATAATTTGTTTGTAATTTCTAGAATGCAAAAGAGGATTAATATAAATCTAAGGTTGGAACTAATTATCCATACATATGTAACTCGAGAACTACAAAGCCAAGACATAAGGAAACACAAAAGAAGAAAAGTCAGGAACATTTAGTAGAGGACTTCACTAAAAGATGTGCACCGCATGTATACTTCAGTAGCTTGATCCTTCAAGATCTCTGTATAACGATCAAGTTTCTCCTACCAGTCCAACATGAAAGCTTCATCTTGTTATGTTCTAAGAACAAAAGGAAATGATAACCAAACGGTTGTTGACAAAACAAAAGGTATAAAGGCTTAGACCTAATGTAATTGGATTAGAAAATAGCCTAGATATTTGTTTCACTGATTCATGCATTTATTTGTCTCTAATTCCTTATCCTCCAGTCTACCACTTGAGTTATCATGCAGGGGACATAAAAAGTCACTCCAACACAGCAAGGAGAGAAACTATATAATATTTGACGTGTGTGTATAAGCTACATCATCTTAACTCACAATTCAAGAAAATAAAAATGTTAGATGGCTTGCAATCTTGGAAAATAAAAATGAGTTGAGTTATCACACCTGCTAAAGAACCCAAGTTGAATACACTACCGACATCTTTCGCTAGATCATTTTCTACCATTTTTTTTTTAATCCTTTTTGGTAAAAATCTAAATTTTAACTGTATAAACTAAATACTGTATGAAATTAACAATAGAAAATTTACTACTGAATATGATAACCAAAGATATCAGAGATTACTGTAATATTTCTTTATTCGTTTCTTAATAATGTGGTGTCCGAAACTGTTTAATTGTATCAATTTCTAGTCAAATAAATCAAACACTTCATTGTCACTAATATCATGTCTCTTATCTATTTGGTTAATGAATAACTGTAAACCAGATGTTTCTTTGGGTTTTGAAATGGTCTCTGATCCAGTTCTTAACTGTTGTTTTGCAACTGATTACTAATAGAAACTGATTGCTTTCATTGCCCTTGCCCACGACCACGATCACGAAAAGAAATGTGTCAATGCAATTAAAGGAGACGCAGAGAGCTCCAACCAAGAAGGAGAAGAGGCAACCGAACAAGTAAGTTTGGAGCAAGAAGAAAACAGTTTGAGACATAACCTAGATCAAAGTCTCAGGAAGAGGTGAAAGTGATAGCAAAGAAAAGAGAACAAGGCAAGTAATGGAGTAAAAAAAAAAAGTTATCCCGGAAGAACAGAACAAGCTAATCAAGGGAACAAACACACAGCGAAATAACGAATACGTCATTTGCTTGTGTTATCTTTTCTGAGTCCTGAGTTAACTTGTTTTCTACATGAAGAAGATGCAGAGTTTCTCGGCGTTCTGGTTTCTTTTTAACGGTTTAAGAACATAACAAGGATGAAATTAACCGTTAGAAAACAGCGATGGTGTGATTTAACATATAACAGCTCACAGGTTCTAATAAGAAATGATCCATTCATGTTTTAACGGAGACGAAAATTTTCATAAACCATAAAGTGTTAACAAAACCAAAGCATCCCAACAATTAAGTCTAAGAAGAACACACAAAAGTTTCATAAAGCAAGAGATAGATAGAATGGCAAAAAACCATGACAATCGACCAAATCACGAATCACTGATCTCCAGGAAGAGACTTGATGATGTCCGAGTCACCGGGATCAACGATGCTGAGGCACGAAACTCTGAAGTATTTACCACAGGCCGTTCCCAAATCGACATTGTTGCCATTGTAGTGATGCACTCCAACTTTGGCAAGCATTGCATAGTACTCGATCTCCGATCTCCTCAACGGTGGGCAGTTGCTAGAGATGAGAATCAACTTACCTAACATAACAAACGAATTCCAACAATCATTCAACCGAATTCTAAAGAAATGCTCAACGAATTCCAACAATCAAATCGGTGAAGGAACATTTTTGTTACCTTTGGAGCTGCGAAGGGATTTGAGCACAGATTTGTAGCCAAGAGTGTACTTGCCACTCTTCATCACCAGAGCTAATCTGCTGTTGATTCCCTCATGGGACTTCTTTGACTTCTTCGCCTCAACCATTTTTCGCCGCCGGGAGAGAGCTGAGCAGATCGCCGGATTATCAGGAAGAGGGGGCCTTCGGGTGTTAAACAGCAGAAATCGTGCAGCGGCGCAAAATGTGAGCTTAAAAGGAGACGAAGAGAACCCTTAGGGTTTTTTTCTTTGTCAAGGTTTGGGCCCAAGGCTCTCAAATGTTTTTCAACACAAGGCCCAATATAAACCTGGCCCAAATCCTAATTTTTCCTTGAAATTTTGGCGGGATTTTTGATGGCACCGAACAAAGTTTGGCGAAATTGCAAAAATGAGAAAATTAAATTCGCAGAGAAATGAAATCGAGAAGTCTGTAAAACCCTTTTCGGTAGAGAGAATCAACAATCGAGGAACGGAAACAATAATCGGCGATGGGTCGAATAGGAGTAGCTGAGGCGAAGAAGGCGTACCGGAAAGCGTTGGAAGAGGGTGACCGGAGGGAAGAGGCGAGGTGGGCCAATAACATCGGCAACCTCCTTAAGAATGACGGAGAGTACGTCAAGGCTCTCAAGTGGTTTCGGATCGATTACGATATCTCCGTCAAGCACTTACCTGGGAAGGATCTGTTACCTACTTGTCAATCTCTCGGCGAGATCTATCTCCGCCTCGAGGAGTTCGAAGAAGCTTTGATCTATCAGGTAAGCCTTATAACAAAAAAAAAAAAAACCTGATTTTTTTATAATTGGGTATCATCAGCTTCCTGATTTTCCATGTTAAGCTTTGATGTTGACTCATTGATTTCTCTGAATGATTTGTGATTTAGCAATGTCGTGTACAATTGGGATTGTGGAATGAAATTCTCTGTAATTAATTTGGTCTCCTGTTAATTGAGATGATTGCTCGTTTCTGGTTGTTGCAGAAGAAGCATTTACAGCTTGCTGAAGAAGCTAATGACACTGTGGAGAAGCAAAGAGCGTGTACTCAGCTCGGTCGTACCTACCATGAACTATTCTTAAAGTCTGATGATGATTGTGATGCCATCCAGAGTGCTAAAAAGTACTTTAAGAAAGCCATGGTACTTGCGCAGGATCTCAAGGAGAAACCACCTCCGGGCGACTCTAGAAGCTTTCTCGAGGAGTATATCAACGCACATAACAACATTGGTATGCTTGACCTTGAGCTTGATAATCCTGAGTCAGCCTGCAATATTCTCAAGAGAGGGCTGCAGATTTGCGATGAAGAGGAGGTGAAAGAATATGATGCTGTGCGTAGTAGGCTTCATCACAACCTTGGAAATGTTTACCTGCAGCTGAGAAGTTGGGATGAGGCAAGGGAGCACATTGAGATGGATATAAGAATCTGTAATCAGATCAATCATACCGAAGGAGAAGCCAAGGGGTATGTTAATCTCGCTGAGTTGCACAACAAGACCCAAAAGTACAAAGAGGCACTTTCGTGTTATCGTAAAGCTTCTACTCTGGCGAAGTCTATGCATGACGAGACTGCATTGGTTGAACAGATAGAGCAAAATATCAAGATTGTGAATACATCCGTTAAAGTTATGGAAGAAATGAGGGAGGAAGAGCTTAGGCTTAAGAAGTTTTCTGCAGAAATGGCTGATGCCAAAGGCCCTTTGGAGAAAGGAAAATCTATGCTCGAAGTACATGCTTGTCTTGAACGACTTATTGAAAAATCCAGCATGGTATTTGCATGGCCGAAGGTGAGTTTTATTTCTTGATCAATCGTCGCTTTTAAATCGCAACACTTCATACCATGTGCTTGAAAAAGTTTCCAAAAGTTAGAGTTGTTCATCTTGGGGTTTTTAATCATAAATAAGCACTGTTAGATTTTCGGATTTCATCAGGGTACTATGGAGTTGGACAGTTATGTTATTTTCTTAGACAGTTTTGTGAAGTTTTGCTGATGACACTGTCTTTTCAGATCAGTCAATAAGACTATTATCCAAGTCTCTCGTGACAGTTCCAATGACTAGTAAAATAGTTTGTAGTTTGATAGGAAACTACCATTTAATTTTTTTCATGCAACTAAAAGGGTTTCTATTTCTTCTTTTCCTAGCATCTTGAATTTTCAAAAAGGAAGAAGAAAATATCAGAGGGACTCGACGACAATGAAAAGCTGAGTGATGCCTTCTTGGTTGTTGGTGAGTCTTACCAAAAGCTCAGAAATTTCAAAAGGTCCCTGAAGTGGCTTATAAGAAGTTATGAGGGATGCAAAAAAATCAGTAATCTGGAGGTGAGATTTGTTTGCTTGCACGCCTATTTATTACAACTTATATTTCATTGCTTTCATCGGAATTTAATTCAAAGACCAGATATAGTTGATGAGGCCTCTAGTCACATGTTCTATGTAAAAAGCCATTGATTTACCGTTTTTCGATTTGTCAATGTTATAGCTTTTCTTCTTTATTGTTTATAATTTTCAGTTAAAGTGGTCTCTTGTAGGGTCAAGCACTAGCGAAAATTGATATAGGTGGATGTTTGGACTCTATGGGCAAATATAAAGACGCACTCGAAGAATTTGAAGCGGCGCACAGGTAGATCCAGTTAATAGTAATCTATGTACGAGAGTTCTTTACCAAATTGTGCATTTTAGCTGCCGAGTGTTTCGCTTATGTGATTCAATCCATGTAAATGGATCTGCTTGTTTGTCTTCCTCGAGAATTTTAGCAATTCCATTGCATTATATGACTGCACTGAAGATCTTATTCATTGTTAGAAATTTTAAGGACTGTTCAAAGCAGAGCAAATATGAATGTGATATAATTAGTTGCTTGCTGGTTGTTCCTATCCGACTAAATTGAAGAATTAATGTTCCATGGCCTATGAATAAGTAACGCATGTATATTAGATCAGTACTTTTCGTGATCACTGTGGATAATTATAGTAGAATTCGTTTTTCAATCAATTAAATTATTTTTCTGCGGCTCTCCTCTGCTATATACAAACACATCGCATATACATGGACGAGAATGCAGCTACATGTATCTCATGCTAATGAATTAACTGATGGTCCTTTTTTGATATATTCTCATGTGATCCTGCAGAATTGCTTTGGAAGCTAAGCTTCCTTCAATTCAGATTTCTGCATTGGAAAATATGCATTATAGCCATATGATGAGATTTGGGAATACTAAACAAGCCAGGTAATCTTTGCTATGTAGTTGCTGGACTGAAAATAGATTAAAACTAAATCTGGTGCAAAGTTTGCTGCAGAGCTGCAGTTTCAAATCTTTCGTTTTTCTCATATATATATATATATATATTATACTGTTTAGGGAGTTAAAGGAAAAAATACAAAATTTGAAGGAGTCAGAAGATGGTAGAGTTGATGAATGCGTTGAAACCGACTCAGAAGGGCATGGGAATATATCAAATAATAGGCAGAATGCATGTAGCTCACCAGAACCCCAAACATCAAATTCACTTGGATCAGAAACGTTAGCAGATCTTGATGAAGAAAATGATGATATGCCTCTAAGCTCATTTCTCCAGCCTGGAAAACGTCTATGCAAAAGAAAACAAGCTTCAGGAAAACAAGATGTTCACACTGATCAGAGCAAGAAAATTTTCTCTCCAGTAACAGACTCTGGTCGCAAGCGTATTCGTGTCATCCTCTCTGACGATGAAAGTGAAACCGAGTATGAGTTGGGATGCCCTAAAGACAATTTTCACACAGTTCCAAGGCAGAAGGAGGAGGTTTTAGACGAAAGTATGTATTTTGATGTGGCTGTTAATTGCGTGGATAACCCTGCCATTCGAGATCACGAAGAACAAGGTTCTTGTTCGAATAAAGCTGTTGAAACAGCTGGTTGTAGTAAAAGAGGATCACAATGTGATGCTGGCGACTCCAATGGCACGCATTGCAAAACTGGAGCTGCTCTCATGACCTTCCACGCTTACTCCAAAACTAAGGATGTGAGCAACAGTAATCTGGATTTTGAATTTTCATTGATTATTCTTGGTTGGATTAGATTTCATTTATTTTTCTACTTCCTCCATTGTTCACCATGATAACTATATGCTTTACTTGTTGCAGCAGAAAATTAAAATTTATATTGAAAGTGAACACATAGCTTTAGACTCATGTTCTGGAAGTGATGAGTCTGTGAAGGTGGAACTTACTTGCTTATACTATTTACAGCTTCCTGACGATGAGAAATCTAAAGGTATGTAAATTTTTTGCTTCCTCAGCAAACGTTTAGCTTGAATGCATGATCCCAGTTCGGATCCATCTCTATAATTCTTATATCATGCTTAATGTTGTTTGTTTTGCTATTTAATAGCATTGCCCTTGTTTTCTGGCACATCTTTAATTAAACTTTTGTTCTAAATTTTTGGGCTCTAAAAGCTGTTTGAATTTTTGTACATACATTTGGGTTTCACTAGGTCTGTTGCCGATCATTCATCATTTGGAATATGATGGTCGAGTTGTGAAACCGTTGGATTTATATGAGATTCTCACGGGATCATCTGAAAATGTTGTTATTGAAGCTTCCGTTAGTGGTAAGTATTTGCTTGGTACAAATTGAGTAACTCTTGATATATAAGTTAATGATTGCCATGCCGATCTTACTATATAAATTGAGTTTTTCAACACGAATTGTTCTTTCACTTTTTCATAAGTGTGGCTGAACCTCTGTATTGGTTTTTAAGAGTATGATCACTGATTCTCCCTTTTATGGCTGTAATCAATTTATTGCAGGCTGGGTTCACAAGCGCCTGATGAAACTATACATGGACTATTGCCAAAAGCTGTCAGAGAAACCCAGTGTAAAATTGCTTAAGAAATTATATAGTTCAGAGGTGAGAACATTACTCCAAGTTTTACAGTTAACGGATGAAATACTTTCTTCTCTTTGTTTGCTTTGCAACCTACTTAAAAGAAAACTACTTACAGAATATTACTCCAGTTGGTGTATAATCTGAATCATTATTCCATTGTATGTTTATCAGGTAGAGGATGATATCAATGTGTCAGAATGTGAATTGCAAGATATATCAGCTGCTCCGTTACTGTCTGCCCTCCACGTCCACAATACAGTTGCTATGTTAAATCTCTCCCACAATATGCTAGGTGAAAGTTGCCTCTGACGTCTGACTTAGTTTAATGAACTGACTTAAGCGAGTTAGTTGGTTTGATCATAAGGGAACTACTATGGAAATTCCAGAGTGCTTATTCTCCATCTTCTTTTTGGTTGTTAGGAAACGGAACAATGGAGAAACTTAAACAACTGTTTGCCTCATCAAGCCAGATGTATGGTGCTTTAACTTTGGATTTGCACTGCAATCGTTTTGGTCCGACGACTTTGTTTCAGGTAACACTATTGGGCCCAAAGCTAGAAGTTTCACATTTTTTTTCCGTATTGTTTAATATACTCCTATTTAACAGATCTGTGAATGCCCTGTCCTGTTCACTCGGCTGGAAGTCCTCAACGTGTCCAGGAACCGACTTACAGATGCTTGTGGGTCATACCTCTCAACCATCTTGAAAAATTGCCGTGGTATTATTTCTTCTTCTGTTTTAAATTTTGACTAACATATATGTAGTACCTAATTGCCAAATGTTACCAAATGTTACACTAATAATCTTAACTCTTATCTTCCCTTCACACGCTTATGTTTCTGTGTCTCCTTTTGTTTCATAGCACTTTACAGCCTTAATGTGGAACAATGTTCACTCACATCAAGAACAATCCAAAAGGTTGCTGATGCTTTGGATTCGGAGTCAGGACTTTCACAACTCTATATAGGTAAAACTTTTGAATTTGTTATGTACATTTTTTTCTATCTCAATTTTCACTTTAATCGGTGTAATCGTACTTGTATGGCAGGTTATAATAACCCTGTGTCAGGGAGTGCTATCCAAAACCTCTTGGCTAAACTGGCTACTCTAAGCAGGTTAAAAAGATAAACATAAAGCTGTTTGTTTTTACTTTTCTACTTAGGTAAATCGATCTAACACTATCACATGTTAAACCACTACAGCTTTACAGAGCTGAGCGTGAATGGCATAAAGCTGAGCAGCCAAGTTGTTGATAGCCTTTCCGCACTTGTTAAGACTCCATCTTTGTCAAAACTTTTGGTTGGCGGCAGTGGAATAGGAACGGTAATAATGTGCTAAATCTCTAAAAATGAATTCATATATTGTGATAATTGCATCTGACGATGTTATACAAATGATTATAGGACGGAGCTATCAAAGTCACTGAATCTCTATGTTATCAAAAGGAAGAAACTGTGAAGCTAGACCTTTCATGTTGTGGACTAGCGTCTCCTTTCTTTCTTAAGCTCAGCCAAGATATTACCCTAAGTACCCTAACTTCTAGCATTCTTGAGCTCAATGTTGGAGGAAATCCAATCACTGAAGAGGTATCTGCTCTAGGGCCTTAACATTGTAAAGCAAATTATCTCTGAAATATCTTTATCTAAGTACATGTCTTATCAACTCATAACTGGCTTTCTAAAACAATATACAAACAGGGAATCAGTGCGCTCGGGAAGCTGCTTACGAATCCTTGTTCAAACATAAAAGTTCTGATTCTAAACAAGTGTCATCTGAAGCTCTCTGGAATTCTACGTATAATTCAAGCACTTTCAGGTCTGAACTATTATCTTCCATAAATCTCTTGCTGTAGCTACTATGAAACGAGATATCTTCTCCTTTTTAACCTACCAACTAAAACGTTTTGCAGATAATAAGACTCTCGAGGAGCTTAATCTTTCTGAGAATGCTAAAATGGAGGAGACTGTGTTTGGCCAACCAGTGAAAGTAAGCTCAGACATGGGACAGCAAGAACATGGTGCATGTGAATCGGTCACCGCAATGGACAGACCTCAGAGAGTTGACGAAGAACAAGAATTATGTGAAAGCAATATGGAGTGTGATGATCTCCAAGTTGCGGACAGCGAAGATGAGCAAATAGAGGAACAGACCGCAACGTCTAGTAGTCTTAGTTTACCAAGCAAGAACCATATCATCAACGAGCTTTCGACGGCTCTTGCAATGGCTAACCGATTGCAGATTCTGGACCTAAGCAACAATGGGTTCTCAGTTGAAGCTTTGGAAACATTATACGTGTCATGGTCATCATCATCAGGATCTCGAACTGGCATAGCCCAAAGGCATGTGAAAAATGAGATTGTCCATTTCTATGTCGAAGGACAGATATGTTGTGGAGTCGAATCATGCTGCAGAAAGGATTGAAGATCTTGCTTGTCTCAAACTGTATTTGCCAAAATAAATCTCTTCTTGTATACTATAAGCCTCTCTAAGTTCTTCTGGTGCAACAGCTTTGTTGATTTAAATTGTCACCTTATTCAAATTCTTGTGGTATTTAGATATATATATATTGAGTTTTTGGACGATGATTCAGGTTTGTACATCAGGTAAAATCTTTTTTTTTGTTGGTTACCGTTCACTTTGAATTCCAAAGACTTCTTAATATACATGTACTCTACAAAATCTCTATTTATTATCAGTACTCCAAAAATTAATGAAAAAAGTTTCTTACTTACTTTGTTATTGATTCTAGTACATCCAAGCATGGAACATACGAAGAGCACACCAGTGGGGTATAATATATCCCAGGTTCCCATCCGGATATAGGTCCGAGACAAGGAGCTTCTCCGAGATTCACTAATTCCAAGTATCCATCTTGTCCGATTATGTGAGCTATATGGTAGCGACAGGCCTTGGTATTTTGTAGAACCAAAACCACAGCAAATTTCTTTTCCTCGTCAATGAAAAAACTGCCAGCACTATGGTTAACAAAAAAGCCAGGGAGCAGTGTCAGAAACTTTGTCCACGACACAACATCCGGACCAATCTTATCCGTAACAAAAATCTCGACCGGCTCATTCTTCTCCCAGCCTCGATACAACACCGCAAGCTTCTCTTCTCTGACACAGGACAGAGACGCGAAAACTTCTCCACCGACTGCGTGAAACGGCAGAGGCAGAAGCGGTCCGAAGCTCTCTCTTGTGAAATCAAAACAGAGCATAAAACCTCCAACCCTTTTCTTCTCTATCATCTTCTGAGCAGGGAAATAAGCATTCCCCTTCAAAGTTACGCCGCGTTGATGACCCCATATGTCCCACTCGGGAGTCGCATCGAAAACCTTCCATGAATCCAAGCTAAAATCGTAGAGTTCCGACTTGGAAACGTGTCTGCTACGGTTCGGATCATACTCATAGAAAATCATCAGGATCTTGTGGTTACGGTTCTTCTTGTCATCGTATCCGTATCCGAGAGCATACTTGTCTCCACTCTCGAACTTGTCTCTGGGTTCGACCCACCTCGTTTGCCCCAAATAGGGATTCCATACAAGGAGCCTCGACATGTCCTTAAGGACGCAGAGCAGTAAGCCACTAGACTGAAATACACTAAATATCTTGATTTGATCAAGTACGCTTACTTGTTTTATACATGGATAGACCAACTCGCCCTTGTTGCCGATTCCTTGGAGATCAAGTTTCATCAAGCAAACCCTCGAATCCTTCATCATGAACCCCATGAACTGCTTCCTTGCTGCTGCCGCTGCTTCTTTCCCAAAAAAAACCCGATTTTTAGATAAAAAGTTCCACTTTTTGCATGTTGATCGCACTGATCTCAGTGATGTGATCGGAGCCCTAGAGAATATCTCCTCTTCTACCAAATCCCCTGGAAGATCGGAAATTGTCCTCATTATTATTCCAAGCTTCCAACAAAATCCTTCTTTCCCTGCTCCTTTATAACTTGGAAAAAAGCCTCCTAATTTCGTCGGGACAGAGATTGGAAGTCAGAAGAGAGGTGGGAACTCCGTTGGCTTCGGAGATGAGCTTTGTTCTGTCTCTTGCTGTTGGTGTTGGGCTTAATGTTTTGGACTAAGCCACCTCTATCTTTATGGGCCTGTGGTGGGCTTGTTCTTTTCGCATCATTCTTGTTCATTGATTGCCTGAGTTCTTGCAACAAGTCGCACGAAGTTTCCACGTGAATGGAAAGTTTTTATCCGAAAATAATTTCATTTGTATTGTTGACAAATACAGATATGAATTATATGATCTTAGTAACGTATATATGTATATATCCATTATACTATGGGATGCGAAACACATCATGATTTTTTGTTTTGAAATGATAATTTGCAAACAACAAAGTCAATCCAAACCATAACACTGAAGAAATCAACCATACCTTTGCTACACTCGATCTCAACAAATTTTTTTTTTTTTTTTTTTTTTGAATTGAATGTAAAATTTATTCTAACCCAAAAACGTCGTTGTTTACATCAAATGCAACGTAAAGTTGAAGAAAGAATATACAGAAAGAAAGAGATCTTAAGATGATTGCCTTGCTTCAAACCATATGTGGAGAGCCTCTTCATACTTTGTGTCTCCCAACAATCGGATTGGAGGAGATCACGATTTCTGATTTGCTTGTCAATGAGTTCGATGAGGATGGCTGAGGAGTGAGGAGCGTGGCTGCTCTCCGTGACGGCGCGAGTTCCGTTCTTTCCATAAACTGTGTATAGTGGCTTGAAACCCATACCGAGTAAGGAAGAGAAGGAGTCGTGGCTGATTTGTATCAGAGATGAGCGAAACGATGTGTTGCCAATTGGTGGAGTGTTGTCTTTTAAGGAGGCCCTGCATCAACGCTTTCCAAACTGTAGCAGAGTAAGAGCATTCAAAGAAGAGATGACACCGTGTTTCCAGCGGATGTTGACATAAGACGCACGATGGATTCACTCCCACATTCCAAGTTTGCATTCTATCTCCGGTGGAGAGCCGATTATGCATCGATAGCCAAGCGCAGAAAGAGAAGTTTGGTGTTTGATGAGTAAACCATACTCCTTTATGCCACTCTGTTGCAGGTCCAGCCTCTTTTAACTGCAACCATGTCTTTTTGGAGTTAAAACACGCCTTGTAAGTGTCGTCTGAGTGCTTCCAGAGAGGTATGTCGTCCGCAGTTGAAGGTCTACCTCGCAGAGCCATTAACACATATTCTATCCTTCGCAAGTGGTCTGCTCTGTGATTCCGTCGGCGTGTACGGGAAAGGGCGTCTGCAACTGTTGCATGAGCCGTTATGCCCATATCGATGAATCCACGAGGTCCTGTAACGCTGAACAGAGGGCCTATCGGTGACCAATTATCAAACCAGAAATAAGTGTGCCGCCCATTATTGATCTCCACTTTGTAAAACCTTTTTGCTATGTCTCTGCTGTATTTAAGGAGCTTACGCCAGACCCATGAACCTTTTGGTCGTGTCTCCTGAAATTGACCAAAACGAAGCATTTCCAATGAGTGAACTTTAATTTTGATCCAGCGGACCCAAAGAGACGGATGGGAAGACGCAACCCTCCACACCATTTTTAGGCAGCAAACCCTATTTGTTTCTTTCAGAGCACGTAATCTCAATCCTCCTTCTTGGCGAGGCTTGCAGACTTCAGACCAAAAGCTAACTTTGCCTTCCGTGGATTGAGAGTAGGGCCAGACCACAAGAAAGCCGAGCATAGCTTATCGATTTCGTGTAAGCATGCTGACGGAAGTTTAAATGCAGATAGCCAAACATTCGAGAGACTGTGAAGAAGAGAGGTAATCAACTCAAGTCTTCCTGCAAAGGAGAGGAAACGTGCCTTCCACGAGGTTATCTTCCCCATGATCTTCTCCAGAAGCGGTTGATAGTCAGACGTGGACATGCGTTTTGTTAGGAGAGGTAAACCAAGGTAACGAACTGGGAGCTGACCGGAATCAAACGCAAAACGTGTCGCCATTTCCTGCTTCACAGCCCCTGCTAGGTAAAGTGTTGATTTTTCCATACTGATACGCAGTCCGGAGAATCTCGCAAACTCGTCCAAGACCTTTACTATTCCTTCCACTGATCTTACTTTCCCATCGGTGAGTACCATTATATCGTCCGCAAAGCTTAAGTGGGTTAGACCAAGGTTTTGACACTGTGGATGATATCCGATCTGCCTTGCACTCGCTGCCTTGTCAAGAAGCTTTGATAACACGTTCATACATATCACAAACAGATATGGTGAAAGTGAGCAGCCTTGTCGAAGCCCTCTTACACTTTTTTTTTTTAAAAAAAAACAGCCAATTCCCCATTCACTCTTAGACTGAAAACGAAGCAGTGGTGACACACAATCGGATCCAGTGAACAAGCCTTGCTGGGAAGTTCATAGCGATAAGCGTATTGAGCAGAAAATCCCACTGAACAGAGTCAAAGGCCTTTGAGATATCGATCTTTATGGCGCAGCGAGACGAGACAGAGTCCTTGTGGTAATCTTTGACCAGTTCAGTAGCCAAAAGTAGATTTTCAATGAGGAGACGGTCCTTTATAAACGCAGATTGGTTTATAGAGATTAAGTCCGGCAAGACTTCTTTCAATCTATTAGCAATGATTTTGGACACCACTTTGTAGATCACATTGCAGCAGGAGATTGGTCTATAGTCTTTCATCTCAGTTGCTCCAAGCTTTTTAGGGATAAGAGCTAGAATGGTGGTGTTGACTCCTTTTGGCAGAAAACCTTTCACGAAAACATATTTGACTGCAGTAGTGAATTCAACTCCGACAACAGACCACGCTTTTCTAAAAAATTCCGATGTGTAGCCATCCGGTCCCTGTGATTTATCGTTTGGCATGGAAAACAAGACCTTTTTGATTTCATCATCAGTGACCTCGCGAATAAACCTGTCATGATCTTCTTCTCTGCAGCGTGGCACTATCTCCTCCAGAGAAGCTATAGTGAGCCCTTCAAAATCTGCAGGTTTGTGTTGCAGAAAATTAACGGAAAAAAATCTCTGCTTCTTCTTTGATCGCATCCGCAGTGTGAACAACAGTACCATCTCTGCTTTTTATTTCCCTTATAGTGTTCTGAGCAACTCTCTCTGCCACTCCCTTATGGAAATACTTGTTATTCCTGTCTCCAACCTTGAGCCAATGTAACTTTGACTTTTGTTTCAAATATTTCTCTTCTATACTAGCCACATTCTCCCATCTTTTAAACGCCACATTTTCCTCTTCCATATTCTGCAAGGTTGGTGTTTGGAGATTTCTCTCCTGCTTCATGCATAGATCCTCATAAGCCTCTTGTGCTTTCTTTGTAAGATTTCCCATATTCTCTTTAGCTAGTGCTCTTATCTTTGGCTTAAGATGTCAACAATTTTTATTATTCAAAGCCTCACCATCCTCGAATCTACTAATATACACACTACAAGATGGATCCCCAGTAATACAATTTGAAAAACATCATGAAAGACTAGAATTATGGGGTAATAAAATATCGTTTAATGTGTAATACCGTTCTCCCCATCATATCCTACAAATCATGCCGTGTTCGCCATTTTCTTTTTCAATTAAACGATTCATCATCATTTTTTCATAATTGTTCCAGATATTACTAAATATTGATATATGTAAATGTAATCTATACTATATAAAAGTTGAGGCTATAAGCTCTGAGAGCGTCCACATAGGATTATAAAACGCGATTTGATTGGTCCACATAAGTATTTCCTAGATTAAGAAAGTTTCCGAATTTTAAACAACCAATAGTATCAATCCACATCATCACATAAAATTAGCTATTTGTTCAATTAGTTAAATTCCTTTTTATATTTTTATATTTTAAGAAAGTTTCATAATTCAAAGTTAAGCAATAGGAAAGTTTCCAGAATTTATAAGTGTAATATTAGTAGAGATATGTAATAAATAAGAAAATTATACCAACAATATCATTATATATCAACATCTAAAGCTACAATTGTATTAACTCGATTTTGATCAAATGTAGCTTACATGAATAAACATATGTTCACGTCAGAGCTTGATATAAGATCAAACAAATCCAACATCGAGAAACCACCTGGAAGCAAGATGGAGGGATATATATTGAAGACAAGATACTTTGACATCACATATTGAAAGTTCACATAGATCGATCAATTCTTCTAAAGGATATGTAGTGAATTAATGAAAAATCATGAAGCAAAGGAATGATTGAAACGAAGACAATGGGCATCACACTGAAGGTATACATGTCCTTCTGTGAAATAAATAAATTCGCTTGCTTTATTTCGAATATTATCTGGTCTATGGTGTTCAATTGATTTTCTTTGTATTTTGATAATGGAAGCACATCCAATTAATTAATAAATAAGTTACATTACCACAAAATAATCAAAGGACTATGAAGAGAACAAGGAATCGAAATTACCAAAGTGTAGATTAAATCAAAAGTGAATTGTTGCTCCTAAATTAGTAAGCTTTCGATGGGGAAAATAATATTGATTATGAAGAAACAAAAAAAATCAGAATAGTGATTACATGACACAAATTGAAAGGAAAAGGCAAACACAATAGAAGGCTGTATTTTGTTCCTTTTCTATTTTTCTTTTCTTCGTTTTTCAATGTTTTGTAATATTTACATATTCATGTGTTTATAAGTAGTACTTTTAAAAGATGTCACTTGAAAGAGAAGGAATATAAACAAAAGTAAATTTATTAAAAACAGAATAAGATAAATTCCTTCTCATTTTAGTATTTACATATGACATTCAAAGGGCCTGTTTTGAATATATTTTGTTCAATAAGTCATTCTAGCTTGATTTTATTTTCAGTTTTTCAGGTAACGAAATTGTGTTTTATTTAATTATAATTTATTCTAAATTTAAGAGGAATAGAGCCATGCAGAATTTTACAAGAGGAATGGAACCATGCAGAATTTTAAGGGTCGAGAATAACCTACAGAAATAAGAGAAAACAAAATGAAGAAAAAAGTAGACACAAAAAAGAAGAGTACCAAGATAAAACCGAAGAATAGCGAAAACAAAGATATTGAATTGCGAATACAAAATAGAGACAAAAGAAGACAAAGATGAATAAGGAAAAACCATATTAAAAACTTGTGAAGAACAATTTGAAGAGGAATTCGAACAAGAACGAAGGAGAAGAAACCTAACAACAACAAAAAAACTTGCGAAGACCAATCTAAAGAGGAAATAAAATAAGAACAAAGGAGAAGAAACCAAATCAAAACAAAACAAAAAAAAAGAAGAAAAAAAAAGAGAGCAAAGACGAAGAAGAGCAAACGCGAAGATGAGTGAAAATGAAGAAGAAATCAAATAAGACCAAAGACAAAGAAGAAAACAAAACATAAGATACTGAAAAAGAATGAATCAAAGAAAATTAAAAAAAAACTTTAAAACAACAACGAAGAAGAAAATGAAGAACAATTATGTGTGTCGACTAGCTTCTCTTCATTTAGGTTTTAGGTTTTATAACCATTGAAAACTTACCAAAATATTAGTTTATCATCTAGCTTAAATTTATTACATACAAATATTGTTATTTATAGCATTTTAAGTTCTAACATAACCAACTGAAGTTATTTTAAATAAACATCATGTTATATACAAATATTATTGACATCTAATTTTAAGAATTTCACTAAATATAAAAAATATATTTCTGTTTAGAAAATGACTAACACGTCACAATAGTTCATAAATTAACATTACATTTTACAAATAAGTTTAGTGATAAAGTAAGTTTGTCCTATTATAATGATTTGAATATCTTCAAGTAAGTTTTGGTCATTAGACATACACAAACATTTTTGTTACCGGGATATGATCTAAACAATATTTTTGTATGTCAAGATTTGATCTCAATACGATATTGATATATCTAAAAACTTTTGTTTTCCAGAGAGTTTTGGTATTGAAATATTGATAAATTTTAATTGTTGATTTTTGCAGTTTAAAAAAAAAAATTAAATATATTTTAAACTGATTTAAGATATAGACCCGCGTGTGCGCGGGTGAAAGTCTTAGTTATTTGAAAGATAGGAAGATAGTAAACTAAACAAAAAGGAAAAAGAAATCGTAGTATTGGTTAACTTATATTATAGTTGTAGTGTTCTTATTACATGTAGAGAGAACAAAAGTAAGCTTTTGAACATTAATAACTTGTAAGCATTTCATAACCTTCGGCGGAAAATTAAGCTTAACTTTTATAAAAAAAAAAACAGCACATCTTTCGGCTTCCTGTCTATCGTAAATTATCCTTTTTTATTCTATAATAGATTCTACTTAATCATGTTTTCCATTAAACCATAAACAACTTAAAGTGAGAAATCTGTTATATACATGCATTTACATCTGTAAAAACTTATGAGTTACTATTTTAATAACCGTCATAAAAACTAGGTGGTTAAATCTCGGGTTTACTTAACTAATTTAAATTTTATTTACAATATTTTACGCACATAATATTTCGTTAGTTATTGGGTTTTCTTGAATGAATGTAAAGTTAAGTAACATTTAACAACATCCGTTTGACTCTTTTAGTCTTTTTCCAAAAAAAAAAAAAAAAAAAAAAAAAAAAACATCTCTATGATAGCAAAATATAGTGTGTTAATGTAGACCCGTTTTTCTTACAAGTTTGTGTTATTGTCCACTATAATTTTGTCAAGATGTCATGTAATTTCCGGTTGATTAAATAAAGTAAGGAAAATGGCTCAAAAATGTAAACGAGTGTCAAATCAACCCGGGCGTGGCGGGATGGTTTATTGGACAGCTCTGCTAGTCTGCTGTACATGACGATGGCTATTATTAGTTTTTACGATTTCACGTTAATAAGCCAACCTTGCGTGAGTTTCTGGACTATCTTGTTTTTTTTACAATATAAACTAACTAGCTTCATGCACTATTGTTCATTCGTTATAATAAAGTATTTTTCAATCAACCATAAAAAGATATGTTTCTTCACACTGTATAACACTTTAAAAAATGTATTTCACTTCTTTTCAATTTTTCATATATCCCAAAAATCCCATAATTGGTTGAACGAGTAAAAGATGACCCACGGTGTTCTCTAGAAGGTGATGAAGTTGTTGGTCTTTCTAATAAGCGATAATAAAATTTCCCCTTTTTCCTTTTCTTATTGGTTAAAGGTATAATTTTCCATTTTTTACCAGTTATGATATTTTCAAAAAAATGAAATGATCAACAGCCTTGATATTATTAAAAAATCAATAGGATGATTTATTAGGTGAAAAACAAAATATGTAAAACTACGCATTGAAGATAACGAGATTTTGCATCTAATATTTCATCTCGTAAACTTTAATTACATATACAAAGAAAGGGTAAGAATAACAAAGCCCATACCTAATCACATTATCCTTCACTTCTACTCTAAAGAAGTTACATGCAAACCAAAAAGATCGAGGAACAATTAAAGGGGTCAAACATTCTGAAACCCTAATTACATGTCAAAGCAAACATCGAGATCGATGGTGAAGGCTTCGTGTACTACTTTTTTGTGTATATTAGTGCATGCATACATATAATAAAGAAATCTAGAGAGAGAGTGTGTGTGTGTGAATCGTGATCATGGAGACAACAAGGCTTGAATACCAATGTCGTTGTGTTTTCGTGAAGGAGCAGAAGCTGGAATAGGGAAGTGTCTTGGCAAGAACCCTAAGAAATGACCTCTCCTCATAGTGTCTTTATTGTGATCATTATTAGGGTTTGTGTAGAAAACGCTTGATGGCAAGGGTCTTGAGGCGCCGGAGTGCTGAATGAAGAAGAAGAAGCAGAGGACCAGAAGAATAAGAGCTTGTGGGTTCATTGATAATCTTTTTCTCCAATAATGTGGATGTGAAGGAACCATTTCTGGGTTTCAAATCTGAATCAGAGAAAGAGATCAGTAGAGATGTTTTTGTTTGTTTAAATTTTGGGGAAGTGGGTTTTTGTTTTTGGAGTGTTGTGGAGGATTCTTGATGGAGTAAAAGATGGTAAGTAGTGATGAGATCAGCAGATTAAGAGAGAGAGAAGAGCTTTTGAGAGCAACCCCTTTTGAATAGGTCTCTCTTTGGGTGGATCAATTATAATGGCCAACAAAATAAATAAAGGTAAGTGAAACTGAATACTGAAAACTCATTTATTGAATCTTATATGACCCATCCATAAGCGACTGCGTCTATTTCTTTTTATATAACAAAAAGTCTTTTGCGTGGAACATGTATCCCTTGTTTATTCCATAATTTTGAATAGATTTATAAGAAGATCGTGGATTTTATACATATGCAGTGTCAGGTGGACCGGGGGACATAAGAAGCAATGAAGCATACTATAAGGAAGCAAATACTATTAGTACGAAAAGGCGAAAAATATCATTTTTATTGTTCAGTTTCAATCAAGAAACTTTTTTTTCCAAACTCTCTTTTAGTCGGAAGCTAATATTTCATAGTACTTCAAATATCTCCACAAAAATAATTAAATCATTTTCCTCTCGTGAAATTCAAATTAGATCTAGTAGCACTAAAACAAAATTCCCAACAATAATATACTCTCTTTACTTAACACCACTATACTTTCTTACTAACAAAAAGTAAGCTAGTTTGTCACTCGGAATCTCGGATGTTGTAAATAGTGTCCTCCTATGCACGTTGAGTTACACAATGGTTTACAAAAATGTTAATATAATGCACTGAAAGATAAAATGGTCCACAGAAATTTTAGTTTATAATAGCGGAAGATGGTCAATGAAGAAGGTTTTTGGGTCCCCAGCCAGTCCCCAAAGTTAAGGCTTAAGTGATATAAAGTGGGAACAATTTCCTCTCTCCCCTTTTATTTTATTCTCAGTATTTGTTTCTTGTCGCTCGGTTGTAGTATGCTATTAAGTATTAACTAATGTTACTTTAACATGGTTAGTGTCACTTGTAGAGTCTGATGAGCCAACCATTTGTCCAATTATGTACTTTTTCTTTTTGTTAAAGGATAGTCCAGTTACTTAAATAGTAAACTTTGCCGTTTCACTGTTACTTTTTGTGTTTAACAAAACAATATGGAGAAACATACATGCATTTTGTTAAAAAGTTAAACAAACAAAAAAACAACCCAAAGCAATGTGTTTTCTTACAGGACTTCAAATTCCTATAATCTACATTACACAAACAAATCGGTTATAGATCCATTACTTGGAATACTTGGACTGCGTTAACCAAATCTCATGGTAATTCGTTATTAAATTGTATTCTATCTACAAAAATCAGATTTCGAATTTTCCATTTTGCGAAACTTTTTTTTCTTTTGGCCAATTCCATCCACTAGCTGTGAGACTACAACTATATCATTACGAGAAAGATTAACGGTGGAAATTAAGACATAATTGCTCTTCTTTGAAAAGAAAAACATAATTACGATGCTTCTTTAATCATCAAATCCAAGCCCGTTTAAATGGGCTTATAAGTACCCATTATGATTCTTTACACACTTTTGTAAAAGGTTTTTTTTCTTTCTACGGCACTTTACTTAAAAGCTTTCTGTGATTCAAGTAACATGATATTCTGCATGTCCATGTATTAACAATTTAACATATATGACAGCATTTAAGACACATTACTGGAGTCGACTTGAGATGTTTGGTCATAGTAATAATTTAATATCAACCCAAAATGTTCCAACCAATACACACATATATATATAGCTACACTTTTACTAGAAAAAACAAGTTTTTTGTATTTTGTGGTTAGCAAAAACAAAAGTATGTGTAGTATAGCCCACACGAGGAAATACTTTCCTTCCAGCAATTATAATCTTTGCTTCTCTTGATCACATATAAGCGTGATCAAAAATTTTCCCCGTATATCAAGGAACAAAAGTATGATCTTTATTCCATGATATAAGCAAAAACAAATTGTTACGGAATTATATGTAATCGCACGCGAATGGATTATCATTGTTTCTATGTCACTTTGCGGTTCCTTATTTTACTTTTCATCATCTGCTTAATTACTCGTAGCGTGTGAAAATCTTCATCATTCTAATTGTGTTAATCCCTCCGTTTCATCTTTTTGACAAAATGAATCTAGACTATTTAATGATGTATCTATATGTGTTTTGAGTTTTAAGACATCCATTAATATCTAGATACATTGGGTAAGTGAAAAGTCAAAACGACACTTATTATAAAACGGAGGGAGTATCATTCTTTCTTCTTTTAGTGTTTATGAATATACAGGTTGTTCAGTCTCTTTATAGATAAACTCGATTGAATACCATTCGAAACTTTCAAACACAATCCCATTTGTAGATTAGGTTTTAATCAAAGTTCGGAAAAACGTATAGCGTTGCGTCGATCTATACTTTTTTGCTATTCGTAGATCATAAGAACTATTATTTCACTCTTCTTATAATGTAACAAAAATTAACTGAAATAGCTTGACTAGTATCAAACTCCTACAGTATTAGCAAAATTAGTATAACGTTATCCATGATTGTCTATATATATTTAATTAGTAGAATATGTATGCGATCAGAGTTTAAGATAAGTTAACCAATATATACACACACAAATATCAACACGGCCACATACATTCGACAATATATTACCCATTGTCAAATCTGAGTTAAAGAAGAAAAGCTGGTCAAATCTGATAAATTCCTTACAAAAATTCTAGAGAATTCCTCAAAAATAACTCACTGAGAATAGCATGATGTTGACTCGGAATGGGAACAGGAACATGACATTGGATATGTTTTTTTTCATGTGATGCAAACGAGTTGCCTCTGTCTCTGGAAACCTTCGAATAATGAAACGTACAACCTTACACTTTTGGAACTCGATTCTTCTTCATGTCGCTATCTTCACCCAATGTTTTTTTTTTAACTTTAGACCATAGATTTATGGAGAACTAATTGCGAATACGTGTCATGCAGAGTTGTCTTTGCCATTTAACCAACTGACTAACCGAACATGTAATCTCATTATATGATTTGTAAATTAATCGTAAACATTTTAGTTCTCGATTATGTGTATTTGTATTTGATAAATTATGAGTTGAGAGAGATTACGAGTTTCTAGTTTGAGATCAATGTCTTATAATATCTGCAACTTATTGTAGATTTGTGAATCCATGTTTATGGAGATTTTAGTATATGTCCATATAGCAATCATCTTTAAAATATCGTTTATTGTGAACAGTCTGATTGTGAATATATATAGGACTCTCTTCATTTAGGATATACTTTATCCATCTAGCTAGCAGTATCTCCATCATTTACATAGAATTTAAAGATGATATTTGATGAGAAATCATGACATGTAGTTTAATGTTTTGTATAAGTACCGTTGCTACTTACTTACTATTTGAATTATAGTTGTAGTTGAATTTAAAAAAAAAGTTCCTAAAATTATCCTTGCATATGAGGACAAACGAAAATTATTGTCCACTAAGAACAATAATGGATAATTCAGATGATGAGTGAGGTAATTTATTAAAAGGTGAGATGAATAGAAACTGGCGTTGATATTTTCCGGTTTGGCATAATTGCTAATTGTAGACAATGATGCACGTTCGCATCATTATTTTTTAACTTTCTTTCGGTGCAATTCTACCTTATTATATAGTATATACTACACAATTAGCAATTATATGCTCACGAGTAGATAATACATACTCAATTAATTCGTTTGCAATTATACATAAATAATACACACACAAGTAGCAATTATAGTACATACTCAGTTCACTCGTTTGCTATATAGCATGATTATAAACAGCAATAATTTGAGGATTTTCTTTGAACTAAGTGCTACTTAATTACCATTCATTTCACTTTAAAATATGGACGTGCTATATTTTCAACTAAAGGTTGCTAAGATCGTACGCTCTTTTAAACGGTTATTATTACTCATGATCTTACCCGTTTAATTACGCTAATTAAACGTAATAAAAACTTGACCTAACTACTATAACCTTATTACTCATACAAAATACTATTATTATAAATGATTCACGAGTCAACTAGCATTTCGTCCGACTCCTACCTATGAAAACTGGATTTTATTCAACACCTAAGTTTGATTTTCCTATTTAGGCCAACAACTCTCGGTCATTCGCTTTTATCATCCAACTGATTTTTTTTTTTAAATTAGTTTTTTCTCATAGTAAATATGCATGCCAGCATTAAAGAAAAAGAGCAAAGAACCACTTATAAGTGGAAACCTGAATTTATTTTAAAAAAATAATAATAAAAAAAAAACTGAAAACAAATCAAAACCAACTAATTTATTAAATGCAAAGCACCTCCACCCTTACTTTATCATCCAATGTATTATACATTTGGCACAACCGTACATGAGCAATTAAAGCAATAATTAACAAATAAACAAAAGCACCAAACTCGAATCCATTGAATTTGAATTATATATCTAATGCAACCCCTATTAATTTGTTAGTCAATTATACAACTTCATTAGACAGTTAGGCAGTCTAACCCTATATTATACGTTTGAGACAACCAAAATGTTGTGGATCTTCGAATACTTCTATAATTCATATACGTAATTGCTCATCACAAAAGGTTAAATTTATCTAACAAACGTTATGTTGACCAGAAGATGACAATCCGGAAAAAAAGAAACGCTTTCGCTTTTCTCGCCGAATCGAACACCTCCGCTCGAATTAATTATCTTTCTCCGTAGTGGAAGCCACAACACAATTTATTACTATTAACAACAAAAACACACACAAATTTGAGAAGTGGGTTAAGATTTTATTAAATTATGCACAAAAAAATGTCAAACTATTATTCGCCGCATGACCGATATCTCTACCACAGTTTTAGTATTTGCTGACTCGGAGAGTTTGTTCTGGCGTTACACACATATCCCTATTATTATAACGTTGCTTTGTAATGGTTGTTTGGTTTGGAATAGAATAATAAATTTCATTTCAATTGTAATCCCATCAAAATGTACAAAAAGATAAGACAGATATGGACCAAGCCCATGTGCATTGTGCTTCAAAGACGAGATCGAACTAGCCCCCTCGTGCAGAATATGGGTCCCAGTGTTACTCACACGTGTATAAAGATCGGCACCGTTGGTCAAATCTCCCATCAAAACTAAATCTAACGGTTACGACTTGACCAAGCAAGACACACAGACAGACAAACTTTGATTTTTGACCCAAGACCAGAAATTAGTTGAATCTCTCATTATTTTCGTATTAAATACACTACTTAAATTTTCTATGTCCGACTTGTCAACTGGATTGTTTTTTCGTTAACGTTTTCAACAAATATATACAGTTGCTTATAACTATAGACTATAGTATGTGTATATTATCTATATCCAAATATATGATGAAAATTATCATGTCTAGGGAATATTTAGGACCGAATGTTTTCTTGAATGTAAAAATACGAAAAGGAAAAAAGAATATGTTTTTGGTTCAAAACGGTGACGCAAGCGTGCGTTTGACTCTCTCTCTCTTTAAAACCACCTCCACTCACTTCCTTCCCCACCTTTCACTTATAGCAAAAGCATATCATCGTTTTCTCTTCATCCTCCCCAACTTTATTTTCCCGCATTTTCTCCACTCCAGATTTTCTCTGATTGTTCTTTCCTTTTCTATTTTCTCGGATTTTTTTTTTTCGAAACGCAGAAAACGATGGGGAGAGATGAAACCGAGACGTACATTACGGTGCCTAGCTTCTTCAAGTGTCCGATATCTCTTGACGTGATGAGATCTCCGGTTAGTCTCTGCACCGGCGTTACCTACGATCGTGCCAGTATCCAGAGGTGGCTCGACGGAGGAAACAACACCTGTCCCGCCACTATGCAGGTTCTCCGAACAAAGGATTTCGTTCCGAATCTCACTCTTCAACGGCTTATCAAAGCCTGGTCCGATTCCGTTGGCCGTTACGCCGCTGGTTCTCCGGCTCCGAATCGAAGAGTTCCGACGACGGAAGAAGTGAACGAGTCGTTGAGTAGACTGGGTCTAGAGAAGGACGATGAGATTCGTGTGGAGATTCTGTCGAGGATTGTTCGATTCGTGAAGGATTCCGACGCGAACAGAGCGTTTCTCTCTGGGAATAACGATTTCGCACCAATGCTTGTGGATATCATCGCCGCCGGCGATGGAGGAATACGCACGACGACGAAGATCAAGCTAGTTCTTCTCGCATTGAGGATTTTGGATGCTATCAAGGGAGATCGGGAACGGTTATCGAATCTGATGTTGGCGAACGGTGGCGGTTGCTTGACGGCGATTCTCCTGGCGATTCAGAGCGGGAATCTGGAATCGAAGATCGAATCCGTCAGGGTTTTGGAGTGGATCGCCTCCTCCGACGCTAAATCGAAGCTGGTGATCGCAGAGCGCGACGGGATTCTACAAGAGCTGATCAAATCAATCGGCACTGAGTCCGATCCGAGCTTGATCGAAGCGAGTTTATCTCTCCTAATCACAATCTCGAAATCGAAACGCGTGAGATCGAAACTAATCGCCGCGAAAACAATCACGAAGATCAAAGACATTCTCCTCACGGAGACGACAAGCGTAGCGGTGGCGGAGAAATCGGTGAAACTGCTAGAGATGCTGTCGTCGAAGCGAGAAGGGAGATCGGAGATTTGCGGCAGCGACGGAGGCAGATGTGTGGAAGGAGTGGTGAAGAAGATGTTGAAGGTATCGACGACGGCGACGGAGCACGCCGTGACGATTCTGTGGTGTTTGTGCTACGTTTTCCGGGAAGATAAGACGGCGGAGGAGACGGTGGAGAGGTGCAACGGCGTGACGAAGCTTTTAGTGGTGATTCAGAGTAACTGCTCGCCGATGGTGAGACAAATGGCGAAAGATCTGATTAAAGTGTTGAAGCTTAATTCATCTGCATCTGCTTTGGCTACTTACGAGACCAAGACCACTCATATTACGCCATTTTGATTAAAATAAATAAATGCCATCAACTATTTTGAACGTAGATATCGTAAATCGTAAGACAAATTTTGTTAGTGTGATCAATTTTACAATTAAAGTTCATGAGATATCAGTTTGAATTTCAAGTTTTACAAATTTTGTTAGTGTGATAACAATTCTTTATTAGCAATTTGAATTGTTCTTATCCAAGTGGCATGTTTTTTCATAGGCTTAAAAGTTAAAACTGTTAAAATCCCAGTGTTTAACTATCAGTTTGTATATAAACGTACAAAAATAAATTATTTTATAAAACAATTTTTTTTTTTGGTGAATACAATATTTTAAATTTTGTAACTAAATTGGACTACTAATGAAAGAGTCGAGTTTTAACGAAAAAAATATGGTTTATAACTACATTAGTTAGTAAAAATGTAGGAAACGGAATCAAGTGACCGTTATCTTATTACTATGGTTTGATAGCTGAGGTTATAGGTATTGGCTACACATTTATGGTACAATCAAATTCAAACGACAGCTTCATGTATTGAGATTAATCTAAAAGTATGGTCCATTGAATCTGCCTAAAAGTTGTATTAGTGTGAGTAAAACGGATGGTTATATAATTTTTGAATCATAATCCAAAAGAAAGGAATAAGGTTCCTTGGATTGAAGTGAAATGAACAATGGTCTAAAAATGTCTAAATCTTGCAAACGACCTTTTAATAATTTACTCTTCCTGTATTTTGTTTTTTTATATGTTAGAGGAGGTTGCAACATATAATGGTCATGCCTCTCTCACACCCACCCGCTTTATTTATTCTTACTTTTTATTCGAATTTTGATTTGAATGGTACTTGCTTCAACATTTGATTTGCAACTTGTTCTCTTTTATCTACAAGACAACGCATATTATTTGTAAAGGCACGAAAAAATTGATCCTGTTGCGTCGTACAAATTTTTACACGTAGTTTACGAAATCAGGTTGATTATTTTATGATGATTTAAACGATCGGATAAAACGTCGTAATCCGTTTCAAATTCTGTGTAAAGTGAACCAAAAACATTTCCATAGATCATATGTTCTGGCTTCGAAGAAAAAAGACCATATGTTCTTGCTAGTTTTTGTTTGTTTGTTATTAACTAAGTATCTAAATTATGTGTAAAGTGAACCAAAAATATTTCCATAGATCATTAGTTCTGGCTTCGAAGAAAAAAGATCATATGTTCTTGCTAGTTTTTGTTTGTTTGTTACTCACTCTGTTTCATAACAAGTGTCGTTTTGATTATTGACTTACCCAATATATCTAGATGTACTAAGACTCAAAACACATGCAAATACATCAATAAATAGTCCAAATTCATTTTGTCAAAAGGACACTAAATGGGAGAGTATTAACTAATTATCTAAGATCTTATTTACAAGTTTTAACTTTCAACACTTTAATTCTGTCAAAAATTGAAAATTGATATAAAATATTCACATTTTACCCAAAAAAACTTTCAACACTGAAAAATTGCTTTCATATAGTACATTTTTAGTCATTTTTTTCCCAAAATCTCTGATACTATTATGTAGTGGACTAAATATTAGATTGGGCTAAACGAGATACACGATGTGGGCTTTGGATAAAGAAATGTAAGGCCGTTTCATACGGATTTCCAAATTCCAAGTTCAATCAAATAACCGGTTTTTTGTCTTATGAATTGATATGGTAAACATTTGCATATCAACCAATCACAATTCACAGTAACGAATATAGGTTAGAATGTTATAGACAAACTGAATACTTTCTAGTTAGAAACTAAAAACATACCTAATTTTTTAATGTACCAATTTCTGTAAAATAAAAAGAAGAAGAAGGTTAAAACGTTGTTTCTTGTGAAACGACGAGAAACAACCATGTTAGAGCATGTTTATTGGTGATACTCAAATTGTCTCTTACCATTATTATAACAATAAACTTAAGTTAAGAGATCAGGTTGTCTCTTAACATGATTAATGGTGATACTCAAATTGTCTCTTAGCATTATTAAAACAACAAACTTAATATGAATCAAGATCAAGGTTCATCACACACATACAACAAAACCTCAACAATAATCCTTCAATCTCTTGATCGCAAGAGCATTGAATCTTCTCTGCACAAACACCCCACAACACAAATCACAAATCCACTCTCTTAAGGACTAAGAACACACATGAAACCAAGGATAAAGCAAAATCTAATCTAACCTCAGAATATAGAACACATGTAGTAACCAATACTCTCTGCTTCTTGGGCCGTGAGTGAGACCAACACAATCAACAAGCTTGTCAATACCAGCTTGAAGAGCAGCTTGAAGAGCTCTGGTCAAAAGAGATCTCCTTTACATTTGCAGAAGAGTCCACCAACGGCTGGATTATAGGACTAGTTCCTCTAAGCTGTAATGTGGAACCTATAAAACGCAATTCACCGGAAGAAGTAGCATCCTCAAGCTTATATGTTCCTTCTCCAGCCTCGAAAACAGAGAGAGTCACAGATTCTTGAGCACAAGTTGGTACGTTCGGTCGCAGAAGAATCGTCTTTTCCTACACTATAAGGACGTCTTTGTCCCAGTACAGATTTAACATCTTCAACAGAGAATTGTAACTGGTTTAAACCAAGAAAACACCAAATTAGCAATCCCAGTTACTAAAACCGCATATCAAATGTAAACATTCAAAAGCGTGACCTTTTCGTTCTACACAAATGGTAGAAACGAGATTGAAGCTCATCCAACAAAAAAAATCGGTCTTAAACCCAATTGCAAATCGGTCGATACCAACGCCACACACTATAACCGCAATCCCGTACATGTCTCCGCCAGCGTTTTCTCTCCCTCCCTAGTCTCCTTCCCATCAAAAAGTTGTCACGAAATTGTCTTAATGGAGACTAGATTTCAGTGTAATTTCTCAATGAAATTTGAAGAAGAATCGAAGAGAAGCAGGTCACGGAGGGAGCAAAGGCGAATCGCCTCAGGGAACCGAAGAAGAAAGAGAGAGAAGGAAATCGTGAAATGAGGAAAAGAGAAACGAGATTTTTTCTTGCCAACAGCTCGCCCAATTAAAATTAGACACGTGTCCCGTAAAAACGTCTCTTGTAATTGTTCAACTTCCCTTATATAAGAGACGTTTTTAGCATAATTAGACATTTTGATTTATTTTTTTAACAAGATTCCCTAAGAGATGGTGATAAGTAACACCAATAAACATGCTCTTACAAGATCTCTTAAGTTTGTTACTTCTATGCATGCAACCATAACTAGCTCAGGTACTAAGAATTGATTGTTACAATAAATTCGTAAACTCTATATCATTTTTGTCATAGTATCATATTAGTATTTGCAAATCAATTTTCGTGAATGGAGCCACCACGTTAACTCTCAGCCTCGGAATTACATAACTACCCTTAATGAAAATCTTGAATAAATCTTTCAATTTGCTTATTATCTTATTTAAAAACGAATTTATTTTATTGGACGATGGATAACGAATTTTGCTTTCTTCCTAAATTATTTTTGGATATATACCGTATAACTAACATATTTTCGCGCCACATATATGGAAGAAATTAAAAAAATTGTAAAGAATTAAAAATTGGAAAACCTAGGTTTGTTAGCCGACTCTGTCTTATATATAGTTATAGCTACAAGCAAAATCAACCCAATTCTCATTACGATTTGCATATCTTCTTTCTATACGTAATCTTACTTCTTAGGTCTCATATTTCTTCTTCTCATGTATCTTTATTGTTTCACTTTGATTTAAGTTCTATTTACTGTAATGATTAACTGATTATTTGTTATCTACTGTCAATCATCTACATATACGCTTCTAACTTCTTCTTCTCTCGCTTTTGTAACAGTGAGTTCCAAGCTAATGGAATCTAGAAGATCAGATTTGGTCCCAAGCGAGAAATATTCAACTCCAGCAAAAGAAGGTATGAACATCTATCCTTTTAATTACCATCTTAATATTCATGAAACCCTAATTCTAATGGCGAATCTATAACGATTTTTTTTTTAATATCCATAATATTTGCTTAATCATTAATAATGTGGTGTTTGGGTTATTTAGGGGGTGGTGTTACACTGTGGGTTTGGGTTTAGGGTGTAGGGTTTATATTGATGGGGTAGGGTTTAGTTTTTGGTGTATTTTAAAAAAACTTGAATTATTACAGAAGAATTTCATAATAAAAAAATCATTTATTTGAAATTTATATCTACTTTCAAAATTACATTCACAAATAGAAAAAAAAACTAAAACAACTAAAGAAAATCCAGAATTGAAAGATAACAAAACTAATAAATTTTTAAAAGACCTCAACTATATAAAGATAGAATCTATTTCAAAAATATTGAAAATTTTAACTATCGAAATGAATTGGTAGGTGATATGCAAGACACAAACAAGACATAATAGATACATAAGTAAAAGAAAAGAAAACAGTGAAAAAGAAGATGAAAAATTTAGAAAAGAAAAAGAAAAGTCGAACATGAGGAAAAAGAAAGGAAAGAAGAAATAATGGAATGTGAAGAAAATTCCAAAACAAATGAAGAATATTACGTAGAAGAACAAGAAAGAGAAGATAAAAATAAGACACCTCAAGATTACAAAAATAAGAAGTTTGCGAAAACAAAAACGATGAATACAATAAAAAGTTGTACTACTTATATTATTTAAATCTTTAATTAATAATTGTATTTAAAAAATATTGTACCCGCACAAGGTGCGGGACAACCACCTTATAGATTCTAAGTTCTAACTAATAATAATGTACGATAATGGTACCGCAAAGAGGTAATCATTGAATAATAATTATTATAATGTTGTTGCCACTGATAATGAAAATGATTTCCTAAGATATTTCCTACTAATTTCCTATGAAGACAAGTTTTAGTGTGATTTCTAAATGGAGCAATGAGAGAGATCATGCGCTGTAAAAGTTTTAGTCGGACACAAAAAGTCAACATTCTTAAAAGTCAAACTTCTCGCGCTGAATATTTTTGTTTTGTTTTTCGTTTTGGTCAATTAACTCGTCGACAAAGATTCATTCATTTCGATTCCCAAACCAAACAAGTAAAACACTAAAAGCACCAAGAAGAAGAAAACACACAAAATTCGATCGACAAGAAGAAGAAGTGAAATACAGATCCCCCAGGATTTAATGGATCCGTCGGAGTATTACGCCGGCGGTAATCCCTCCGATCAACAGAACCAGAAACGGCCGGTTCAGATCTGTGGTCCTCGTCCTTCACCGCTCAGCGTCCACAAAGACTCTCACAAGATTAAGAAACCACCGAAGCACCCTGCGCCGCCGCAACAGCATCGCGACCAAGCACCGCTTTACGCTGCTCGAGAGCCGGTGGTCATCTACGCCGTCTCGCCGAAAGTCGTGCACACCACAGCCTCCGATTTCATGAACGTCGTCCAGCGTCTCACCGGGATCTCCTCTGGAGTCTTCCTCGAATCAAGCGGGGGAGATGTCTCGCCGGCGGCGAGGCTAGCGGCGACGGAGAATGCTAGCCCGAGAGGAGGAAAGGAACCTCAGACGGTGGAAGTCGCGACGGCGATGGAAGAAGCAGCTGAGTTCAGCGGTTACGCGCCGGGAATACTCTCGCCATCTCCGGCGATGCTGCCGACAGCTTCAGCCGGGATATTCTCGCCGATGATTCACCAAGGTGGGATGTTCTCGCCGGGATTGTTTTCGCCGGCGGGATTAATGAGCACGTTTCCAATGTATAGTCCTGGTTTTGCTGGTTTGGTCTCACCAACATTTGCTGATGTCTTGAGTCATCTTTGGGATACTTAGAGAAAGATTTTAGATTTCGCTATGTAATTTATATTCATTTTGACATAATCCGAAAATTAGCCCAAAGGGTAAAATGAGCTTTCATGTAAAACTATATAACATCTCATTTAACTTCAAAAACTTCATTCCTACGATTCATAAAGTTTCTATATACAGGAGTTAAAAAGTTTCTCCTGACCTAAGATACTATATTAAGGAAGAAGAAGAAGAAGAAGAAGACGACGACGTTCTAAGCTTCATGTAGTTGCAAGAACAGAGTTCCAAGTTCCTCCGATCAATGTACCGACTCTCTCTCCTTTGATTGCTTTGGCAATGTTTCCAGGCTCCGAGAGATTGAAAACCACAACTGCAGAATCACAAACCAGAAACATTCAGATGGCTATTGGTTAAAGGTTTGAAGAGAGGGTTGTAAATAAAAAGCAAAACCTGGGATGTTGTTTTCTTGGCACAAAGTGATAGCAGTCATATCCATAACAGAGAGATCCTTTGAGGTTACTTCTTGGTACGTCAGTGACTCAAGAAGACGAGCGTTTGGGTTTCTCTTAGGATCATCGTCGAAGACTCCATCCACATTCGTTGCTTTCAACACTACTTCTGCGTTAACTGTGTCAAAAGCGAGAAAAAAAAAGAGTTTCTTTATTAAGCATATGAATGATTTGGAGAAAAAGTTTGTAACAGAGACCAAGTCTTTACTTACTTTCAGCACATCGGAGAGCTGCTGCAGTATCAGTGGTGAAAAACGGATTTCCTGTTCCAGCTGCAAATATCACAACCCTGCCTTTCTCTAGATGTCTGATTGCTCGTCTTCTTATATAAGGCTCTGCGACTTCCGACATGCGGAAAGCGGTTTGTACACGTGTTGGGATGCCGATACTCTCCATTGTCGCCTGTAGAAATATTGCATTCATCACTGTTGCCAGCATCCTGTCAAATTTTGGATGTAACTAATGAAGACCAAAAGGGAGATTTCGTTGGAGTAAAAGGAACAAAATAGGAGATGTGAGACAGAGTTGTGTGGCGGCACAAGTCAAGAATGGATTGAATACCCGATGTAATCAGCAGAGGAGCGATCAAGGCCACTGCAGCCAGCCCAAGTGGATCCACGAAAGATGTTTCCTCCTCCAACAACAATCGCAACCTGTTGTAAAATCACATGAAGATCAAGAGAGAGCATAAAGGACTTCACAATGGCCATCATGACTTAAAGCTCCAGTTTGAAGTAATTTGTTCTCAACAAAGTTTGTAACTTGTACACAGGCAACCATAAATGCATCCAGGTGCTACAAAACTGCATCTTATCAATCAACAAGTCTAGGAAAGAGCTCGTAACTTAATACTAAACAGCTTAGAAGCGTCGAATCCATGGTTGTAGCAACCCAAATTACAGCTAGAACAAAAGTGTTTGGATACAGGGTTTAGAGAATAACCTCAATGCCAAGCCGAGTCACTGCTGCGACCTCTCTTGCAATCGCCATAGTAACCTAAACAGAGTAGTGTGAAGATGGATGAGACCTTCTGGCAAAACAAATTGAAAAGGAAGAAAGCAGAAACAACAAAAAAGGACATCTTTTTTTGCATCACAAATCAAAAACCTTTGGATCAATATTCTGCTCCTCGTCTCCAGCGAGAGCTTCTCCACTGACTTTGAGCAAAACCCTTCTCCATTTAAGCGGTGGCTTTGATGTTCCATCGAAGGAAGCCATTCCAGGAAACGATGACTGGCCGTTTAAGCCACTGAAATTATACAGATTGTAGCAGCACAAGTTAGCAAAAACATAAAAAAATTGGATTTTGCAATATGTTTTTAACCAAATCCTAAACCCTATAGCAAAAAGTGTCTTCATTGACGAATTTTGACAAACACCTAGTGGGCATGAGATTAATTACCTGCCGTTCATGGACTCTGGAGCTGAACCATTGTTGGAAGAGCAACTGATAGTTACACGCCTACTGAAATTCTGATCGGAGAAGAAATTGCGATGGCGAGGTGTGAGAGGGACGAAAGAGGTTCGGGGAATAGAAGAATAAGTTGAGAATGGAGAGTAAGAAGTGAGGGGCAACGGAATCGCCATTGTAAGACAGAAAAAAGAAGATAATAATTGATATATTAGAAGAGGCGACGCCTGGTGATTTTACTGAGATTTTCAGTAGAGAAGCGTCGCCGGCAAAGAGACGATTTGAGTTTGCGAAGATAAGGTCTGGTTCAAATGTAATTAACTAATTGATCTTGTCCTTCTCTGTTCGACAGGTTTTGTTTTGTTTTTGTGATAAAAAATAAAAAAATCTCAATATTCACTTATTCAGTGTTATCTTATTATACAAAAAAAAACTGAAATAGCTGCAAAATATATCATTTTTAAAATTTTAAAAAGAATTTATGTTGACAAAAAAAAAGAATTTATGTTTAGATAATCACTCTATTTTTATATGGGGTTTATATGTGTAGCGTAAATTAATATTTGAATTTCTCTTTTTTTTTTCTTTTTTTCTTTTTTTTTGTCAACGAATTTCTCTTTTTCTTTTACCAAGTTCAACTTTTAAAAGTGTTTTTTGGTAAAATGTTTTAAAAGTTTACTTACCATAGTTGTTAGAAGACTGAAATTAAATTCTTTGCTTCGCAATGGTGCAGAATTGTGTAACACTAAAGCAGGATGACAGAATCTTTTAAATTATTCTAGGGAAAAGTCACAAAGTAAAAATCAAATAAAAAATAGGAAAAAGAAGTAAAATCTTAAAATACTTGTTGGAACTATTGGTTACTTGAATCCTTCTCTCTTTTTCTGTCCTTTAAACCTTCCTTCAAAGGCAAGTCACCACTCTTTTAAGACTGACTTTAAACATGTTTCTGTTCGAATAACGGAAAGCTCTGTTACAGAAATTACATACGACCAAGTTTACAAAGAGACAAGCATACCGTCTCGTTTCTTGCGGGAGAAGCAACCGATAAATCGATAAAATGGATACCGAAAAAGGTTATCCCAGAGGTTTCAGAGCAGACAGTCTACGACCAGAAACTAGCCGCAGAAGTTTCCGGTCAGATAGTATGCAGCTCGAGGAAGCACACGAGCTACCACAAGTAGAGATACCACAAGAGAACTCGACTTATCTCGCCCTCTTCAAGAACATAGACAGTGGTAACTTGGAAGCAACGAAAGATTTCTTGGACCGAAACCCTGAGGCTTTAACCGCAAGCTTAACCTCTAACGGAGACAGACCGATCCATAAAGCCGTTTTGTCGGGTCACATCAAGATCGTGGAAGAGATCATAAGACGAATTCAAGATCCAAAGCAAGTGTTGGAGATCAAGAACGATAATGGTTACACGGCGCTTGCTTATGCTGCGACCGGTGGGTGTGTGAGAATTTCAGAGTGTTTGGTTAATAAATGTCCCGGTTTGGTTAGTGTCCGGAATGCGAAAGAGCATATACCGATAGTAGTGGCTTCTTTGTACGGCCACAAAGATCTGGTTCGGTATCTTTACTATCACACACCTCTCAGTGATCTTGATCCTTGTGATGAGTCAGATGAACACAAGGGCATGAACGGAGCGATGCTTGTGACCAATTGTATTGTCGATGGACTATATGGTAAGTTCCTAATGATATAAACATTTGTACTGTATGATATGTTCATAAGATGTGGCTAATATGGCGTCTATATAAAGGTATTGCTTTGGATCTCATTCAGAGGTATCCTAAGCTGGCTTATACACGAGACAGCGATAACGACACAGCAATTATTGCGCTTGCTCAAACGCCTTGTGCGTTCCCTAGCGGTACCCATCTTGCGTTTTGGCAACGTTGGGTTTATTCTTGTGAGTATACTTAGCTTATATTGCTTATATTAGATGAAGATTATATAACGTTTTAAGATCGTTACAGTTCATGGTTTTTCTCTTGAAGGTATCCACATAGAGAAGGTGAAAAACCCTTATGAAGTTGTGAATCATCATCATAATCAATACAGGAAATCACAAGATCATAACCAGATTCTACAGAAGTTGTTGAAATACCTCAAGTTTTTTTGTAAGCATTACAAATAATCGCAAATCATTAGCCCTAGTTTTTGATTGATCAGTCTCAGATGAAATTTGTTATTGACAGTTCCACATATAAGACAAGTATACAAACTGAAGCTAGGACATGCTCAAGCCAAAGAGATACTAGATTGTATCTGCCGAGAGATACCAAACTTCGATGCGACCCAAGAAAAGAGCGCAGGTCTAAACCAAGCTCTCTTCAAGGCTGTGGAGAACGGTATCGTGGAGTATATCGAGGAAGCAATGAGACACTATCCTGATATCGTATGGTGTAAAGATAGTTATGGTCTTAACCTCTTCTTCTACGCAGTTAGTCAGAGGCAAGAGAAGATCTTTAGCCTTATTTACAAAATGGGTGCTAAGAAGAACATTCTCGCCACATCTTGGGACAAACTCCACAACAATATGCTTCATCACGCCGCGTATCGAGCCCCGGCTTCGCGTCTTAACCTCATTCCCGGTGCAGCTCTTCAGATGCAGCGGGAGCTACAATGGTTCAAGGTGGTACATAGTTATATATAACTGTTTCTTGCTTCACACGGAACTAGTCTTAACTGTTTCTGTGAAACAAGAAACTGGGATTTAACCTCTGTTTTCTAAACATCTGCAAGACAATAATTCTATGAAGTTATAATGTTTCCAGGAAGTAGAGAGGCTAGTGCAACCGAAGCATCGAAAAATGGTTAACTTGAAGCAGAAGAAAACTCCACAGGCTCTGTTTAAAGACCAACACAAAGATCTTGTGGATCAAGGAGAGAAATGGATGAAAGAAACAGCGACTTCTTGCACAGTAGTCGCGGCTCTAATCACCACAATGATGTTCTCCTCCGCATTTACTGTCCCCGCAAGTTTCGATCACGAACATACACTATTCATGATCTTCCTCATCTCCGACGCTATCTCTCTCTTCACCTCATGTATGTCTCTGCTCATGTTCCTCGGCATTCTCAAGTCTCGTTACCGCGAAGAGGATTTTCTTCGATCGCTTCCTACCAAACTGATCGTGGGTCTTGCGTCTTTGTTTCTCTCGATGGCGACAATGATGGTGAGTTTTGTCGTGACGCTCATTACACTGGTTGGAGTGAAAGCGATGTGGGTTTCGGCTCAGTTTATGTTCCTCGCGATGATTCCGTTGGGGATGTTTGGTGTTCTTCAGTTTCCGGTGCTACTTGAGATCTTCTGCTCGACTTATTTCCCTAGGGTTTTTGATAAGCCTCGCCAGTCTCGTCGATGGTTTAAGCTTTGCTCAAGATACTAATTAATGTTGATAATCCAAATGAATAACTCTAGAGTCTAGCCTATGTTATGGAACACATAAGCAAATAATTAGAGAGGAGCCTTACTAGTTACCACTCCTTTCCAAGACAATGAACCCTTTTTTGTCTATTTAAATAAATATGTTGAAATGTCTCGAAGTTAGACAGCTTATTTTTTAAATTTCCATCTCAATTAGTGGTTTGCAAATTAACAAGAGTGTATGATACATTTTAACTTCTAGTTTTATCTCTTGTCTACAATTTTCTTATTTTCGATCCCAACATTTGCTTACTTTGTTGGAATAATATATAGTCAACAAAAACAAACTATTTCGTGAAAGTGTACGTCGTTGCCTTCTTGGAAAGGGAAGATGTATAACATACGAAAATACTTTTGCTTTGCTTCCAATACAATGTCACTTGTCAACAACATTTCCATCCGAACGTACGTATATGTGAACGTGCGTAATGATTAATACAGTCTGGACCACTGGACACATATGAAGAAGCTTAATTTTTTGTAATGATTTTTGATATTCGACTTATAATTATGTTATTAACTTATTATATAATATCTTGAATCATATACGTAGCGATGGGTGCAAGGCTCCTATCAAAAAAGTATATTTTGAACTTTCAAGTCCCCACATTTGCCTATGTGTTCAGCTATTCTTTCAGTCCTCTGATGGACACATGTCGCTTCCTGTCTTTGTCTCTCCGATTGTTAATGAAGCTTAGAAGCTAATTAATTAAACTAATTAATCTCGTACCACTTTTTGGATTTTCTTAATTATTTTACGATTCATTCCTTCATCTAAATCATATACTTTTCCCTTACATATCCTCTATCGCTTGAACTAGTGCCGTTTCTACATGTTTGCATAAGCGAAGATATATTATAATTTCATCAAAAAAACCTTGAACAATATGTTGAAGAATTTGCTTGTATAGTTTAATCTCTGGATCAAATGCGTCAAATATATCCATCGGTGAATTACTTAATTTTTATATCCATACTAATCTGTTCCTCCTTGACCAAATTCTTCTTTTTTTTTTTTTTTTTTTTTTTTCTTTTGCCAACGACGACCAAGTTCCTGACAGCATTAGACTTTTTTCTTTACGTCTAAGGTACAATAACAATACATTAGTTGTCAGAATAGATTACGTGAGCTTAAACTGATTAATTAAGCTGCTGTTGATTCTATACTAACTTCAGTTAGCTAAACAACAAAATCAAGATTGATATATAGCTATATACCGGGGATAAATGAATAAATAAATACAAATATAAAATACTATAAAGTTTGGTGGAAGCAGTTTTGAAAGGACCTCTGAACCTTGCAAGCCATGAATCAATGTATTATTGTGCTAGCTGTCTTGTTGTGTTGCCTTATCTTCACCTTACTTTGCCACCAAGGTTTAACAACAAGAACAACACGTTATATATCTTTTTTGGTATTTCAAGTTTTGATTTTATTTAGCACTGCTGCTTTGTTATTAAAATACGCCATTAACATATGGGATGGTTATGTTCCAACATACCCAACAAAAAAACGCTTAGTAATATTGAGTACATATGAAAATCCTTTAACAAAAAAAAAAGTTAATTATAGGGTTTTGTGCAAAAAAACCTCAAACTAAATTATTTTTGCAAGAAAAACTTTCATCTCAAAAAAATGCAAATAAACCACTCACCTCCAAAGTCACCCGCAATATAGCCCCTGCCTATATTAATGATGTGGCATTTTCAGAATCTTTTTTAAAAATTAGGTTTTTGTGCAAAAAAAACCTCAAACTATTTTTTTTTTGCAAAAAAGCCCTCATATCAAAAGCTGCGTTTTGATTAGCCCAGTGCATTTTGGTTTTTAGGACGGGAATTAACGAAAATGGGACGGAATGAGAAATTTAGGAAACCAAAGATGATTGCAAAGTATTTCCTTATTATAACGGACGGGAAGTAACAGGAATGAAGAGAACGGAGAAATTTGAGAATGAAAAATTAGTTCCCGAAGCCTTACTAAATCGGGAAATTGAAGATATTTTGAGAAATTACGGGAAAATACGAAAAATATGAAAATAGAAATTATGGGAAAATATAGGAAAAATTGGGATATTTAAAAATGTATATATATCATTTTTATTTTTTAACGAAAAAATCGGAAAATCTGTACCCTTTCCGAACTTTCCTTTCCTTAACTTTTGAACAGAATTTCCTGTTTGGGAACAATTCTTTTATTTAAACGGGTAAAGGAAGAGTTCGAGAAGGGTACAAGACTTCCCAATTTTCCCGTTTAAAAAAATAAAAATTGAAAAATATTTTTTTTCTTAAATATCCCAATTTTCCCATATTTTCCCATAATTTTCCGTATTTTTTCATATTTTCCCATATTTTCCCGTAATTTCCCAAAATATCTTCAATTTTCCTGATTTAGTAAGACTTTCGGGAATTATTTTTTTTCTTCTCAAATTTCCCATTATCTTCCATTCCCGTCATTTCCGGTCCCGTTATAATAAAGGAATACTTCGGGTATCATTTTTTGTTTCCCAAATTTCTTATTCCCGTCCCAAAAACCGAAATGCACTGGAGCTAATCAAAACGCAGCTTTTGATATAGGGGCTCTTTTTGCAAAAAAAATAGTTTGAGGTTTTTTTTGCACAAAAACCTAATTTTTTAAAAAATTCTGAAAATACCACGTCATCAATATAAACAGGCTATATTTGCGGGTGACTTTGAGGTGAGTGGTCATTTTTTTAGGTGAAGGTTTTTCTTGCAAAAATAATTTAGTTTGAGGTTTTTTTTTGCACAAAACCCTTAATTATACATACTGTTAACCATTCAATAATTCATTGATGCACGCGTACATCAATAATTCTCTCCAGTGTATATATATACATGCAAAAACATAGTAGAAAAAATATTGCTAATTAAGTGAGTTATATGCCTTAATGTATGTTAAATTTTATTAGAAAAAGCTATATCATAATTTTTTAAAAAATCATTATAGTTTTGAAAATAAATTATGGTTGTCTTTATAAAGAAATGATCAAAGTTTGGTGGACATATGTCAATCATAAGAAAGTTACAAACTGATAAAGGAATTTAAACAAAAGCGTGCAGTATATCCATAATGAAAAATCATGTTTATTTAACTTCTTATAATTTATTAATGGGTTTGAGACAATACAATATTTATATGATGTAATAACATAGTATTCGAAAGTGACGGAAATTTTGAACTTGCATAATATACATTTCCCTGAAACTGCTTTAATTATGCATTTTGGACGTTATTGGAATATCATGTTGTATACAACTTTTATAACATTTTATCAAATTCATGATAAGTTAATTAAAGAATAAATCAAAAATTATTGGAGCTAAGAAGGTGGGTGTGCAAAATACAGCTATCTCTTCTTTCCACAAAAACAAAAATAGAAACAAAGGAAAAATGATAGAAGAAGATTAAAAGAGACGTTATGTCTCACCTATATTGCTCTCTCCTCATCCTTGTTCAATTCTAGTGTCTTAATCCATCACTTTTATATGGCAAACTCTCCCGCCGCTGCTGCAGCCACCGCAGCAACCGGAGACTCCCGGCGCCGCCTCTCCGCTTCCATGTAAGTGTACATATTACTCTCCATAAATATATCCATAGATGTAATGATTAAAAATCTGAGCTAAATGGTCAAAATATTATTTGTTTTTGTGTGTTTTAAGCAGTGAAGCAATATGCAAGAGGAGATTCCGGAGAACTAGCAAAGGCAGTGGCAGATCGGATATGGTGAAACCTTTTAATGTCATCAATTTTCCGACACAAGACAAAAACAGTAGTTGTTGTTGTTTAAGCAAGTTTCAGATCGTAAAGATTCTCTTGTTTATCCTTCTCTCTGCTACTCTCTTCACCATCATCTATTCCCCTGAAGCTTATCATCATACTCTTTCCCACTCTTCTTCCCGGTAAATCAATCTTGACCTCAAATTCAAATGCAAAGTTATACATTTGCGTCTAACTAACATATACATGTGGAAAATTAGATGGATATGGAGAAGACAAGATCAAAGATATGTGTCGGACATAGAGATAAAGTGGGACGATATAACCAAAACCCTAGGGAGCGTCGAAGAAGCCCGTACGATCGGTGTCTTGAATTTCGATTCGAAAGAGATCCAACGGTGGAGAGAAGTAGCCAAGACTAAGGAGGACAATGAAGATGAAGAAAACGTTGTCGTGTTGAATCTGGATTACGCAGACAAGAACGTGACTTGGGACGCACTCTATCCAGAGTGGATCGATGAGGAGCAAGAAACAGAGGTCCCCGTTTGTCCTAATCTCCCAAAGATCAAAGTACCAACAAGAAGACTGGATCTGATCGTGGTGAAGCTTCCTTGTCGGAATGAAGGGAATTGGTCAAGGGACGTAGGGAGATTGCATCTGCAGATGGCGGCTGCAACGGTGGCCGCTTCCGCGAAAGGGTTTTTCATGGGACACGTTATGTTTGTCTCTAGATGCTTCCCGATTCCGAATCTATTTCGGTGTAAAGATCTTGTGTCTCGGAGAGGCGATGTTTGGTTGTATAAACCTAATCTTGATACCTTAAGAGACAAGCTTCAACTTCCTATAGGTTCTTGTGAGCTCTCTCTTCCTCTTGGCATCAAAGGTGAAAAAAGAAACCTTATTAATACTTGTTTCGATTTTAAAATGAATCGTGCTAAGTTAACAAGTTAAACTTTCTTCCATGGATTTTACAGAGAGACCAAGCTTAGGAAACCCTAAAAGAGAAGCTTACGCAACAATTCTCCATTCCGCTCACGTTTACGTCTGTGGAGCAATCGCGGCGGCTCAGAGCATAAGACAGTCCGGGTCAACGAGAGACCTCGTGATCCTCGTCGATGACAACATCAGCGGTTATCATCGGAGTGGACTCGAAGCTGCGGGCTGGCAAATTCGGACGATACAGAGGATTCGAAACCCTAAAGCAGAGAAAGATGCTTACAATGAGTGGAACTACAGCAAGTTCCGGCTATGGCAGCTCACTGATTACGACAAGATCATCTTCATCGACGCGGATCTCTTAATCTTAAGAAACATCGATTTCTTGTTCTCAATGCCTGAGATCTCAGCTACAGGAAACAATGGAACTCTGTTTAACTCAGGAGTTATGGTGATCGAGCCTTGCAACTGTACATTTGAGCTTTTGATGGAACATATAAACGAGATTGAGTCTTACAACGGTGGAGATCAAGGTTACTTAAACGAAGTCTTCACATGGTGGCATCGGATTCCGAAGCATATGAATTTCTTGAAACATTTTTGGATTGGAGACGAAGATGACGTGAGACGCAAGAAAACAGAGCTGTTCGGAGCTGAGCCTCCGATTCTTTATGTTCTTCATTACCTGGGAATGAAGCCGTGGCTCTGTTACCGAGACTACGACTGTAACTTCAACTCCGACATTTTCGTTGAGTTCGCGACTGATATCGCTCATCGTCGATGGTGGATGGTCCACGACGCCATGCCACAGGTATGATACAATACAAAACAACATCTTTGTCTTAAACCCTAGTTCATAAGCACATAGTTCTCTAGACGTTACGCGACCCTTAGCATTTTCTAAATTTTCTAGAAACATTTTTTCAGATTTTTTTCGTCCAATTTTGTTATTTCTAAAAGAAACTAAAGAAAGTAAAATTTAGAGAGTAATGGACCATGGTTACGAATGTGTGATGATGTTTGGCAGGAGCTTCACCAATTCTGTTACTTGAGATCCAAGCAAAAGGCGCAGCTAGAATATGATCGCCGGCAAGCCGAGGCCGCAAATTTTGCCGATGGTCATTGGAAGATAAGAGTAAAGGACCCTAGGTTCAAAATTTGCATCGATAAATTGTGTAACTGGAAAAGTATGTTGCGGCATTGGGGCGAATCAAACTGGACCGACTACGAGTCTTTTGTTCCGACCCCACCGGCCATCACCACCGTCCGGAGAGCATCCCTTTCCGGCCATGCCTTGTGACCCAACTAAATGATATATATACACATATACACACATATCAAATGATTTTCATGAGTGTTTTTTTTTTTTTTTTTTTTTTTCTTAATTATTGCTGCGAGATTTAGGTGGTATAATTCATGACTAATTTTTCTCTATAGCTTTTCTTTTCAATTGCACTAAAACATTTTTTGGCAGTTACACAAACATGATGAAAAAAATGTCGAATTTCAGTTTATCTATACAACACAGCTACATATCATATACAGACTTGTGAGTTATAGTTAATAAACAAAAAATTAGTCTATGCAACTTACTAAGCTAATTAGTAACTAGTGACTACACAACCAATCATTTTTCTGAGGTTACCAATTTAGTCGGTTCGTTGTGGAATATAAAAAAATCTGCGTGTTTATGTATGTGTATGTGTAAAGATTTCCTTATTATTAAGCAAAATCAAAGTTTTCCATATTAAACCTCCTCGTTAATTTAGTATAATTCATTAAAGGAAACAATATAAAAAAAGAAAACTGAATCTTACAGCGATCATAGTTAATATTTGGACATTTATGACCGAGAGAGGAGCGGATACCAAAATAAAAAGGAAATCTCGAATTAAGCTTCTCTATAATATTCTGTCTTATTCGCAAATAAATGAACAATTATCACAACTCTTCATTCAGTTCACACAGAGTTACCATGGCTTCTTCTTCTTCCTCCTCCTTCAGCCCTTCGTCTTCCTCACCACCGACAAAGAAGAAAACCACTAAATCTTCCCTCTTCTTGAAGTCTTCATCTTCGAACGTTACAAGCTTAACTAAAAGACAAGAGACAGTCTTCAAAAAAGCTTACGAGCTTTCAGTTCTCTGCGGCATCGAAGTCTGCGTAATCTGTTACGGGTCAAACGGAGAGCTTAAGACATGGCCTGAAGACAGAGAGAAAGTCAACGACATGGCTCGAAGATACAGTGAATTGAGCAAGGAGAAGCGGCGCAAAGGAAGTGTCAATCTTCCCGAGTTTCTCGAGAAGATCAAGAAGGATGATGCCAAGAAGAAGAAGAAGAACAAGAAGAAGAAAGTGGTACTTGAATCCAGTTTCAAGTATCCAGATTGGGATCCGAGGTTTGATAATTACTCTGTAGAGCAACTCACGCAGCTGATTCAGTCCTTGGAACGTAACTGGACCAGAATGAAGATTAGGCTTGGAGCTGTTGTTGAAGGTCAGAAACAAAGTAATATGCACAACACCAACATGGCTGGTCAAGAACAAAGGATGACTACTACTGCTACGATGAATCATCTTCAACAACATTCAAACCATGTTCCGATGGATCTGCTAAACCATGGAAACGCTACTCTATCGCAAATTCCACTCCCTGCATCAGCTTTCGACCAAGGGCAATCTCTGGCTCCTCTTCCGAGTTCACTGATGATTTACCCTAATTCGAATGTGGGGAGATACTCAGGATTACTTGGGATGCAAGACACTGGGATGAACGAGTATCCGAACATGTTAACCTACAACAACTACAACAACACCAATAGTTTCTGGAAACAGTTTTACCAGAATTGCCAAGGGGAAGATATGTCTAGCTTCCGTGGGGTGCAAGAAACTAACATGAGTGTGGAAGATTTTGCCGGGTTACCTGGGATGCAAGGAACTGGGATTAACGGGATGCAGAACTTTGACATGTCAATGTACAACAGCTACGCTAACAACAATGGTCTTTCTCATCAGCATGTTCAGTTTCCGACACAAAGAGCAGCACCGGTTTTTCAATATATGGATCGGTGAACCCAAATTTTAGGTGTCTCTGAGATTTGATCTCTCTCACTATTAGTTTCGGTTATATAACTTAGAAGCATATTATTATATATTTTTTGGTTGGAACATGTTATCTATCTCTGTGTTTTCATCAGATGGTTAGTGTAATGAGACTAATTAAAGAGGTTTTTTTGTGGTGTTCTTTTACTTTTTTTTTATTATTAAGGGTTTGCAAGGGTTTTACTTTTCTGGGTTTGTCTATCATAAATGTTTGCTGAATAAAACCCCATTGCTAGCTTTTGATTGTTTTAAGAAACAATCAGAATCAGCTAGTATCTCTCTAATTATATGTTGCATGTATAAAAAATGAAGAAGGGAAAAGGGAAAAAAACTGAAATCAAATGAAATTTGGAAAAAGAATTACAGAATATTGAATCCAAGTGGAAATAAAAAGTGTTGCTGTTCTGTTTGTTTTAGTCTTTTAGAAGTATCCAACGACTGAGATTAAAAGAAGAAACAGAAGGAACGGTTAAGATTCACGCCAGATCTTATTTACCCTCATTTAAGTGGGACCCACCATGACACACAGAAGCAAAATCTTTTGGCGAAGAAATTGTAGATTTTGTTCCTGTTGCAGGCTTTTACTTGTCCAAAAGAAAAGACCTAGAATTCGGAAAGTCGAATAAAACTCAGAGCTGTCTCTGTTTCCTTCATCTTCTTTCTTTCTAGTTTCTATCGTACATTAGAGTAGTCTCTTACTTGTCCGGAGATCCTAGAACCGAATAAGCTTCACTACGCGTCGGCGACTTGTCAACGAGTGAAGAAATTTAGTGAGAATTTGTCTCTCTGTTGGTTATGGCAAGCCCTATTCGTATTTAAGTGAGTGTCCCTTCTCTTGTCCAATTCTGATTCTATGGTTATTTTGCTTGAAGAATTTCGTCTAGTAACCTCAAATTAGGTTCAGTTTAGTCTGTGTTTTTGTTTTTGTTTTTGTCTGCTCAACTGAGATTCTACTTGGGCTCTGTGGGACATTGCGAATATATTTCTCTTGGAGACCTGTTACCATATATCAATTTCGGGTCTCTTCTTCTTCTTCTTCTTCTTCTTCTTGTTGTTGTTTGTGTACTTCCACGATTGGGTTTCTTCACTTAGTTCATCGTTTGATCTCTAAAGATCAGTCTTTTCAGTTGGTATTTGGCAAGATAAGATTTTTCTCTTAGATTCTCTCAGTTTAAGGGACTTTCATAACATTAAAGGTCAACCTTTTCTTGAATTCTACTTGCTATGAGCTATATCCTCGTTGAGCAGACTAGTTTGTGTAGCAAAGAAACTGGATGGTGCTTTCAAGCAATTTGATAGATTATAAATCAAATCCACTTTTGTGTTCCATTTTTCATTTTATTTTTCATGTACTTCTTTGCTAAATTTCTTCTCTTTTCTGCAGATTTTCTTTTATTGCTAGTACTAGGTTAGGGGTGGAGGAGATGATGAGTGGTTGGGGAACAAAACATGTTTCAAAATGGGACTCTAAGGAAGACACACAACATCATCTTCATCGTTCTAGCGTAAATGTGAAACCAGCTTCTTATTACCGCGACAAAGAGCCGCCCGAGACTGCCTGTTTCAATGCAGAGAGTAATGGTAGTAGAAGTAGAGTTGCAGAGAATAACGATGACAATTACTATTCGGAACCAGATGAAACTAGGCAACAACCATATTTCCACAGGTTAGTGTTTGAGCTTTGTTACATTATGTGAAAAAGTTAGAGATTCTTATTTCTGACTTGAAGTCTCTTTCTTTCTTTCTTTCTTTGCAGGAGTGGAAGTAGTAGCATTAGCAGAAGTAGAAGCCCTGTCTATAGATATAGAGCAAGGCGAGATGCAGGATCTTATGATAGACACCAGACCAGCAGGGGTTTCAGTAGGAGCAGCGGTTATAATTGTGTTAGAAAGCCAAGGGAGATGCAATATGACTCCGATGATTTCAGAGAGCATGCAGTGATGAAAGGTGCGAGGTCTTCCGGCTATGATACTGATGGCGTTTCAGATCCAAGATTGAGAAGGTATAGAAGCGAACTAACGGAAGAGAGAGACACACAAAGAAGGTACGGTTATGGTGATGGTGAGGCAGGAGAATTCCGCAGGAGTTCGAATATTCCGTGCAAGTTTTTCGCTGGAGGTGCAGGTTTCTGTCGTAATGGCAACCATTGCAGGTTTTCTCATCATGTTCTTGCTGATAGAAATCAGCCTCAAGACAACAACTACTTTTATGGAGGAGACAGTTACAATCACAGTGGTCATAATAGATGGAATGATGTTGAAAGATTGGATAATGGAATATTCGGTGGCAAAGAAGTTTCTCGTGCCAGTAAAGGAGTTCCTGAAGCTAAAGGGAATGGTAGTAGCTGGATAGATGACATGGAGATGTCTCCTGATTGGAACTATGGAGTCCGATCTTTAAAGAACCCTGTGAATGAAGAGCATGGTGGTGTTGGTCAGAGCTTACAATCTCGACTTGTTAAAGATAATTTGGTGAGTAATTATGATCAGAAGAGTAACGGTATGTTTTCATATGGTGACAAACCAACTGTTGAAGCTGCTTTGCATCAGAATTTCAATAAACCGGCCGCTCCAGTTCAAGCATTCAATCATAATGTATTGCAGTACCAAAATGGAGGAAGTCAACAAGTGCTAGTAGGCTCGAAGTTGAGGGAACCAGAGAGTGGGAATGTTTATCAGAATAGTCATCAGTTAATGGTGGAGAAAGCTGTTCCGGTGACAAATACTGTGCCTAGGGAACAGATGGATCAGATTAGCAACATGGCAGCATCTATAGCGCAGTTTCTTGCAAAGGGACAGTCCATTCCAAACCTTAGACAGGCATTGCAGATGCCCTTGCATTCGGAATCTTCCATGGCTGTTCTATCAAATCAGGCTACTACTGCGTTGCGTATGATGAGTAGTAGTAATCCAAATCAGCTATGTGGACTTGGGACGAGCACTGGCGCTGAAGGAGTCCCGGTGGTTACTGAGGAAAACGGAGACAAAAAGACTGAAACTAGCAAAGAAGAAGATGGAAAGAAAATTGAACAGGACAGGAAAGATGAGGTCGCAGATGAAGATGGGAGTGACGAAGAAAACAAGAAAGGGAAAGACCAGATGGCGTTTAAGTTTGCGCTTGTTGAGATTGTTAAGGAGCTTCTGAAGCCAGCTTGGAAAGATGGTAAAATGAACAAAGACGGTTACAAAAACATAGTGAAGAAAGTGGTTGAGAAAGTGACTGGCACAATGCAAACCGGAAACGTTCCTCAAACACAGGAGGAGATTGTCCATTATCTATCCTCTTCGAAGCCAAAGCTTACCAATCTCGTTCAGGTTCCTTTCAATACTTTTAACTTCCTTGGCTTTCTAAAACTCGATGATCCTATTCTAACCATTGTTTTTGTGTCTGTCTTCAACTCCAGGCATATATCAGCCAAGTCAAGAAGAACTAATTTGAAATTAGGACTCCCATGTTTTCTTTATACAATTCCATCTCTTGCATCATCATCATCATAAAGCGTTGAGAGCTGCAGTGGAAATATATGTTTCTTTAACTCGTTGAAAGATCAAGCGAGTGTCTGCTGTTGTTACCATCTTTCAGTTCTTTGACTGTAGATAGAGATTTTGTCCCAAATTTCTTCTTTATTTTTTTCCAAGGTTGTGATAGAAACTTAGACCAATTTCAGTGATCCTTGTCTCTTTATGGCAATTTTGTCTTTTGATCCCTTTTGTTCATGTTCCCAGAAATGTAAAATCTTCAATTGATCATAAAACTGGAATTATCCTAAGTTAAGCAGAGTGTTCTTGAAATGAAAACAGCAGCAAATTGTACGATTGGTCTTTTAACCGGTTTAAGCCGGCCTGTACCGTGCCCTCCCGCCATTTTAACTCTTCTCTCCTCTGAAAATTTTCCCGGGAATGAAAAAAATTGGGAAATTGGCGAGAAATAAAAAAAAAAAAACTGGGATCTCGTCTTCTTCGTTGTGAATTGATTTCTTCTGAAAAGGAAATGGCTTCGTCCACATCTAAAACCCTAATGGATTTTTTCCAACCCGCCAAACGCCTCAAAGCTTCCCCATCTTCTTCCTCATTTCCCGCCGTTGGATCCGTCGGCGAGGGGACTGAAGCAAAATCACCGCCTCGCATAACCGTTACCAATTCCGTCGCCGACGACTCGTCTGGTCTCACACCCGACCAAATCTCTCGCTCAGAGTTCAATAAATTCGTCGCTAAGTCCAAGCGTAACCTCGCCGTCTGCTCCGAGAAGGTCTCAAAAGCGAAAGGTTTGACTTTTATTTGATTTGTTGTCATTTTGCATCCCCATTACTTCATTCACAGTCTCTTTAGCTCTAAGAATACCTCAATCAATCTGGGCATTGAGAAATTTTGTTAGGTTTATAACGATTTTGTTCGATTTTGGGATGGAAATTGGCAGCTGAAGGAAGCTGCTACGTGCCATTGACTGAGCTCTTAGTGGAAGAATCATGGCTCAGAGCTCTTCCTGGAGAACTGGATAAACCCTACGCCAAAACCCTTTCTGATTTTCTGGAACGGGAGATCATCGCCGCTCCGATTTATCCGCCACAGCACCTGATCTTCAATGCTCTCAACACAACTCCCTTTGATCGAGTCAAGGCTGTCATTATCGGCCAGGTACCGAATTTGGAATGAGCATTGGGTTTCTTTGAGAGGAGTTTTCTTGTTATGCTTAAACAAGTTTTTGTTCCTCTGTTGGGTTTAGGATCCTTACCATGGACCTGGTCAAGCAATGGGTTTGTCCTTCTCTGTGCCTGAAGGAGAAAAGCTTCCTTCAAGTCTGTTGAACATATTTAAGGAGCTTCAGAAAGATGTTGGTTGTTCAATCCCACGTCATGGTAATCTACAGAAATGGGCTGTGCAGGTAAATGGATGAGTTTCTTTGATCATCATCACTCTCTCTCTACTTATTTGTTACTTGGAGAAGATCAAGCAATTCACACTTTTGACTTTCTTCTTTTAGGGTGTTTTGCTGCTAAATGCTGTTCTTACAGGTAATCTCTGTTATCACTAACTGTAAAAATCCTGCAGTTATTCTTACAAATATGTGTTTTTTTCCCTTGTAATCTCAGTAAGGAGTAAACAGCCGAATTCACATGCAAAGAAAGGATGGGAACAATTCACTGACGCTGTTATTCAAAGCATCTCACAGCACAAGGAAGGTGTTGTCTTTCTCCTCTGGGGAAAATATGCTCAAGAGAAATCCAAGTGAGTTTTTGATTTTATGAATTCTGACTGAAATTTCCCATTCCGATCTCTAAAACAGCAGGACCAGTTAGGCTTAGATTTCTAACGCCTATGCATGCATCGTTCATTGTTTTAGGTTGATAGATGGGAATAAGCATCACATACTCACAGCAGCTCATCCATCTGGTTTGTCGGCCCATAGAGGCTTCTTCAATTGCAGGTTAGCTCAGTCCTGTAACCAGAGTTTCCTTGAGTCTGCAAGAAATCGCACGACTTGCAATTATCTGTGTGTTGTGCTTACGTTGTCCCCATTTGCATGAATTAACATTAATGTTCCACATTTGGGCAGGCATTTCTCTCGATCAAACCAGCTGCTCGAGCAAATGGGGATTCCTCCCATAGACTGGCAACTCTAATCTCTTAACCACAGTCTTGAGGCTAAGACCAAGTATAAGTGTTTCTTATGAAACCAACCATTTATCTTGCAATCCCTTTTGTTGAGCATAGGATGTTAAAGCTGTAACTGTGTATGGCTAAGTAGTAGCAAACTGTCTTTATTTTGTAGTCTTTGAACAATGTTGTGTATGATATTAATGCTGCTTAATCGTTGCTGCAAAGTATTGATCGTTGAATGTGTTAAAAGTTTGGAGTAGTGTGCATGAAAGATAGCCAGAAGCTGAGCTGCACAAAATGAGTGCTAAGAAGATATTTTTATGCAACCCATCTGAGTTCAAGGCATGTCAGGGAAACAAAAAATTTACAATCTTGAAACAAAATTTACTGTATTCTGTGATCATGAATGAATTTTTCACAAACGGGATCCAAACTTTGCTCATCTCCATTTACCTGTTAGCTCCAAGTATGATTAATGTATCTGAATTGACCAAGTCAATCTCCAAATGTTGCAGGAGCAAACAGGAAGAAGTAAGAACCATTCTCTTCTTCTTCTTCTTCTTCTTCTCATGTCTTATGTCTTTTCCTCAAGTTCATTATAGTTGGCAAGAGCCTTTCAATCGCATGCGGACACCCAAAAAACGTCAAAAGATTCCCGCAGCTCTTTTCACCATCTTCCTCGCTTCCTTGAGCACATGAAAGACAATGCAGTTCGTCCAAAGAGGTGTTTCTTCAAAGACTCGAAAGCCAACCGAACCTCTCAAGCTGTTCCATTGCATTAGGATTGTACAAAAACAGTCCACAGTAAAGATCAAAGCTGTCACCAGAAGTATTCTCCACCAGTTTTAGCAATGTCTCGTTACCCTTTGTATCAACATGAGTAGATTCCAAGCTCAGCTTCTCTAGAACCCTTCCCACTGTATGTGTGATGAACTGCGATCCAGCAGCGTGCCAATCATGTTCAGCACACGACATCTCCACCATAGAACATCCTTCACGGGCAAAAACATGGAGAAAACTGTCACACCTAACTCTTCTCCTATCATCATCCATTCCGATCCTAACCTTATCAAACACAAACGAAAGACCTTTCCATCCATTTTTACCACTCTAGAATCTTGGAAGTGCAAAAATTTGTTGACACGAAATTTGTAGTGCAAGATTCTGTTCGAATTTTACATTACTTCTTCACAATAATTTGTTTTGACACGAAATTTAAATGAGACAGTTTGAGCAAAAATGAAAAATAAACAGCTTGCTTTTGTGAAGCAATTAGTTTTTTTTCAGGATAACGAATAGCAGTGGACTGCAAAAAAAAAAAAACACTTAGCAAAATATTATAGCCAGAATAAACCTGAAAATTTTGGTATATTTACTTTGATAAGACAAACTTGAGACACAGATAAAAACATACATACTCTATTACGCGCCACAACTAATATACGAATACAAAAGAAACATGGAATTGATAGTAATTACTTCTTCTCCAAGACAGAGTAATCGCTTTTTGACAACAAACTGAACATGTTCAAGCAACTGACTTGATCTCGAATGAAATCGCACCCAAGCTCTTGTAACTCCGTGTGATATTTAAGATGATCGTCGAAATCAACGGTTGCTACCACCTGATTTAGGGCTAGCCGAGAAGCTAACCTCTGTCTTGCGATCTCCGTGTTCCTCTGATCGATCTTTCTCTTTTCTTCTACTTTCTCTCGTGCCTTTGCTATCAAGTCTCTGAAACCCTAATTTCGACTCTCACCAATCTTGGGCTTGAGATCGCAGCCGTTCTTCTTCCTCTTTAGATGGCTCTGCGCATTGAATCTGGCCACGATCTGTTGCATAGCTTTTGGGTTCTCAGGCCAGACATGGAGATCCTTTTCGTCGGGACCGTAGCAGATGAATCGCACGGAGTTTCCGCAGAGAACAGAGAGCTCTGTCGCTTTCTTCTTGAAACCGGGGAATCTCTGTTTGAAAACAGACTTCTTGCTCTTCAGATGATCATCAGCCAAGGACTTCACTCGTGGAGCCATGTTCGCTTTCCTTTGAAGAAGAGAGAAAATTAAAACAAAATCAGATGAGCCGCCCCGTAAGAGAATTAAACAGAGCGAGTGAGTGAGAGAGAATTGATAAGTGTGTTGGTGATGTTATGTATTTATAGAAGTGAAGCGTCAAAAGATTATACGCGTAATGGGAATGTTCTCTTTCCTTTTTTTGTTTTGGTTATTTCCTTTTTTCCTTATAACGGTCATTTAATGTTCGCTGTTGTAATCTTAAGATCAGGTAGAGAGAATCGGAGAAAGGAAGCTTCTGGAATCTTGATAGGTCCTGGTGGTTTCTTTAACGCTGCTTTGGTTCACAGAATACTTGAACAAAGCAGGAAGCTCTCTGAATGCAACTACTCACCACATCTACAATCTCGGTCCAGGTAAACTGAATACACAATTCTATCTCAGTTCACATCCTGTAGGTCCTTTCAATCATCTGAATGAAACAAAGGATGGGAACAATTCACTGATTCGGTTATTCAAAGCATCTCACAGCACAAGGAAGGTGTTGTCTTTCTCCTCTGGGGAATATATGCTCAAGAGAAATCCAAGTGAGTGTTTGATTTTTTGAATTCTGACTGAAATTTCACATTTCGATCTCCAAGATAGCAGGACCAGTTAGGCTTAGGTTTCTTACGCCTATGCATGCATCTTCATTTTTTCAGGTTGATAGATGGGAATAAGCATCATATACTCACAGCAGCTCATCCATCTGGTCTGTCGGCGCATAAAGGCTTCTTCAATTGCAGGTTAGCTCAGTCCACTAAACTTCTTTTCTTTTGTTCTCCTGCCTATTCACATTGCACAATGTAACAAATGTTTCCTTGAGTCTGCAAGAAATGACACGACTTGCAGTTGTCTGTGCATTGTGCTTCTCTTGTCCCCAACTGCTGTAATTAACATTAATGTTCTTCATTTGGACAGGCATTTCTCTCGATCAAACCAGCTGCTCGAGCAAATGGGGATTCCTCCCATAGACTGGCAACTTTAATCATTTAACCAGAGTCTTAAGGCTGAGACCAAGTATGAGTGTTCTTGTGAAGCCAACCATTTTTCTTGCAACCACTTTTGGTGAACAGAGCTTGAAGCTTTAGCAGTTGCAATGCTCCACTTTTGTGTATTGCTAAGTAGTAGCAAACTGTCTTCATTTTGTAGTCTTTGAAGAATGGTGTGTATTATAGTAGTGCTGCTTAATAGTTGCTACAGAGTACATAGTATGGATCGTTGGATGCGTTAAAAGTTAGGAGTAGTGCATGAAACATAGCCAGAAGCTAAGCTGCACAAAATGGAGTGCTAAGAAGATATTTTTATGCAACACATCTGAGTTCAAGGGGAAACAAAAAAATTTACAATCTTGAAACAAAATGTACTGAATTCTATGACCATGAATGAATTTTCACAAACGAGATCCAAACTTTGCTCATCTCCATTTACCTGTTAGCTCCAAGTATGATTAATGTATCTGAATTGACCAAGTCAAGCTCCAAATGTTGCAGGAGCAAACAGAGAACCATTCTCTTCTTCTCATTTCTTATGTCTTTTCCTCAAGTTCCTTATAGTTGGCAAGTGCCTTTCAATCGCATGTGGACACCCAAAAAACGTCAAAAGATTCCCGCAGCTCTTTTCACCATCTTCCTCGCTTCCTTGAGCACTTAAATGGCTCAAGTAAGTCTTGCCTTCGTAGATATAGCTAAGCTGCTGCCACAGCAGAACACTCAGCCCAATCGCCACGGAGACACTCGCCACAAAGAGGTAGACTAGAACAAGGCCTCGAACAGAGACGAACACAGCGTTGGCCACGTAAGCAAGCACGATGTTCTTCACCACTCTCAGAACTGATAAAGTATTCGCATGTGCCACATCGGACGCATACGCTGCTCCATTCTCCAGAGGCGGCAATATATGAATCAAACAATACACACACATAACAGAAGCGTAGGTTGTGCTTATCACTGCCGAGATAAGGAAGGCTATGAAGTTCTTGTGATTACCGGCACCAACACAGTTCCCAATCTGCAAATACCAACACAAGGAGAGTCATTAGCCTTAACCTATAGCAACCAATTACTCCATGATTACGAAAGAGTGATCCATGAGACTTACAAAGGGGCAATGATGATCCATGTCGAGGACACACATGCCACAGGTGCGACAGTGATGTGTTCTAGGTGACTTTGGTTTGGAGCAGTGGGGACAAAAGGTGTAGTTGTTGAGAGCGCTGTTGCCTACTCCAGGGTGGGTTCCGTATAGAATATCTGCTGGCTTCCCGGCGCATTTGAAAGCAACAAGAATGAATGTTGATAGTGTTGATATCGCCATACACACTGTTGTAACACAATGGAAAACCCCACAAGCCAAGCTGATCGAAAACAAGACTGGATACGCAGCCCAAATCCCACCACCTGCAAAAAAGAGTATATTAACAGGGGAAATGAGAAACTTTCATTTCTAAAAATGATTATGTTCTTCTTTAGAGGAGCTTACATATCACAAAGAGCATAAAAACGGCGAGGATAACGACAAAGCACCGGTCACGGATACGTCTCAGGCCAAAGTTTTTGGTTTCAAGCCTGACTGGATTCTGATTGGTGATTGCACCACACCAACCACACTTGAAAACAGGTGCGTATGAGGGAAGAACAAGGTTTAGTCCACATCCCCAGCAAATTGCTTCATAATCCTCATTTATGGTTGCAATAAAACTCCCCTATAGACAAAAAAGAGCAAACAGTGTTGGTATCTTTCAGGAACTATTGCTATTTCTCAGTTTGTTTCCCTAAATCACTAAAAAACAAGATGAAATCTTTAAGGGAAGGCATTGAAGATAAGTCAGAGAGAGAGAGAGAGAGAGAAGGATCCACTAACCTGGGAAGACTCCTCCATATCTTGCAACACTTATCGGATACGAAAACACAAAGGTGTCTTCAGGAATCACAGAAGATTGATGAGAGAGTCAGGAATGAAGAACACAAATGAAAACCCAAAAGCTCTTCTCTTTATTGAAAATCAAATGAATCAAACAAAAACCCAAAATGTGTTTCCCTCTAGCTTTTGATAAAGACCCAAAATGAAGCAACCACGTTCTCGCTGATTTCTCTGCCAAACTAACAGCTCCCTTTAAAGCTATGGTCTTTCGACAAAGATCTGACAAATTGCTATCCGATTTTTATCAGTCTTCCAATCCGGAATTGCTTCACCATGACACAAAGCATCCGATTCTTCACAAGAATTTAGGGTTGACCGTCTTTATATTCACAGATACGCATCCGAGGAGATTGAGAATCTCAAATTCCTCCCCTCTCTCTCTTTCTTGCTCTTAATCTATAGCGAATCTACCGGTAATGATTCACCGGTAGCGACGGCGACGATGATTGAAACCGGGAATTTTGATCGGAAGAGAAGATAATTGATTCTGAACAGCGGCGAAAAATGATAAACTTTGAATGTCTCCCGATATTTTGTTTTCTTTATCTTATTTTTGGTCCCTCTATTATGTAATTTTTTAATAATATTATACAAACGCGTTCTAAATTAGAAATAATTAGAGTATTTTTGCTGGTTTCAGTGTTTGTCAATGTCAACTAGTGTAATTTGATAAAAAGAAGTGTTTGTCAATGTCAACACCAATTTGTTTACGAATTATCAAATTTGAATTATTTGATTCTTTACTATATAGTAACCATTATTCGAATGGTTGTCTGATGGCCCCTTGATCATACATTTTTTTACCTTTCTGATACGGATGTCCTCGAAAGAGACTAAATTTTTTCTTAATTAATCAGACGACAGAATTTAAGTATTAAATCGAAAAAGAGAAAATAAACTAAATAATTACCGCCATAAGAGTGTAAAATATTCGGAGTCGGAGTTTGGTTTGACAAAAGCTTGTGAGTCAAGTGTCGTTGATAAAGCTTGCGAGTCAAGTGATTAACGAATCACTTTGACATTCTCAAGTCTTTGACACGTGCACTTTTTTTTTTTTTTTTCGTCTTACACCAAAACGACGTCGTTTTGCGCTTTATCTTTTTTTTTTTCGTCTTACACCAAAACGACGTCGTTTTCGTAAAAAAAAAAAAAAATCTAAATCAAAATTATGTGTAATGTTGTTCGTTTTGATAGGCTTGATTATTTATCGGACCTCTTCGTTTCCATGGTAGCTTTAAATGGGCTTACTGGCTAATTAGCTCATTTCATTTCCTTTTAAAAAGGATTGCAATTATTATTATCTATGAGTCTGTAGGATAATAATCAATCTATAATGATTGTTAGTATAAGGAAAATTAGAAGAACTCAACTCCAGTCGATAAATTATTGTATAAAAGAACAAAAAACATATGAAACTATTCACTATGAGTCTATATAAGATTTTACGTAAATAACAACTAAATTTTAAAACTATATGAAAAAAAACAAAATGCAAAACTTACAGAATCTAATATATTCGAGTAAAAAACAAATGATATATTCGAATCTAATGTTCTGAATAATTAAATTAAAAATATTTGGTTTAATAAATGCGCGGGTTCTCTCCTAGTACAAATCAATACAAATGGTAAGTTATCAATCGCGTGTCACGTGGACGACGGTACAGCTCAGATTCCACCGCCTCAGGGAAAATGGAAAAATAAATCAATAAATGTAATTTCTGCTTAAAATCAGTAACTATAAATATTAATCTTTCTTAAAAGCCCTAAACACCAAAACCTTTGATCTCCTCTCTGTCGCTGCAAATCACTGGAGAACACAACAGTATCCATTGTCAATCTCCAGCTGTTACCATGGTCGAGTCTAAGAAAAAATCCAACACCATAGTAATCATCTTTCTCTCCTTCTAGTTTTTTATTCTCTCTCTGTTTTGCTCTGTTTTGTTTGCATGTTTTTTTTCCTTCTAGAGCTAAACGATCGAAACTCTGTTTCTAGGTCGAAGCATCACCTGCCTCAACAAAGAAGCCATTGAAGAAAGGTAAGAATTGTTCTTACATGAATACTAGAGAGTATGATTCCCATGAAATTTGACTTTGACTTTAACTTTAACTTTGTTTTGTCTCTTCTCTTTAGGTAAGAGAGATGCAGAAGTTGATCTGGACACCAAAGTGAAAACGAAGAAGCAGAAGAAAGATGTGATTACTCCAGTTCAAGCCGAGAAAAAGGCACAGCCTAAGAAGATAGAGATCAGCAGCTCCGACTCATCAGATTCTGAGGAAGATGAGAAGGTAACTTTAATTAAACATGTTTTAGAGATTTAGTCAAGTTGAATTTCAGTGAAAATTATGTAAGGTTAAATTTATTATTAATTGTGAAAATTTCAGACTAAGCAAGTTCTTGGCAAGAAATCTCTAGATGCTAAGATGGTTGAGATCTCCTCATCTGAGGATGAATCTTCTTCAGACGAGGTATAAATTGCATCATTACACGTAATTAGCTTACACACTAATGTTACTTAGAACATATTAATCTAAAACTTGTCTTTTTGATAAATTATAATAATTAGGAATCTGCCCCTTCAAAGCAACCAGCAATTGTTAAGAAAGCAGCAACCAAGGCAGAGAGTAGCTCATCTGAGGATGAATCTTCTGATGATGATGTAAGAATTACATGATACATGTTAGCTCAATGTTACAGGAATATCATCATCATATCCTTACTTTGCACTTTTGCTTGTTGATAATTAGGAACCTGCCACTCAAAAGAATGTCAAGCCAGCTGCAGAAGATTCATCGTCCTCAGGGGATGAATCAGATGAGGAACCGGAACCTGTAAAGAAGAAACCAGAAGTTGTTAAGGATGTCAAGCCAGCTGCAAAAGATTCATCATCTTCCTCGGATGATGAATCAGATGAGGAACCGGAACATGCAAAGAAGCAACCAGAAGTTGTTAAGGATGCTAAGCCAGCTGCAGAAGACTCATCATCCTCTGATGATGAATCAGATGAGGAACCAGAAGCTCCAAAGAAGCTTCCAGAGCCAGCTGCAGAAGACTCATCGTCCTCGGATGATGAGTCTGATGACGAACCAGAAGCTCCAACGAAGCTTCCTGAAGTTGTTAAGGATGTCAAGCCAGCTGCAAAAGATTCATCATCATCCTCAGATGATGAATCTGATGAGGAACCAGAAGCTCCAAAGAAGAAACCAGAAGTTGTTAAGGATGCCAAGCCAGCTGCAAAAGATTCATCATCTTCCTCGGATGATGAATCTGACGAGGAACCAGAAGCTCCAAAGAAGCTTCCAGCAATTGTTAAGGATGTCAAGCCAGCTGCAGAAGATTCTTCATCGTCCTCGGATGATGAATCAGATGAGGAACCAGAAGCTCAAAAGAAGCAACCAGCTTCTGCTAAAAGGAAGTCAGATTCAGATTCATCAGAGGAAGACTCTGATGATGAGGTTTGTTTTGACACAGTTTCTAGTTTTCCGTATACTTGTAATACAAGTTAACTTATGTGTCTCTTGATTTGCTATTTCTAAAGATCTTGGCTCTTTTAAGGATTTGTGATTTCTTTTATTCTAGACACTTACCTAGTCCATATTAAAGATTTGTGATTTCTTTTATTCTAGACACTTACCTAGTTCATATTAACTTGCAGGAATCTGAAGATGAAAAACCTCCTCAGAAGAAGGTATGTTCTTCCACCAAATTAATTTACATTATTTTTTTGGTTGCACAAGTTTCATTCAATAGAAGTAAACTGATTTTGCCTTGTTTGTTACGCAGGCTAAAGTTTCACCAACAAAAACTTCAAAACAAGAAAGCAGTAGTGAGGATGAATCTAGTGAGGAGGAGAGTGACGATGAGAAAGTAACTCCAAAGAAAAAGGTATGAAGAATGGCATTCTCTATATTGAATGAATGATAAAAATAAATTTTGATTCTAACTTCACTCGATCTCTTGATCAAAACCAGGATTCTGATATTGAAATGGTGGAGGCAGAGGATAAATCAAATGCAAAACAGGTAAAAAACTCTATCCACCAAAATTTGGTTATGAGTTTAATTGGGATTCCTTAGATGTAATTATGTTTCATGTAATGATTTTTTTCATAAAAAAAAAAAACAATTTACAGCCAAAGACACCAACCACTCACACACCAACCTCTCAGACTCAAAGAGGATCCAAGACACTATTTCTTGGGAATCTTTCCTATCAAATTCAGAGATCTGACGTGTAAGTAATATTTTGTTTTTGGTTTTTTTCTGGTTCTTGCGATAGAATGTTAGTTGCCTAATACACACAACTCATATACAGAGAGGAATTCTTCAAGGAAGCTGGTGAAGTTGTCGACGTTAGATTTTCACAATATGAAGATGGCAGTTTAAAAGGATATGGTCATGTTGACTTCGCTTCTGCCGAAGCAGCTCAGGAGGTAAATATAAGCTATCGTTTGTTTTGGAATCGTTAAAAGTGGTAATTGGAATCAAGATTATGATTGGATCTATCACTGGATGTATAGGCATTGAAACTCAACGGTCAAGCATTACTAGGCCGCAGTCTTAAGGTTGATGTTGCTAATGAGAGAGATAGTGGTGCTCGCTGGAACCAGAGCAATGACAACGGACAAGGAAGCCAAAGTAAAACAGTTGTTGTTAAAGGAATCGACTCCTCTCTTGGTGTACAAGAAGTAAAAATCCTCATCTTCAACTTTCTTTTAACCAATTCTACATGTTACAACACTAAAAAATCATGTCATATAAACTTGTTCAGGCGAGGAGTGCTTTGAGAGATCACTTTAGTGGTTGTGGAGAGATCACAAGGATCGCTGTTCCAGTAGATCGTGAGAGTGGTGCTATCTGGGGGACTGCTTACATAGATTTAAAAGATGGAATGGACAAGGCATTGGAACTAAGTGGTAGTGAGCTTGGAGGACGGAACATAATGGTGAGCGTGGACAGACCAAGAGTAGAGAGTGGTGATGCAAATCAGGGTAGAAGAGGACGTGGAATGGACAGTCGTGGTGGTAGGGACAGCAGAGGACGTGGAAGGGACAGCCGAGGACGTGGAAGAGACAATAGAGGACGTGGAAGGAGCAGTTTTGGAACACCCAGCAAACCAAATTTACTTGCCGCAAGCCAAGGTTTGTTTCTTCCTCTCCTCTCCTCTCCCTTTAGATTCTTTTGTGCGTTGTATAATATTTTCTCATAAACTTGCTTTTGTATTTCTTCTTGCAGGGAAGAAGATCGTCTTTGATGATGAGTAACTTGGCAAGCTTGGCTCTTCATTTTCTTCTATCGTTGCAGCTTATTAATACAGATACGCGGATAAAAGAGCTAGTTATCTTTACTAAGAGTATCTCCAACCCTATGCTAAATATGACATATATGCTATTTTGCCAGACGTTCAAATTGCAAAATAGCATCATGCTATTTTTGCTTCTATATTTGGCATGAGATTATGCAATATGCTATTTTGCCATTGAACTTTTTTATTTATAAAATAGTCCTTCAATTTGTAATTACTTTTAATTTAACAGTTTAATTATATTGATTATGATTTATTTAAATAAATAAACAATACTCATAACTTTTTCAAAATATAAATAATATTTATTTCATAGAAATATAAAAACATAACCATAATAAACTTAAAATTTTATTTTTAAAAATACTGAAATTCAAAAAACATAAAACAATAGGTTAAAATCTTTGTTTTCTATAATTTTTATGTAATATGATGTATTTTGTTTTAATATTATAATAAAAAAAATATATATTCTGGTTGTTTTTGCAAAAAAAAAAAAAAATGATTCACTTTGTAAAATTTGAAGAAATCAAGTAGTTTTAACAATTAATAATAAGTTGGAAAAAAATTATAGCATGATATATATGAGGGGTTGGAGAGAAACCAATGCTATTGCTATATTTTTGCATTTGCAATGGTCTAAGACTAACTAGGTTTTTGAGTTTTTAAGATTCAAATTAAAATAAACCCTTTAACAAAAAAAAAAGATTAAAATTAAAATTAAATTCATGTTATAATGTTTGATATAAATTAAAGTTTCCTTACATTTTGATTTTATACGAGTAACTTGGTATGGAATAAAATATAAGATTAACAATTCAAAGGTTACAACTTACAAGACTCGTTAAACCCTAAACCCGTTTTCTTCTTCTCTGCGCCGCGTTCTTCATTCTCCTCCGTCTTCCTCTCTCAAGGTCCTCGCTGTCGCACCATTCCTTAGAGTCGTTTCGTATCTGCAAGTAAGTTTTTTTTCTCTTTGCCGTACTAATTCCTCTTCGAAAATCAAGTACTGCGACTTGAGTTTTTCCCTGTTCTGTTGTATTACAATCCTAAATTTTTGAATTGAGAATAAAAATAAGATGTTTTGGGAGACTGATGATTAGGATACAATTGAATCGTTCCCTGTGGCAACCTTAGTTTCTGGGAGCTTTCTAAATACTTCTCTTTGAATTACTCTCAAATCTCTTGTTTTTCCATTTATATAGTCTCCAATTTTTCTGCAGAGAATTGATTGATTGATTGAAAGAGAGCAGACATGGTTGAATTGGAGAAGAACTCCACTGAAGAGCTCAAGAAGAGGACACGAAAGCGAAACCGTGGGAAGAAGAACGACCAGCTAAAGGTAGATGAAGAAACCCACAGCGTAGAAGAAAATGCAGATGCAATCCAGGAGAAGAGAGAAAAGAAGGTTAAGAAAGTGAAGTTGCAGGGGAAAGGCAAAATTGAGGAAAAGGAAGAGGCAGAGGAAGAGATGGAAGCAAAGGAAGAAGAAGAAGAAGAAGAAGGTGAAGAGGAGAAGAAGATGGTGATTGTGAGCAAAGGGATAATGACAAATGAAACCTTTGAATCGCTGGACTTATCTGAGCTTACTTTCGAAGCTATCAAGGAGATGGGCTTTCAGCACATGACGCAAGTACGTACCTTTCTTTCATGTTTAAACCTTTCTCTCATGTTCACATAAAGGGTCGTGTGTCATAACTCTGTGAATCATCTTCTGTCATTCAGATTCAAGCTGGATCAATTCCTCCCCTTTTGGAGGGGAAAGATGTTCTTGGTGCTGCCAGGACTGGCTCTGGTAAAACTCTTGCTTTTCTCATTCCGGCTGTTGAGTTGCTCCTTAAAGAACAATTCCGTCCTCGCAACGGGACTGGTGTGATCGTTATTTGCCCCACAAGGGAACTTGCTATTCAGGTAAATCCCCTTTTTGATGATTCCTGTAACTCTTTCAATGCGCTAAGTAGAAACTTTTGTTGTGAGGTTCTCATCTCTCATGCTGATGATTCATTGCATTTGCGTTCGATCTGTAAAGTATCGATTTTGTTGTATGTTACTGCGGCCTCTCAGTTCCGTTTTTGAACTGTACTTTATTGATATCTCAGACTAAAAATGTGGCGGAGGAACTACTCAAGCATCATTCACAGACAGTAAGCATGGTTATTGGTGGCAATAACAGAAGGTCGGAAGCTCAATGCTTAGCGAGGGGTGCAAATTTGTTGATAGCAACTCCTGGGCGTCTTCTTGACCATCTTCAACATACAAAGGGTTTCATTTTTAAATACCTCAAGGTACCGTCCTTTTCATAGTTCCATCTGGCGCATGTTCTCGTCTTCTTTCTTTGAGGTAGATGTTAAAATCTGTTACTTGTTATGCCAAAGGCTGTCAATTTCTGTAGACTAACAACAATAGTAATAGAGCCATAGATGAATTGTAGTTAGCAGCTGATGCGGTATTCATTCCTGCCGCATGTATAATAGTTATGCTTTAGATGATTCCAATGGATGATTATCTTTATAAATTGCAGTGCCTTGTGATCGATGAAGCTGATAGGATACTGGAAGAAAATTTTGAGGAAGACATGAATAAGATTCTGAAGATTTTACCAAAGGTAAATCATCTCTTTGGCTCTTAAATAAGGTTTATTAAAAGAAGAAATGAGAAAACTAGATAAATTCCAACCTCTCAGTATCAGAGATTCCTTTTCTTTTGCCTACACAAATCATGAGCCAAAGATTTTGGCACTGCTGTGGTTTGGATTTTGTACTGATAAAGCTGTTACCATGTATCTCCAGACTAGGCAAACCGCGCTATTCTCTGCCACCCAGACCTCTAAGGTATTTTTCTGTTAACTGCGGTATTGTCATTGTTACTACTAATTTATGTTACTTAAGAAGTTTTCTAATGGTGAAATCGTAACAGGTTCAAGATCTTGCTCGGGTGTCGTTGACGTCTCCTGTTCATGTTGATGTCGATGATAGTAGACGCAAGGTATGAATCAAAAAGAACACTCCGGTAATGAAAGTTTAAGAAGCATGCCATGGAGATTTTTACTTAAATAAGTCTCCAAATCTGTGTAGGTGACAAATGAAGGATTGGAGCAAGGCTATTGTGTTGTCCCGAGCGAGAAAAGACTCATCCTTCTAATCTCTTTTCTGAAAAAGAACCTGAACAAAAAAATAATGGTGTTCTTCTCGACATGCAAGTCGGTACAGTTCCATGCCGGAATCATGAAACTAATCAATGTGGATAGCTGTGATATCCATGGAGGACTGGATCAGAACCGGAGAACTAAAACCTTCTTCGACTTTATGAAAGCAGAAAAAGGTATCTTGTTGTGTACTGATGTTGCTGCCCGTGGTCTCGATATTCCTTCAGTGGTACGTATCCACACTATGTTCTTGCATCGACCGACTTTTATATACTCAATAGTTTTATTGTAATCATTTTGTGTTGAATTTTTTCATCTGTAGGACTGGATTATACAGTACGATCCTCCAGACAAGCCAACGGTAGGAGAAACATTTTGCTCTGTTTGGTTTTTGCCATATCCGTTTTGTTCTGTTTATGCATTATCCTAGATTGTTTTTGTTTTCAGGAATATATCCACAGGGTTGGTCGAACAGCCCGTGGAGAAGGAGCAAAGGGAAAGGCATTGCTTGTCTTGATCCCTGAAGAGCTTCAGTTTGTTCGCTACCTTAAGGTATATATTATATGATTATATGAATGGTTTTGTGAATCTTTTTGTGGATAAATCAACTTTGTTTTATTGAATTTGTACATTAAACCCGCAGGCTGCAAAAGTACCTGTAAAAGAGCTTGAGTTCAATGAGAAGAAGCTTTTGAATGTTCGATCTGCGCTGGTAAATAGTCCTGTTTCAGTCTCTTTGTCGGTCAATTACTCTTTCCATTTGTAAGTGTTATAACATCGTCTCTCTTGCTCTGTCCTGCAGGAGAAATATGTTGCAAACAACTACAGTCTAAACAAGTTAGCCAAGGAAGCTTACCGGGCTTATATCTCAGCATACAATTCACATTCTCTGAAAGACATTTTTAATGTTCACCGGCTCGATCTCCAGGTACAAAATCAGACACACCAAAACCTCACTGGCTCTTCTTACATGTTGGTTATACATATCTTGTTTCCGAATTAGAAGATAACCCGGTTTTGATCTTTTTGAATGTTCACAGGCGGTTGCTGCGTCCTTTTGCTTCTCGTCGCCGCCAAAAGTGAACCTGGGCATAGAAAGTGGAGCTGGGAAGGTGAGGAAGGCGAGGAATCAGCAAAGTCGTAATGGCTTCTCTCCTTACAGTCCCTATGGCAAAGCCAAGTCCACACCTAAAGAGGCTTAAAAGTTTCTTGACCCTCCTTTTTGCCCCTCCTTTTTTTGTCTATTAACCTTTAAGTTGTGTCTAAAAAGTAACATTACCTTTGCTCTTAAATTTAGTTGAATGTTTCTTGTAATACTTAAATTCAGGTCTATGAGTTATAAAAATTGTTACAATAAATTATTGTCAGCTACTTAGCTTTCTTGGCAGATTTTTTTTCTCATGACAAAAACCAAATGTTGGTAATATGAGCAACCAGAAATTTAATTCAGTAATATCAAAAACAAATGGGTTTGAACATATTCAGAATAAATGGTATTTGGTGTTCTATGATCAGTGCCACACCAAATTGGCATTTCAACACAAAATCTGGTGTTTCTTCCTCTTCCTCTTCCTTTTGCCGCCTAGTTTGATTGGCGCTAAACTTGGAACAAAAGGGTACACGAGTGGGTAAAAATAGTTGTTTGACGGTGCTCGCAAGTCCTCTTTTTTGAAGTATCCATCCTCTCCAATGATATAAGCTAACATGACCATCTCCGACTTTCGGGGAACATCAAGCAAATCAACAACCACGGCGGCTTTCTTCTCCTCGTCAACAACGAAACTCGCGGCGTCAAATTGATAACCAATGAGTGGTTCCATATCCACCGCTAAGAAGCACAACTTGCTCCACGACACAACTTGAGGCTCAAACTTAGTGGTAATCCATATCTCCATACGTAATGTATCCTGGTGCTGATATAATACTGCAAGTTGCTCATCTCTCTAACACTAGACAGAGTCACGGTATCATCAAGAAGAGAGTGAAACGGTAGAGTTATATGCGGGCCAAAGCTCTCCGTGGTAAAATCAAAACAGATCAAGAAGCCAGGGACCTCTGCTCTGTCAATCTCAAGTAGGTCTGCTGGCATCTCCTGCTGAGCAAACCAATAAGTATTTCCCTTGAGAGACACGCCGCGTGCGTAACACTCTATAGTCCAGTCCGGAAAGATATGGATAGGGATTGTAATACCAGCCTTGGAAGAGTTGATGTGGTAAAGTTCATACAGAACATTCCCATGGGAATAGTCCCCACATCTCAAAACTTTGTAGTTGCGGCGTGATTTGCTATTCTCGTATCCTATAGCATACTTGTAGCCGCCGAATCCAGGGCGAAGGGAATGGTCTGAACCACCGGGGTTGGCCAGAGTACGGATTCCAAACAACGAACCTAGTTGCATCGGATATGAGGCAAAACAATAAACCGTCGCAATAATAGACTTGAGATATATCGACTCCATCTGAATCGTCAAGGCTAACGAGTTTACCTTGACGGTTTATAGATGGTTCGACGCCCTTTTCGAGGTTAACGCTCATCAAATAAACCCGATAACTTATCACCATGACCACCATGAACTCCGTTGCTGCTTGAGCTTGAGCTATGTGCTGCTTTGTAAAGCGGCGAGCTTTGGATAAAGTGTTCCACTTTTTGCAAACAGATCTCACTGCTCTGTTACATGTCATCGGAAGCCTGATGAGGACTTCCTCTGCCAAATCCCTTGGAAGATCGGACAGCATGGATCGATGCAACCGCAAATAATTTAGGTTAAAGATTGAGAAGAAGAAGAAAATTTCTTGAGGGACAAGAAACAAAATCCCTAGCTGAAGATGGGCCAATCGTTGTCTTAAGATTATAGTGGGCTTTTTAATGTGGATTTGTAGCAATCTACTAAGTACATGCTACGGTTTTAGCTTCTCGGATTTGTAGAATTGTAGATAACGGATTTAGTGACGATCTAAGTACTGTACTAAGCACATTTTGTTGTTCTTGATGCTTATTCCTATGTAGCAACTCATTGTTCGATTCCAGTTTGGATTGATGATATAGTTTTTGCTCTCTACTTGATTTGGTTTTGAAAGTGAGACAGATTTGCAACCATAGAGGCAGAAGAGAGTTTCTTCTCAAACACATCGAGCTTAAACCATGTCGAGAGAAAGGTACTGGAGATGCACAACCTTGGAAGAATATAATCTTACTCTTGGAAAAGATGACACTAAACTACAAACTCTTCATCATCAAGATTCACAAGTACAAGCAGCAATCCAATCATCACAAGATAGATTTCTTTCTTTCTGACTCTCTTTGACCAGGCGGCACTAGATAAGTTTACAATCCAGATGGTACCGTGTATAAAGTTGTTAATGACGGTCGTTACACAATGTCGGGTCATGTTAGCTTGAAAATACTCAACTACCAAGGATGTATGTTCTTCCACCAAGGATTCACAGAGCACTGAAAAAGCACAAGGAACGATTCTTGTTAACACTAGGTCTAAGAAGGTAGACACCAGTCGTACGCATATTTTCTTTGATTATGCCTCTTCTGAAGAAGATTCATCTGCAAATGTGCTTGCTGTTCCAAAAAACAAGAAAGGTAATAAAAGTTTCTACTTCTTATATGTAAAATACTACGGCATGTGGATTTATATTGAAATCTGGTTTGTTTATTCGTAAACAACCAAGTGAATCAGCAGAAAACGGCGCAGACAAAGACAAGCAATACATATATTTTCTTTGATTCTGATTCTTCTGAAGAAGATTCCTCTGCAAAGGAAGAGAGCTTTGAACTGGACACCCAAGTGAATCTGAAGAAGGAGAAAAAAAGGCAGTCTGAGCTCTGTTTTTGGCAATATTTGGTAAGTGAAAAAAGATAATCCACTTTTACTTTCGTTGATGCTCTACAAAAACTGGATTTCTGTATAAATCTTCTTATTGTATAGATACATTCATACAACTGGATTCAGTACTATGGAAACAAAAGATAAATGCATCACTGATTCTTCTGAAACCAAGGTAATACATATACAACTGGGATTGTGGCATGTTTTACAAACAATCTTCTCCATTGACATGCATTGGTTGTTGTTACAAGTACAACATCATCTAACAAACGGTTCAACACATGCCACAGCAGACAACTAGTATTTGTAATGAGTGGAAGTGATACATATCAAACATCTTGTAGTCTCTTCCTCTTCCTCTTCCTTTTGCCGCCTAGTTTGATTTGCGCTAAACTTGGAACAAAAGGGTACAGACGTGGGCGAAAAAGCATGTCTGAGGATCCTCCAAAGTGCTCTTTTTTGAAGTATCCATCCTCTCCAATGATATAAGCTACTGTGTCCATCTCCGACTGTCGGGGATATTCAAACAAATCAACAACCCTTGATAACCAAAGAAACTCGCTGAGGAACCAAAGAAACTCGTCAACAAAGAAACTCGCTGAATCGGGCTCAAATTGATAACCAATGAGTGGTTTCATATCCACCGCTAAAAAGCATAACTTGCTCCACGACACAGCTTGAGGCTCAATCTTAGTGGTAATCCATATCTCCATACAAAATGTATCCTGCTGCTGATGCAAGACCGCAAGTTGCTCATCTCTAACGCTAGACAGAGTCACGGTATCATCATAAAGAGAGTGAAACGGTAGAGCTAGATGCGGCCCAAAGCTCTCCGTGGTAAAATCAAAACAGATCAAGAAGTCAGGGACCTCTGCTATGTTAACATCATCTAGGTCTGGTGGCGTCTCCTGCTGAGCAAACCAATAAGTATTTCCCTTGAGAGACACGCCACGTGCAGTACACTCTATAAGCCAGTCCGGATTGGTAGTGATAGGGACAGTAGCATCCTTAGAGTTGATGTAGTAGAGTTCATGCTCAACATACCCTGAGGAACAGTCACCACATCTCAAAACTTTGTAGCTGCGGCCAGATTTGCTCTCCTCGTATCCTATAGCATACTTATAGCTGGACATTTCCCGGCGACGAGGTAGTAGTTTGAACCACCGGTTTTGGCCAGAGTACGGATTCCAGACAACGAACCTAGTTTCATCGAATGGGAGGCAAAACAATAAACCGTCGCAATAGTAGACTTGACATATATCGAGTCGATCTGAATCGTCTAGGCTTATGAGTTTACCTTGACGGTTTACAGATGGTTCGACGCCCTTTTCGAGGTTTAGGCTCATCAAATAAACCCGATGACTTATCACCATGACCACCATAAACTCCCTTGCTGCTGCTGCTTGAGCTATGTGCTGCATTGTGAAGCGGCGAGCTTTGGATAAAGTGCTCCACTTTTTGCAAACAGATCTCACTGCTCTATTAGATGTCATCGGAAGCCTGATGAGCACTTCCTCAGCCAAATCCCTTGGAAGATCGGACAGCATCTTGTTTAGGTTTAAGCTTGAGAAAAAAACTCTCTTTGAGTTTGAGGTTACATAAACCCTCTTGCTCTTGTCTTGAAACCGGAAACCCTCTTTGTGTAGTAGAGTCTTTCAATACTTCCCTGTCAGAATGGGAACCCTCTTCCTGTCTCAGAGTCTTTGTTTTGCTGCTTGTGAGTCTTGAGCAAATTAGTCATGTGCTTGTCACGTGCTTCCTCAATTATCTCAGCTTCTTCTTCTTCTTCTTCTTCTTCTTTGATAATAGGTTTTCTTCGTGGTCTCCATTTCCAATTCTCAGATTCACTCAACTTATTCTTCTTCTTCTACGATTAGATGAGACAAGCTTGCTTATTCCAACAAGAAGAGTACCGGGTTCATTTGCGTTGAATAGAAAACAGAATTTACAGTTTTATCAATTAAGAATGGAGATGGAGAGAAAGACGAAGGAGACAGAGAAGTTATGCCAGAGGTGCAAGCGAAGCTACACAGATTCCTCAAACGACGCTTCATCTTGTCGTTTTCATCCCTCCTTCTTCGTTTGTCGCCGTCACGATGACCAAAAAAGGTTATGTCCCCTGACTCACATATCGCTAAATCCCAAACATCTTGATTCCCTAAAAAAACTTATATTAATATCTGATAAGAATTAGGTAAAATTATTCCTCCGTACCCGAAACTGATGAATCTGATGCCTGATCATAATTTCAATTGAATATTTCTCAAAGGAAATTTATGCTTTTGCCATGTTTCGTTGGTTTTGAAACTAATTGTTAGGCTTCTGATTAGATATTTATGCACAAAGGCTTGACATGTTGTTCTGCTAAATAAAGATATTATCTAATTGTAAGAATAGAGAGTAGATCAAGACGCATCTTATCGAATTTCATCTGATTCTCTGTTCCTTGTTTTGTGTTACTTTTGGTCTAGGAAAGTATATATGAATCTGCTCTTATGCTGATTATAAATTTGAATGAGATAGTGCTTTATGCATAATCATTAAGCTATATTATGTTTTGAGCTTGGAGGTACACTTTGATTTCTCTTGTTCATAGAATACTCTCAAGGACTGAGGATAATACATAGTCCCTTTAAGCTTTGAAAGTGGAAACCGGTCACATAGTTATATGGAGCGAATGAGTTTATATCTTGTGTTCATGCTTATTGGTTTTGGCATTCATATTCTGGCTAAACTATGTTGCATGTTAATTTTTTTTTCTGACTATGAGCTCTAAAACATGTTTTCTATCAATAAATGAAGGTACTATGAATTGGGACCAGACGATCCACCGTATGCAGCCAAGTTCTATGATTGTTGTGGGGCAGAGGATCCTAATGCACCAGGTTGTGTCACCAGTCCTCATGTTTCATATGATGACTGATTTATGAGTGACATCTCATAAGCCCTCCTTTTGCCTTTAAAACGTCATGTAAATAATCTAGCACCTAATAGTGTTTTTAGTTTTTAGCTACGGATATGATATAATTATCTTGTTATCTTACTGGTACTGCCTTGAAGCACTTCTCGAGTTACACACAGCCACAGTGTGAATTGTTTATCTTGAAGTTTATATGCATGTCTTGACAGTTTTTGATGTAAGAAATCCCACAAACGATCAGAACTGTCTAATTCTAAATAGTGATCTTGTTTGAATGGAATGAAAATTTTAAAATGGTTTGATGCTAGTGAGACTACTTACTTAGGTATACTATGGAATGAAGCCCTGTGCTTGAACAATTGTCTTTTTTTTTTGTATTCATTGATATAAATATGGTTTTATGTTAATTTTTGGTGGGTACGTTTTAAGTTAATCTAACTATTCACATGACATGCTCAATATGAATCTTTTTAGTTAAGATGTTAACTCTCTTTTTTCCGTCAAAATAATACTTTCATATATCAAGAGAGTTTACAAAGTCATCATACAAAAGATTATATACAACCACAATGGAATAGGATACAAGATTGATGAATAAAAAGATTCATTGGAAAGACCTTTTTTTTGCTAAACTATGAGCCACAATATTATTGTTTCTTCTTGTATGTTGGAAAGTGCAAACATTAAACTTTTCTTTCCATGATAAAATATCTTGGCATATATTTTCAATAAATATATCTTTAAAGCGCTGCTGTTAAGATGTTAACTCTATGTAGTAGAAACCCTATAAATTAATATTCATGTCCTAAATTGAACCGATGTGAATTATAGCACAAATCGATAAGATAAATATATAGTTTCATTAATATCACAATGTGAGAGTAGAAGAAAAGTGAAAACATGTTGATTGAAGATAGACCAGTCTAACCGGAAATTAAATTCAGTAATCGAAAACAAATGGGTTTGAATTTATTCACTGCCTAAGAACGAAGCAGCCTAAAATTAAAAGACAACAAAACGCTAAACGAGCTTAAACCGCTATAAACTAAACCAAAGCAAAAGCGGAAACAACGAGAATCGCTAACACAACAAAGCCAGAGCTACAGAACCCGACTGTGGTTCTCAAGGCATTGCTCTTCTTGTGAGTTGACGACGGGACAGATGGAGAAGAAGAAGACGACGAAGATGAAGAAGACGACGAAGGAGGAGGAGCATCTGGAGAAGAATCCGTCTCCATAACTTTTATGATCATCTTCTGACCCTTTTCGCAATGGCCCGAGACACCGCTAATGAAGTAGAACAAACCGGGCCGGTCTAGGTTGATAACCGTGTCTTCGTTGTTCGAGTAGAGTAGCGGTTTAGCCGCCTTGCATCTCTTGTACTCTTCTTCTGACACTACCAACACCGAGTCTTTCTTGTACTTGAAACCTTCACCAAATCCCCACAGAAATAAGAGAGTTAATATATTTTATAGGATTAAAGTTGCGTAAAAGAGAAGAAGCAAAACACTTACGGACAGTGTCGCCAACTTTAAACCGGTTGTCAGAAGCCCATTGGTTAAACATATCTCCATGATCCTTGGATGTTGGTACGATCCAACCATCATCTCCTCCAACGTCAAATTCGGTGCTTGTAACACATGAAAACATATAAAATGATACAAGGATGGTAACGAGAATTATCTTTTTCGATGAATCCATTTCTTGTTTTTTGTTTGGATTGATATGAAGGGAGCTCCAACGAAAAGAGAGATTTTGTTCTTGGAAGAAATCAAAGCTACGGGGTTTGGTTTGTGAATTGTGAGAGTGCTCTAGGTTTGAGTTTAAAAAGAGTGAGAGACTTCGAGGTTTGTTAGTCGTGTCCACTTCTTGAGGGATAATTAATATATTTTATCTTTGACTTGGTATTTTCAATTTTCTCGAATTCAAAAAGATAATTCGTCTTCGTCAAAAACAACATGACTTGAACTTGTTGAGTGATATCGGATTTTGTGGGATATCTTCTTATTCTGTGTTACAAAATTCAAAATTATGTGGACGATTTGTTTAAACCGTAATAATTCTTAAAATAAATTTGGTGAAAATATGACGCTCACCAATATTGTTTTGTAACTATACTCAAAATACTAAAAGGAAACATGTGTGACTTGTATCAAATATCAATACCTTCTCATTGACCATTTCTACTCTTTCTGCTCAGATTTTCAATTTTGGGTTGAATTTGTCATTTTGTGAAAGTTTGGGTAAATATTAATAGATTTAGAATATTTCAGGCACGTTGTACCAAAATGTTCCAATTGCTCTCTCCGCTTTGATCCCGTTTAGGGTTTAAGACGTTAAACCCAGAATCGTAACATTCGTTTCGACTCGAAATCTCTCTCACAGTGAAGAGCTGAAATGGCGAATTCAATGGCTACGCTTTCGAGAAGACTCTATCGATCTCTTCTCTCAAACCCTAGATTATCTCAATCTTCCATGTCCTTCTGCACAAACAACAACAACATCTCCTCCCGCGAAGACTCCGACTTTGACGAGCTATCGGCTAACTCTGACACTGAATCGCCCCCTGAACCGGTGATTTCAGATCCGACGTCTCGATATCCCCGAGAGCGTCCTCTAGAGAATGGCCTTGACGCTGGCATTTACAAGGTACCAATCATCCTCACACCCTCAAAATTGGTTTCTAATTCCAATTCCAATTCCAAATGATTATTTGTGTGTTCGTGAATTCGTTGTACTAATTTTCCGGCGAGATTCAGGCGATATTGGTGGGGCAAGTGGGCCAGCTGCCTTTGCAGAAGAAGCTCAAGAGTGGGAGAACAGTGACTCTCTTCTCTGTAGGAACCGGTGGGATCAAGAACAACCGGAGACCGATGATCAACGAAGACCCCAGAGAGTATGCGAGTCGCTCTGAAGTGCAGTGGCACCGTGTCTCTGTTTACCCTGAGCGCTTGGCTGATCTTGTGTTGAAGAACGTTGAACCAGGGTTAGTTCTCGTCTTTAGCTTCTGAGATTAGTGTTAGATAAAATAGAGGAATCAAATATGTGATTATGCCCTGAATCTGTGAAAAAAGGATGAAACTTTTAGTTGCTAGAATCAAAATGGTAGCTTTGTGTTTGTGTCAATGAACAACCTATTTCTTGTTCTGTACAACAGTACAGTTGTCTACTTGGAGGGTAATTTGGAGACGAAGATTTTCACTGATCCAGTCACTGGTTTGGTTCGACGTATAAGAGAAGTCGCTATTCGTAGAAACGGTACACAAATGGCTCTCAGCTCCACTAAGATTTAGCATTGCACTTGGAGAAAATCGGATCTTGACTCTGTTTTTTTCTTCCTGCAGGCCGAGTTGTGTTCTTAGGAAAAGCCGCTGATATGCAGCAACCAAGTTCTTCTGAGCTAAGAGGCGTTGGCTACTACTGATTTTTAACTTATAGTATGTCATTAAGGTAACACTATTGTAGCTTTTCACTTGTCTTGTCTCTCTTCTTGTAACTTGAAAGGTTTGGTTTAGTGTACTTCAGTTGCCTTTTCTTTTGGCAAATAAACCGAACCAAAGCTATTCAGTGAAATTTTAAGATAAACCGAATCTAAACCAGAATCTCGATTCAAGACAACAAAAAAACAAGACCAGTCTCCACGTGTTTGCAAACGTTGCATGAATGCCACCTCAAAGCTGAATCTGTCCTCCATTTGTTTTAACCATTTCCTCTTTCTGTTCTCTGTCACATACAAAGGCAAACAATCATTCTCTACAATGGCCGAAACGCTCTATAGCGGCGAGTCTCAATATAGGCCCATGTACGGTAGCACCACCACCGCCGATAGAAACAGCCTTGTCGAATCGTTTCTCGGCCTTCTCCAATCTCATTCACCAACCTCCACACAGCTCTTTGCCTTCCTCGCTCTCTTCATCTCCGGTGGAATCCTTTTATTCCTCCTCGGCGTAACTGCCACCGCTGCGGTGCTTGGCTTCATCGTGCTTCTTCCGCTGATCGTCATCTCTAGTCCGATCTGGATACCCATTTTTGTCCTGGTTGGCGGGTTCTTGACAGTCGCCGGATTTCTTGTCGGAACGGTGGCCTTGGTGTTGTGGACGTACCGTTATTTCCGGGGAATGCACCCGGTTGGATCGGATCAGATGGATTATGCGCGTAGTCGGATCTATGACACGGCCTCTCACGTCAAAGATTACGCTAGAGAGTACGGTGGCTATTTCCACGGCAGGGCTAAAGATGCGGCCCCTGGTGCTTGACCTGAACCGGGTCGGTATAGTTTGGTTCTTGATAGTAGTAACCGAGCCCGATTCGGTTTATAGAGGTTAAAATGGTTTATGGTAGTATTACATTACATGTTTATTTTGTTTACGTTTATGTACAAGCTTTTTAAGAAATTGGGTGCGTGTGTTCGTCACTTGAAATGTAATATTTTATTTTGTTTTGCGACTCATGAACATTTTAGCTAGGGAGGAGATATGATCAAATGTTTTTCGACTTATGAATAATTAATTACATTCGAAGAATCATATGAGTTTATAACTGCATAAATATCACGTTTTCTAAGCAATGCGACAAGGCTGTTGCTATCGGAGTTTATCACTACATAGGAGTATCTTCCTTGCTAATTTCAGACGATAGGAAGTTAGGAACGAACATTGTTAAATCCATTTTCTATCAGGGAACTATTTTTATGAAGTTTAAAAGATACTTTCTTGTATTTTTATGAAGTTCAAATACAGTACCAGTGAACATATAAGTTTAGACTAATTTACAACTCTATCTATATGTTTTATGAACATCAGAATTGTCTATCTTAAAATTGCTTTGTACTTATGATCAGATTGAATTTTTTTACAAAAAGATTAGAAAGTATAGGTAGGATTAAAAGTTTCCATTCATGAAATAGTCTAAACTTATATGTTCACTGGTATTGTATTTGACCGGTTGAAAATATTATTAAATTCTTAATTCGAACTTCTACCATGCACATTCAAAGTACCATTTTAGATAACTTATTGTATAGCAAGATTTTCTTTAGCCTCTGTAGCCTATTTATTTATTTAACACTGGAAAATAGTATGCTTGTATAGTTGTATAATTAAGATTATACAATCGTTGGAAACTGACGATTTAGAATACCATACAATAGTTACACGCTCGAACGTGACATTAGGGATAAAAATAGTAAGCCCCTCCACTTTTTCCTTGGGTTGACTTCTTTGTGTTCTGATTTGAAGTCAAAGTCAGCAGACAAAAAGACTCAAAACTCAAGTCCACACCCGAATTTGGCCGGACGTCGTCGACCGTTGATTTGGTCTAAGTAAGTTCAAATAACGATTATTTTGTCGTTTGTAATCATCAACACCGCTTATAGATACCATCATTGGAGCCCTTTTTAGTTCCACCGCATGGATTCAATTTTTTTTTATCATTCCATATATCAATATATACATACTCGCAACAAAAAGCTACCAATATAATTATAACTCAACCATACTTGGTCTATGGTCCCTTTAAGGCCTAAATGGTAATGAACGGTTGATATAAAACTACACAATAATATGGTCCCTTACTCCTTAATTTGCCAAACATATTAAATATAAAATTACACAAGAGAACAACGAAACTTCTAGAGAATTTTCCACTCGCCTGATGACTTGCCAAACAGAAAATCAATCAAATTCTCAAATTGTAAGTTTTAAATTTCCTTTCCGTTCGGGTTTAACAATGATCCGACATAAGAAGTACGGGTCGGGAGATCGGGAATCAAACTGGCACGTGGCGATCTTGGAGGCACTTGCTTTAGCTGCTGTCCACTACAGTCGTAGTAGATCACGCCGGAGTAATCCAACGGCTCACATTTTCCTCCCATCAATATCTCCCTCTGCCAAACCCCGTACTCCTCCTCCTCTTCCTCCACCACCATCTCCACCGCCGTCTTCTTTTTCGCCGGCAAACCTCCACCGCCGTTGTAAGCTTTGTTTTTCCGGCCAACCATAGTCATTGCCTTGTTGCTCAAAGTCGTCAAAAGCTCCTTGGGACGCGCTCTCATCGGCGAGAAAGAGCTTGCCGGACTCCATCCAAACCTTCCTCCTCCTCCCCCTTCGCCCTTAGATTTAGGGCTCTCGAGATAGTCTTCGAGATGAGTTAGCTTCTGAGTCGGCTTGAGTTTAAGCTTCTTCGAGACTCGGCTTGCGTGTCTAGCACAAAGTACCATAAGAGAGACGAGGAAGCTCACGCTTAAGCGCTTGTGGGCTGAGGAAACATGTTCCGGCGTCGATCTCTCCATGTCTACGTGTCAAGTGAAACAAGGGTTTAAACTCAAAGATTCGTTTATGTGATTTTTCTACTTGTTTGAAACCGCTGAGTTACGTATATTTATATAACCCACGCGATAATGCAAGTGTTAGGTTACCGGCTGATCCGGTAGCCTTTGCGTTGACATATTTGATTGTGTTGACATTTTCTTGATTTTTTTTGGTGATGATCTCGTGTTATATAATTTTTTTTTTTTTCGTGTTATATATAATATGATATCAATGAATGACGACTATGACTTCGTAAAATATAAGAGATTTATGAATTATGATTGCGCTCTCTATATATTTTATATATGTTTTTGTGTATGAAACCTAACGAGCATGCGAGAGACATGCATCAACGATCTCTTGATAAAACTCTAACGATTCATTCCCTGATAAATATTAGAAGTTAAAGTTGGTGATTTTTATAAGAACAAATAATTTAAATTCCTGTATAACAGAATTCTTCAGTCCTTGTCGTATATTGATTTATTTGTTTTTACATGTTTGTAAAGTCTGATGATTATTGTCATTCTTCTAAATTTTGGTTCGGCCGTTGATGTATATCAAGACGAGCATGCAGTAGTGGGGTGGTGGGGCAAATATCAGCTACGCAATAAAGTGAGGTGAAAAACCCACTCAAATTTTAGGTGTAGGCCGGTATGCAATAATTTCGAATTCCATGTTTATCACAAAATCGCAGCAAACATGCGTCAGAACTTATATAACTAATAGAAATTCAGACCAAAAATATATATAGCTGACCAGGACTTTTAACAGTAAATATTGCAACAGGCTGATTCCACACCATTAAAAAGAAAGAAATAAAGAACAATTAACCGCCAAAGACATAGCGAAAAGTGTGATTTTGATATATCCGGCTGAATCTGATTGGTTTAGTATATGGATTCGCCGATTAAACAAGAATTTATTTACTTAATTAAAAAACAAGCTAGTTTTGAGAAAGTTAAATATTGTGCAAAGTGCTTGATGTAAATGTGATTTGGATTTATATCCTCGTCACAATTGTAAAGTGCCGCTTCATGATCACGACTTGCATTATCCTCTACGTGTTGCGAAACACGTGTCTAAGCCTAACATTCGCCAACCAGATGAAACGGGTCGGGTTCTTGATAGTGGACCCTTTTGGCTTCTCAAGTATCTCATCAACTTGATCTTTAATTCGTCAGTCGTCACTAAACATCAACACAACAAGGAGGTTACTAAAGGGCCCCACTGAGTTTTCTAAGTTTGTTAAACTCTGACTTGGTCTTTCTCGATCGTTCGTTTATTTTTTGTTACGATCGATAGTTTTGTATGCAGAGGTTGCTAATGATTATTGGGGATTAATTGTTTAACTAACAACCAAGGAAGGGTAATATGATAATTACTTAAAGATTATTTTTATTTTTACTACGATCAATAGTTTTTTTGCGTTTTGAGAACGTATTTTATCACTTTTAAATTTTTAATTCGATAACCAATAACTAATCTCATTTAGTCCAATAGTCCACTTGATTCTAAATTTTTTAAAATTAGCATCGTTCACACAGAAAAAAAAAACCCAACACTTTACGTGGGTGGTTAGCCATTTTAATTGAGGACGTTCATTATATAGAACATTAAGGGACGCTAAATGTAGTTGACCGGCACAACCTGTATTTTTTTTTATTAACCCACTAATCAAGTTTCATTTTATTTATTTGTTATTCATGTTATGTTATTAATTCTCAAAGTCATAACAATCCAGACTATCCAGTCCACACACCCCTATCCTATTACCAAAAGCTCTCAAATGCGATATATATTTAGAATAGCATTTCCAACCAAATTGGTGTAATGTGAATATGAAATAGATAAACCTTAAATTCAAATAGTTTGGTACAAATAATTAACGAAGAATAATCGCTGTTGAAGCCTTGAAGGGGAGTTAGGAAGCACGATATCCAGGAGTGTTAGGTAGCCTCCCTCTTAAAACATTAATACAGTAAACAAAACATATATTAACTCAAAGCTAATACCGTTTTATATTTTTAACAAAAAATATTTCCCGCATGGTTCGCTCGGGTTATTTTATTTTGCAATAAACTCACAGCATTTAACAATATACGTATAATAATTAACCCAACACTTTTGTTTGTTTGTTTATATACGTAAAATTAACTAATCCAAAATTAGCAAATACGTGATTTTTTCACTGTGTGGTTTCAAAAAAAGTTGACCGTAGTGCACGTTAATTTTGATCATTGTATTGCCATTTGATTTTCATATTACCAATGTTCTTTTATAGTTTGGTTGGTTCGAATCGATCTATATCAAAAACAATAGACATGAATTAGGAGGCTATTCTAATACTCTTATATATATATGATACCTCTAATTATAAATTAGTAGAGAATTACAACCAGGTCTATAAATAGATATATATATCATCCAAATAATTAGTATGTGTACGTTGAATCAAATTTAATTATAAAACTTGTAGACCCTAGACTTATGTGCATTATTGCTAGTTTCATCAACATTCAGTTTTCTAAAAACATATTCAGTTGTAGATTAGCTCCATTTATGTGCATGTCAAGCTGTCCAGCACACGATTAAACACTTCTATTTCCCATTCGATCACTTTTTAGGCCATGGCCAAGTTGACTAAATTTGGATGAACGTTACAGGCCTGTTTATTTCGATTTTAGTGGGCCCTCCTCCTTTACTTCAGATTATATAAATGCATTCGTTCTACTTTCAAATATAACTGAGCCTCGTAACATATAACTAATTTAGGCCCATTAAAGGTAAGGAAAATGTACGTATCATCAATTTGGATGCTACGTGAGTAACTTATACGCGTCTCTACACTGGACTGGAGATTGGAGCCTTGGAGGGACAGATTTTAGTGTAAGTTTGGAGCAGATCAGAACTCCAAGTGCTAAAATAGAGGTTGCGTAGTGAGCTGGAATGGGAATCGAAAGCATACAAAAAAAGAAACACACACATGTACAATGTTATAGAGTATTGAACGTCGTATTCTAATTTCGTTTTGGATACTTTAACTGTGAAAGAAAAGAGAAAACAATAGAGGATATTCTTAGTGTTATTAGACTATACCACTGATCAGATTCAGACCCCTGAAAAAGTTGTACAAAAAGGAAAACTAGACTCTCATAAGGATCAAGAACCAATTAAGAGTATAAACGTGATTATTTGTCATTTTTTCTTTTTCTTGTGCTCAGTGTTAAATGCAGATTCAATTTCTAGCTAATTGCTCATGTTTTATGTCATCAAATTATTAATCAATTTCTTCCTGTTGTGTAAGTTTGTAGAAAAAGATCATGACAGTCGTATATATTGAAATTGTAAACTAGCTAACGAAACTACCACACAAAAATAACAACTTGATTCAAAGTCAAAATTTGTGTGCAGAGATAATTTAAAAAAACGAAAATATAGATATTTATCAATAATACATTTGGAACCTCTGTTGTTTAACCGCTATACTACAGGAAAAACTGAAAAGAGAGTCAAAAAGATCCTGCGTTAAAAAAAAAAAAAAAAAAAAAAAAAGATCCTGCGTTTGAACAACAACATTGGAGAAGAAACTAATTAAACGAAACTGCTATATTCTCAAAGAAAAAACTAATATATTTCTTGATCCGAGTAATTTACGAGCTTTTAGATTCAGAATTATTTGGTTAATAAAATAAAAAGTAGCATATACTGGAAGTAAAACAAAACCATGAATATACTGTCAATGCTAATTAAAATATATCACCGTGAACATAAGGATTAAGTTTAAAATTATACTTAAAATTTGGCCTTGTTTACTCTCCTCTACTGGGTAGTGGGTAAACTAGTCTTCACTCTTCACTCTCTTCTCCTTTTCGTTCAACCAAACAAAAGAAAAGAAAAAACAAAATCAGCAAGATTTTCCGGAAACCCCTAAAAAATCGCCATTGATGCCGGATGTGTACAGTTCTCTCTCTACTGCTATTTCTTCTAGGTTTGGTAGCCACTCTTTCTCACTAGGGCTTTTAATTCATAGGGTTTGAGAAAAAAAAGACAAGGTCGGGTAAATTAATATTTTAGTTTCTGGATCTGAATCTGTATCTCTATCAAGTACATATGTGGCAACATTCTTTTGGTTTTGGTAACAGTCTAAATTTCTGGTTACTCTTAGTACCCAGATCTAGGGCTTTTTTTTTTTGGTACTCAGATCTGGGGTTTTCTTCTGTTTTTTTGTGTGTTTCCTTCATCATTATTGACTCTCTTCGGATGATTTAGTTTTCTCTCATTGGAGTTTTATTACAGCTTTGCTTCAGTTGCTTATACTCGGAATTAAGAAAAATATAATCTTGCACATCTTGGTTCTTGTCTTGTTTCTTCTTACCTCCTCAGCGATTTTTTTCATGATACGGAAGTTAATTTTCTTTTAGTTCTTCCAATTTGTGATTTTTTTTTGCTTTTTCCACACTCTTAAATTAAGAGATAAATTATTTGAATAATTTTTGGGATTTAGTTAATTGTTGGCATTAACTTTCTTTTAATTCTCACAATAATATTATTCTTGCCGCATAGTATTAGTTAAATGTTGGCATTTAAAATTGTTCTTTTAAATAACAAAAACTTATACTCACGTAGTATTAATTTTTTGGACCCCTCTATTTATCTTCTTCAACTTTTTGCTGTTTTTCTCTCATAGACGATTTTGTTTTCTTTTTACTTTTTCTTATACCATCTTTTTCTTTGAGAATATTGTAACCTTATTGTTTACGAATCCTCTGAGTTTCCTACACTTTATATTTCAATCACACATTACCTTACCAATGATTTGCTCATGTAGAAACCATCCTATTAATATTCACTATACAGGTTCAAAGTTATTGCAAAAATACTTTTGTTTAAAAAAATGTAGTCATTTGTTTTTGTAGACTGAGTCTAAACAACTGCATTATCTTGGTGATTTCGTGTTTGGAGTTGCACTACATATAAATTTAGAAATTTAGACATATGTTTATGTCCACTAGTTGATATAATATGAACCATTATTTCAAATAATATAATATATAAGACATTTTTGTGAACGGTGTGACATGAATCGTCTGAATTATTTATAATACAAAATAATGTCTTTTTATTTTTCTTCATGTACTTATTCATTTAACCTACTTTTGCTCACTTTACTCATTTAACCTACTTTTGCCATATCATAGAATTTCATTTTAATCTGTTTGAGTTCTCTTTATAATTCATTCCTATTTTAATATCTCCCTCCTCCATTTTACTGTTATTTAGGAACCAAACACAAAATCTCGTCCCCTATATTGTCTTTTATGTTTGGCATTTCTCTTCACATGATTTTAGAAATATAGACATATGTTTTGTCGTCTAGATGGTATAATATAAACATCAACATACATTTTTGTCGATTATTCGATAAAATATAAACATAAAAACCTCTATATTGATTATTGACTATGTACTACTCCATCCGTTTCAAATTAGTTGTCGTTTTGGGAAAATGTATCTGCAATTATTTGGATGTATCTATAATGCAAAACACGTCCAGATACGTCCAAATTTTTGCAGATACATTTTGCCAAAACGACAACTAATTTGAAACGGAGGGAGTATCACGAAATGTTACAAAATTATAATATAAATAGTATTCCTTAGTTTTTCTTTATGTAATTAATCATTCGTTTTTATCTTTTTTTGTCAAATTCTCTTACTCACTTGACCTACACTTTTGTCATTTCATATTAATCATTCTCTTTTTCATATTCATTCCTTAAAATTAACACTTCATCTTTCGGACCTTATAAACATTCTTCCGATTGTAATATCTTTCTGATAAAAGTCCTGTTGTAATATCTTGTTCTTTTTTACTAATTATCCAGTAACCAAATACATATAAATCAAACTTTACGTTCCGAACAAAACACAAAATCTCTTCTCCAGTATTGTCTTTTATGTTTGGCATTAGAAACGTACGTATCATGTGTGCTTGTTACTACCAACTATGAAACATTTCAAACATGCGATGAATTAATTAATCATAACATTTTTACAAATTTGGTATTTTATGGTGCTTTCTTTTTCTAGAGTTCATAAGGATGTGTTTTGTAGGAGCCAAAAGACAAATCAGATCGATACCCCAAAAAACTGGGGAACCAACCAAGGTACACAACACAAGCAAACTATGAAACTACATAATATGTTTCTATGTATTTATTTCTAATGTATACCGTACCATTAGAGGAGTGTGGTCTGCTCAACATTCCTATGCTGGACTGCAACAACCACTCAAGGTTTGACAGCAAAATTATAAGTTCATCTGCAGAGTGGCACCGAATCAAACTGACTTTTTGTTGAGGCTATCAATATAATTGGTGACGGAAAAATATTCTTTTGGCATAAAGATGGAGCACGATCGGAACTAGTAATTTAGTGCCACAGATACAATTTACTATGTTAATAAAAAAGGACAGTGTGAAGATGAGGTCCGTAATCGTACTTTTGGGATCTTTTTATCTGTAGGTCTATCCAAAAGTAATATATAAAATTAAACATTTTTATATTCTAACGATCGATCAGTACGAAATTCTAGTTTGGGGACATAATATACCCTTTCCAGTGAATTAAGTAAACCAAACTCTACTAAAAGAAGTAACTTTCAACTCACTCCCAAGCAGTGTTGATTTACCAGAGCAGAAGTTATCTTTAGTTAATAATCTAAAGGACGAAACAAATAGCATCACGTCATTTCAAACAAAAAATTGTTAAAAAATGACAACGTCTCTGAATAATATATTTAATTAAACACATACATGAACGTGTGTGTATACATAAAACCACTAATACATAATAGTGATCACAAGCCCTTTGATTAGTTGTTGTAATCAAATTAATAACCTTGAAAGGTTTTAAAGTCCTTGCTTTTGGCTTAGTCGATTACTAGAACTGACGTCCAGGACTCATAAAAGAGAACCATCAGAGAGGAACAAAAAAATAGTCATGAACTTATATATAATTTACATCAAATTGTCCCTTTTTGTTTGTGTTCATAAAAGTAAACGATTGACAAACTCAACACACATAGATTATTTTGATAAAAATGTGATAAATGCTATAGATATCATAGTTAAGGTTCCACTCGAACTATAAAACAAAAGTATCATGCTAGTTGCATTGACTATGGTTACATCGATTTAGTATTTGACACTAAATGAAGACGAAAAAGCCTTCATATAATATATATTCTCATCAAATTATTATTAATGTGAGAAAATGAAACGGTAAATCAATATCAACACATGTTTTGATAGTTGTACATGAGGTCTCTTGGCTTCCCCGGGAAGTGGTGAAGATCCGTAAATTGATGCTGCTGCTGCTGCTGCAAGGAACATAACCAAAAGATAAATCGATGAAATTTGGTAAATACGTCATACTATTCAATTAAAAATACGGCGCCTTTGAGTATGTTTGATGTGAAACTATATAATAATAATAAGTTAAAAAATCAACCCACAAAACTAACTCCTAATTTAATTATATAACATTAACTAACTGGTGTTGGTACATTGGTGACACTAGATGTGAGAGTTAGCCTATAAATCTTGAATTTACTAGAAACCAACAAAAAGCTCTTAAAATTTAATAAATTGACTCGTAGATATAGAATAAGGTACCTCAATGGAAGTAGCTCCTTGGCTGCGATGGTGATTAAGCATTGGAAATGATGAATTCATTTTCCTGATCATATCATAAGATTGGTCCGAAATGTGATCTTTTTTGTCTATCACAGTCTCGCCGCAAACTGCAAAACGATCGTTCTTGCAAAATTCTTCAATCTCTTCTACGCAGGGAGTCGCCTCAAAAGAACTCCAATTCACATCGCTTTTTGTACTCTTTGTCATCTCATCATGATAATTATGAGATTCTTCTTCCACAACATTTGCTTGTGAACTTCTATCCATCATCTTCTCTTTTGTTCTTTCCTTTGCTCTCTCTCTTGCTTTCGCTCTTGCCTCCTTAGAAACCTTCTTCAAATTGGGCGTTCGCGGTTGCGGCATCTTTTTCTTCCCTTTTATCGTTCTCCCGTCGACCTTGTCTCCTCTTGTTTCTAATGCAAACCAAGTATTACATTTTTGTAAGATATAATATATATTTTTTTTAAATGATAGCAAATTAATTATACAATCGTAAATGAAGGCAACGGTTAACGAACGTACCTGCCGTGCCTCTATTGTCCACTGTCCACATGGATGCAAGTTCGCATAGATCAGAAGATGTGTCCATGGATCCTAATGCCGGTCCTTGAATAACTTCGAATTTCAAATTAAGCATAAATTTAAAAGATCGAAACTTTTCATTAAAAAAAAAAAAAAAAGAACTTTCGTTAGATATAATTAGAACTAGAAAAGAATGTATACTTACGAGTTTGAGACTCATCGCCGCTGCTGAAGCCGCCGTGGTTAAACTGGTTAGAAAGGCTTTTGGCGATCTTTGTGATCTCTGGTTTTGCTTGTGTGAGCAGCCACTCAACGGTTTTGCTGGCTTTGTCGAATCCAAGCATGTCTTGTAAGCCGAATAGCTCTTTGGCGACATCTAGTGAGAGTCTCATCCGACGATCTCTTGTCCCTTTGGCAGTTTTGATCTTGCTGTGCCTGTCCGTTCTGCTTGGCTTCTTGCCTTTTCTCATCGTTGGGTTTTGAGAAGCTGAGATTCTCTGGGAATCTTCTATGTGGGTTATGGTTTCCGAGGGCTCAACGACTTGAGATGATTCTCCAACAGGGTCGTTTAAGGGAAGAAGTGGTGGATGATGATGGCCATTGAGGATGGTTTGGTTAACATCATAGACATTGTTTTGTGGGAGCCCCAAAGAGCCGAGGAGGGTGAAATCCGGAACGAAGTCGAATTGAGAAAAAGGAGAAGGTGATTGAAGGAATTGATGAGGATGGCCAAGATGATTGTTTGATGATGTGTTGGAGGTTGAGTGAATCAAGACATCGTTAATGGAAGAGGAAGGGCTAAAAGGGAGTAATGGTTGTGAGGAATAATGGTCATTATAAGGGAATAACATGTAGTCGTCATTGATGGTGGTATTAGTACCGAAGTTGTTGTTGTTGTTCATGACTTTTTGGGGGAGGGGGTTTTGATTAAAAAAAAGTTAATTTAAAAAAAAAAACCCTAAAACAAGTTTTTGAGAATGACACTTGTACCAAAATCTTCCTCACACACACCTAAAAGAGAAGAAAATGAGAGAAAGCATGAAATCAGAGAGAAGATTACTGTTTCAATGACGAAGACAATCAAAACTAGAAGAAAATAAAAAGAGAGTTTTATATTTTTTCCTTAGCCTGCAAAACAGTAATAGTGATTAGTCAAATAGTACAATATGTCTTTGTTCAAGAGAATCTATGTTTGTGTCTAAATATGTATATGAGAGAGAAAGAAAGAGAGAGAGAGATAAGGTACCTTTATTGAAGCAAAGGACTAATGGTTGAGAAAGACAACACAGGCAATGTACTTGAATGAGTCTATGTGCTATGAATTAGAATGGAGAGAGAGTGAGTGAGAGGGCTATATAGAGAGAGAGAGATCTAAGAGAGAGCTATAGAGAGAGAAGCAGAGAGATATCATAGTGGGGGAAGGAACTTCAACAACTCGGAGGAGGTACGCTTTGAAGAGGAATTTATTTTCTTTCTTTCTTGTTTAAATTTTTATGGCATGAAAAAAACATATTCGTTTCTTTCTGTGAAAATGTGATAACAATTTTCGTTTTATTTGGTTGTGAGGATTTGTTTTCTTAATAACTAGGATACTGACTATGTTTATATATGTTCTTAGATATTGGAGATATTTCATTATTAAAAATTGGATAAGAACTCAAAATAGATATAGAATTGTTGACACCTATCAACAATTATAAAATTAATTTACAGTATGATTTTAAAATATGCCTAACAATAGCTTATTCAAATTAATCATTTCACTGTAAAATATATGTTATTAAATTTATTTTCAGTGAGAAAATACTATTACGGATTCCATAGGATCTTTTACTGTTTGTGTTAATTTTAGTTGTTGACAAATCATATATTTACCAATAAAACATATATTTGCATATATCTAATGATTATATATGTTAATAACCTTTCTCTTTTTTTTTCTAAAGATAACCTTTCACTTTAAATAAAAAGCTCTTTGTTTAGCTAAAAAAAATGACATGTTAAATCTAAAGTAGATCATATTAAATAAATTATATCTTTTATTATTTTCAGTAAATAAAGATAACAAAATATAACAAAATGAAGGTAAAAATTAGCATACTAGAGAAAATTTCTTAATCTTTTTGTACTTTCATTTGTACTTTTTATACTTCTAGTTTTGGTTTTCTTAATAAGCCATCTTAGATTTTTTTTCCAAAAACTTAAGAATTGAGAAAATTCTTAACTTTTGGTAAAAAATAGCATACTTGAGAAAATTTCTTAATCTTTTTGTACTTTTATTTGTACTTTCATTTGTACTTTTTATTCTTCTAGTTTTGGTTTTCTTAATATGCCATCTTAGATTTTTTTCCGAAACTCAAGAAAGAAAAATGATTGTGCTATATTTTGATGCAACTAAGTTGTTCTAAAATTTATACTAGTAAATAGATCTAGAATAGATGATTAATCAGGTAGTGTTTGAAAAAGGCCAGCTCCTTTTGCTTTGCATTGGCTTATTGGAATCCAGTTGATGAGTCCAAATAGCAAAAATGACGAAAGCACTGGAATATTTTTTTTCTATTTAAATTATAGGATGACAAGTTTTGGGGACAAATTAAAAAAAAAATGGTAATGATATGACGTAAATATTTTTTATTTAAATATTATGGAATATGTGTGTTGTTGTAAATGATACTATATATGTATTTATTTTATTTTTATTTTTTGATATTGATGTCTAATCTATTGAATGGATGTTAAAATTTAAGATTTGAGTTCAGAATTTAGTCTTGTAGAGAGTAGGATGATAAACTAATCATTTACATATAAAAAATACAAATTGGCATTTAAAAAAAAAAACAGTTTTGCAAATTGGCATTTTTTACACTATTGGAAAACTATATGCATATACAGTATTTATTAAGTTATTATTATTTGAGAAATCAACTCTTTTTCTTTTTAGCTGATTTTTTTTTTTTATAAAATAAAAACATATACAATCATTGAAATTACACTTCTGATAGTAATGCCAGTGGCAACTAACCAATAAAGTGTTTATACAAAATTAACACTTGTTTATCGCACTGTTTTCTCAAAAAACTTATTTATGGCACTAGAAAATCTGTTTTAAATTTTAATATTCGTGTACGAGGTTTGAAGTAAGTTTTCTTTAAGAAGTTTACCTAGCAAGTGTAGAACTGGGAAGTTGGATTATAAAATATCACTTTCAAATTAGAGGACCGCACGTGGCAGTGTGAAGCCCTAAGAAAAGAAAGCTGCAATAATTTTAGGAAGAAAGTAAAAAGCTTAGCTCTCTGTTCAGTATGCCATGAGCGACCAATCTCTTATTTTCTTTTGACTCTCTCACACACACACTCTCTCTCATACATATGTTAGAAGTCGCTTTCGCTAAAAAGAGAACCTCTTTCTCTCTCTCGTGCTTATCTTTGAAGCTTTTGTATCACTATTTTCCCTTTTTTTTTCCTCGTTTAAATATGAAAAACATATACTAGAAGTATTTTGCTTTCTACCAGAAAATAGAATACTACAGCATAATGTGTCAATCTAAGTTCTAACATTTAAAGTCGATTTATATGGTGACTTGGTGATAAGCGTCAACTTTTAATTTTTGAAATCGTCAACCCGCACATACATATTCTTTATTTTAAATCTAGATTATTATGAAATTACGGTACTAATTCATACAAATAACTAAAAAGTGGTGTATCAAAACAAAACCAGACTTCAAAAGATATGTTTTGTTTAATTAAAGGATCAGTAATCACAAATGAAATGATTGTGAAAAAGTTTGAGCTTGACAATGAGAACAAATTACTAATCGATGAATGCCTTTGGTAAATCAAGGTGTGAAAACCGAGCAGAGTAGTTAAAAGCTACTCACACCACAAAAATATGTACGCAATACATATTCATATATAACATATGCACGTATACGTATACACGGGCAAAGCATGTACAGTCTTAGGAGTTACGTGCAAAGATGAAACACTCTCATTGTAAGTAAAATCTCCAATTTTGGTCATCCATTGTTATCCACTCTTTCCATTTATACATGCCGTCTTCTCCACCTAATAATCCAGCATCCCATGCCTCTCTTCTTTCTCTCTCTCTATCTCTCTCTCTTTTTTGTCTCTCTCTCTCTAGGCCTGCCATTATCAGGAGGACCACATGACTATAATGGATGGACTCGCTGGCTTCTTCTAAGGTTGCTTTCAATTTTTCTTTCTCATAACCCATGAAGAAGACAATAAGAAATATCTTAATTATCACCATTTTGTGTTTTATTGTTGAATCATTTTAAGTTGTTTTTAGTGAGACTCAAAATTAAATTTTCAAGCTCTGGTTAGTCTATGAATCTTTTTTTTTCTTACAAAGTGGGCATTGATTTTGCCTTTCCCCTGAGTGCTTTCATTATGTGTTCTATTATCTATCTTCTGTTCCCAATTTTGTTGGTTACAGACCTCAGTCACACTTTATCACTCTCAAAGTACAAAATTCCAACTTTTGAAAATTTTATTTTATTTTCACTTTAATTTGTTGCTTTGTCATCTCTTATTTCTGTTGGTTCTTGGGTTGATAATGAATCATTTTCTATTTATAGCAAAGATAGTCAATGCTCTTTTAGATTACCGTTCGTTTGCGCAATTTCCTTTCATGGAAATGTGTCCTGGAAAATAATGTGTGTTTGTCTCCACTTTTCTTCATGGAAGAACTCAATATTGACTTCTTTTCCTTCCATTTTTTAAAACTTCATTTTGTTTCTATAGACATTAATTCTTCTTGATATTATAAACATGAAATTTGAATTTTCTTGTATGGAATGACAAAAGAAAATAAAACTGTACAAGAGAGTTTAAAAATGGCACATCACAAAATGTGTGTGCGGACGTACTAAAATCTAAACTTTGCCAGAAAATATCTGAATAAATAGTCAATTTCTTTTTGAATTAGTCACAAATTTCAGGGTACAACATACCAATATATCTTAAATTAGATATAGAACCATCCAGTTTTCTCTAAGAGTCAGTTTGAACAAACTATTCTGGGTTCAAAAGATTATAATTTATTTAGAGAAAATTAGTTAAATCGGTTCAGAAGATTTAACTACAAAAGATTAGTTTTTCGATTTCAATCACCTCTTATATATACATCAGAACATATTAGTCGACATGAATAAAGAGAAACGATTTAATCGTAAAACATTTAAATTAAATTGAGAATCGAATACATTATCGCGACAAACTTAATGGGAGAGTAACAGGTTGATGTATAACTTCTTTGAGGTTTAGGGATAGCAAAATGATAGAGATAGCCTATATATTCCTACTTTCTTGCTTAAGTTAAGGAGATTTTGACAACGCCAATTTTTCATGTTATTGTTCTTTTTTAGAAATTAAACGAACACATTGGTTAAGTACAGTAGAAACTCTATAAATTAATAATGCCGGGACCATGTTATTTTATTAATTTAGCGAATTATTAATTTATCGAGTTATAATTTGAATCAAAAATTTAGTTTGGGATCGGAAAATTCTATTGATTTATCGAGTTATTAATTAATCGAGTATTAATTTATATAAGTTATATATAGAGACACCATATTGATCAAAATCGTATTAGATATGGGTTTTTGTCTGTTCTTTTTGTAATTAGAAGATGATTATCTTGTTCTTTTGTAATTCCAGTAGTAGATTTTAGTCTTATCTTAAAGTTACGGGTTTATGTACACTTGGAAATTGATGTTCTTTTCCTCCTGATGATGTAACGTCATGATACCTTTTTTATTTTAATAATTTCAAACCTTTATAAATAGCTTCGACCACACTCGCATAATCTTATTTGCTCACTTTATTTTTGCTCCATGCTTCACCTCTAAATTTGGTTTATCATGTAACAGGCTGTT